CCCATGACTGCCTGAGCGAAAATGCGCTCGACACTGTCGACTTGGAGGCCCCTAGTTGACGGCATCACGGAGCTAACGTTAGTACCGCTGCTGCTGCTTTCGTTTATCAATCGGGCGTCGCGGAGGATTTCGACGAGTCGGGCGCAGTTAATTGAGGGCAGGTCGTCTCCAACTGCGGAGGAGTCGTAGAACTTGAACAACCCGTAGAGCTGGTTAACCTGGTTTTGCGTCAGTGTCTTGAGCGCTGAATTGTTCAAATTCCAGTGGAACTGCGGCGTCAAAGTAGGCACCGGACAGGTGTTCGGTCGGTGAGTTTCGGTTGCTGCAGTGGCTTCAGGACGATATTTGTTGACAGTTTTGTTGGAATGCTGACGCAGCAGACACGACGAGCCGCCGACATTTGTCTTTGTGCACTTTTTGGCTCCTGGAGTGGGAGCGGTGGCGACTCGAGTATCCATGCTCTCGATTGTCAGGCGTTCATGAATGAGTTTGCAATCGATACTTCCACTCTCTCCGTACCAAGGAAGGCCATTCTTGGAAGACAGAGGCAGGTATTTTTACAGACAAGCATGAGGGTCGGTCTCCTTTAGGAGTTCAATGAATCGAAGACAGAGAAACTCGCCGCAATCTGAAGACTGTCGAACGAAGGGTTGGTTGAGCTCAAGGCTCTTCGGTGTTTTTGATGTGGCTGCCTAGTCTCGACGGGAATCGAAGAGGGCTTAGATGGCCACTACGAGAGGGCATGGCTTGGTGGTATGTGTACAGTGCCGGCTGGAGAGGCGATGCCGCATTCACATTGTGGACCCACGTGTCGCTTCCAGCAACCTGCCACGTTGCAAGGAGGTCTTTATAGTTCTTCGGGAGTTTGCTCTGTGAACGGGTAGACTTTGAATGGGGTGGAACTTTCGCTTGTTGCCATGGTAACCTGTGGATATGGTCTGATGGAGCCGAGGAGATTTGGCGGCACCCTTCGGACCTTTGAGATACTGAAGCGGTAGCAAGGGGTTGCCTTGGAGGTAGCACTGCAGTATCCCGCGACGTCTTGATAACGGGGGTGCTGTAGTGCGGTTGTCGTTCGTTCAGATCTTGCAGCATTTTATCCACGACAATGAGTTGGCCAGCAGGACGCTGCTCGAAACCGCGCTCCATTCTGGTTATCACGCACTTCTTCAGCATACGTAGCGCGGTGGCCAAAGTCTTTTGAGTCGGCAACACGGGCTTCGTTCGTGTCGTCTCGTTTGGTGCTGTCGCGTAGAATATCCCCTCGCTTTCGGTGATTTCTTTGGTCGCAAACACGAGGGAGATGGTGCAGCAAATGGCTCCATCGTGGTCACCACCGAGCAGCAAGAAGATACGGATCGTCTTCCTGTTGCTTGCACTTGGGGGTTCACACACTTCAATCGTCATAATCGGTGGGCATAGCAACTCTGGCTCATGGTCTGCGTCGGAAACCTGGTGAAGAGCGCTCACGGTGTCATTACTGTTGGGAATGTTAGTGTCCAAGGAGTCCGCCTCCACAACTGTGGGCTCTTTCTCTCTGGCTGTGGCTAACAGCGCGGATTGCCTCCGGGATGTCGGCTCTTCCTGGTTAATCAACTCTGCTGCCACGGACGTCATGGCTTCAGCTTTGTTGCTGTTGATCGACGACGTCCTCCAGGGCAAGACGGCTTTTCTCCTGTTAGCAGTGGACGGGTGGTGAACGAGGTGCGCCTTGGAGCCGCGCGACTTCGTCATACGGATCGGACCGTCTGAATCGGAGGCTTGGCTTAGCGTTGACTTGCGTGGCTTCAATACACCCCGTCTCCTTCCACGCTCTTTGGCACCTTTGGAGCCTTCCGTGCTGGCGCTTTTGTCTTGCACTGGAACATCGTTCAGTTCCAGTAAACTTTGGTTGTCATCGTCTGCGTTTGGTTCGAAGGAGAGGCTGTGTCTGGCTGTCGTAGCTGCTCGGGTCAGTCGGATCTTCATCGAGGCAAGGCGTGCTGCGGAGGAATGTCGCTTGGCCTCTCGAGTCACCTCAATGGCTAGGAGCAGCTCCGCTAATGTCATCTCACTCTCGCTGCTAATTCCACCGCCGGTGCCTCCACCACTCATCGGGTTATTAGAAGCAAAGAGCCTCGGGAGCACCGAGTACGGATCAGGAAGGTCTACGCGTTTGCCCAGACCCGAGAGCAGCGCGAATATCTCGTGGCGTGGCAGCACTCCGCGTTCAGAGACATCATACAGACGGAACTTGTCCGAAATGAGTGCGATCGTGTCGTGCTCGAAGCTCGCAAGCAGGCGATCAGGGATATGGTAGAGCTTTGCCACTCTCTCCTGCCTGAGCTCCTCGAGCGCCATGTCGCTCTCACAGTCGGCGATGACTTGTTGGAAAGACGGCAGGTCTCGGAAGTCTTGTTGACCGTCTTCTGGCTGAGGGAGCGGAGCATGTGATTGCTCGGGTATCCAACACGAAAGCGTGCCACCCGTGGGGAGGTGTCCGATCAAGCCCTTCTTCGCCGCTGAAGCGTGATGCTCGGTGCCAATCGAGCAGGCGAGAAGCCTCGGAAGAGTCTGGCGTAACGCGTCGGTGGGATGCTCCGACGGAACCAGCAGCATCGCGCAATTCATGATGGCGCCGCAGAAGAGCGAGAACGTCAGCGCTGGCTGGTCGTCTGCGTCCAAGTAGACGCGCATTTTGCCCATGACAGCCTGTGCGAAGATCCTCTCGACACTCTCAACCCGAAGTCCTTCCGTCGGTGGCACAACCGAGCTGGAACTAGGGATAACATCATTGTTGCTGAGCAGTCCGGCGTCGCGCAGGAGCTCCATGAACCGCGTACAGTTGATCGAAGGCAGCGCGTCTCCAATCGTGGACGAGTCGTAGAACATGAACAACCCGTACAGCTCTTCGACTTGGTTCTTTGGCAGCATATTGAGAGCTGAGTTGTTCAGGTTCCAGTGCAGGTGAGGCGTTAACGTCGGCGCGGGGCATGTTTGCGGCCGACCCTCCTCTTCTGGGGCTTCCACAGCGAGGCGCTCCGCACTGAGAGTCCTGACATTTCGCAGCAGATGCGACGATCCAGGGTTCTTGGACCACCGTTTGGCCTTCGGGCCTGAAGCAGTAGAGACACGGGGATCCATGCGCCCTGCTAGCCAACCCGCTTGCACTGCTGATACTCGTTCCCTGATCAAATGCGCTGTAGTTAGTACGAGCGAGTATTTTAAGCAGCAGAAATACCAACAGACAATGTGATACGCAACGACAGTAATTGCCAGATTCCGGACCGGAATCCGGAAACCTGTCAAACCTGCAATAGAGACACACTGGCGAAACATAAAATCACTTGTGCCAATCAGGCCCACTTATTCATTCCGGACAGCGATAGAAAGGTATGAAAATCGGGCTATTGTAATTTACAATTTGTAAACATCTCGGTTCAGTATTTTTAAGCACGACGCAGGGACGGATGGCAGGCGGCTAGGAGTGCATGGCGGAGGACTGGAGCGCGAGGAAGAGGACAGGTCACGGTGCGCCGTGGGCGTAGATGCTGTTGTGCCCCACCACGGCGACACGAAAGCGGTGATCGGCGGTGGCCACAGCTTCAGCGTGATCGCGAGGAGGAACGCGCAGAGCGCCGTGCCGTCAGGAGGCGCTCCAGCGGGCGAGCTGGACGTGACCGCGCGAGCATAAGGAGGAGGCGGGCGCGACGAGTGGATGCTCAGTCGCTTCGAGGCGCTGAGTGACGCCGTGCGGCCCTAGGAGCCTCTCCGTCGAGGCCGAGCTGTACGCCATGGAGGCGACGCGGCAGATGCCGATGCGCAGGCAGCGCATAGCGAGCGCGATGTGAGGAAGGAGGCGCTGCAGGAGTAGTGCGCGCACGGGGCGGTGGTGCTGGGCAAAGATTAGGCACGTGAGAAGGAGGAAGAGGAGACGGAGAAGCTCGAGGCGCATACGGCGACAAGCGGGGCTGCGCGTTGAGTGAAGTGCGGCCGACTGAGGACCACCACCCGCTCCAAGCGGCGTCCGCCGTCCGAGACGAAGGAGACGGTGCCGGCGAAGGCGGTGAGCAGCGAGGTCGGAGCGATGACGCGACCCGCATCACAACAGTCACGACGAAGAAGCACGTGAAGTTCGAGAGCAAGGTCAAGGAAGCTTTCCATCGAGGTGGCGCCTTCCCGCCAAGAGCAGGAGCTGCTGGCACAGCTGGAGCACAAGGTCAAGGGGCTGTACGTGCAGGAGGGTGAGGGGGGGGGGCTGGAGGACAAGTCACAGAGGAGGAGCAGGCGCGCGCGGAGTGGGCTGGACTACACGGGACGCTGTCCTCGGCACCATACACACCCGGGTGCTGTGCTGTGGCGCGCAGTCCAAGCGGGAGAAGACGCTGAAGTAGATACGGCGGCAAGGCAGCCCAACGTGGACGGTCGGGACGACCAATGCGTAGCTAGACCCAGTAGAGACTACAGAATTTTGCAAAACTCGGAAGTTCGATGATCATCTAGGACATTAGTTATCTACTGAGCTTATTCTGCCTTTCGTTTACTCGGCCACAGCGGTTTGCGTGTTGGAGTCGGCCTTGAACTTCCAGCGACGGTTGTCGAGACCGCGAGAAGCTCGCTGTCAGTCTTGGGCAAGTCTGAATGTGGCTACATCCGGCAGGTATAGCACTTATCGAGTAAGAACGAGAAACATCTTTAGTTTTGTATGATTACTTATTTGCGCGAAGCAGGAAATTCCGGACGATTCCAGAAATAAGTAGGAATGGAATAAAACTAACCCTAATGAGCGACGATTGGATGAAAATAGGTAATTAAGCATCAAATGGTAAGAAAAAAATCACTGATTGGCTTCAGCGAGGTGGCAAGCTTTGCATAGGGGTCGGGTGTCCGGCCAAATACTACTTATCCTACAATAATAACAAACACCTGCTCGGTCACAATTAGCCAACACATCATTCCACAAATGTAGCCATGTTTGTCGAGATAAGAAGAAGAGAAGGATATTTTAAAGCAGCACTTGGCCTCGTAGCTGGCGACACATGGGTACATCGCACTGCAGCGCCTGGCAGTGCAGCGCGTGGTACGTGAACAGCTCGACGACCGCCGTGGCGATGGGGTACGACCGCCAGCGTTCACTGTGAGACGCCCAGCAGGCCGCGCGCAGGAAGCGCTTCATGTGCGAGCAAAGCGCACGGAACTCGGGGTGTCGGCACTGCGCGTCGTCGCAGCTGCACGCGTGGGTCAGCAGCAGGTTGGTGCGGTCCTTCTCGTCGTCGGGCACCGCCGCCTGGTACGCCGCTGATAGCTAATGCAGGTGCAGTAGTATTAGTGATAACACGCATGTCATGTCAAAGTGATGGATGCATATCAGTCTCACCGCTTGCGCTACGGCGTCGCCCGCTGCGCCGTTGGCCTGAGCCCCGTTGGTCTGTACGCGCTCCTGCTTGATGCTGACGTTGGCCATGGGCTCGGACGGCTGCGCGCGGCCTTGATCTGGCGTAGAGCGGCGGAAAAGAGTGTAGCCATGTTGGTAGTGAAAGGTACACTGTACCATTGGTTGCTCCAGATGTAACGATTTGCAGCATGATGCCCCATACAAAAAGCAAGTCAACTGGTTCCTTACCGAAAGAGACAGCCAACAGACACGTCAGTGCTCCGACAGCGGCAGATCTCACTCCTGCGCTGCCAGTTCTTCGCCCAGGTGGGGCGCTCTGTAGGCTGCGCATGGCGTCTTCTTCTTCTTCTCCGCCGTCCCCCGGCTCCAGCGAGCTCTCGTTCGCGTGCGTAACCTCGGCGCTGGCGTCGCTCTGGGCATCCGCGTGCGAGGCGAGGCAGAACGTAACCCGGCAGAGGTTACTCTTCTTCCTCAAGCAACATGTACCCATCTTAGAATGGCTACCGGCGTACGACCTGAGTGAGGACCTGCAGTTCGACGTGGTGTCCGGGGTTACGGTCGGGCTCATGCTCGTACCCCAGGAGGTATCCCTTGCAGCCATCATGGGCGTACCCCCCATCTACGGGCTATACACGGCCGCGGTTGTACCCATGATCTACCCGCTCTTCGGCACCTCCCGGGTGCTGAGTGTGGCCAACGGAGCTGAAGTGAGTCTACTCGTGGGCTCGGCCATCAAGAAGGTGGAGAGTGAGGAGGAACGGATCGCTACCGGTATTCTCCTGAGCTTCCTGAGTGGCGTGGTGCTGCTGTTCATGGGGATGTTCCGACTGGGAGTCATCGCCGACTTCTTCTCAAGGCCCGTCATGGGTGGATTCATCTCGGCCGGAGGTGTACTCATCATGCTGTCCCAGATGAATCTGTGGCTGGGGATCGACATCAAGAGCAAGGATCTGCCGGTGCTGACGGTGTGGGATCTGATGGAGCAGTTGCCACACCTCAACACCTTCAGCTTTGCACTCGGTACCTTTTCAATCTTGGTGCTGGTGGGCATGCACGAGCTGAAACGCCGCGTGGTGAGGAAGCTGGCTAGAGTCGAGGAGGAGCTCGAGGACCAGTTCGCGATTGAGACGTCCAGGGCGCTGAATCAACTGTCCATGAGCATGAGCTCGAACGGCGAGCAGAGTGACATGAGTGAGGACGAAGAGGAGGACAGTCAGGACGCCAAGGATGATCGACAAGCGGAGGGCAGCTATGGTGGAGATATCGAACTGGGGGACGCCCCCAAGCCAAAGAAACGCCAGCCAAAGAGTAGCGATGATGAAGCCAACTTGGACGTGGAAGACGTGACGGTATCGCCGCGTGGATCGAGGTGGGCCGACTTGCCCGCTGTGTTCACGACGGGCTCGCTGCGACGTCGGGACTTCATGGTGTCGTCCCCATGGGCCTCATCGTCACGCAATAGTCGAGATCTTGGTGCTAACGACCTGGATCTGGCTCGCTCTACTCGTCAGAGAGACCTGGCTGCGATTACTCGTAGCACTCGTCATGGACGCATGGACGACGAAGGTGTGGGCTTTTCGCTTTCGGACGAGGATTACATTACTATTGAGAGACCGTTGGACTTTGGCACTCCCCCTGATGCTGCTGCTGGGATGCACCGTTCTAGCTCGGATGAAACGGGCGTAGCGCGGACTTTGCCTAGGATGCACCCAACCCAGCCTAAGGTGGAGAGACCCGGGCGCAACCGTGGCGGAGATACTGATGACGACGATGACGCAGATGCCAAGGCTGAGGCTGAAATGAAGAGACGTGTGAAGGAGCTTGCTTCGCCTGCGAAGTCAGAGACTGGGTCGGAATCGGCGACTTCGACTACGGCGCTTACTGGACGCATGCTTGCAGCGTCGTCGACGTCAATTCGCATATTGCGCTCGAAGATGGCTGTGCTGATCGCGCTGCGGTTGGTGTGCGACTTGGGTGCGTTCATGGTGTGTCTGCTGGGTGGAATCGTTGGCTACTTGGCCCCAGAAGGTTCTCTTGCTCTTGCCGGGGATGTCCCCGGTGGTTATCCATCACCGCTAAGGCCCTGGTATGGATTGAGTACGAACATTATCGAGGCTGATCGTCTGTACCACCTCTTCATCGACACGCTGTCGATTGCCATCATCTCGTACATGTGCAGTGTCGCCATGGCCAAGCGTCTCGCGATTAAAGAAGGCTACAGGATCAGGCCAAACCAAGAGCTCATCGCGCTGGGTTTCTCCAACCTCGTTGGGTCTTTTTTCCAGGGTATGCCGTCCACCGGAGGTCTTTCGCGTACTGCGGTGAACATGCAGAACGCCCGCACCCAGCTTGCGAGTGTGATCGCAGTGCTGGTCGTGGTGTTTGTGCTGTACACATCCACTTCAGCTCTCGCGTACCTACCGAAGGCAAGTCTCGCTTCCATCATCATCGTCGCTGGCTACTCACTGATCGAGATGAAGGAAGCCAAATGGCTGTATCGTGTCAAGCGCGACGAATTTTATGTGTGGCTGGCGTCATTTGTGCTGTCGTGTCTGCTGGGTGTGCTGCCTGGACTTCTGTCCTCCATCTTTTGCTCGCTGATTGCTGTGATTTACAAGACTCGTCGCCCGACCGTGTCCATGCTGGGTGAGGTTATCGACGAGGAAACCGGGGGGAAGCGGATTGTGGAGTTGGACTTGTACCCCGACACGGCGCATCCGTTGTCTGATATCGTGGCGATTCGAGTGGAAGGCGCTCTGTACTTCGCTAACTGCGAATACATTGAGCGCGTGGTGGAACGGGAGGTGCGCAGGCGCCACGAGACCGAGGGCGTGCGAGTCCGTGGTGTGGTGATTGATGCAGGCTCCATCATGGACTGGGATACCACGACCATCCAGATGATGAAGCATTTGAAGGCCGAGCTTCGCGGACAAGGCATCATGCTGGCGATCGTGAACGCACGAGACCGCCTGCAGCTTCTACTTGAGACGTCCGAGTTCCTCGTGGGTATCGTGCACAGCGATGCTCGGATCGGGTTCACCGAGGCCATCACCGCCATCCGCGAGGAAGACATGCCTTCGGATGAGAGTCAAGCCTTGGCGCGTGCCACTCGGGTGCACAGCATCTAGAATGGGGGGTCCAAGGCAGTCGAGTTAAATGTCGTTGTAATAATGAAGTGACTGAAAACTGAACGTCGAGCGTGGCGCCAAATTGAGCTGCTGGGTCTGGAAATAGCGGAGTTACGTGAGTGGAAATGGAGAAGGTGATGAGGTTGAGATGCCCCAGTTTACAGAGCTTTGGGACGGAATGGAGACTGTCCCCGCCCCTCAGTCAAAGCTGAACGCGACTGCGGTAGATGACCCCAAGCGCGTCTCCATATCGGCGGATGACGTCGAGAAGTTGCTGGACAAAGTGACGAACCACATCCAGTCGATCTCGCCGCAAGACGAGCTGCACGCGCTCGTGACCGACTTCAAGGGGTTCATCCAGCGCGGTAATATCGTCGACCTGGCCATCGGTATGATCATGGGCACGTCGTTCACGGCGATCCTCCAGTCTCTGGTGGTGGACATTCTGTCGCCGATCCTCAGTCTCGTGTCGACGCGCAGCTTGGCAAACTACTACGCCGTGGCAAGGTGCCCCAACGACCGCAAAGACTGCAGCAGTGCTACGTGGGAGACCCCTCAAATGGCTCGCGACCACGGAGCTATCACTGTCAACTATGGACTCTTCATCGAGAACGTCGTGCGCTTCTTCATCAATGCCATCTTTCTCTACTTTGCGGTCAAACGAGGTACGCCCCCTCCACCTGGTGGTTTCGAGCTGAACTTGATCACTGACTGTTATACATGACTTGGATCTCTGCAGCGATGATGGTCGTTCAAGGCTTAAATAAACTGATGAAGGCGGATCTCATCAAGAAAGGACTCAAGGTGGCGCCTACCGAGACCAAAGCTGCAACGAGCACCTAGCAGACCTCAACAATGTTTAACCCCTTGGTTCCCGGAATCCAGGACCCAAAACACATTAACTACGGTACTCTATGTCGTATCTTACGACTTTGTTTTTTCACTGGGAATTTGTATGCTGTGCATAATCCTGGGTGCATTAGTTTTGAGCAGGTTCTCTCTCGCAATGTCGTAAGTCTTACGACTTCCGGTGTCTCGGCATCTTCACAATGTTGTAACTTACCCCTTTTGGCTGCACAACTCTGTACAGTGAATCCAGACTCAAGGAAAAAGACAAGGCAAAAGATGCAAGACTTCAAGAAAATTGCCATCACAATCCAACCAAAACTGACACGCGGAAGGACTGGCACCATGTCTTTTCCTCACCCTTGTATTCACGACGGATCTTGTTGCACAGCCAGCATTTGGCGTCGTCGACAGAGCAACGCTCGCAGAAGTACGTGGTAGCGAACGACTTCTTCTTTCCATTTGTACGCAGGAGAGAGCACACCTTACATGAGCGCTGCCGACGCTTTTGAACACCGCTGACGGTCACCCAGTCTTCGGATTGCTCCAGCGCATGCGTGAGGCGAACCGGTCCACGTCTGCGCTTTTGGCTGCTTGGTAGCGGCGAAGCATCCACGCCGTCAAAATCATCGGCTTTGAGCTGCAAAAGTTGGTTCTGCAATACGCCAAAAAACTCACCGCGTTTCAGCGGCACAGCCCCGTCAAGTCGTGCTGCTTCCTTGTGCAAAATGTAGGCGTTCACCAAGGCTAGATCCACGAAGCCCAAAAACAAGCTCTTGTAATACTTTCTGAACTTGGTAGATTTCTGCAGCGAGAACTTTTGTAGGCGCAGTTGATCATTCACATCTACGCCACCCATCCAGCGCTGGTAGTCGTTCACGGCCGCCGGACACGGCACCGTAATGGGGCCCACTTGCTTGACGTTGCGGTCGATTGTCGAAGCTGTCATCGCTGATCCCGTGCACAGATAGTGTACCGGCTTGCGGTCCCACCAGTGAAGCGCTACCATGCTTGGAACTGCGACCGAGCGCGAGAACGTGAACGTGCCGCGAGGAATAAACGCTGGTCGCGACTTCCGCTTCTCTACGATGTTTTGGTCCAGTCCGAGACGGTCAATCATGATAGTTCCGATCACGTACACGCCCATAGCAAGCAGCTCGATCGCCAGAAGAATGGAGGAATAGAAGCGGTCGACGACGACTAGGTGCCAAGCGTGTCGTGCATTGCTGTCGAGCACTATCTTCAGATTTCGAACGACGGCGGCAGCTCCAGTTTTGTGATCGAATGCGCTTGCACCACCGTCACTAGAGCTGCGCTTGCCCGCATAAATTTCAAACCTAGAACGTTACGACATACAGATGTACACGTTAGGAACAAATAGTAAATACAGAGGAGTGTGCAAAGATATTATAACATACCTGTGGCAATACGCAGTTCTTGAATCGCACAGCATGAACATTTTAGAACCATAACGATGGGGTTTGTCTCATGAACATTCGAGTCGTATTGCGCTTTGAGGTCGAAGGAAGCACGCCTTCGTCAAAGGAAAACACAGCCGGGAGCGTCATGCGGCTAAAAACTGCTGCTGCAGCTTGTTCACAACTGGGCGAAGCTTTCATAGTTCGTCACGTGTGCGAGTGGCCTTGTTGTCGACAAAGTGCAAGTCGCGTAAGATGCTTTGACACCGATTACGCCCCATAAACCGACCGAACGTCCCTGCCGGAATAGCGCCATCTTCAGTCATCGACCAGTGATCAGCAAAACGACGCCGCTGCGGGCAGCGCATACGGGCAATGAGAAGCCCAACGACGTGCAATATCTTGTGGGTCTCATACAGCGGACTTGACTTTAAGCGCCGACGAATCTGAGCCAACGTTTTGCGAGGACGCCCGCTAACTCGGATACCTTGCTTAGCTAGAATAGCTTCAGCGCGCTGGTCCAGTTGCTGCTTGTTGTACTCGTTCGTCTCCTCGGTTATCGTGACTCGCAACGACTTCGGCATGAAGTAGAAGAATGTAAGTAGGGGCGAGTGGCAAAGAACACGCAGCTCAGCAACGGGACGGGCTTCTTCCATCTGCAAGCCTGGGTAGGGGGTCACGCCATCCTCGAACGCCGACGACGCAGAAGTCCACTTCTTGGCACGTAGTGCCGCTGCTCGCTGCTCGGCTTCTTTTTTGGTAAGAGAGTTATTACCACTTAGAAGCGATGCGATAAACGCTTCATCCAACTGTACAGTGTCGTCTTCAGACATAGTCTCCTCGTCGTCACTAGCAGCACTGCAGTCATCGTCATCATCAATGGCGTCTTCTCCCTCACTCTCTTCGGAGCTAAAGCTCTCATAGTCACTCATACGCTCGTCTTCAGGAACGATGTTGATGTCCTGCTTCACTTGGACGCGGGGTCGTAACACTCGCCCTGCTGATTGTGCTGGGGCCTGCCTTGCCTCTTCCTCACTCGTTACGCCCGCTCGCCGATCTCCTGTAGCCGCAACTTGCTCTATGTCATCCGACAACAGCGTACTCGGGGACAAATCAAATGCCCGGGACACAGCGGTCTGGGAGAGCTCAACGTTTGGCTGACTGGGGGCTTCATTCAACGCGTCCAGAGTGTGCTGAGAGAGCTGGGCAGTCGTGTCGATCTGCGACGCACGGATATCTTCATCCCCTTGGCCGTCGACGTCAGCAGCGGTGCCCTTTTCGCTCTTGCTTTCGTTGTCGTCATTCGTGCTGCTGCCTAATAGTCCGGACTAGATCGCATGCTGAACGACTGCGTCCTCGCCTACAAGCACAGTAGCGCCATCGGAGCTTACGTAGCTCCAGTCCTTTTGAATCCCTCTTGGACGTTTCGCGGTCCAGTCTGGCGCCAGAAATGCCCGAAGTCGATCTCCCGTGCGACCGCAGCGACGGCCGCAGTCTTCCCACGACGACTTGTACGAATGCGCGCCATCCGGCAAGTTCTAGAATGACTCCGGATCCCATCGCGCAGCACGCCCGCAATCCTCCGTCTCTCATTCCCGCTGACCTGTCTTTGAATTTGTCTATCTTACCTCTTGCATCTTATTTTTTGGAAATGACTTGCTTTAAGTATTGGCCAAGCCATTTGCTATTGTAGCTTCCTCAATGTCGTATTATACGGCTTTGCCAAAACGCAGTCGCCAAAACGCAAAGTCGTAACTTGCGACGTTGGGAACCAAGGGGTTAAACATGGCTGCATTTTCGTTAAGTACGACACCTGTCGACGAATCTGATCCTCTGCCGCTCGCTCATCCCCTTAATTGTGGAGACCAGCGAGTCTGAAGTTCATTCACTTGGACTCCCGCTCTGCCTTGAGCTCATCCGTCTTTAGTCCTTAGTTGTCCGCTACCATGCGCTGGAATCCGTTCGCTGCACCCCCGCCACCCCCGCCGGAGAATATCTCGCTGCTCGATCGAGTGCAAGACCGTGCAAGAGCTGGCGAACCGGGAGATCGTGACGACTCGTGCTCTCCTCACCGACTTCCAGGAGTTCATCCAGCAGGGCAACATGCTCAACATGGCGGTGGGTCTCATCCTGGGCTCGTCCATCTCCGCCATCCTCAACTCCTTGGTCACGGACATTCTAGCGCCGATCATCAGCCTCTTCACAGGTAAGGCGAACGTGACATTACCATTGATAGGCTTAGTACTAACTGGGAGTTTGACTTGTGTGTAGCTCGAGGAATCGCAAACCACTACTGGCCGTTGCGATGACCAACGACTACACCCGAGTGCTCCAGTGACTCGTGGCAAACTTGGAAGGAAGGTAAGGGGACAGATTGTTTTATTTTTTAATTTCAAATAGGGTGGACGTCCAACTTGCTCCGTTGACTTGTAGCCCGGGACGCCGGCGCCGTAACCATCAACTATGGGCTGTTCTTTGAGAACATCATGAACTTCGTCATCAACGCTCTCTTCCTCTTCTTTGCTGTGAAGAAAGGTGCGTAAAATAAAAACGATGGCTGTGGTCAGGGGCGCTTACAATAATGTTGTGCCGTTTTGCGCAACAGCACGCGAGTTCGTGTTCAAGCTCAAGGTGGGCGTGAAGAAGCAGTGCCCGTACTGCAAGGAGTTCGTGAAGGGAGCCGCCACGAGATGCAAGGACTGCGGCTCAGACATCAGCACTCCGCCCAGCGCAGGATAGACTTCAAAGGTTACTGCCACGTTGATAATGTACATGTACTGCAGTCGTGCGGATGAAACGAGTATGCTTGTATACGAAATGGATAAGTTCATTGGTTTTATCTACAGAGGATGCACTGGCTGCTTACACCTTGTCCTACACCGTCGACAGTCGGGACATGGAGGATGGAGAAGTGTGGCCCGACGTCGGTAGATCGTGCAGCATGCGCACGGCCTCTTCGACCGAGATGCTGGGGTCCTTGGCCAGGATGCGCTTGATGATATTCGTAGACGCCACGTTGTCGTGCAGGCGGCTCTTGGCGTTCGCGATGGCGAAGCTCACGCCGCGCACCGCCAGCTTCTCCTGCATGTCCGACACCACCTGGATCGTCGTGGCGTCCAGGTCGTTCATGTTGCATGTCCAGCACAACCCCGCGCGTGGTGACACCGTGCGCCTGAAGACGAACCATCTCGCGCTCAGCGAAGAGAGCCACGCGCTCGCAGTTGGCGAAGTAGAGCGAGCTGTCGACGCGGATGGCGATGACGTCGCCCAGGTCGTGCGCCTCGGAGAACAGCTCGCGGTCCAGGAATCGGCCGTTGTCGAGCTCTCCGAGGATCACCACGGGCGACGTCTTGGTCTTCCACATGAGCGCCAGCACGGAGCAGACGATGGACGCGATAAGGCCGTCCAGCACGCCCAGACCCAGCGTGAGGATGAAGGACGCCGTCCACACAACGAACTCGTCGCGGTTGACGCGGTAGAGCCACTTGGCCTCCTTGAACTCGACCAGCGAGTAGCCGGCGACGATGATGATCGAGGCGAGTGTGCCGCCCGGGAGGTACGCCATTGCGCCGGTCAGCGTGTGCAGCGCGAGGATGACGATCAGAGTAGTGATGATCGACGAGAGCTGCGTGTGCGCGTTGAGCAGGTTCACGGCTGTGCGGGACATGCCACCCGTGGGGGGGCATGGCCTGGAAGAAGCCGCACACGACGCTGGCGATACCCAGGCCCGTGAGTTCCTGGTCGCAGTTGATGTCTTCGCCACGCTGAATGGCTAGACGCTTGGCCATGGCAATACTTGACAGGAACACGACGACGACCACAGTCAGCGAGTTGTACAGGATCGTTCCGAAGCGGTCGCCGTCAATGAGGCCCGAGTCGAAGCCATACCAGGGCACCTTAGGGTCGGGGAATCCGCCGGGGATCGAACCCGTGAGCTTCAGGCGCGATGAGCCAAGCGCCCAACCGATGATACCTCCAACAATGCACACCACCAGGGGGCCCAGGTCACAAATCGTCCGTACGATGAAGATCCCAAGGAGCCTAGTGGTGGACTTCTTTGGGACTTCATCCGCCAGGTTCTTCTCTGCAGCTTCGGTCACTGGAGTGTAGTCACCGCGACGGTGGAGCGAAGTCTCCATGCTCACGTACTGCTGGTCCGTGAGGGAGAAGCCATGACTGTGCGAGACCTCGTTGTTCATTACGGGCGTCTGGATCTGCTCGATGTCCTCGGACTTGACTTGAGCGTCGTCCTTGGTCGGCTTGTCCGGCTCGAAGAGCTGCATCAATACAGGGGACGGGAAGAAGCGCTTCTTGAAGATCTTGACTCCGAGCAGGTACGCGATCGAGATGGCGGCCACCGCGAACGCCGTCAAGTTGGTTTTGCCGATGTGCTTGAAGATCTGGTACACCGTCTGCGGCGGGTAGTCCTGCGACGGGAACTTGATGCCCAAGGCGTTGGAGAACTGCGACAGCATGATGAGGATCCCTCCGGCCGACACGAAGCCGCCCATGACCGGCCGCGAGAAGAAGTCGGCGAGCTGGCTCAGATTCAAAACGCGCACGAGCAGCAGGATGCAGCCACTGAGGAAGGCCATCATGATGCCCGTGGCCACGCGCTCGTCCTCGTCGTCAATGTCCTCCAGGATGGTGCCGACCAGCAGCGACACCTCGGAACCGCTAGAGACCGACAGTACCGTGCTGGAGCCGAAGATGGCGTACACCAGCGGCGCCGTGGCGGCCGTGTAGAGTCCGTGGTGGGCCGGCACGTTCATGATCGTCGACAGCGACACCTCCTGCGGGATGAGCATCATGGCCACCGTGATGCCAGCCACCACGTCGAACTTGAGGTCCTTGGCCACGTTGTAGCGCGGCAGCTAGCGGAAGATCGGCGCGTAGTGCTGCAGCTGCTGCCCCCACGTCCTCTTGGGCAGCGCGAAGCGCTCGCTCTCGCGGTGGCCCGTGAGTCGGCGGACGCACGACGCCATCGCTTGGGATCAGTCTGCGGTGGACTTGGACTTGAGCTGCGCGCCGCAAAAGCTGGAATGGGTCTGCGTGTCCTGGATCGATTCGAGGTGGTCGGTCTCAGCTCCGCTTCAGCCCCGCGCGGAGAGACGTGGCCACCGCAGACGACTAATGCGACTAGGACACGCGCCGAGTACAGTAATGCTTCGGAGGCTTCCGTGCTCGCCAATGACGGCGGCGAATGCGGTCGAGGTGGCGGGGTGGGATTACCTGATGAAGGTCGACGGAGGACCGAGTGCAAGCGTTTGTCAGGATTGATGCTGCGGCAGCCAGCAAGATGCAGGCGCCGAAGCAGCGCTGAGAGCAAGCGAAACTCCCTGCTGCGGGTCCCGAACGCGCTCGCAAGCAGGATGACAGACAGGCCCCTCGCTTGTCGATAGCGTTTGGGGTCCGACATGTAGGTAGAGTCGGTGCTGTCGGTAATAGCAATGGAGGTGAGCCCCATCAAACGATGACAAGCCGGACTGGGATACCAAGCAGGAATGCCGAGAAGCTCTGCAGGTGAGCCTTCCGCGGGGAATCCAGAGGATATTCGTTCCTGGGACGGCATCTACCTGAACGGAAAGTCATGAAGCGCGGCGGCGCCTGACTCACGGCTGCAGTGGAGACTGTCGGTCGGACTTCGAGTGATGGACAGATGGTGGTCTATTCAACGCCGGAATGCCGTGGCGTGTGTCGACGGTGCTGCGCAGCGTCATTGGCGTGCGCTGTCGCCAATGCGGGCCCCAGAATACAGCACGTCAACACGCGAGCCCCTTGCGCACCAAGGTGTCCACATAACCATCCTTTTCGGCTGCCTGCTCCATGGCATCGCACGACGTGCTGTGGCAGCCGCCCGCGCTCAAGTCAGCACGAAATTCCTGACAGAAGGAGCCATCGGAGCAACAGGATCAAAGCAAACAAGCAGCAACTCCGAGTTTTACCGCCGCCACGCCAGTCAGTTACCCATCCTATCCGCCGCAGGGCTGTGGAAAATATGATTGCGATTGTAATCCAAGATTGTCAATCACAATACCTAAGTAATTGATTGTTCCGTGATCTCAATCGACAATCCCGTTCCCATATTGTCCCTTTACTGATTTTGAGGAATGGCGTTACAGCAACCATATGACGATAACACGACAGAAATTAAAGCAACCACAAGGCCTAAAGCAACCCTAAAACCAGCTGGCACCCGGTAATTTATTTTAAATGACGCGTAAATGACAGGGACACGTCGCCCTCGTCATGGTCTTGCTACATATATCTCTAAATTTAGACACGTCGTGGTGGCGTCTAACTGATGTTCTCTACACAGCAATACGTGAAACACATGACAATATGTGTCCCACATTTTCAACACTTGGCAGATTTTGAGCGACAGCAAAAATGGAGAAGAAATCGCTGGCACATGAGCTGGTGCGCGCGAGAATCGCCGAGATTGCACTCCTCAAGAAGCTGGATGAGCTTACCGAGCATCTGGAAAAGCTTCTGGCAGCGCAGCTACAAATCTAAGCCCTCGTCGAAGATCGCGAAGTAAACAGCTATGCGTTAGCAGCCGTCTCGGGCGATGAAGGGGCCGACCAAGGTGGTCTCACCGCAGAGGACGACGCTGTTTCCCTCGATGTTCTACTGGAGCTGGCGGTGCGAAAAATGAAAGACTAATGCAGCATAGACTCTGTATTTAAAGGTAAATACAGACTGTGGTGTTTCTCAGAGCTGGTTCTGTAGCTGGTGATGAATCTGGCTAGTTTTAGCGACGTCGCGTTCAGAGAGATGACGTTCTTGGGAGTAACACATGATGACCCACAGCATTTTCAATCGCATCACCTTGACGTCGTTCTTGGAAATTCTAGAAAGTTGCATCTGCAAGTTCCCCGTAAGATAGCTGTGCGCTTGGGCTACTACCATTACACCACAGCTAGCAAAATCAGGTTGTTGAGGGGCACAGATCCACTCAATCGGATCGAAGAAAAGATGGCCACGGGGGTCAGAAGCCTTGTGCCACCGTTCCACATAACCACGAAGCCCCTCCTTTCCTTCATTTTCTTTGTCTTTCGGAATTCCAGTCCACACGATTTCCATTTCATGGTGATAGTCATCATCAATGAGCGGCTCGTACATGTAAACATGCACCCGAAGCTTGCTTGTTTTTTCCGTGTAGCGTAGGCGAACGATAATTACCCCCAGTGGTCTGCGTGCAGATTAACAGGGTGGATAATAAAATTCGTTGCTGCAAGTGCTGTCTTAGGGAGACTTGGCCATCCGATAGCCCATGTCAGTGATGACAGCACATGGCACTTCCCCACCGATCTCGCAAGGGTCTCCAAGCAAAAGTCCACAGGGCTATCATTTAGCCATCCACGACACGATGTTGTCGAAGCTGATCACGACTTTGTTGGAGAGCGTCACAAATTCAGTGCGTAGCCCACTTGAAGTAAACTTTGAGATAATTTCGTTCGCTAGACCTCGGTGCCGCTCGGGAACAGCATCACGCGGTAGTCCTGCAGTTGCTGTCTCCGCAGCGAAAAGATCCACGATGGAGTCAACTTTACGCCAATCTTGCTCCAGCCACTTTCGGTCCTTCAACCATGAGGTACACTTCGCCTTGATCGCGTAGAATCCTGTTAGAGCACCTACATATTGGCTAGAAACATAAGCATCTTAAAGTAACCCTATTAAAGCAACCATATCGCTAAAGCAACCATACCCGCTAAATTTCCACAGTTTTGGATCCATCGCCAAGACGACGTCGAGAACAAGTCCTTGCTTCTTGGCCTTTTCATCCAGTACAATTGGCTGCTTCTCCTTCCGGGTAGTAGTCGTTGCTGCCTGCATTGATAGGGCGAGGTCTTGTGGAATTACAAATGTGTGCATGTAGTCCGCAGGTCGTACAATTTCTCAATGACAATCAATCTTCCGAGCTCTTAGATAGGCATCCTCCAGCTGAACAGGATACTTCGACAGCATCTCCATCACACGCTTCAGATTTGAGGTCTTTCTGGCCCAAATCAGGAACTGATCCAAAGTCACGGCAAGTTCAGTGGGGTACTTGTGAACAGCAAGACGGTCGGCTTTGAGACTGATCGTAGTTTGCCTCAGCTGTTTCGGAGTTGACCTTGACTTTTCTTGGCTTGGTGGCTTAGGAACTCTAACGACATCGACCTGGCGCACGCGCGACTCTGTGTCAGGCTTCGTAGTGCTTGAAACCTTGTCACAGCTACTCATTCCGCAGCTGGCATGAGATTTCTCGTCGATGGGGGGGTCGAATTGGAGATGACTGCGAAAGGTGAGTGCGTTGTGTCGGTAACACACTTTCGTCGGACTCGTAGTCGCCATAATTCATGGTCATGGGGCTGCTTTCCAATGCGTCCATGAGCGTCATAGTCCCCATTGCCTCCACGGGGTCCAGAATGGAGTCTGAGACAGGTTCAGATACATCTTCTTCTTGCTTGCTATCTTCAGCAGATTCTGTAGAGCTCGGTTGGGGGGCAGGGTTGACACGGTTGAGCCCTATGTCGATCGTTTCCTTCCAGGCACTTAGCTCTTGGTAGAAGTCTGCACTAGACAAATCTGACAGGTGTTCCAATAGCGGTTCCAGCATCGCTTTTGCGTTTGCGTATTTTTCAGCTGAAGACAATACAACCTGGTTTGCCCGTTCACCTCGCCGTAGCCGTACGTACGCAACTTGCTTCCTAGCTTTGGTTGGCGAAGCGTTACCCCCGCCCCCCCCCCCCCCCAGCATAAAGTGGTTGTTCTGGTTCAGCCCCAGTGTCGTTCGGCAACTTTACTTCCGGCAACCTTAACTTGGACATCCGCACAATTGGCTGTAACATTTCCGCTGCAGCCGTCAATTCGTTGTTCACTTCCAAGGTCTGCTACGTACTCCACCGATCATGAATTGCCATAGCTGGAAGCAGTTTGAAGCCTCGCGTGCTAAGTGCATAAGATGACGACATGGTAAATGGTGACTGCTACAAAATAGACAAGTACACGTCCACTCCACATCGTGACAGCGAAAGGTTTGATTCCCGCAATAAATTTTCCATTGTGAAGGACTCGACGCTGTACGCTCACAAGTCGCATCTGCCATGAAGTTCACAAATCGTTCCCACTCTTTTCTCACTTTCTCGAAGATGTCAGGGTACAGTCGAGTTGCTACCGTCCGGAGAAACATCGGTATGGTTTTAGGAACGGGCGAAGTCGAATGGTGCTGCGCGATGACGAACTCGATCTGATGAGTTATCATGATTTGATGCTGCACCAAGCCCGCAATAGTCTTGTCAACTCGTGTCTTGTGCCCCAACAGTATTTTCACTTGATTCCAGTTTGACTCGATCCTGTTCGTTGTAGTATTCCCAGCCGTGAAAAATTTGCTGCGAGCAAAGTTCGCCCACATGTCACGACACGAATCCCAGTTCTTTTCAAAGTACGAGAATAAAGCTTGTTTCTTGTTGTCTTCGCAGTATTGGTTCAATGCACCGTAGCTAGAATCGTAACCTGTCTCTGTGGAGCTGCATATGGTTTATTTTCCAAAGTTAGCGTTACCACAAGAATCATAAATAGAACCTGTTGCGTACCTGTACAGCGTTTTTTATCATCAGGTTGAGTAACTCGTCGCGTTCAGACACCTTCAGCTTGTATGGGGCCCGCTGCATCACCTTCATCCAGTACGAAATGGCATGGAATTGACAAAGTAAAACTTTCGCAGCAGGAAATAGTGTTTTCAGCACCCTCCACTCAACGAAATCTTTGTCGATCACGATGGAGGATATCATCCGCCAACTTGGGTTCTTCTCTTGGAAATACTCCAGGATTGTTGTCATCATCGGAGCTCGTTGGTTGAGGCATATGAAGTCTACAACTGGGAACCCACTACCAGTAGCGGTTGTGACGACAAGACTCCCTGAAATATCCAACACACAACAGTAGAAAATCACTTTGTTAATAAGGTTGCTATATCATCGATATGGTTGCTATAACTACGCAAGGTTGCCGTAACAAAGATAAAGTTGCTATACCGAACAACTCATACGCACCCAAGTGATAGCCCAAATTGTTCGTGCCGTGAGTGAAATCCATCGTAAGAGTGTCGCCCCAGCGCTCGAAAATCAACTTCTGCGCCTTTGTTTGCATCACGATACCGCATGTCACGTCCATTTGGTCTTGAATTACAAGGACGTCACTACCGTCTAACTGACGGATAGCTTGCAGCATGTCTTTCAAACGGGCCTCCGCTGCGTCGTGTCCCATAGTACTGCGGATCAGATTACGGGTCTGTTGAGGTGTTATTTTGCAGCCTAGCAAACACACAAAGCGCGAACAGTAACGTAAGTATCACTGCAGCATATCATATATAACTACGTACCGATTCTCAAATTCAGGAAGTTCGTGATGTGCTTGGAAGAAACACTAGCATCCGTTAAAGTCTTAACATCTTCGAGATCTTGCTCGTCCAACGGAAGTGTCTTTGTTGTCAGGTACAACGATGCTTGCGTTCGGGTGGTCGGGTGCGTGTGGGTAAAGTTCTGGTTATCAATAGCGACATGTGAGAAATACTAACAAAGCAAACAAATACACGAAAAGGCAGATACCTCGTTTCTTATGACAATTCGAAATTTGCCATTTTCCATCCGCTGAACGGTTGGTGTCATGCGTGCAGGACACCCGCAATAGTCGCCTTTTCTATTGCGATGTCCCTTGGAGCGCAACGCTTGCGAAACACCGTGTGTACAGCGGAGGACCTTGTGACTCCAATTAAAACGTGAAGGGATTTGGTCCCGATGATTGCTGCATATGAAAGGGGGTTTCGTTAACAACTTAAATTTCTCATCAAACAGAGGTCACACATACCTGTTGTACTGATTTCGTGTCTCCGAGCTTCGTACTCGAAACTTGAGGTGGTGCTTCTGCTTGTATATTTTCAAGTGTGCGTTGAACTTGCTCCAACTCTTGATAATCGCTGGGGTAAAGGGCGGAACGGCGTTGATAATTTCTTCGCGCTCTTTTTTGATCTCCCGCAACTCGTCAAGGTGCTTGCTTGATCGCTTCCGCGGTATGTACTGCTTGTTCCGCTTGGATAAACATGGGGCCGAATCAGCGTCGACAGACTCGTGAAGCTGCAGCTCCGCCTTACGCTTTTTCGCGAAAGATTGGGCTTCATCCCCAGCAAAAAGCTTGCATTTGGCCAGAGCGGTATCCATCGATCCCAAAGTGAATGTCAATATTAATGATAGCGCAACCTTTTTGCTTAAAGCAACTTTAACGAGAATACCTGGTGTTTTCTTGCGTGCTGTGGCTTTCTTTCTCGGCTCGGGGCTCTGTTTGCGTGTCCTGCGTTCTAAACAAACTAAAAAATACCCAATACATTATCAGTTCAACTCAATAAGTGTCAACAACAACCCAAACGAGTCTTACCCGCTTCTGCTTCGTCTTCAGTGCTGGATTCTCCGTCGTCGTCTGCCTCCTGTTCATCGTCACTCGCCTCCTCTTCATCGTCGTCACCCTCCTCTTCATCGCTATCGCTCTCCTCGTCATCATCGACCTCTTCTTCGTCTTCCTCCTCTTGGTAGCAATCCTCCGCCTCTTCGTCGCCGTTGTCTTCCTCATCCTCCTCATCCAGTACAAAGTCTTCGTCGTCGTCTTTTTCAATCCCAAGAGCGGCGTACATGTAGTTTAGCTCCTCGTTTACGTTCCGCAGCTTTTGGCCTAAACAATACATACCGACAGAATTCAAACAAAATGTGAGGCACGTAGATACTCTCGTTGCCACCAACATGGAGCATACTGATTACCGTTTATAATGGCTCCCCCCGCAGGAGCCATTGGTCCCCCCTCGCCGTTTGGTGCTTGACTGATTCGCGAGAGGTGCGTGCCCCACGTGGCCTCCGTTCAGCAGCGCGATTCTTAAAATGAGCGGCTGTGAGGTGGCGCACTTAATGACATCGTACCTAATCAGAAGCGCACTTTAGCGTGATTTGCGTACCTAAGGGTTTAATGGCAATTTAAACATTTAAATTACGCTCGAAATTTTTGAAATCCCTAAAAGCAACCATACATGTCTCAGAATGACTTAAAGCAACCATACTTATGGTTGCTCTAACCACTCCCGATTTTGAGCCTTTGCCAGTGATCCGGTAGCGCAATATGCAACTCCAAGCCCATGGAACCGATCCTAGACTCATCAAAGCCTTTCTGTGTCTTCTGCTACTTCGAAATGCGGAAATGAGGGGTCATTGGGTGCCCGAACGGGGTACACGCTCAACATAAGGAATACAAGACCCAACATCGCCTTTTGCCAAGGCTTTTGAAGGTTAACATGTATGCAATTGAATAAGCACAGATCTTAGGGCGATAGCGCCCCCAAACGAGTAAAAATATGAACCTAGCAGAGGAAATACAAGCGAAAGCTTAGATTGCAATCTTTTGTTTTTGGGATTGTCAAGATTCAATGATTGATTGTTTCAGATCTGAGTCGCCAATCAATAAACAATCTATATTTCCACGCGCATTCGGGGGCGAGTCGATATCCGAGCCGCACTCCTTGCACCGGGTGGCATTGCCCTTCACGAACTCCTTACAATAGGGACACTGCTTCTTGACCAGCACGTTGCGCTTGAACACCACCTCAAACACTGCACACAAATTCAATTCAATGGACTCCACTCAAAGATCTTCCAACGTCATCGATCGCACCCACCTTTTTTCACCGCGAAGAACAGGAACACGGCGTTGATGAGGAAGTTCATGACGTTCTCCACGAACAGCCCGTAGTTGATGGTCACCGCGCCGGCATCCCGCGCTGCAACAGAAATTACATCAACATTAGACATACCCTTGCGCAGTGGCTTATACGTTCGTGGTACCTTGCTTCCATGTCTCCCACGTCGTGCTCGTGCACCCGATTGCACTGGTGGGGCACCGCGCGGGCCAGTAGTAGTTGGCAAGGCTGCGCTCTGCGGCACAGTGTACAATTGTCAACAACATACCTACCTTTCATTGTATTGTACGGAATAGTGTGTACCCGAGAAGAGGCTGATAACTGGCGACAGGATGTCGACCACGAACGAGTTGAGGATGGCGGAGAAGCTCGAGCCCAGGATGAGGCCCACGGCCAGGTCGATCATGTTGCGCTGCTGGATGAAGTCCTGGAAGTCGCCCAGCATAGCGCGCACACCGTCCGCGTGGAGCATCGAGTATTCCTGGAGACGGCCCAAGAGCGACGTGCTCTCGGGTGGGGGCGGAGGGGGCCGCGGCGTCAAGAATCGTAGCGGGTTCCAGCGCATGCTTGTCAATTTCCGCCTGCTGGAAGAACGCACTCAGATCGTACTTAGATGGAAAGTGTAGCCATATCCACAAGTTGAAGAGGGCTGCTCCGAGGAACTTGACAAGTAAAAGCAGGCTGCCCCTGCTACAGTAATTCGAGGCGAGATGACCCTGCTACCAAATCTTTTTCACGCGGATCTTTCCGGATCTTCTTACCGCCAGTCGTCGCGCGATCCAAATCGGACGGCCCATTTAGCGTGTCATTTCTCGCGTGTCATTATCCTTTTGGCGTCGTCGTCAAACCATGCCATCCTCTCGGTCGATGGTCGCTCTCTGGCTGGCAGCCGCACTGCTTTGCCTCGCTAATGGCCAGCAAGTCGGAACATCCTGCCCGCAGCCTCGCATCCGCAAGTCCTGGGACTCGTACACTGCCGCGGAGAAGGCCCTGTACACTGAGGCGGTGGGCGTGGCCATGGATCGCGGTTTCCACCAGAAGTTCGTGCAGATCCACACGGAGCAGCTCACGGGACTGGAAGCGCATCAGTCGTGCGTCTTCATCTACTGGCACCGGATGCTGCTGCTGGGCTACGAGAACATGCTGCGTAGCCTCAACACGGCGTATCAGTGCATCACGCTGCCTTACTGGGACCACCTCTCGGGATCCGCTCGTCAGGCGAACAACAACTGCTCCAGCATCGAAGAGTGCTCCTCTATTATCGCCGACTTTGGCGGCACAACTACTGGAGTGAGCAAATCGCTGTCGGTTTACGGCTCAAGTATCCCCAACTCGATCAAGACGGTCTGCGTGACTCAAGGCCCGGCCTACCGCTTCTGCGGGAACAACACGGGATGCGCCCACTGCATTCTCCGGACACGCAGCAAATACCTGAGTGCCACAACGTATCCGAACGAGGCGTCCTTCGGGTCGGTGTACCAGCAAGTATTCACGTACAGCGACTCGGGAAGTTTCACCTCTGCGGTCGAGCGAGGCATCCACAGTACGTACCCCTGCTACGATATTTTTTAATGCAACACGCTAACTTTTGTCATCTGCAGACACGATTCACAACGCACTGGGTGGAGTGATGACGTACCTGCAGGCCCCAGTTGATCCGGTGTTCTACTCTCATCATTCACTGATCGACTTGCTCCAGACCATCTACCTGAAGTGCCAGATTGGCGATGAGAAAGCTTTTCTATCAGCAGAAAACAAAAGTAGCGATCCGCGGGTCTGGACGTCCTGCACTCGGTCCAATGGTGGGAACTTCCGGGACTCGGATAATATCACCATGCGTGCACTGGCGAACGATGGCAAGACATACGTGAACGTCTGGCAGGACCCGAACAACATTTTGTACCCATTTTTCAAGGATATGCCGTACCAGTACGCTGACTACGTCGACGCCAAGGACCTGAAGGGCTACAGCTACACGTACGATATCAGCGGCGGGCTGGCCAACATGTACCAGAACTGCAAGGATTCCAACACCTTCAGTGCGATATCGCTCCTCGCGGATAGTCAGCAGACCACCAAGAAGAAGAATCCGCTGCTTCCGACGATATCCGAGGGCACGGAGGAGGACGATGCAGTGCGCCTCTGGCACATTGCGTTGTTTGAAGCTGCACAGATTGTCGGGTTCCAAGACTGGGCTGCGAGAGATCAGATGGAGATGATTGCGTGCGTGCATCATGGGGAGTGTATCGGCCCTATCGACGACTACACCAACCTGTTCCGAACCAACTTTGGAGTCACGGGCCACACGCGCTGCTTCTCCATTCTCCAGGACATCATGGAAGGCACGCGTATCATCGGGATTCCGATGTGGCGCGAAATCACGAGTCGGTTCTTGCCCTGCCCTTTGCAAGAGGAAGATGGCTCGGACTCGGAGGGAGGCTCGGAAGCCGCGGTGGCATAGGCTTTTCTTGCGTTGAGGTCGAAGTGGGAGATAACCAATCCTTCGCTGCCTTGAAGCAGCCATGTTATGCATGTACTCGTTTGCCTATGATAACCCCCCCAGCAAATTCGCCAGCGTGTTTGTCCACAGGTCGACCATTAACGTTAATATAATTGTTGTAATACGCAAGATGATGGAGCCCAAACGGAGATTCACCGCTCGTTCAGTAAGTAAAGTACCACGAAGAAAATTAGCACCGGATCTTGAACAACGGCAGCTCAACGAGATACATGCACGGGCTTGAGCTCGAATCTCGACGTGCGTGGATACCTAGCAGCAACATTGGGGCTTTCCCAAGGTGCACCATGTCGCAGTGATCGACGGGCGGGGATGCGTCCCGCGCAGGATTTATTCGCAGCCACCCCACCACCCACCATTAGCCAGTGGCCCGCATCAACGCCGAGTGAAGGTCCTTCACTGAAAGACACCCCATCCTGCCTCTGCATTGCTCAGCGCCACGTTGCTTTCGCCGCGTTCGGGGACAGACACGGCAACAACTTCACGAGCGTTTCTGAAGCGACGTAACGAGTGGTGCAGAGCGATTTTTCTGTATTGAAGTGCTTTGTGTGCAAAACCGGGGCGACATCCTTCTCTGCGTCCTGCTTTAACAGTTCCATTATCGACAGATACCAATAGACAAAGGAGACTGTTCTCCGGACACATGACCCGGTTTTAACAGCCGTTTTTATTTCGGGGTGCGTTACAACAACAACCGTCAGTCTCCATTTAGCCCGACCTCGAGCACACCTCCCCCCTCCGTCACCATGGTCGAGTCCCGCCATGACGTCGAGCAGGGGCTCACCCCGCGGCTGAGCAATGCCTCCTCCTCCTCCATCTACTTCCCTCCCACCAACGGCAACGCCCCCACTGCCACCGCCGGCTCCAAGCAGTACATGGCGCTGGAGCCCGTGGACGCCACGCACTCGTTGCGCACGCACTGGGACGAGAGCGTCGGCCACGGCGTGCGTCGCCTCGTGCGCACCATGCGCCAGCATGCAAAGGCGCCCTCCGTCTCGACCGCCGACATGGCCGACAAGCTCCGGCACGACGCCAAGGACTCGGCGCGCTTCTACTGGCAGAACCTGCTCGTGTTCCAGCGCGAGATGCTCTGCGGCGTGGCGGCCATGCTGCTCATGATCCCGGAGACCGTGGCCTTCAGCTACGCGGCCAACCTGGACCCGCTCAACGGCCTGTACGCCACGGGCTTCCTCGGTCTGGCCGTGAGTCTGTTCGGCGGCGTGCCGGCCACCGTTGCCGGCGCTGCCGGTGCCGTGGCCATGGTGATGCCGACCATCACGAGCGTCACCGGCTCGCTGGCCTACTTGACGTACGAGGAGCGGCTACAGCACCTGTTCGTCGCTGTGACCGTTGCAGGCGTGCTGGAGCTGCTGTTCGGGCTGCTGGGCCTGTCCAAGCTCTTCTCGATGATCCCTCGCACGGCGCACATCGGATTCCTGAACGGCCTGGCGCTCATGATGTTCATCTCGCAGAAGACGACGATCGAGGTGTGCAAGAACGACACGATGCGCTTCGGGGAGTGCGAGATCGCCGGCAACCTCGAGTGGATGAGCGAGTCGTCGGCTACGACGTGGGTCCCGTTGCGCTGGTGCTCGTGACCATGGCCATCATGCACTACTTCCCGCGGACGCCGTACGTGGGCCACTTGATCCCGCCCACGCTCGTGGCGGCGGTAGTCGGCGTCGGCTTCGAGTTTGGCATCAACCGCCCACTGCTCGGCTACGACGTGCGCACTATCGGCGATACGTCTCCTCTGAACGGTGGACTGCCGACTTTCGCTCTCCCCAAGTTCGGAGACGTGCAGGACTGGGGCGTCGTGCTGTCTACGGCGGCGAGTGTCATGGCTGTGGGACTGTTTGAGTCGCTCATGACGTTGCAGTCGGTGGTGGACCTGAAGAAGGAGCAGCTCTCGCAGACGGCCACGCGCAAGGAGTGCATCGCGCAGGGCATCGGCAATGTGCTGTGCGGGTTCTTCTCCGGTATGGGAGGCTGCTCCATGATCGCGCAGTCGAACGGCAACATTTTGAACGGAGCTCGCTACCGCTTGTCGTCGTTTATGGGAGGAGTTTATACGTTCCTGGTGGTGTTTTTCGCCAGTTCGGTGATCGAGCGCGTGCCCGTGGCGTGTCTGACCGGCATCCTGTGCGTAATCGTGATCCACACGTTCTACTGGCCGTCGCTCAAGCTCATCTTCCGCGTCAAGATCACGGACGCCATCGCCATTGTGCTCGTGACGGCGCTCGCGGCTGCGATGAACCTGGCCATTGCCGTGATCGTCGGCGTCATTTGGCAGTGTCTGGTGAACGGCTGGCAGAGCGGCCACTTACTCACGTTCCGCACGGGCATGGAGGTGGTGCCTGTCGTGAACGCCCAGGGCCGCGCTGCAGACAACGAGCTGCTCACGAATCACGAGGAGGCCAAGATCTACTACATCAAGGGCCAGCTGCTCTTCTCGTCGGTGGCCTCATTCCGCGAGTTCTTCGACGTCCTCCATGACCCGAACGTGGTCATTCTCGACATGTCGGACTGCGTGTTCGCCGACTTCTCGGCTGCTGCGGCGCTGCGTGAAGCTGCTATGCGGTACCGTGACGCCGGCAAGACGCTGGTGGCTCGCAACCTCGACGCGCAGTCGCTGGACATGCTGAACCATGACTTCGGCTGGGACTCTGTCGAGAGGATTCAGATCGCGACGCCCGGTACGGCCACCAACGGCGACGACCTTGCCAAGAGCAAGATCGACAAGGAGCGCGCTTCTCGCTACTCACAGCTACTCACACGGCTCGCAGGCGTCTCGTGGTTCGCTGCACCAGCTTCACATTCCGTCGCCGTGCGAGTCGTCGACGCCCTACCGTCCTGCTACTGGGCCGTAAACTTTTTTTATTATGCCAAAGCACAGGACATCCGACACAAGGTTTCGCCAACGCAGGGTCGTAAGATGCCGCAGCTCTCGCGATTCCTAGTACACTTGATGTTGTTTTGAAATTGCAATGATGCAATGCAATGATTTACGTGTTCGCGTAGCCAAATTACACCTGCGCTAGTCTCAGTTTAGCTAGTCGGCGGCATAGTGTGGTGTCCGCATACGTCGAGTCTCCTTTGGCTGGCAGTGAGTCAGCAATGGTAGTCATGAGGGCCTTCCATTTACGTCGGTCTTGGGCAAGCAGTCGAAGTCTCTCCAAGTCTGAGCTGGTGCGGAGGCGGTAGCCACACCCACTAGCATCAAGGTCCTGGTCGAGGACAAGAGGCAGTGTGGCGCGGGGCCTACCTCTCCACTTGCTGCTGTCGGAGGAAGAGAAATACGCCTTCATCTGGATAAACGCCGGGATATCTTGTAGTCGCCGTAGAATGTGCCCGAGAAGCCCCCACCTCGCAGATGTGATCCGGTGACGGAGCGGCCGCTCGTCGCACGTTGCGTAGAGATCAGCGTTTTGAAATTGTGTTTGGTTTTCCGTATGGACATTTTTAGGGTATCCATAAAGCTGTTCATCTTCCTTGACTTCTTGGCTTGGTACACTCCTGGCCACAATAATACGGCCACCCCTAAAAATTACCATAACTCCGTCAGTTTTGCTTATTATGCGGTGCTGTTTTGACACAAGTAGCAAAACACGGTGCAAAAGGCCTGACATGTGTTAACGCTCGCGTTTTTGCAATCTAACGGGTGGCTCACATACAAAAAAACTGTTTTGGCAAGGTGGTCACAACTTACGGCCACCCCATCCCAATACAAAATCCTATACTAATTGAATGCTTGTACAGAGTGAAGGTCGGGCAAATAACTTGAGATTTGTATGGGTCTAGTTAGTGAACCCGCTAGTTGGGCTAAATCGCGTCCTAGAGAAGAATGAAGGCATTGGTCATCTTAGCATAAGTGTAAACTACAGCTCCAGTAAATTGCGCGGGACCTCGGGTGATTTTGAGGGAGATCTAGATGCCAACGTAAATCTAAAGTAGCGTCGTGACAACGTCCATATGATTTGTATGGGACGATTTGATCAGGAAGTGACGAGTCGAATCGTACTCGTGCGTGCGGACTGAAGCCTCAATACTTGTTCCAACTTCGGTTAAAATATTATCTACGTTACTTGTTGCTGCTGCAGTCATCCATTGTCCTTTAGTACGGGAGGAAGAAAGGTTTTTCAGGTTCACTAACTACAGCTTTTCAACTTCAAAACGGCAAATTGTAAGTTCAAAACAGCAAATCGTAAAGTCAAAACTGCAGACCTTGCGAAAATCATAATCGAAGCTGTATCGCCTTTGACGGGGAATACTCGGGTACGGTGCCTGGGCACGGATACCCTCTGGTTAGCACTATATTGGAGGCTCTCCCGATGACCAACGACATACAAATTCAAGTCAAAAATCATCCGGATAGTGCTTAGTGATACGAGATTGGAATATATCACCATCAAGAGACCATTAACTATGAGAATGTCCATTTCGTAAAGCATGTCCGGCAACATCAACTACAACGTGGGTCGCTTGCGACCTTGAAATGGACTCAGATTCTCTGGGTTCGCACATATTATTATTAAGTTTTAAATGATGTGATTCTGGAACGTGCATTTATCGTATCAGCTTGGGCGCTAGACTACATTGCTGCCTGTGCAGTCCTCCCAGTCCCACTTGAATAGTGGCCAGCGTATCATCACTCATCCAGCCATATAGTAGTAAATAAGCACATAAACTACTTTTATCTAGTGCTTTGATCACGTCAATACAAGCTCACCAAATGCCTGAATGATGGCATTATCACTACACTGGTACCTTGAACGATAAGATACCGCCAGTTTGGTACAGATCTAGATAGTGATGCCTCTGCATAGTGATAAAAAGTGGTCTCCCGAGGCTATCACTACAAAGAGGATTGTCTGTACACTTGTCATCATCGAATGCGAGCCAAGCATACGGTGCAGTTGAAAGTATGTCCCACCGCCCCGCTTACAAGGACGGACAAACGCCAACCCGCCGTAAACCCTCAATTCCCTCGGCCAGCCATAGCAACTCTCTCACTCGCGAAGCACTTTGCAATTCGCTTGCTACCCCTCAGCGCCCGAACAACAGCCGCCAGGTCGTCCGACGATGCGATTCAACTGCTTTGCAGTCTTGGCCGTCACCTCTCTGCTGGCGTGCGCTGGCAGCGCCTCGACGTCGTCAGTCACCAAGACGATCGAGCACGACTTCCCAGCTGCCATCCTCTCGGACGCGAACTACAACAATGGCGCACTAGGCGCCAAGAGGGTGTTGAGGGCTCACGAAATACCGGACAAGGAGAACGAAGACAGAATGTTCAATTGGGCGAAGTCGAATGCTTGGTCCTTCAAAGACAAATCTACGAGTAACGTCTTGGGAAAGATCAAGTTCGACCCGAAAGTAGGTGAGGGGCTTGATTCGTCTCGTTTGAAGACTTTGGCCGAGAACGTGGACATGTTCAACAAGAAGCACCCAAAACACAAGGTGTCACTGTTCGAGACTCTCAGGACGAGCTACAAAGAGGACGACTTGGCAAAAGCGCTGGTGACTGCGAAGCAAAGTGAAAGTACGAGGGAAATCGCGACGCGGCTGGAACAGCAGCAGTTTGTGTTTTGGCTGCATGAGAGGATTTCCCCCGACGACGTTTTCTTCATGCTGGGGATCAAGGCTGATGCGCAACACGCCATGCACAGCCGGAAGTTGGAGACGCTGGAGCAGTACATCCCCATTTTCAACGAGGGCTATAAGGAGTCACGAACGGACATGCTCACCGTATTGAGAAACGGTTTCAGTGACGCTCCTTTAGCTCGCGCACTTGCGATGGCCAAGCAGGAGCATTCGTCAGCAACTATGCTTAAAAACGGCGAAAAGTATCAAAAGGAGTTGTACTCGAAATGGATGGCGATGGGCAAGGATAACGAACCTTTTGACACGAACAGGGTTATGACCGAAGTGTTCAAACTGAGCAGCTTTAAAGCTGGTACCCCTGCGGATAAACTCGCTCTCAATCACTACAGCGTGTTCTACAAAAAGAATGCGCGAACAGAAAGCTCTTAAGTCGACCGGCAGGTGAATTTAATAGTAAGCCCCGCTGCATTCGCTTTGCATCGAATACTGGAAGTATTAGCTAGGACGGACAGCTACAAAAGTACGCTGCCCATTCTTGCAGGTATCACCCACAATATTCGGTAACTTTCCGAACGACTCCACCATCTCACGAGCCTTATCTCCCTCTAATGTGAAAGACTGCGTGTTCAATATCTCAGGGAGGTGGCAGGACAGCACTAAATGAAGACAAATTGCAGCACAAAAAAAACTGCGTTCAACGTTTCCTCTGCCTGGACGTCTCGATTCGATGCAGTCCTCTTCAGTAAATGTGCCCCCCACACACACGCGTTTCCTCTACATAATGAAATAGCTACGGCTCATTAGTCGGGCGGTACGCCGTCGACGACTCGGGCTACGGAATGTGGAGCTGGTGCAACGATCCCGAGGGCGCCTGAGAGCCATGGAGAAAAGCGCTCCTTGTCGATCTTGCTTTTGGCGAGGTCGACAACGTGCCTGGCACCAGTCAGATCCCTGCTTCCGAGTAGATCATTTTATCAGCGCAGAATTTTGGGACACATTAGCAGACGCCGTGGCTGCTAAGTAGACGCAGGTGATGCCCGAGCGTACGAATATTCGTTATATTTCTAACACGGCCTTTTTTGCTTAGTGGACTAAATAATAATACTTAAATTAACTCCACTCTCGACGTATTGTGCCTTTCACGTATTTTGGCGGGTGAGCTGTAGATTCAGGCGTAATTAGAGTCATAAAAGGGCGATCAACGCTTATTTACAGCTAATTCTGCCTAAGATTGTGAGCGCTTCCCCTAACATCCGCAATCAGCATTTGAGAGCCAATCGACGGAGATACGAGCAGAATGGCATGAATTGGCGGGTAGGAAACCGCCAATCGCTCTGTTTCCGCCTAACGAAGGCTGGATTAGCTTATTCCGCGTTAGCTCGGCCTCACCATCGCCGCTCCTAATTCGGCCATGGAGGGACGACCCGGAATTAATATGAGAATTAGCTAACTCGGGACATAATTAAGGTCGATAAGGAATTAGAGTTATGCCAGAATTATCACGGCAGAATAAGTGAAAGGCACAACCAACATTAGCTCAAATCCTTGTAAAAATGCACATGTAGCTTCGAGTTGCAAAATTCTAGTGTCTACAACCCAGGTCCCCATTCTAAATCGCACACACATACAAGTAGCTGTAAGTTGTGGATGGTCATTCAGCCCCAAGTAGTGTACATAAGCCACATCTCGTGCATATTTAGGGCAATACCTTTTGGCGTTTCTAGAAAGTGTCATTCTCTAATGTTGTTTTTACAGGACATTTTGCAGGTGCGCGAGTCTTAGTACAGGACAAAAATCCTGTTACAGGACTCCCCTTACCTTTCGATTTGAAAAATACAGGATCCCTATGCTTCTGTTACAGATAGTGTTCGCACAAAAACTAATTGCATAACTAACACTAGCGCTAGCAAGCTGTTTGTTAGTTCGATCGTATTAGCAAAGTGACAAAATGATCCTCAATTCAAAAACAAACAAAAAAAGCTGTTTGTTAGTGTATAGTGAATCTGGGTATCATGGTTGCGGAGTCAGGCGATTTTTTATCAATCATCTTAACGCTCTTTTTAGTTGTCGAAAGCTGCTTCGGGTACCCGAATCCGGGTATACCCGAGGCGGGTTCAAGAAACGGGTACCCATTGCGAGCCCTGCCGCTTACCAATGCGTACCTTAGATTTCCACTATCGCTCACGGCTGGGGGCCACAAATCATTCGTGTTCGACTTCTTTAAGGCGCTCCGGGCCGGTGCGGCCTGGAGCAGTCCCAGGGTGAGGTGCGGTGGGGCAACTGCTGCCTTGTAGGTAAAACTACGAATGACTTGCTAGACTACTTCTACTACCTCCGGGTGCTGGGATTGAATCCATGCGACGCGCCAGCGCATTTGGGATGTAGCCACTTGGTGCGATGCAGCACAGACCGATCTGAGCAGCGTCCTTGGACCACAATAGCCTCCCCGCTCAGCGGAAAACTGGTCTCCGCCCACAACAAGGGGCGGAAACCTTAATTCCATGCACCTGTAATTCTACGAACATCATAAGGTTGAATAGATAATATTATATAGTGTGAGGAGCTGGTGGAGGAGTGTCAACGGGGCGGGTGTGCGCCAGCGAGGAAGGCTTCAATCTCTACCAAGCGCAAGTCGAAGGCTATCTGCGTCAGCACGAATGCTGGGACGTTGTCGAAGGCAACAGCGCTGCTGATCCCGCTAATCCGCAGCGGGCAGAGCGAAACCAATTTGCTCGGAGCGCATTACTGTACGGCATGCTCCCCAAGGACTCGAAGAAGGTGTGCAGAATGGCAAGCGCGCGAGATGTGGAGGTCTTTCGAGCAAGACAAGACCAGGCGAGCATACGCCAGTGAAATTCGACTACGCAGTAAGTTGTACACCACCAAGTTCTCCTCCAGCGAGGACATGGAGAAGTATTTGGAGAAGTTGGAGGACATGAGGCGTCAATTGGCTAATATGAATGTATCCATCACTGATGAGGAGATGGCGAGGATTATACTGCAAGGTGTGGTGGATTCTCCTCGCAATGTCGTTCGTTTATTCAACCGAGATGCTGGTGGTGCAGCACCTGACTTGGCTACCCTGACCAACACGCTGCTTGGTGAAGCTGAGACGGACAAGGCGTGTGCGGCAACTTCTACTCGGAGTGATGAAGCAACAAGGGTGATGGCCCAGCGTCCTGTTCCGCAGAACCTGAAAGACAAGTTCAAGAAGAAAGGAGGCAGCGGCAAGAAGGTGAAGCAGGAGAACCGAAAGTGCTTCTTTTGTAAGAATAAGGGGCATCCACGCGCTGATTGCTATGGCTCGAAAGCTCTGAAGAAGAAGGAGCAGAACGCTGACGAGTCTGAGACCAACAGCAACCCAACAGGTATGGAGTGGAGAGCTTGGAGACTTTAACAACCTACCAGTTCCGATTCGCATGGCGCTGGGTGAGGGTGACATTCGTTGCACTGCAGACAGAGTGCACGACTGGATGCTAGATGGTGGTGCAGGGGCTCATGTGTGTGTTGAAGGTGGGTCCTTCGTGAAGATGAACAGAGACCCACTTCTGACACTTGACTGGAAAGGAGGAGTGGATTTCAATGAGCGATCGGGGACGATTCGACTGCAAATTTCGAATGGATCGATCCTTGAGCTGACTGGCGTACGAGCCCAGAGGTGCCATCAATCTCATTAGCCAGCTCACGCTGGAGCGTACCGGGTGGAAGCCATCGTACCTGGACACCGATGATGAAGATCAGCGTGTCAAGTACTTCGGCAAGGACGATAGTCGACTCGAGTTCTCTAAGAAGGCGGACGGTTTCCATTGGATGAAGGCGAGCCCTATGTTGGAAGCCGCGCTGATGATGAACCGTCAAGTGGAGACGTTGGAGAACAACATCGTCATGAAATGGCACTTGAAGCTGGCCCATCTGAATGAGGATGCCATGAAGAGAATGGTAAGGGAAGGCTTGGCTGATGGCTTGGGCGGGTTGATTTTGAATGACTTTAGGCGGACGCCGCTCAAGTACATTGCCTGTCAAGAAGCAAAGGACAAGAGAATGTCGTTCAAGCGCCAACAAGGGAAGCGTGCTACTGAGTGTGGAGCCTGCATCAGCTCCGACATCTATTACGACTCCGGGTGGGGCAAAGTCCTTTCAGCTCGTGCAGGATGAGGCGTCACGGTTTAAGTGGACCTTTCTGGTTCAAAAGAAGAGCGATGCTAAAGCGAACATTCTGAATCTGTTCCGCCGACTTGTGAAGGACATCAAGGTCAAGTTGTTTAGATCTGATCGCGGTGGTGAGTTCCTGAACAACAAGTTGAATGATTTCTTCAAGAAACATGGTATTGGGACGCTGCCTACAAACTCTTACACACCCGAAGTAAACTGTTTGGTCGAGAAGCTGAATGGCATGCTGCTTGTCAAAGCCCGCGCAATCCGAGAGGCAGCCAACTTGCCGCAGTGTCTGTGGGGTGAGGTCCTGCACTATGTTGTTCATATTGACAACATGTGCTCAACGAAAACTGTCGGAGGCATGACGCCGTATCAGAAGCTGTGGGGCAAGAAACCCGACCTCAAGAACCTGAAAGTGTGTGGCTGTTTGGCCTATTACCATATACCGAAGGTGAAACGAGGCAACAAGTTGGAGATGCGAGCCAGGCCGGCTGTGTTTCTCGGCATGGCTGAATTATCACTGGATTATCGCCTGCTGGACCTTGAGACTGGCGACATAGTGGAGCGGCGATCTGTTCGTTTTCGAGAGGATGTAGCTGTTGGGAGCGACTATGTGGAGAAGTTGCTGGCCAAGCGCTACTACGGAAAGCGGACAGTGGTGCCAAGTGATGTACCTTATGTCGTGCTGCCTGTGAAGCAGGTTGCTGTTCACAATGAAGAAGTGCAAATGCGTGAACCTGAGGTTGAAGCCGCAGACCAGCTTGAAGAGAAGGCCCCCGCTCCAGGTGAAGATGATGTGGACATGAGTAGCAGTGATGAGAGTGAGTGGGAATGCAATGACACCACCGATGAAGGAGGTGACCACGTTGGAGCTTGTGCCGGAACAGAGTGCCGAGTGAATGCACGTCCTACTACGGCATTTGGGTCAAGTGGGAGCTCAAACCCGCAGGTTGTTGGAACGAGTGAGAGTGTTAGTTCGGCTGGGGCCGCTGCGTCAAGCGCAAGCACTGCGAGTCCCAGTGGTCGCGTGAGTGGAAGCTTTGGTGGCAGAAGCACCGCAACCGTAGGCCAAGTGCCATCTTGTGCTAGCAACAACCAGACGCCGCCTGCAGCTCCGCGTCGGTCCGGCCGCCAACGCCGACCGAATAGCCGGTTTGATCCAAGCACATGGTTGATGACAATGACTTTCATGCAGTGTATGATGATCGGCGTGGTGAATGAGATCCTGAACCCCACGTCTCGTAAGGCTGCCTTGGAGTCGGAGCATGCCGCAGGCTGGCAACATGCTATGGACGCAGAGTATGAAGCGCTGATGAACAACATGACTTGGAAGCTCGTGCCAAGGCCTAAGAGAGGAAGAGGGCGGCAGCGCGCAAACATTTTGACTTCCGTATGGGTTTTGGTGGTAAAGCGAAACGAGCGAGGAGAAGTTGACATACTGAAGGCCAGGCTTGCTATACGAGGATTAATGCAGAAGTTCGGGATAGATTATCTTGCAACTTACTCCCCAGTTGTGCGAGTTGAGTCTGTTCGGCGATGTTCCTGGGCCTGGACTGCGTGCACGTTGACTTCGTCACCGCATTCTTGAATGGCGAGTTGACTGATGTGACCATATACATGGAGCAGCCTGAAGGATATGAAGACGGAACGGGTCGAGTCTGTAAGTTACGCAAGGGACTGTATGGTTTGAAGCAAGCATCTAAGACATGGAATGATACTCTTCACAAGTTACTTGTCAAGCTTGGTTTCACACAGTGTACGCATGACTCTGGGGTGTACTGGAGACGCCGGAACGGACGTGTCGTGTACCTTACCATGTATGTCGACGACATACTCGACGCAGGGACACCTGGTGACATTGCTGGCGTGGTGAAGGACCTTGCAAAGCACTTCAAGTTGAAGAACCTGGGGCGAGTGCGGCACCTGCTTGGCATGGAAGTGAAGTACTTGCCTGGACGCATGGTGAGCATGTGTCAGAGGGCGTATGTTGAGCGTCTTGCACAGAAGTTTGGCCCGGCACAGGCAAGGCCTGTGCGCTCCCCGCAGTTCCACCATGAGAAGACCACTGAGATCGAGACCGACGAGACGAAGATCAATGACCCGAAGCTTCCGTACATAGAGATCGTCGGTTCGCTGCAGTATCTCGTCGCTTGCACGCGACCCGACCTGGCCAATGCAGTGCGAACCCTGGGGCGCTACATGAACGCGTATACGGTGGAGAACTACAGAGCTGCGCAGCGAGTTGTGCGCTATGCTCTTGCCACCAAGGACAAGGGACTTGTGTACCGAGTGACACCTGAGTTTCCTACGTTGGATGCATTCGCGGACGCTGATCACCAGTCGTGTCCGGAGACCAGCCGATCGGTGACGAGCTACGTGCTACGTATGCATATGTTTGGATGTGGAAGAGTCATCGCCAGAGGTGAGTGACTGAATACACATGGGTTGCTTGCTGCGAATGCTGCAAGATGGTGACATGGGCACGTGAGCTGGTGAAGGAGCTCGGATTCGGTGACCCGTACCCGCAAGTACCGGTGTATTGTGACAACCAGACTACGATTGCGGTGGTTGCAAACAATGGCAACACTTCGAGGGTTCGACACATGGCGAAGCACGCGCGGTTTATCAATGAGTATGTTGATGAGAAGGCGCCGAAAGTGCTGTATGTGCCGAGTGCGGTGAACCTCGCGGATGTGTTCACCAAGGCGCTGGGCCCGGCTGAGTTTGAGCGTCACAGAGGTGGCCTGAACATCAAAGACGTCACGAAAGTCTGGGCAGAGGTTGAGGCCCCTGCTGAGCGCGTGGATGAGTGTGCTTCGACAAGCCAGGACATGGACGGCGAGATGGAAGAGGCGTAACGCTCTCGGTTTAGTACTGATGTGGCGTGATCGAAGGCTGTTGGTCACGCAATACATGTTGCATGAGATCTGCATGGACAACTTGGATATCCAACTTGGAATGAAGTGGGAGTACGAGACTTCAGTGGCAAGGTGGCACACGGACAAGTAGTTGAAGTTGAAGCGGTTGGAGTTAGTTATTCCAGTTAGATATCGGTAATAAGGAAGAGTGCGAGTTGTGAGTGGTTGTGATCATGAGGGAGAAGGACAGATTCAGAAAATCTCTGAGTAGTTCTCCAGGATGGATCTGATGTCTCCCTTGCCCACTTTGTGTGGGCCGGAGTGGTCACTGGTAACTGTAAGGGTTTTTTGGCTGAGGCCTTCCCCGATGAAACACAACGAGCATCAATCACTTTTGAACTTTCAATCTTGCAGACAAGTGTTCTTCGCTACGATCGGAAACTAGCTCGGCCTCTGGTGCTGAGGCGGCTACACTAGTTCTCGCAAGATCTTCTACCTTGACTCGTTCATGTTTTCCTTCTTGCTGGTTCCCTCTGTCGGTTCGATACTTGGCTGCCAGTGAGGCAATCCACGCAAGGGATCGTTGGGCCGTCGACCACTCCAGGATTAGCTGGGTGCGCACGCCCGGCCTGTTAGACGACTCGGTGAGAATCGCTCACGCAGAAACAGCCGGCTTGGACGAGATTGGTGCATTCGCGGAAGTCAGGATACGCGATCGCCGTTGACGCTCGTACATGTGGTACAATACTGTATCGTAGCTGATAAATTCACATGCATCGAGAACTGGATCGTGTTAATAGCGCCCTTCACCAACTCTGTGCAGTGATAAGTAACGCAAGCTCTGTACACTGGAATCGTATGCGTTGAGCCGCAGGCAATTCGGGAATGGCAAAGCTTTCCCATTCTCGAATCGACCGAGAGAGAAGCACTCAAGACCTCAACCGGGCATAGACCGCCAACATGCGCCAGGGCTACTTTCTCCTGATAATAGTCGCTTTGCCACATGCATCCCGGGTTTTGCTATTGCTGAGCAGTCCAATGCCCACCGCAGCCTCAGAAGCGCCAGTAAGGTGCAAGCCGCAGATGATATCGAAGAGAGAATGCAGACGCCAAATATCGGCAAACTGAGCCTTTTCTCCAAGAAAGAGGCGAGCGTTCTCAAGAGTCTGAAGAAAAACCCGACCTTGACCAAGACGCTGAGCGGCAACCCGTCGCTTATCAAGCCTTTTGAGAACAACCCTCAGCTTGGCAAGACGTTCGATACCTTGCAAAAGGACACCGCTCTAATGACGAGGATGAAGAGTTTGAAAAAGAGTCCTTCCATGGACAAGCTCAAGACGGCGATCAGCAAGAATCCGAGCGCGCTCACGAATGAAAACGTGGAAAAGCTTGGTGCGGCCGTGCTGAAGAAACCTTTCAGCAAATTAAAAAGTGAGCGCAACTGGAGGATGTATTTCGCGTGCGGCGTGATATTTTTGCTGGTACTTGGCGCCGGGGCTACATTCGCGGCGACCTCAGGATTGCTTTGAAACGAAATCCGAAAAGATCATGCCCAATCGATATAAAACTTCGATAGGTTAGGGAACCAATCACACCGGTGAACATGAAGAGGGTCACATGTTGGTAAGATAAACCAAAACACGTAAGCGGTCGAAGCTTTACATGTATTTTCATTGCAAATACTTCGAAGTATATAGTAGCGGGCACGTAATACGTTTTTTGTCTTTGAGCTCCCGTGATCTAGTCTCCCCCACTGTTGGGATCCTTAGATCTTCTCCGAAAGAGCTCGTCAGCGTAGTGTGTTGGGGACTGTTTACTACTCACATGGCCGCTCGCATCCGCGACAAATGTGCTCATCCGCTGTAGGATGCGAGTTTGGGCCGTTGATATTGAACCAACGCTACCTCGAGGTGCAACCGGCTGCGCCACAGCGTCTGCGAGGGAGCGCAGCGATTGACTGTGTGTTCGCTGCAGTCGATTTCGCAGCTGATCTTCACGTGCTGTAGTTGAGGGTGGCGGGGCTGCAGATTTAGGGGTTGCTCTGTACGCTTCTTCCAGCTCGTGGAGTGACCGACGTTGACGTTGAAGACGTTTGCGCGGGTTTTCGACGGGTGGTACATCATTGGGTGATGGTGGCGAAGCGAGTAGTGGATCAGAGGGCCTGCGCTCCTCGGGGAAGAATGCCGAGTCACTTGGGGATGGCTGGGGCCCTAGAACCGAGGCTTCTGTAGTCGAGAGGAACTTTTCAATCTCGGATGGGACCTTGAAGGGCGCTTTCACTCTGGCAATCGGCGGCAGTCGAGAAGGGGAACGTTCCGGCTGATAGCGCTGGGGTCGGGATTCTGCTGCTGCTGCGCTAAACAGTTCGTCAGCGTAACGTGTCGGCGATTGTTTTTCCGTGTCAATGGTAGTGCTCGGTGTCAGACCAATTGCTGATCCCATGCGCTTCAATACCGGCAAGCGGGGGCGACTCACTGGTGCGCCAGAAGGCTGCGGCGTTTGATTTACAGGTGCGGAGCGCTTTCGACTCGGAGGTGGGGGGATCATTTGTGCGGATTTCTGGGCTCGGAGAATCTTCAAACTCGCTTGCAACTCTTGCAACGCCTTGAGGATAACGACCTCCCGCTCCTCCACGTTTTGCAACCGTGCTTGGAGGGACAATGGCGGGGGGCTGGTCCCCGGTGGATGAGAATGAAAAGCATGTTCAGTGTCCTTTGCTGGGTCCGCAGCTGGAATTGGCTTTGGCATGGATAGGTTTCCGTCTTTGCCATTAATACGAGTGCGTGCTTTTCTGTTGTTTCCATCGCTTCGAGCCGTTGCACTCGAATCCCCGCAATAGGTTTCAGCCTGCTCTTCGCGCTTTCGCCGTCGTCGATCGCGTAATTCAATGAGCTGGTCTCGAACGTTTACCCCCACGCCAAACTTGAGCGTAGGATCCTGTATCTCGACATTGATGGCCGTGTAGATCCGCTCAGCAGCCTGACGCGCCGTTAGTACTGGAGGAAGGAACGATACGTGCCCTCCTGCCCTTGCGCACACCTCGGCGATCGCGTCGGGACTGTAAACTGCGCGGACCATCTCAAGCAGTGGACAGCGAGATTGAGCTGCCTCATAGCTCTGCATGAAGGACGTAAGCATGTCCACTACAACGCGGTGGCGGTCCTCCGAGTATCGCGCTAGGACGGCCTGAAAATTTCCTCTCGAGAGCACACACATTTCAACGTGTGTGATAGCTCGAACGTTTGCTGCGCGCTGGTAATTCATCAACAGCGCCAGGTCACCGAAAGCCTGGCCACGAGAAATGACCAGTTCGTAGCCTTTTGGTCCGCGGCCGCCATTCTTACTGTAATATCTTCGTTGAGCTTCGTCCAGTTCGTATGCCGATTGTCGAATGTCATCCTCATTTTGGCCATTACGCTTTCGACTCGTCAGACCACCGCTTTGACGGGCTGTATGGAGCCCAAGCCCGTTGTGAGCGGAGGCCATCGTAGTCGTCGTGACCCTCTCGTATTTGTTCGCCTCACGACTGAGCTCGCAGTAGCCGCGATTCACCATGTAAAACGTCGTCCACCTCGCCTTGACGCATTATGAAGTCGTTTGGTAGATAACATCCAGCCGCAGCATTAACTGTTTCTGGAAATCCGGCGTGCAGTCCTTCCAGAACGGAATATGCACGACCAGTTCCATGTATTTGAACAACACGACCTCCAGCCCGAGCGTGCGTGAGAGCTCCTTCGAGAACTGGACGATGTCTCCATCCAAATACTCGTACTCGTGCCAGAGATGCTCGTAATATTCGTGGATTCGCTCTCGTAGCGATAGCGGCAGCTGCAGCTTGGCGGTCATAGCGAAAACCTCCTCCATCTTGTGCTGGTACCTGGTGGTGTTGGCGTTAAGTTGGACACGAGAATGGCGACGTGGCCGAACACAACCGCGAGCATAATGGAGCCCACAAGAACCGACAGCGACGCAAAGAGGTTCTGCCCGGAGGTGTCAGTAGGCACGCCCTCTCCCTGCAAGAGCAACAGTGCTGCGTAGAAACTTGCAGAGTATTGAGCTTGCCACGAAGGGTTGGCTTCGCTCGTATCCCCCTCTTCTCGCAGCAAAACAGTCCAAATGCAGGCATTGTAATGGGCAATGACCATGAGCATGGTGACAATCCCGGCGATGCGAAGCAGGTGCGAAAAGCGTGAGTATAGCATCCACGCCCAGAAATTGTTGCCGCCCCCCGACTGGTTGGCTCGCACCAGCCAAATCATGCGCACAAAACGTGTTACGTATGCAAGCCGCTCCACCGTCAGAATGTCAAGCGCAAACGTTACCCACTTCCCTCCGAAGTCGCTTAGATTACTGCGGTTAGCGTGCATCACGAGCGGCAGAGTCACCAGCACGTCCAAAACCAGTCGCGTCTTCACGTAGTTCCAGGCGATAAACCAGTGCGAGATGACGATCGCCCCTGTTGGAGTCACATACCCGGTATGCAGCGTGAACAGCACGTCCACAGCCAACAAAACTCCGACTACCGCGTCAACGTTCGTAAGCGAGTGCTGCTCCGGAAACGCGAGCTCCGTGGGGAACCAAAGTACGTAACAAAGCGTGGCAAAGAGGACAATCGCGTACCGCACTTGAGAAAATTTCGAGTAGGGGGACAGCGGCAGGAAGAGTTTGTACTGCCAGTAGCGCAGCGTCATCCACATCGACCCCATCACGTAGTGGGCAGCGCTGTACCGGGACCCTCGACTCGCAGTAGTTCCATAGGCGAGATCAAAGTGTTCCCCAAGTTGAGCGCTGCTAGTCCCGCTCTCGAAAGGTGGAGGATCTACTGCACCCACCGAGTTGTTCAGGCTGCTACGCTCAGCATCAGGAGCTCTGTGAAAGCTAGCAGCTCGGTCACCGCCGCCCTCATGAGTCGAGTTAGCAACGTCGTCACGATCGTTGCGAGCTGAGAGATGAGAGTGCAAATTGTGCTCGGGCAAGTTGCGCACTATTGACCCCCGAGACCCTCGAGCGGTGTGTCTCGCCGAGTTGGCACCCGCTAGGTCGCTGTTGCCACCGTCTGGCAGACCACGACTCGACCCAACCAGGCCACGACTCGAGCCGACCGTTCCTCGTCGTTCTTCTGCCATGACAGCGGACGGCGTGCGCTGCAAATGGCGGATCTGGAAGCGAACCATCATCTCTTCGTACGGAGTCTCGGGCGGGTGGTCGGTCATGGCGTCGCCTGCAGTGCTTGCGAGCTCCATGGACGTGGCAACTTTCGGGTTGAAGCTTGACGCGAAGGACAGCCGCGGCACCAGCGAGCCCGTGGACATCCCTAGCATCCGAGTCGTCATGCTTCGGCGTAGAGGTTTGTCGGGAGGTGGAGCAGGAGCCCCCTCCGAGGGCCCCGCGACCGGGTAAACTTCCCCCGTCATCGTTGAATGGCGCCGCGAAATCCGAGCTTTGGCTCTGCGCAATGGGATCGATGCGTCTCGATCGGCGAAGACGCTGGACTGCGACGACACCGAGTCGGATTGTTCGACTGGCGCATTAAAAACGAAGGTCTCGTGATCGCTGACGCCCCCTTCGGGGTCGGGCCCAAACAACGGTGGCGCCAGGTTTGCAGATGCATCGACGGAGGGCTCGTCCATCGCGCAACACGGTAGTTTCGCTGTTTCGAGTGGACGGACGCCTCCGTTTCGTGAACGCCCACTCAGCATGGACGCGCTGGGGGAGACGCACGATTTGTTGGCCACAACTGGTTTACCATACCACACGAAGACTTTAGCTGCAATGCCTCCTTCAGCAGTTTACGGGGCTTCAAACCGCCACAAGCCTTAATCTCGATCTCACCAGAGGGATCCGAGCATTCGTGACGGAGTCTGGCGTTGATGGCAGGGATCGGTTAGCTGAGAAGAAGTAGACTGGGTCTAGCTGTGTGTACGTTGTACTTGGCACAAAACTTGATGTTGGGCTGGCTGCTGGGGGATCAAACCGCGACAGTGAAGACCTGAGGTGTTATTATACCGTCTGTATGAAGCCAGCGTTGACAACACCGCAACCCTCGTACTGTTGTCGGCGAGTGCTTTGGCATCATACTCCTGGTGTCGTGTCAAGGTAGGGGCCGATGAGACTGCGGTATGCATTAAGTTCAGATGGCGCCATTCGTTGGTCTTGCTGGTGCAGTGCACCAGGTGCACCCATTCGACCCATTCAACCGTTGGGTACACTTTCACAGTAGCCGGTCTGGTCTTTTCCGCGCGCTGATTGGCTAGTCGAATCTGAATATCCACTTTCGCGCCCACTGTCTCGCGCTACCGATTGTATCCCCTAGTCCACATACAAACGCAAAACGACCATCACTCCTCGCCTTTACAAATCTCAATATACGCCTTGAACCACGGTCGGTTGCACTAGCCACAGTAAAAACTCATATATCCCGGCCGCTAGACGGGCCCTCCGCATTCCGCATTCTGCGTCGCGTCGTGGGCTCCTCCTCCCCTGCTTGCTTGCTTGCTTGAGCCATGGCGTCGACGGGCGGCGTGCGCGTGAACATCGTGGAGGCGCGCGGCATCCTGGCGGCCGACGCCGGGGGCACGAGCGACCCGTATGTGACCATGACGCTGCTGGACTCCAAGGGCCAGGCGCTGGCCGCGGGCGGCAGCTTCAAGACGAAGGTGGTCAAGAAGACGCTGGCCCCGCAGTGGAACGAGACGTTCATCGTCGGGGACCGCCTGGACCTGCGCGTGGCCACGACGCTGCGGCTGCTGCTGTCCGACTCGGACGGCGCCTTCTACAGCGACGACGTGCTGGGTGTCGTGGACATCCCCGTGGCGCTGCTGCTGACGCTGCGCGAGCCGCTGGACAACTGGTTCCAGCTCACCAAGCACGACAAGATGAAGAAGGACTCGCAGGGCGAGCTGCACGTGGTGCTCGAGAAGCTCGCGCCCGTCGAGTCCAACCTGGGCCGAGGCTCGGGCGTGCTCGTCACGGGGCTGGAGCAGAAGCCGCCGCCCGTCGCGAGCAGCGAGCCGCCCAACCTGCTCTACGTGACGTTGAAGTCAGGCAAGGATCTGCTGGGCATGGACAATAACGGCACCACTAGTGATCCTATTGTGTTCTTTACCTTTAATGGACAGAAGCACGAGTCCACCAAGAAGGAGAAGACGCTGCGCCCCCAGTGGAACGAGAAGTTTGGCTTCTTCGCCCCCGATCTGAAGAGCAGCTTGTCCATTTTAGTGGAGGACTACGACATTACCATTAATGACTTCATGGGCAAGGCGGACGTGTCGCTGAAAGATCTGGAGCCGAATGCGGAGAAGAACGTGGCGGTGGAGCTGGGCGGCAAGAGGGGAAAGAAGGATAAAGTCGAGCGCGGTACTCTGTTACTGACGCTGCTGTGGACGTACGACCCGGAGGCTCGAGACATTGCGGCTAAGAAGAAGAAGTCGACATTTTTGCCCAATTTCGGCGTGCCCGATAAGGACTACGACTCGGACGACGATGAAGGAGTGGAGATTGATGATGGAGAAGTCAAGAAGAAATCTGAGGAGGAACTGAAGAAGGAGAGGGAGGAGAAAGCTGAGAAGCAGGCAGCCATCTTGTCGGAGCTCAGCAGCTTCGAAATCAAATCCGGCGACTACAATGTCCAGGTGCACGTCATTGAAGCGCGCGACCTGGTACCGAAAGACTCGACTGGCACGTCGGACCCTGTGGTGTATGTTGAAGTGTTTGGAGAGAAGCAGCAGACTGCGGTGAAGAAGCAAGTGCTCAGCTGTTTCTGGGATGACCTGCTCATCTTCCCATTCCGTAACCTGGACAAGGCTGAAGTCGAGATGGGATACGTCCGTCTGAGCGTTATGGATGCCAACACACTACAGAGGGCAGAACTCATCGGCGGAGCTCAGTTCGATGTGTCGTACATTTACTCGCAGGCGAACCACCAGCTGGCAAACGTCTGGATCGGTCTGACTGACATTACGAACACTACGAACCAAGGCATCCAAGGATACCTGCGAGCCTCCATTTCGATTATTGGACCAGGCGACAAGCTTGTCCCTCCCCCTTCGCCGTTTGGTGAAGGAGCAAGTACGGACATGAACAACGTTATCATGCCGCCTAGCGTTACTCAGCAGGTTCACTTCTTGGGGGCAACCATTCACGTAGCGGAGCACTTGCCGCCCATGGATGTTGCCGTGGTAGGCAGAGGTGGTCTGGATGCATACATTAAGGGATCCATTGCCGGCGGTGATGAAATTCGGACCCGTGTGCGCACCAAGAAGGGAAGACGTGACGAGCTCTGCCCTAGCTTCAACGAGGAGTTGATGCTCGTTATCCGGGAGCCGTCAATGGCTGACTCGATCCAGCTAGCTGTCTATGATTGGGATCAGGTGGGATCGGACGAGTTGGTGGGCTACGTCTATCAGAGTTTAAAGCTCGTCAAGGCCATGGGTGGTAAAGTTTCACCGTTCTGGGCCAACATTTACGGCGCCCCCTTGCGTTTGAAGTCGGTTGGCATAGGTGATTCGATGAAGAAGCAGATGAACACATACCCAGATATCGCCAGCACATACCGTGGACGTCTCCTCATCAGCTTCCGCATTTTGAAGAACGAGGACAATGAGTTTGATGAAACGAACCAGAAGCGCAACACCAAGCGCATTCCTCGCGACTTGTACCCCCGCGAGCGCATTTACCGCATGCGAGCCCACTTTGTGTGGGGAAGCCAGGTACCGTCCTTCTTGAGCTCTAAGCGTCCTGGCCAGAAGGCGAAGATGCAGTTGGTGATGTCGTGTGGTCTAAATGAGATCGCTTCGTCTCGTGCTCGTAATGTGAATGGTGTGGTGGAGTGGAACAACATGGAAGAGAGCGAAAAGATGCTTCTTCCTGAAGATCTATCTCAAGTGCCCGATATTTTCCTGTATCTTTGCAGGGGAGAAGGAGATACGCGCAAGGCCGTGTGCTTCCGCCGTTTTACTGCAAAAGAACTTCTGGAGGATCGCGGTGGGTTCAACACAGAGGTGGAATGGCTTCTAATGAAGGAAGACCAAGCAATTGATGCCCTGGAGGACGAAACTTTCCCAGGTAACGTGTTGGTTCGCATGGGCTTCGGAACTGAAGAAATGGCGATGCAGACAGCCTGGGATCGCTCCGACCTGGATGCTGTAAACAAACGCATTCCATACCAGCTCCGCGTTCACATTTACCAGGGCCGTCGCCTTCCACCTGCTGATTCGAACGGCTTGTTGGATCCGTTCCTTGTCATCCGATGCATGGGAGAAAAGGAGAAAATGACCTCGAAAAAAAGAAAGACGAGAGATCCATTGTGGTACGAAACGATTTATTTCGACGTGAATCTACCGGCGCTCAAGTACGCACCCCAGGTGATGCTGCGTGTCATGGATTTCGATGACTTTGACACCAACGACTTCGTTGGCTTAGCTGCGCTCAACCTGGCGGAAGCACACATTCGAACATCGGAGCAGCTATCAAGCGGTCACCTTTCAGCACTGCCTGACCCGAAGTGGCATCCGATCATGTTCCAGGAGCCGGGAGATTGCGAGGGCGAAATTCTTGCGTCCTTGGAGCTGATTCGCAAGCAGTTTCCCGACGAAAAGGTTCCGCGTGCGATTCCGATTTTGCCGAGAAACCGCAAGGCTTTTCTGGAGATCACAGTACTCGGTCTTCGGAACATGGAGCCGTACCAGTTCCTGCCAATTCAGTTGCCTTTTATCGAGTTTGTGCTCGGCGGCAAGGATCACGCAGCCCAGGAGATGATCACTGAGAAGTCTAAGCGACCATCGGGAAGCAACCCAAACTTCCTGCAACGCATCGTGAAGGAGGTCGAGCTGCCTGAAAATGCCCATTTCGCGCCTCGACTGAACATTATCGTGAAGGACACGCGTCTCGGTGGATTCCAGACACCTATCATCGGATCAGCTTCCATTGAAATGAGCTCAAAGATCCCGTGGTCGAAACATTACCGCCCACCCCAGACTGATACATTCGCCGAAATCGAACTCGAGTCAGCTGATGAGTGGAACGATGACGCACCCCTTCTGGGAAGAGTAGCTAAGCCTGACCTGCCATCGGCCGAGTCGGTCGATAACGGAGCAGGTGTGTTTGGCGCACTGAAGAGCATGGGTGTGGACTTCGACCCTAATGGAAACTTTGAGGAAGGATCGTCTCGCCGCTCAACTATTGCAGGTGAAGATGACGACCCCGATTCGAAGAAATACCTCAAGCACCGCGAGTTGCTTGATGGCGACTTGGAATCCGAGCTGAAAACGACGCCCTTCGAAAAGTACGGATTGCACATTGGTCAGAAGAAGAAAAAGTCGTCTCTCCTCGCAGCAATCAATCCATTCGCAAAGAAGTCGCGCGGTGTTGGAGATGACGTTGGAATCTACAAGATGGCTGGGTATTTCAAGGGTATGATCCGTGTTCTCGAACGCGAAGACGAAAAACCGCTGCTCGACTTCGATACACTGCTCCAAACACTTCCGTATGAAGTTCGTATATACGTCCTGGATGGAGTTGGCTTCGCGCCAATGGATATTGGTTTGAACGGCCGTCCTGGAAAGTCAGACCCTTACCTGCGCTTGAAGCTCGGTGACAAGAAGATCAGCGACCGCAAAAATTACATCGAAGATACAACCGACCCGGACTTCTACAAGATGTTCTTGATCAACACGAAGCTTCCGGGTGCCGGCTTGCTGACGATTGAGGCAATGGATCACGATCTCATCGGAGGTGACGATCTGATCGGCAAAACAACGATTGATCTCGAGGATCGACTGTTTGACAAGCGCTGGCAGTCGATGGGCAAAATGTACGAAACTTCCAGTCGGCTGCGTTTGAAGCCTCTTGAAACACGAACCCTCAACATCCCGACGTCTCGAGCTCCTATGGGCACAATCAAGCTGTGGATTGACATTCTGAGCCCTGCTCAAGCCCACGACTACCCGCCAATCGACATCTCGCTGCCTTCTCCGGTCGATATGGAACTTCGTGTTGTGGTCTGGAAGGCGCGCAACGTGCCTTCGTTCGACACAATGGAAGACATGAACGATTTGTTCTTCCGCTGCTGGATGGAAGGTTCGGATTACCAAGAAACGGATATCCATTGGCGTGCGAAGAAGGGCAAGGGATCGTTCAATTGGCGCATGAAGTTCCCTATCACCTTGGGGCACAAGCAAATCAACACCAAAATGCCGTATTTTCACGTCCAGGGCTGGGACAAGGACGTTCTGTCCGCGAACGACGCAATTGGTGTGGCCACGGTGGATCTTGGAGCCTTCTTCCGTCAAGCGTACAAGCTCAAGACGAATGTCCAGTGCTACGAAGATGACGATGAAACTCGAAAAAAGAAAAAGAAGGCCACTTCTGATGATGATGCTGCGGTGAAGAAGATCAGAGAGGCTACCGGCCTCTGGGATGACGACGATCCGGCCGATTCGAAGTGGCTGCAGTTGCTAAGGCATGACCACAAGACCAACGAGAAGGAGCGCATGGGCGAGGTGTGCATCTCGCTGGAGTTGGTTCCTGCCGAGAATGCGAAGAAGAATCCGGTGGGCATGGGTCGGTCGTCGCCGAACAATTCGCCGTACCTGCCTCCCCCTGCTGGGCGCCTTTCGTTCTCGCTCAACCCGTTCAAGGTGCTCAACGACTTGCTCGGCCCTGCCATCTGCCACCGGCTCACGTGCTGCTTCTGCTGCATCCTGTTCATGGTGGTCATCTACTTCCTGGCACCGTTCATCAACGTGGCGATTATCACGCTGAAGGGATAACTGGAGCAACCGAGGACCGGTTTGTTGTCTTTGCGCTGCTTGCTTGCATATTTCTAATGATGTAGCGCCCCGCGTAGTACTTGGAACTTGAATACCTAAATTTTTTGTGCACCTTGTTGTCTTCATCTCAGCCATTCTATTTAGGTCTCGAAGTGAAGCGTTGCGATCGTCTAGCAGCGATAACTGCCACGGTCGCTTCGTTACTCGGTGTCGAAGAGTAATTCTTCTCCGAGACCTCTTCTTCTTCTTCTTCTCTCATGCCCCGCAATCGTGTCGGGATCGAGGTTGACTCGTTGCCACCAGCGCATAAGCAGGAAGATGAGCCTCACATCGACAGCTCCCGCGATTTGTTGGGTGGATCCTTCTCCTCGACGCAGCTGAAGTCGACTGCTTCAGCGCCATCACTCGAAGCTGCCAAGGCGCAACGGCAAAAGGAACTGCTGCGGAAGAAGAAAACCGAGCGACGTGCTCATGCACAGCAGCGGGCTGCTGAGAAACAGCAGCGCCAGGATGAGAAGAAGCAGGAACGCGAAATGCTGTCGATGATGGACGAAGATTTCCCCGCGGTGGACCCACCCAACGTGCTGGTCGATACTTCCACTTCGACCCAATCTTTGGCGTGTTTGGAGGTTGAACGCAAGGATGAGGAAGCTGCAGCTATGAATCACGATGCGGTCACCTTTGTGTCTGAGAAAGACCCCGTAAACTCGAGTTCCCCGCGAGCTGCTAAAGACGACGCTCCTTTGCCCCCGTTGAGTTACGGCTACGATATTCTAGCTGATGCTTGCCCGCCCACTACAACTGAGACTATGCCAAAAGTCACAAAAGGTTCTCCGCTAGCCAAGAACGCAAACGCTGCGGCTGCTACAATCCAGAAAGCTCTGAAAAAGAAATTCAAGAAGTGCAAGACGATGTTTCGACAATCTCCTCGGGTCTTCGCGGAAGAAGTGGTTGTTGCTCCATCGTCGCCAGAAGAAACAGCGACTGAAGTCCCGGCGACTTGTGACGACGGAGCCTTAGAGACGGAGCTTGTTGGGCCTACTGTCGAGGCTTTGGGCGTTGATATTGTACGAATTCCTGATTCTCCCCATGAAAAAACTCCTTCATCTCCAAGACCCGAGCCCATTGTGCCTCTTTTGACATTACCACTGAAAGCACCAGGAACTCCGCCACCACGTCCTCCCAGCCCAAGTTGTTCTGAATCGTCCTCCTGTTTTTCTTCATCCTGTTCGTGTTCTTCACAGTCTGGTTCCGCGTCTTCGTGCTCTTCTTGCTCGTGTTCATCGAGCTCAACTTCAAGTCCAAGCTCATCAGCGTCTGAATCAGACAAAAGGAGCCGAAGCTCTCAACGCGCAAGACATACGAGTCGAACAGCTCGATCTTCACAAAGACAACGACGTAAAAGGCGGCGCCACACAGGGCAGTCGTCCCGCAGCCATTCTCACATTAGTAGGGGGCCATCGTCCACGCTATTGCCGCCACGCAGCGAAGGTGATCGGCATTATGGCGAGCTTCACCAGTTTATGGCGACAAGAATCCAAGCTCGAATCCGTGGTGTTCGTGGGCGCGCTGAGGCACATCAGCGACAAATAGAACTGGATGAAGAGCTGAAGGAGGAAGCTCTTCACGAGCTGCAACAGGAGGCCGTTGTCAAGATTCAGACAAGAGCTCGTGGTGTACTGGTACGGAAGAAGATGCCAATCTCAGACTCGGAGAGACGACGAAGACGGCGGAGGCGATCCCAGCTCCGCAACAGCAACTCTCCTCCGAGTTCACCTGAACGTGTGGCGATGGGGGTTTATGATGACCCAGACGAGGTTGGGGAGTGGCCGGAAGAGATTGACTTGGAGCTTCTGGATGACTGGCAAGAGCTAAATCAACCATCCGGAACGCCCGAGGACACCGTGACGTACACTGAGTTTCTCTCGCGAGGCAGACTTCGAGTATTTTGTGGCACCTGGAATATGCACGCGAAGAAACCCACTGACGACTTACGCCTCTGGATTCGGCTCAACAAGTACCACATTATCGCCGTGGGCAGCGAAGAGTGCGTGAACTCCATCGCAAAGAGCGTCGTTTTCACGTCGAAAAAGTCGTGGGAGGACCAGTTAAGAAGCACTTTGGGCGATGACTATATCCTCGTGGCATCGCACGCGCTTACTGCCATTCACAACATCGTCTTCGTGCACTCCAGCCTCTTGCCACTGCTCGGCAACATTCAATCGGACGCCGTAGCCACTGGTCTCGGGAACCAGTTGGGCAACAAGGGAGGCGTGGGCATCAGCTTCACAGTGGGGGTGACCAGCTTCGCCTTCATCAACAGCCATTTCGAAGCGCACCAACGCAACGTGGCCAAGCGGAACGGCAACTTCCACCGGATCAACCACGAGCTCAAGCTCTCACCAACTGGAGCGCTGGCTTCCCCTACGAGCTCGACAGCGGTGGCTCCTACACCGGGCAAACCAGGCTTGAACGGGCTCGGTCGAACCTCTGCCAACCGGTTCTCAATACCAACCGTTGGTGCAGGACCCGGGGGTAAGCGCACCGTCAGCGAGCGCTTCGACCGCGTGTTCTGGTACGGAGACCTCAACTACCGCATCAACGGCACGAGACGCATGGTAGACACGTTGCTGCTGCGCAACCAGCACGAAGTTCTGCTGGCTAACGACCAGCTGCAGCGCGAGATGAAGGCGGGCAACGTGTTCGCGCACTTCCGCGAGGGCCAGCTGCACTTCCGCCCCACGTACAAGTTCGACAAGCGTAGCGACACGTACGACTCGTCCGCCAAGCAGCGCATCCCGTCCTGGACCGACCGCGTGCTGTTCCTGTCCAACGACAAGCTGCACGACGTGGAGCTGCTGAGCTACCGCAGCCAGACGGACTTCCGCACGTCCGACCACCGCCCCGTGTGCGCCGTCTTCCAGGCCAACTTCCGGCCAACGGAGACTGAGTCCGCAATGTCCCCGCGGCCAAGCAGCAGCGCCCATGACCAGGAGAACCACGCCACCAGCCAGGCATGCTCAATACAGTGACGAACCCTATCAAAATAAAATATCCCTTGTTCTGGAAGCTTGCGTGGTTGTTTTGGCAACTGAAAACAAGCAAGTTGCCTTTTGAACATCATTCTTGTTGAAGTGGTCGCGACCATCTGGAGGCAACTATCTAACGGACCATCACAAACCCACATTCGTTCAACGATGGCTTAAAAATTAACTTTGATTTTGTATTTTGCTATACTGGTCGGATAGCCTTGCTATATCGACTAAGTTCGACCGTCTTAAGTACGTTGGTTTCGGCCCGGCGCCCTCACACAATATATTCCGCAGTCAGCAGCGCAGACCGACCCCAAGCAGCGGCAAGGCAGCGAGCTCCGGACATGGCGCAGTACGGCAAGGCGAGCTACTGGGACGAGCGCTACACCAAGTACGTCTCCTTCCTCTCTCTCTCCTCCCTCCACCCACGCCACTGGCGCCTCCGTCCGCGCCCGATCTTGCAAGATACGGCCATTTTTGTCACCGTGCGTTGCCTCACGTTTTCGACACTTTGTTTTGGCCTATTTTCGACACTTTTTTTCGACAGAGACTCGGAGCAGTTCGACTGGTACCAGCGCTACGGCGGGCTCAAGGAGCTGCTGAACCAGTATGTCAAGAAGACGGACGCCATCCTCATGGCGGGCGCCGGCAACTCGCGCCTGTCGGAGGAGATGGTGAACGACGGCTACCAGAAGCTCATGAACGTGGACGTGTCCGAGATCGTGGTCAAGCAGATGGCCGCCAAGTACGAGGACCGCGTGGAGCAGCTGCAGTGGCAGAAGATGAACATGTGCTCGCTCGACTTCGCCGACGAGACGTACGACGCCGTGGTGGACAAGGGCACGATGGACTCGGTGCTCTGCGGCGAGGGCTCGACCGCCAACGTGGCCAAGATGTGCCAGGAGATCCACCGCGTGCTCAAGCCGAACGGCGTCTACTTCATCGTGTCGTACGGCGTGCCCGACAACCGGCTCAGCTACCTCGAGAACAAGGAGCTGCAGTGGAAGGTCACGGTGCACACGGTGCCTAAGCCCACGGTGAGCGCCGTGCAGGTCTCGGAGGCCGACGCCAACGCCGCGCACTACATCTACGTGTGCCAGAAGGGCGTCAAGACGGAGTAACGTTAAGGGTGCGGCGGACGGTTGGGTTGGTTGGAGCAAGGCTTTCCATAATATATCGACACTCTCACGAGCGACAGCGAGAGACGAGTTTTCCTAATTGGTGTTGGGTTGTGTGATGCGTTGTACGAAGTGCAGTTGCTGACAGCAACTTGCTGTTATGCGCAGGACGCCGATCCTTCTCCTTGTTGGTGCTCGCAGGATGTGTGAACGCATTTCAAAGGTCAGACGACGGTTGACTTTCGCCGACGTCGCAGATTTGGGTTTTGGTACACGGGTCTCAGTTCGAAAGAACACGCCGTTCTGCGTAATGCTGGCGCTGACTACGCCGAGCTGGAAGAACTCGTCTCCAGCTATCTCAGACCATCCATCGCTCAAGAACTTGACCCTTAGTTGGGCTTGCAGCGACCTTTCTATCGAGCTATTGGACTGGATCTGGGACCTGAGTTGCGTCTCCGTCGCAGCAGGGTGGGCACGTGGACCTTGACCAATTTGCTGCAGTTGAAGCCCTTCTACTATCGGTGGCAATGTGAGAAATCGCTCTATGAAGCCGCTAGCCGAGGACACATACAGGTGGTGGAGTGGCTGTTCTCCCACTTCTCGGTCTGCACAGCGCGTCAATCTGTCGTTGAAGCCGCTGCAGCCAAAGGACATCTATATGTGTTGGAGTTCCTGGGAAAGCAGAGATTACCTAACAGGTGTCCTTCAAGAGACGCAGGGTGGTGGAAGAAGCCGAAGGCGACTCGAAATATGGTTATGAGAAGAAGACGCCCAATATGGGGTTTTGGAGCGATAAAGTGGTGAAGTTGGTGATATCAAACGGATACGATGATGTTGCCGTGTGGCTATATGACCGTGAATCGTACTACTTGTATATCTCTGGCTACCGTGGCAGTCCTGGCAGCGAACAAATCACAAGCTCAATCGAAGTCGCTCTAAGATTGAACTCACCAAAAGGTTCGTGCCGAGGGGACACGAAATTTCAGATTTTGTTACGGACTTCACACGAGAAGAAGTGCTCAGGCGTTGTGGGTATGACCCATCGGAAGGCGTTGAACACCTGGTTGCTGGACGAGTTGGCTCGCACGAGTCGCTTGGATCTCGCGGCTCGGATCATAGGCCTGCACGATGGTCCTCGAGATTCACGTGACGAGTGGGCAGCTGAATGGGTAGACATGGCGAAACAGGCCTGCACGTGCGGTGATATGCCGCCGCTTGTCATGTGGATGGTGGACTTCCAGACAGAGCATGGATCGTATAGTGCCCTCTACAATCGAGATGGGGACTGGAGCTCATGGACCAACTCTTAACGATTTCTAGCGAAGATGAGAACATTGCTGTGATGCAATACCTTTTTGATCACGGGAGGGTCCAGAACTACAAGGGCGCGTTGCTGAATGCAGTGCGCAAGGCAGCGGGGAGTCTGTTAAGTTGCAGTCGAATTCGTCCTTGCGACTAACTTCCATCGTACTCTGTACTTAAGTACTGATCGAAGCGGCATGGAACGGGCAATTGGGCATGCTGAAATTTATTCACAACGCAGGTTTGTCGACGACGTCATGGCTACGTCCACCAGAAAAGCCGATCAAAATACGGGGCGAAAAGGTATTGAGAGAGCCAGCTGAGGAGAAGTACAAAGATCGGCTTACTGTGGATTTGTCCCTCATGGAGTGTTATGGATCAGGCTGCAGAAATCGGCAACCTAACATTTTTGGAGTGGCTGGATACAAATCGCCTAGAAGGCAGTTCAAAAGACGCGATGGACAGAGCAGCCCTCAACGGCCACTTGGAAGTGGTGTCACGGCTTCATCATCACCGACGAGAAGGGTGCACCGAAGAGGCCATGAATGGGGCTCCGATGAATGGACATCTGGACGTGGTGAAGTGGCTTCACGTTAATGGTACAGAAGGATGCACCTCAGACGCGATGGATCTGGCCGCAGCTCGAGGACATCTTGAAATGGTTGAGTGGCTTCACACCAACAGAAACGAGGGCTGTTCGACGGATGCGATGGATCTCGCCGCTGTGGTCATCTTTGTCGTAGGTTGAGCGCATAGGGCTCACAAGAAACAGAACCTCAAATACACACCAACTCGGTCTCTAAGTTTGGTCTGCCGTGGGAGACACCAAACTGAAGTCAGCACTGGTCGTGTGTAAGACGGTGCTCTCCAAGCACTTATCCGTTTAAATTTACAGTGCCGTAAGATGAAAAAAATACCGACCAAAGGCAAGGAGGAGCAGGACGTGCTTTCTTAGGAAGAAAGCCTGATCGTGGTAGAAAATAGTCGCCAAGAGGTGTGTTAAGTGCAAGTCCAACTGGGCATTATTCAATTAGCCGAGCTTCACCATTACCCACCCCGGAAGAACCCCAACAATGGATGTGACAGGCCACTGTCACACAGGCGCCACCGCGTGTGCGCGGTGGCCAATCAGAGCCTACTATAGGTTTAATGGCTGGGACGGTCTCGAGTGCCGAGACCGTCTCGGCACTTAATTCCAGAGTTCAATTTGCCTACTACTTCCTCTGCTTGTGTAAGCACGTAACGGGCTGCAGTTACCCCGTTACACCTGGTAGCACTTCGCTAATCCGTCCAACGCCCAAGATCGTGATGAACATGAACGACACGTCGATGCCTGACGCGCCCCCGACGACTGCCACTTCACTGGAGCACGCCAGCTTTCCTCACCTGTCGGCGACCGAGTGGGTGGCGCTACACCGCCTCGCAGTGGTGTCTGGTGACGCTGTGATCAAGACACTGCTGACGGCGGGAACCGAGGAGCAACAACGCCTGGCCGCCCAGCGCGTGAACTCGCTGACCTCCGTCAGCGAGTGTCGACTCCCACGCAGACCAAGAACAAGTCCGACATCGTGAAGCTCGATGCCTCCACGTACAGCGGTGAAGGCGAGGGCCGCCTTCACTTGAACCGCTGGTTCTGCGAGGTGGACATCGCGATCGAAGCTCGGCAGCCGTCTACCGAGCTCGCGCGCACGCGCTTTCTCCTGTCCAAGCTGGCGGGGAAGGCGAAGGAGTGGGCGCTCGGCAAGCTCGTGGCCGACGCTTCCTGCTTCCCGACCATGGCATCGATGAAGGCGGACTTGCGACTCGCGTTCGAGCCGCCCCAAGATGAAAGCGTTCAGCGCTCCGCCTTCCTGGCGTTGAAGCAAGGACGCATGTCCATGCTTGAGTACATCCAGCGCGCACGACACCTTGTGTCGTGCATCACGACGCATCCCGTAGACATGGCGACCCAAGTCCACGTCTTCATCTCCGGCATGAGCGCTGGCTACCAGCGCTTCTACCTGACCCGGAAGACCCCACCGACACTCGAAGAGGCCTTCGCTGTTGCGCTCCGTGAAGACTACAGTGTGACGGCGTCGCAGGCTTTTGATGTCTCTCGGGCTCCAGTGCCCGATCCGGAGCCGATGGAGGTGGATGCGATTTAACGGTTCGGTGGACGTCGGGTGCCGACGTCATCAGCAAGGCCGCCAACGGTCTCGTCAACGCGCAGTCCCCGCCCGATGCGCTGCTACCGCTGTGGGAAACCTGGACATCGCGCGGCTATTTGCCGCGCTCCGGCGCCGATGCAGGCGAACGTCACGGCCGCGAACGATGTCGCCGCTCCAAAAAACGGCGACAACCAGTAGGTGCGGGGCTCCCTACTGGACGTGGAAGGAGCGATGGTTCTCTGGTGGCAGAACCTCCTCCTAGCCCTCCCGTGCTTCATGCACAACTCTTTGCCACCACCTCCGGCAGTGGCACGAGGCTGATTGTGCTCCGCCTCCACGTGGACGGCGCGACGCGCCCTCTTCGCGCGCTGCTGGACTCGGGCGACACGAACAACTTCGTTCGCGCCGAGAGCTTGTCGGTGTTACCGGCGGACATGAACATTCGCGACAGGCCGGGCGACATGATCGTGAAGTACGCTGATGGGAAGCCGCGGCGGACGCCGGCGCTCGACGACCTTTGCGTACGAGTTCGACGGGTTCCGCAGTTCCGAGGAGTTCTTGGTGATCGAGCTGAGCGGGTCGTTCGACTGTGTCTTCGGCATCCCGTGGCTCGCCCGCCACCAGCCTGAGATCAACTGGCTGACTGGCACAGTCCGCCCTCGAGACATTGATGTGAATGCAGTATTGGCGTTCCTGTGCGGAACGCCTAACCAGTGGCCGCATGTTGCCGTCATGGACCCTGACTCCATGACCCATGCTGCGCACAAAGCGAGCGATGGCCCTTCGTGTGCGGTGTGCGAACTCGCAACCCGCGCCGGTCCTGAGCAGGAGCCTCAGGACGTGTCTGACGTGGTCGAGCATGGATTCCCACGTCCCTATGAGCAGCGGTTCTCGGAAGCAGACAATGACGTGGTCGAGCCACGTCAGGACTAGCAGCGGCTCTCCAACGTTGAAGAGCGAGAAGATGTGGTTGAGCGTGGCCTCCCACACGCGGTCGAGCATGGGTTCCCGCGAGTGGTCGAGCGGGAGCTTCCTGAAGAAGAAGATGTGGTTGAGCGTGGTCTCCCACGCGCGGTCGAGCATGGGTTCCCGCGTGTGGTCGAGCGGGAGCTCCCTGATGAAGTCGACGCGGTCGTGTCCAATGACCTGCGTCCAGGCGCCGACGTTGTGTCCCGGCGCCCCAGTTCAGCGGCCGGGATCGAGCATGGGCTCTCATCGGCAGCTTCGAACGACACTCCACGTCCGGTTCGATGTCGCGGACGTCGCAATCCGCGCCGTCCTCGTACGCCATCGGCGGACTCGGTTGAGGATGAGGCTGAAGTGATCTCAGTCCTGGTGGGGGACGACGCGGAGGCGGCTCCGCGTGTACGCGACGTCGAAGTCGCACGTCCACCGTGCAACGCCGCCGAGATCACTCGGTTGCCTGGGCTCTCGTGGAAACACTTTCTCCGTGACCTGAAGAAGGGCGAGATCGAGCAGGTGTGCATGATCGTCGCCGAAGACGCCGAGTCAATTACGGCCGTCGCAACCAGTGCGACGGACCCAGCTTCCGACGCCAGGACGCGCCCAAAAGGAGCCGAGCCGAAGAACGCCCGTCAAGCCCGCTACGCAGCTCAGTCGTTGCCGGCGCTCGAAGCGGCCGGCAACCCAGTCGCTCCGCTCGTGCGCGAATTCATGGAGATTTTCCCGGACAAGGTTCCAGCCGTTCTTCCACCCGACCGCGGTGTTCGGCACGAGATTGACCTCGTGCCCGGTGCGAAGTACTGCGTGACGCGGCAGTGGCCGCTTCCTCGCGACCAAGTCGAAGCTATTGACGCCTTCTTCGAGAGTCGCCGGCAAGCCGGCCACGATCGCGAGAGTCTCTCGCCGCACTCCAGTCCGACGTTCTGCGTGAAGAAAGCAACCGGCGACTGGAGAATCGCCCACGCCTTCAACAAGCTCAACGAGGCCACCATACCGGCGCAAACGCCGTTCCCGAGGAAGGACATGGTGTTGGACACCATGTCTGGCAGCACGAAGTACAGTGCCATTGATCTGATGGATAGCTTCTATCAGATCTTGATGCACGAAGACGATGTGCCGCTGACAGCGGTCAGCACGCCCAGCGGGATGTTGTGGGAATGGCTCGTGATGCCGCAGGGGCTCAAGAACGCCCCCGCCACCTTCAACCGGATGGTGTACAACTTGCTTCGGCCGTACCGAGACTTCGCGCCCAGCTACTTCGACGACATCTTCATTCACAATCGTGCCGAGGACGGCATGACGGACGTTGAGGTCCACCTACAACACCTGCGCAAGGTGTTCGAGGTGATGAAGAAGAACAAGCTGAACACCAACTTGAAGAAGTGCATCTTCTGCGCTCCCGAGATCCCTGTACTCGGGAGCTACGTCAGCAAGGACGGTGTCCGCGCCGACCCCGAGAAGATCGAGGCCATCTGCGCGTGGCCGACGCCGCAGGACCAGAAGCAGCTCCGGCAGTGGCTGGGGCTCGCCCCGTATCTTCACCATTACTCGAAGAACTTCGCTTCGACGATCCGCCCGCTATCTCAACTACTCAAGGCAGACGCCACGTGGTCGTGGCGTCCCGAGCACCAAGCTGCCTTCGACGCGGTGAAGTCGAGCTTGTCCACCGCGCCCGTGCTCATGCTTCCAGACCACTCGAAGCCCATCCATGTCGTGCGCGACGCGAGCGATTTCGCGATCGGATGCGCCTTGATGCAGTTCGATGACGAAGGACGCGAGCGGGTCGTCAGCTACCAGTCGCGTCAGCTGAAGCCGGCGGAACGGAATTTTCCGGTCCATGATAAGGAGCTGCTGGCCATGCGCTACGCCCTCATCAAGTTCCGCGTGTATCTCCCCGGCGAGCAGACCTTCGCGATCTACACCGATCACGCGTCGTTGAGGACAGCGACGAGGAGCCCCCACTTGTCCCAGCGTATGACGCGCTGGTTGTCCCTGTTCTCCGAGTACAACTTCGTCGTGCACTACAAGCCGGGCAAGACCAACATCCTTGCCGACGCGTTATCGCGTCGGCCTGACTACGTGCAGTCAGGTCGCCACGCAGTTGGTGACGAGGACGACGACGAGTGCGCCGTATGCACTGCCGAAGACGTCGCTGCTATTGAGGTTGCAGCGACCGGTCCGCTCCGTGACTTGATCGTGGACGCGTACAAGGAGCTGCTTGGAGCTGATCCAGTTCCTGCGAGACCCTGGTACCGTGGCGAAGCGCAAGCTGTCTCCACGCAGCCGCTCCCGCGCCGACCGCTACTCGCTGGACGGCGAGTTGCTCACGTACCGCGTCGACCGCGAAGACCCCCGCGCATCGTCGTTCCTCTGGGCGACGATCTCCGAGCTCGGCTGATCCACGAGTTCCATGCCACGCCGAGCGGCGGCCACCTTGGACGCGAGAAGACGTTCGCGTCGCTGTCCAGAGACTTCTACTGGCCGCATATGTACATGTGGGTCCGGAAATGGGTACGCTCCTGCGAAGCGTGCCAACGCGTGAAGCCGAATCCGTCCAAGCAGGCTCCGCTTCGACCTCTCCCAGTCGCCACAGACGCATGGGCGTCTGTCAGCATGGACTTCGTCTTCGGGCTGCCCCGAGACACTCAAGGGCGCACTGGCGTGCTTGGCTTCGTTGATCGGCTCAGCAAGATGCTTCATCTTGCTCCTGTTGCTGCCAGCATCACGGCGAAGCAAACCGCCGCGATCTTCGTGGACGTGGTGTACCGCCACCACGGGCTTCCGTCCTCCATCGTATCGGATCGCGACCCTCGCTTTACGTCTGCTTTCTGGCGAGAGCTTTTCCAGTTGCTGGGGACGCGGTTGTGCATGTCCACCGCGTCGCATCCGGAGACAGACGGCCAAACTGAGCGCGCCAACCGTGATGTTGAAGACATACTACGCAGCTTCGCTACGTCGTTCAAGTCGTGGTGCACCTTCCTGCCCCTGGTCGAATTCGCCCTCAACAACGCTGTCCACGCATCGACCGGGCTGTCCCCGTTCTTCGTCAACTTCGGTCGCCATCCTCGCGTTCCAGCGCTCGTTGGTGTGGAGCGCTCTGAGGCTCCGGCTGGTCGCGCTGCTGAAGACGCGGGCGATCCCGCGTCACTCGTTCCGGATGAAGACGTTGCTGTAGACCCCGACCCAGGCCAAGCTGATCGTCGTGGCCCCGTCCCCGACGCTGTCTCCGCGTTGTTACATGGCGTCACCACTCGTCGAGGCTCTAACGCTCCAGCAGTCGGAGTGCGCACACGTGCCGCCACGCGGGCGGCACACGAGAGACCACACGCTAACCCCGAACGAGCTTCGCGCACACGTTCCGCTAGGAGGGCGGCACCTTCGGACATCGCAGCTTGGACTTCGCGCACGCTGATTGACCCGATGCCACGTCGGGCCGTCGAGTATCAAGACGCGCAAGAGGCGGCGACACCTGCCGCGCCAGTTCCTGCCAACTTCGATCCGCTCCCAGCGCCGCAGCCCCAAGACACTGCGGCTGTCCGCGACTTCCTGCAGAAACGTGAGTCGGTTGTGCGTTATGTACGCGACACCATCGCGGCGGCGGTGGACCGGCAAAAGGAATATGCTGATCGACGAGGGCGACGACATCTGGAGACGTTCGCCGTGGGCGATCGGGTGCTGCTCTCTACGACGGGCATGTCGCCAAGTTTGGTGACGCGAACAAGCTCGCGCCCCGATTTATTGGACCTTTTAAAGTGACGAAGGTACTCGGCGACGCCTACACGCTGCAGCTCCCTACGGCACTCCGGCTGCACCCTACGTTCTAGGTTGGCCGACTGCGACGATACCATCCCGCTGCCATTCCCGGCGGCGCCGATGACCATGCCCAAGTCGATCATGACGCTGCGCCATCGCAGCGTCAGCCCGAGGTTCGCGCATCTGCATTCCAGCGCGACGGTCCTGCTACCCTAGTGGACGCTGCTGGGAACCAGCGTCACATTGTTGAAGCCATTCTCAACCACGACGACCACCGAGATGCACCGCAGCGCGCACGCACGGATCGCGGCACTCGTCGCCGCGATGGAGAGATACCTTCGCACCGCCGGTATCTGGTTCGATGGCTTGGCCCGATGGACGACAGCTGGGAGCCAAGCGAGGTCCTACTCGCAGATGCCCCCGACTGCGTGGCGGCGTACGAGACGTCGCTTGCAGAGGGCGCGGCGGCGAGCCGTGCCTAACTCAATGAGTGCCTCGCAAGAGCAGACAGCCCAGCGGCGATGCCTGACTTCAGACGACGGACGACCTTCGGTGTTCCAGGATTCGCGGCGACCTGACCCACGGTGGAGTCATGGTGCGTACCACCGCGACGAACTCGCTTCATGCCACGCCAGCGCCGGACCAGCTGCACCAAGATCGCTCCGTTGAAGCCCACGCTGCTGCTGCGGTCGCGCAACAGCCAGCCCTTGATAACGTCCGAGACACTGCTGCGCTGCTTCACTCACTTCGCGCGCGCTGTCGGCCCGCGCCTGCCAAGTAGCGTCACGTCCGCCTCGCGAAGCTCTGCAGTTCCTTTCTAGAGTTTAGATATGTGTATGTTTCAATCTTGAGTAGGGGGTGGTGTGACAGGCCACTGTCACACAGGCGCCACCGCGTGTGCGCGGTGGCCAATCAGAGCCCACTATAGGTTTAATGGCTGGGACGGTCTCGAGTGCCGAGACCGTCTCGGCACTTAATACCAGAGTTCAATTTGCCTACTACTTCCTCTGCTTGTGTAAGCACGTAACGGGCTGCAGTTAGCCCGTTACAATGGATTCACCCACCTACACACAGGTTGAAAGCATGACCCCACTGGAGACTACTGTCGCCCTCGCGGATCAAGGCCAAGATTCTGGCGACGACTCATCTCTTCTCCTTCCTCGGCGCCTCTTACGCAAGACACTGAGAGCAGGACCCCCCTTCCCCGATTGAGAAGCATTTCGCAAGGAGGTCGGCAGCGCTCGAAGCGATTAATTACTGACGTGGTATTTCCCCTTTCTGAGGCGAATGGCGCGATGAACTACGCACCGCAGGAAGATTTGGTGGCACGCTTCCAGATTCGCCAGATCCACCGGACAGCGTTGCACACCCCACCTCTTTCAGATCGCGTCTCAAACCACAAAAGATCATCGGTCAGCTCGAGCCCGCGGCCAACACAGGACGTCAACACAGGCGGTGGTTTCGACCAAACTGATTCCAGAAACCAATCAAAGTTGACTTCACTACGATATTTTACCTCGGTGAACGCCACCAGCAGCTCATGGATTGAGCAGGTAGAAACTGCATCTTGGGCAATCTACACCAGTCTCGCCACACCAATCTCGCCATATTCGGCGTTCTCTCAGGTGCGCTACTTGGTGACTTTATTAGTCGCAGCTACCTACGTGTTGTTCTTCCCACTTGAATTCGCATTCCCGAGCCAGCATTTCGACTACGTGAATGGCATCGTCGGGTTTCTGCTGGGTCTAGACGCACTGGCTTCGCTCCACATCAGCTACGTGAGGAAAGACGGCTCCATTGCAAAGTCACATCAAGATATCGCCCTCCACTACCTGAAAACTCGCTTCGTCCCCGACGCTTTACTTGTGATCCCGCTTCTTGTGCATGTGCACCTCGGCGAAATTATTGAAGACTGGATGCATTTCTTACTCGATCTCCTGAGTGCAGAACGCCTCGTATACATCATCCGGTTTGTGCAGAAGACTTCGTCCGAGCATCTTCACCAACCTGGGGGTGGCTACGATCTGTGGGCCTGGCTGTTCTACTCGAGGTACTCGCATCTTCTCCGCATTGCTGCAACGGTGACTATGGTTGTCTGCATCGCTCACTACACGGCGTGTATGTGGACGGCCCCGTTAGAGGAGGCTGACGAGTACGACGAAGCTACCGGTTCGTGGCGGAAACAGTGTTCTGCAAGTTTTTACACTGCCTTACTGTTGCTCCAAGGTGATGCAATCGGTACGAACACTGCAGCTCAAAACCTCTTTGCGTCCTTGTTAGTGTTCATCGGCTCGCTCGTGTTCGCCATCATGTTCGGCCACGTCGCGATCCTGGTAACTCGTCTGCGTACCAACGCAAAATGGAGGAGGTTTACGCCATGACCGCCAAGCTGCAGCTGCCTCTCCCGCTGCGAGAGCGTATTCACGAGTACTACGAGCATCTGTGGCACGAGTACGCGTGTATTGAGAGATCGTCCAGTTTTCCAAGAAGCTCTCGCACACCCTTGGTCTTGAAGTCGTGCTACTGAAGTATATGGAAGTCGTGATGCATATTCCTTTCTGGAGGGACTGCACCCCAAGCTTCCAGAAGCAGCTGATGCAGTGCCTCGACGTACGCGTTTACCTGCCCAATGATATTATTATGCGCCAAGGGGACGTGGATGTTGAGTTCTACATGATAAATCGTGGCTACTGTGAACTTACATCGGGTAGCGATCAATTCGAAAGGGTTACAACCTCGATAATACCGCCGATGGCTACTAGTAAAGCTAGCACTACTAGCATTCGGAGTCGGCGGAGATCCTCAGTGTTACCGTTATTACCCATAGCGGTTGTTAATGACGGACACCTCCAGTCCGCGTATGAGCTTGATCCTGTTCAACGGCAGTACTATAGCACCACCGAACGCCCAACTGCAGAAGGAGGATACGAGGTTTTGATATCAAGAGGCCAAGCCTTCGGGGATCTGGCTCTGCTAACAAATTATCAGCGCGAGGCCACTGTACGAGCGTGACTCACGTCGAGATGTGTATTCTCTCCTGGGATAGCTTCCAGGCGGTACTGACACGATACCCTGCGGATCGACGACGAGTAGTTGTCAGTATGCTCACCTCGTACATTGAGGGCCACGAGTCCCGGCAACTGCCCTGTCAGCTTGGATAGTGGACACGCAGGCATATCCGAGTCCTCTCCACGATTCGATTCTTTCGGTTGTGCACTGAAGACCTCGTCAACCGAGCGCGTCGGCGGCTTGAGAACTAGCATCGGGGCAAAAAATATCCTGTGCATTAGGTGCATTTGGGTCACTCTGCCCGACAGTTTTCAAGCAACTTCAGGATCGCCTACAGTTCAGACTCCTTGGAGGATTCCAGTCGATTACCAGATTTGAAGAGCTCTTCAAGGCCCATCAAAGCCTGAAAAGGCAAATAGCTGACGCCTCCCTGTTAACCCAGCATCTCCAACATTCAGAACGCAGGCCAGTGGTTGGCCACATGCGCCGCGGACGCAATGGTCAAAACGAGTAGCAACTCCCCCCCCCCTTCTGCGCGCGCGCGCACACACACACACACGTTTCCGGATATCGAAAGAGCTCTATCTAGAAGGTTGATCAGTTGCGCAATGCCTCGTTCCTCGCGCTCTTAAAACCCCAGAACTTGATCTCCGCCCAGGGGTTACAAAACCAATTGCGGTCCACGGGAGGTGCAGGAATAGTGTCTTCCATCCAGCGCGCGTCCCAGCCCGTTGGGTAGTTGCGTCAGATCACCGATACCGTTGGGTGTGCGAGCCGGCAAAAAATAAACTTGGCCGCTCTCCACACTAGCAAAGTTCGTCTTGCCCACAACCGAATCAGTACTGAATTGAACACGAATTTCCGCCCCACCACGTTCCTCTCTCATGGCCGACGAAACATCCACAGACGTCGAAGTCATGACGCCAGACCTCTCTAAAGAAGAATTCTCGACAGCGTCAACCTCGTGGCAAAATGAACCGGACGTACTGCTGGCGCGCTTCAAGAGCAATGTGAGAATCGCGCGACGACACTCCACCCAACTGGCCCCAGGCGTCGTGTATCCCATCCCGGAAGGTACTGGAGAAGCTGCCCCCAATGGAACAATCGGCCAAGCAAGGCGACTGTTACGGCGCAGCTCAACCCTCCGCGGTTTAACCCCCACGTCCAAGCCATGGGCTCCGATGCTCGCTGGGATCAGTCGCGCTGGAGCAAGCTTGAAGGCTTATAATGACAACACGGAGGACGCCAAAGAAGCCATCTGTGAGACCCCATACGAGGAAATGATGATGCGCTTCCAGATCCGCCAGATCCAACGCACCGCGTCGGGGACAGTGGTGCGTGCGGATGACAGGCGAGGTTCAGCAGGCTCGAGCCGCTCCCCAGAGACCGACACTGCCGGCCGTATCAATAGCCCAGAGAACACCCATGATAACCCCATGGACCAGCCAAATCACGAGGAAGTACCAGATCAGCTGCGGGCCCAGCCACGGCTCTCCTCGCTACAGACGAGTGAGCGCCTCAGCTCCAGCTACGATGCGCCTGTCGTGGACGGTGCGAGCCACGCGAGCACGGTCCCTCCTTTAGGCGGAAGATTCGCCTCGTTTCCATCAAGACAGGTCAATTTTGCCGCTGCTCGAGCGATTGAACAGCCTGATCCGTGGCGTGACCTACGCGAGTCTATTATCGACCTGCTCCGTGTCTGGATTGACATGGTATTGACGCCATTTACACCGTTCTCCGGGTTTTCCCAAGTGCGATACCTGATGGTTCTGCTGGTTACAACGACTTATGTGGTGTTTTTCCCCTTGGGCTTCGCCTTCCCCGACGTGGAGCAATTCACGTACGTCGATGGTGCAGTGGGCGTACTGCTAGTTCTTGACGTGTTGCTCAGTCTTCACACCAGCTTCATGCAGCCTGACGGAACCATTGTGACCTCGCACCGGGAGATCGCTCGTCACTATCTGAAAACCCGCTTCGTAGTCGACGCTCTGCTTACGATCCCGCTGGTCGCGCATGTGGACAACAAAGCCGGGAGAAAATTCGGCGGCACGTGGCTTCACTTATTCCTCGACATCTTGAGTGCTGAGCGGCTTGCCTTCTTTGCCAGATTCGTCCGCATGATCTGGCTGATGCGGCTGAATCAATCCGGAAGCGGCAACAGCTTCTGGGCCTGGCTGCTCTACTCGCGGTACTCGCATCTGCTCCGCATTGCTGGCATTGTCACGATGCTGGTGGGCATTGCGCACTACATCGCCTGCGTGTGGAACGTCTTGCTCGAAAAAGGCGGCGACTTGAGTGACGAGTCTGCTTCCTGGCAGGAGCAGTACTCCGCGAGCTTCTACTCCGCGCTGTTGTTGCTACAAGGCGAGGCCGTGCCGACTGATACTGCTGGTCAAAATCTGTTCGCGTCGCTCTCTGTCCTTGTGGGTTCCATCGTACTTGCTGTCATCTTCGGTCACGTCGCCATCCTCGTGTCGAATTTCAACGCGAATTTCACGAACTACCAACGCAAGATGGAGGCTGTTTTCGCCATGACCGCTAAACTCCAACTGCCTCCTTCACTACGAGAGCGTATCCACGAGTACTACGAGCACTTGTGGCACGAATACGAGTGTTTAGACGGTGAGATTGTCCAATTCTCCAAGGAATTATCCCACACGCTCGGACTGGAGGTCGTGCTCTTCAAGTACATGGAGCTGGTCATGCACGTCCCCTTCTGGAAGGACTGCACGCCCGATTTCCAGAAGCAGTTGATACTGCGGCTCGATGTACGCGTCTATCTCCCCAACGACTTCATTATGCGGGAAGGCGAGGTGGATGACGAGTTTTACATGGTGAACCGCGGCTACTGCGAGCTCAGTCGCGCTCTGCATCGCTTTGAGCGGATCTCCAACACCATGATTGGTATGAGGAGGACGAGCAGCACTCCTGGGTTTAATACCAGTCGAAGCCAAGGAGGACTGACCGGGCGGAGCAACGGTGGCATGACAGGCCGTCGTCGGTACTCAGGGCTGACTGGAGTGAGTCTCAACGACGGCCATCGACAGTCGGCGTACGAGCTGGACCCAGCTCAGCGTCGGTACTACAGCAGCACTGGCCGTCGAACCGCCAGAGCGTACGAGATCATGATAACAAGAGGCCAAGCGTTCGGAGACCTGGCGCTGTTGATGAACTACCAGCGAGCAGCCAATGTGCGCGCCATCACCCACGTCGAGATGTGCGTGCTCAGTCGCGACAACTTCCAGGCAGTCCTCACCAAGTACCCGGACGACCGACGGCGCGTGGTTGTGGACATGCTCACGTCGTACATGCAGAGCTACGAGATGACACACTCGCGCTGTCCACTGCTTGAGCTTGTGCGTAAAGTTTACAGCGCCGAGGCGATCGCTGAGGCGTGTGCGAAAGCTGGATCGGCTCCACCGTTGCTTCCTCCGGTGTTAACAGCTCGCCAAGCCGCCGAGCGAGTTTACACAGCCATCAACTTGGAGACGAACGATGCGACGCTGAAGTTTGGCATCGGCGCGAACATCCGCGAGCAGCTCATCGATTTGCGCGAGCGCAGGCGACAGAAGCGTCAAACTCAGCGACACCCGCGCTCCATTTTGGGTCAGAGTGCTCGAAACCTTGTACAGAAAACTGGGGGTGACGTGAGGGACCGACGGACTAGTGAACACACTAGCGATATCACGGAACGAGACTCGGTCACGGCGACAATTGATCCACCTCCGCAAGAACCAGCACCAGTACTGCAGACACCACAAGCTCAGTCGGGTTTATCCTGGCAGGAACGGTTGCAACAGATTGAAGAGCGCGAGGTGGTGATTCTACGAGCGCTGCAGGACCTTCAGACGAGTTTCACGCTGCTTCAGGCACGACAAGCGACGCAATCTGCTCCTGCGCCTAGAGCTGCAACTCGACCTCCTCTTGGCGGCCCATCGCCAAGCTCAGAGCTTGGATCAGCGCAGAACTTGCCCAGTCGGAAGCGATCTCTACCGGAAAAAGAGATCCCAACACCAGAATCTGCTGCGGTTACTCGCCCAAGGCTGCTTCAGCGCATGGGGTCATTGGTACGCCGTTCTTCTGCGAATGTAGTGGATACCCAACCTCAGCAGCAAGAAGTGAAGCCATCACCCACGTGCTACGCAGACCAGCTCTTTAAATCCCACACCAAAGCCGCGTCGTTCCGCGTGCCACCCGCTCACAGACGACTGCGCACTCGTCCTATCCCCAAAATGGCGCGAGCCTCCACGTTTTCTATGCGTTCTGAAAAATCACCCCGCGTCGACACGACCGACAATTCCACAGCGACAATCTTCAATCCACTGGAATCTCCCAGCACAACGCCTGCCTCAGCGCGTGGAGAATACCCACCGAAGAAGAGGAGCTTCCGCCGCACGCACAGCCAAACGCTGCAGGCTCTAGTCGAAGGAAAAGTCGTCTCCCAGCCAAATTCCAGCGTCGCATCGGGGTCAAACCCAGCCACTCGGCTCTTTCGACGCGTGAGCCCAGCCGTGGCAGAGACCCGAGAATCCCCCACACGCTACGCCGACGCACTCTTTCGCCCGCGGACTATTGCCTTCGACAAACTCTCGACTGATGCAGACAGCTCGACGTAGTTATTGGGCGAGAGTATTCTTACAAGGCCTAAAATCCACAGAAGTTGCGCTAGCTGCAGCTTTTGCATTCGTTTTTTTTCAGTGACGCCTCGCTTTCTTGTTCTCCAGAATATGCACGACGTCGAAGTACCCAGCTGCCCTAGCTCTCGCTACTGCCTCGTCGACGCTCACTTGGTCACACTGGTCTCGCAGCAACTCCACCACCTCCACACGGCCTTCCATTGCTGCTGCCGAGAGAGCAAACTTGACAGCCAAGACGTCACATTTCTCCATCAAAACTTCCACGACCTCGCCATGACCACGCGGAGCAGCGCAAGTCAGCGCACGCGTGATAGTGTACCCGTCCATTTGGCTCAGCAAGCGCTCTACAAGGACGACAACACCATCCGCCGCAGCGCCTGCAAAGACATTCGCGATCGTGATGTGGTCGCAACTGCCGAGCACCAACTCCGCGATGTCCGTCATAGCACAAGCCGCGATCTGCGGCAACGCCCGTTGGTATGTGGCCTGGTCGCTGTGCGCAAGGATAACTTGGGCGACCTCCCGGCATTTCTCCTTCGCCGCCTTGACCAAAGCTTGCACTCGGGTGTCGACGCTGCTACTCTTCACAAACACTCGCGCCATTTCCGCGCTCTTCTTCTCCACGGCAACGTCCAGACCCCAGCTCACATCAGCGTCCCCACATTTGTCAACTAGAAGCTCCAGCATGTCGACCGCGCCGTCGGACGCCGCTTGTTGCAAGTTCCACGATGTCACTCTTCAGACCCTCTCCCCTGGCCTGCGTCGCCTGGCATAACTCCAGTGCCAGCTCCGCCACAGCCAGCTGATTGTCGACGACCGCCGGGTGCAGCAGGCTGCCTATGGGCATATCCACCCGGTCCAATAGCAGCTTAAGCATCACACACCAAAGTCGCAACAAGTAGCTCGATGTGGGCGAGATTCCACTACACCACTGATTTTCAATTGCTCTGCAGCTGGTACCTGGTACCACCCGCTGCCCTTCGTAGTGAGCATTTGGTATGGCGTCGCACGCCAACACCTTCACCACTTAGCAAAACCACTGCTAGGCCGAACACGATCCACTGCACCACAGCTCCAAGCACTTACTGCTCGCCTCGACCTGGGGCCTTCAGACCACCATCGTATACTATCTCAGCCCAGGCGACCGGTGCCGCGCGCCATCACAATCGTCTACCGGCCGATCTTGGCTGGATCTGACCATGGACCATGACGCTCTTTGATGTGGCCCCACCTGTCCACGTATCTCCATCATTTGCGTGGTCTGTCCTTAAAGCGTTTACCTTCGCCGTAGTCATCGCTAACACGGCCACATCTGCACGTCATCTCGTCTTCATTTTGCTTGGGAACTTGGCCCCGTTCGCTGCTGCAGCACCACGATCTCCTCGACGGGCTCTTCCAGCCGCGCCCTTCATCTCGATTAACGGGTCCGCAGTCTACACCAGCGACAATTCATGTGAGATCTGGTAAGGAGATGTGCAGTCTCAATCGTAGTGACCACGTAGTCTCGAACGTAGTGGCCATTGCCACAGTCTCAGTGGTGCTCAGTGGTTTTTGCAGTTCAGTATAGACCATATGAGGCCGGCACCTCCGCTGTGTCACTCGGGTAGTTCTCCATTAGGTACAGGTCTTCATTTTGTCTGCTTCATCTCTTCTTTCAGACTTGATAACATGCCGCAACGCCTTGAGAGTGAATGAATCTCTGAACGATGCATGCTCATCGATACAGTTTACTCTGTTCGTGAGCCGTGAACGGAGCTGTTCGGCGGCGAGATGCTCATCTACGGCCCCCACCGGACCGCAGCTCTTCGTCACCACTTGCAACAACCTTGAGAGGACTCTGTATCTGTTGCATCTGGCTCCACCGGCTCCGCACGTCTTCACCGCCATAACGCGAGTCCGAGTTCGACCGCACTAGTCCGCGACTCACAAGTCTTTCATTTGTCTCTCAGCTATGATGCGAAGCTTCACTCGACTCAAATTGTTCATTCATGCACGTTTATTGCGCGATCCAGTTCGCCGCATGTAGCATGAATGCGACTATTAGCATCCACAGCCACGATGCAGCTACTTTCTGCGACCGTGCATCAACCTCCACTTCGTTCCGCTCCACAATCTCCTCCTGCCCAAGCGGCCACAAAGTTGACAGCAGTCCAGCTCCACCGCTTGCTAATCTGGCTGCATCACTTCCGCACCATGCATGCTTGGCACACCATGCTAATCAGCAACATCAATTTTCAGGCTCGAGCTGTCTACATCTTCCGTCATACGGATTGCACATCTTCGGCTTCTCGGCGACGCTCCTAACTGGTACGGCTTGAGTCACAGCCACCTTGGTAGTTAACTTATCGTCACGGCGTTTATACCACAGCGCACATTATGCGTGAACGGGCTCATGCATCTAGCGTCCGCAAAGCAATACAGCATTCACCGATCTGCACCACTTCTATATAGGACCGCTGAACCAAATTCATCAAGTTCATCTTTTCTTCTTAGCTCGTCACATTTTAGACCACGTTCACCACCTCGAAATCCATACGTACGCCTGCAACGCGCGTGCACAGTGACGGGGGCATCTCACTCGATGGCGTGGCGTAGAATCCCAACTTGTCAGTGGTATGCATGATCACCATTCCTCACACTGCACTTGGGCTTCTTCGGTACACGAGCTCGTTTTTCACTGTCTTGTCCAAGTCCTCGGGTAGGAACTTGACAAGAATCTTGCAATTGTGCTTCACACCTTCATCTCCAGCGCAAAAGGTCATGCACGCCGTTGCGTCTTACAATCTCGTCGGCTAGGTGTATGTACGCCGTCACCCTGGCCTCGTCGGAGATCGACGCGTCGAGCTTCAATTCGTCGCCGAACACCTCGTTCATGTCTGGCAACTCCCTGTGCTTGAGGCTCACCGTCATCTCCTTGATCTTGGACATCAGAAACTCGTCCTTGAGGTCCTCGAAGTCAACTTTGTGGCCATTTTCCACTGTATGTTACGTGCTCCCAGCCAGGGCCACTTGCTAGACCAGCGATTCATTTCCTGCAACATCATGAGGTCGCCCGACGTCTGTTGGCTGCTCCTCCTCCTGCATGCGGTTTCGCCTCCACCACGAGACACAGGAACTCGCTACCCGCGTGTTTCTCACAGTCCTTGCTTGAGCTGACCACACCGCCGTTGCGCCTTATACTTCTTCTTCTATGCTGCTGCATACCGGCGTCCGACACCTGCTTGTCTAGGACGCCTTCTCTTCTGGCCACGGCCTCTGCTGTCATGATGCAGCATGTCTGCTGCTGGCACCCACGCAAGCGGGTACGCCAGCAACAGACATGCTCAAGAAGACGTACCTGGTGGCTAGGAAGCCAGGCGTCGCAGCGCCGCCGCCTCCTCCTCCGCCACAAGTAGCTTGCGCGCAGCGTCGCTTGAAGGCTGGCGCCAGGCTTGCGCAAGACTGCCTGACGCCCGGAATCCAGAACTCTACCTGCACAAGTATACAAACATGCATATATAGGATTACGAAAACAGAAAAACACTTGCATTTAGTATAGGTTAGCTCAGCTTCTAGAACGACACTAAGGAGAAAGCAAGAGGAAGACCTAGCGCCTGTAGCTAGCCCGAAGACTTAAAGGCATCAATCTCGCTTTGCATTTTACCCAAAAGCTAGCAAGCAACCACAACAACTCCACGCACTTTCGCTACGGCAGGCCCCACCGCATCGGAGCCTGTCATCTGCTCGCAACGTAGCAGCATCGCTTCACCAAACTCTGCCCTCTCGACAACGCAAACGTCACTCGTCTCCTGGAGTTCTTGCCGACCGAAGCTCCCCCAGCTTGAATTCATGCGTGAGCTCCCTAGCGAGCGCGGTCTTCGGCTCATAACCTGTTGGGAACCGCAGCTTCACGCAGGCAGGAAGCTCACTAGTTGAAAGAGGAATGAGGTGTTCTGCCAGGCAGCAACGACTGTCTGTGGAGCGTGTGTGTATTTCTTGACTGAGCTTCTCGCTCGTACTTAGTGTATCTTGCCTCACACTGTAGTCGTACTCACAATTAGCATGTAATGGACAACCTCCTTAGGACAATTCCACTACTGTGGGAAAACCTCCGGCACTTACTGCCATCACGGGGCGAACGACCCACATTGGAATATGCACATTACCTAGCGACCAACCGTGGGAATCAGTATATATTCGCAACACACATCATTATGGAAGATCTCGCACATTTTTAGCCAGTCCGACTTGGACTCCAAGAGAGCAATGTGCACACCATGGGAATTCAGCCCATGTGGGCGTCATAGAATTATTTTAACTACTGTATGCTATCCGCATACAGTAAATGTAATATGTGTTGTGTACTCGAAGCAACGTTGTGGGTCAAATCGTATGATAAATCTGCGGGATCCGACCCGGTCGGGCTGCCCGACTCGGGCAAGGCTCACTTCAGCATTTGCCTCGCTTAACGCAGACGCCATAGCCGATATCCCATCTTAATACCGATGAGAACTGTTCCTCGAAGTTCGTCGAATGCCACTATTTTACTGCTTGTTTTCGCTGCTACGGTCGCCGCCATGGAAAACTTGGGACATCACTTTCCCGTCCAAGAAGAGCCATTGGACGACAAAGCCAGCGCGAGAACGTTGAGATCCGAAGCGTTCCTGGAGTTGAGCTCGCCGACCTGTGAATGTAAATCGGCTCCTCGACCGTGCGTTTTCTTTCACGGTATCAGCAACAAGAACGAAATGGCGGAGCTCCAGGACACGCCCAAGAACACAAGCGGCCAGATCGGCAACATGAACGACCGCGCTCCATGCTGCTCGACAGTAAAATACGCGGTGATAAACACCGTCGACTTCGGATGGACGGCTCCAGCGGAAATTCTGCGGCCGTGCGCTCTCAATGAGCGATTCCAGTGATTTGGCTTCGCGTATTATCGATTCTCTTGAATTCGTGTGCGTCTGACCTCATTTTTGTATGAAAACTTTTGCGTTTCCTGTGCGTCTGCGCGCACACGAATTCTTTTTGCCCGTGGCGACCATTCCATACAAACTGCTGTTACGCTGGGAGATATGCAGAGTCCTTACGAATTTCTGTGCGTCAAACGCACAGAAAAACTACTGTGAGCCTCGAAACTCAATACCACTCCATCCTGATCGGAGCAGCAAGAGTCTTGTTAATCGCTAGATAGAGATCTCTGGGGGTGCGCACGGATGGTTGTGGGCTCTATATCGAGACGACCGAAAGTGTTTGCCGTGCATGACCGCGTTCACAATTCCCAAAAGTTAATAAAGGGCAGACTGGGAGCCGCGTCCTGCGTCGCCAGGACGCGACATCAATCCTTGTGCTACTGCATCCACGCTAGGGACGGCACGGACGTAACTAGGATGAAAGTTAAGACGAGTTGGTATGCCTCTAATTACCGGCTCACACCTGAGGGGAGATTCTGGCCGCTCAGACCTCAAGCTCCTCGCGCAGTTCGCGTGTGAGCTCTCTGCAGAGCTCTTTGCAGAGAGCTCACACGCGAACTGCACGGAGAGCTTGTGGGTGGAGCGACTCATACCACCGTGTGAGTCGCACGACGGTGCAGAGCTTGCTGAAATCATTACCGCGTGCCGACACCCTGCGTATCGAGCTAGAGCACCCTTATTAGCGACTAAGGAGGATGGCAAGAAGAGAGACGCGAAGAAGCGCTGCCGTCGGACATGTACACGCAGGATGGGAGGACCGTGTGTGGACGTTGCCACTTGTTGGGCTGCAGCAGAAGCAATTACCGACGCTCGCTCGCGGCCTGCCCTTACTGCAACCAGCGTGGACACATCGGTGTCGGGTGAGAAGCTCCCCGGTCGAGACGAGGGGACGGTGGTGGTTAGATCCCCACGAAGGCGCAATACCGCATACGTTCTATTACGTGCAAGTAAAGTGCGTGTGTTAGGTGGTGGTAAACTTGTGACGCCAGCACTCACAAACCGGTCGGTGCTGCTGCTAGCTCTCTGGTTCACCCACGGTGGATGAACAACTCTGGCTGGGTGGATCCCCGAGTCGCCACTCGAGCGATAGCAGACGCCACGGGTCCGCACCTTTAAAAGGGTTAACGCGAAAGTGAAAGGGTTTATGAGCTTCTCGGTGCGTCGAATTCGGACTAAAAGACCAGCGCGAGAAGCTTGCCAAGGTGACCGACAAGATCACTTGGCTTGTCGTTGGCTGGTCAAAAGTCGCACACCACTTCGGTTAAGTACGATCGCAGGAAAGTCGCACAAATTCTTGCTACATATGAGGACACAGTCGTCGTAACGCACTCGATGGGCGGGCTTGTCATCGCAGGCGCATTGGCGGCAGGGAAGGGCAGCTTAAGCAAGAGCTCGGCGTGGGTTAGCAGCAGCGCTCCGATGATGGGGAGCATGGCTGCGGACTATATCCAAGAGAACTGCAACGATGAAGTAACGAATTTCAAGACCGAGCTGTTTGAATTTCTCGATTATTGCCCGGTTCCCGTGGCGCGCAAGTCCATCACGTACCAGAACGAAAAGTACAGCTCCCAGGGACTGAATGCTGCGTACGCCGCGGCTCAGAAAGCCTACGGCGATAATGTGTACGCTGCAATGTGCAGCAACTATTACGACGGCGTGGTTTCGCATTACCAAACCCAGAGCATCATCGCGGGCATAGTTGTTCCACACAAGTCCCGTGAAAATGACGGTCTTGTCGAATTCCAGAGCTACGCGGCAGGTTTATCGGCGGCGTTGTTTGGAGATAGCTACGAGTATCGCTTTTACGCCCCCAAGCTAAATCACGCCGACACAGCTTTCCTCACCCACGATGGATTATTGGAAGACGCGCAGAAACCCTTCAAATGGTTTGAGTGTGTGCTATAGATGAATTTCGCAAAGATCCCAGCTAGCCGCATCTTCAAAGCACTACAGTAATTAACGGCTGGGACGCCTAGAAACAATCTTCTTTTTTTGATAACGGTGAGGTGTATGGAGTTACTGGCCATGTATCCGAACTTCTAATCCCTTCCATCCTCAAGAGCGAGAGGAGTTGGTTTGATATATAAAATGTGCATGTCCCTGGAAGCTAAGTCGTGGCTTCGCTTAGAGAGAAGAGGGCATGAGGATTTATTGTCCTGTGTTCGTGTCTGCCCATTTCCTGTAATCATTCATTAAGAAGCTGAGAGCGCCCGGGTATCGTCGTTCAACCAGGTCCCTATCTGTGGGTTCATCCTGCTGACTTCGTCTGGAATCCATAGCGAGGTTCGCAAGACAATCCGCCATCTTGTTGTGGCAACGGTAGTGGTGTCTCCATGAAGCCACGCGCACCGAATCTGCTAGGCACCGTGCTCTGTCATAAATAGGCTGCAGTACCCGTGCTTTTGGTCGCCTGCGCTCCCTCATCCTGCGTAAGACGAGTTGACTATCTCCTACTATGTGCACCTGTTTGAGTTTGCGCTGGTCCACGTGGTGTAGCAATCGGAGCAATCCGTTGAATTCTGCGAAATTGTTCGAACACGTAGGCCGTAGCAGCGAAATGCTGCTCAACCAGACGATTCGTGGTACCCCGCACTCGTCGACCTGGATGAGTACACTTCCGCTTCCGCCTGGTCCAGGATTTCCACGCGATCCTCCATCGAAGAAGCCGACATAGTGTTCGGGCTGCGATGGACTTCCTCCCGGAGCTGCGATGTCGTCTGGGTTGTGTTGGCGCAGACGCTTCCTCGTGTCCATGGCGCTGGCCCAGTCGCCCTCATTTTTCCGATCTAGTTTAAATGTTGAAGCCACAGTATCAAAACCAGTCTGTAGCCGAGCGTGAAAAGAGGCGTCCCGTTCATTTGTTGTTCTGCCTGCCGCGGTCGTGTTGTAAATCAAATCCACGCGGGCTCGCCAAATCGACGCTAGCGCTTCTACCACAGCAAAGCTCCAGTATTTGTTGACGATAGCATGAACTGCATCCGTAGTCGTAACTTGTGCAAACGGGAGTTCTGTTTTGCCCACTCCATTCCGTAACGCACGCATTTCCCAGGAGGATAAGTCAGTCTACATGAGAAGATTTCGGTAATGCTCGGTGCATTGGACTCAGTATCAAGCTGCGCAAAAATGCTTCGAGTAGTCTTCCACCTCCTTTGCGCGTGCGGGCATTCCCAAAAGACATGAGAAAGCGCGATGTTGACGTGATGAGTGCATTCCGCGTGGGGGCATGCTTGGCGCTTGAGCGGTGGCCCACAGCGACAAAGCACGGAGTTTGAGTCTATACAGGAGTGAGTGCTGGTATGAGGAGGTGCCTGGGATTCTCGAAATGCTCATCCATTGGACTTGGTCCAAAGCCGAGTTGATAACACCGCTTTCTCGGGCCCACGCAATTGCTGCGTTTTCGATTCGTTGTTTCCCCTTCAACATCCTTTTCTCTCCAGCGTGACGCTTGTATTTCGCTCGAGTTTGCGGCCACCTTGCCGTTCCGGCCCATGTGACTGCCAAGCGAGTCACCAGTTGGTACACCGTGGCGACAGGCACCCCGAGAAAAGTGGCTATGGCTTGATCTAACAGTGGTGGAGTGGTATGCTCAAGAACACTGGGCTCCATAGAGCCCCATGTGTGAGTTACAGCATGCGCCGGTCCATCACTAAGCAGGAGTTCATGATGTGGGTCTGGTAATTTGTGGCTGACAATAATGTAATTACTCCTAAGCTCCTTCAGGGCCACCCCAGGGAAAATTGCCAGTATCACTAACGAGAGATCACGGACTTGATGCGCAAGTTGTGACGCCATCGGATATGCAAAATTGCTGCATTTCCACTTGACAACGCCCGGTTTCACCCATTCCAAGTTAAAAACATCAATTACTCTGGAAGAAGCCGGTGCCAGTAGAGAAAAGCGTTTGCACATTTTTCCAGCTGTCCCGTGGAAGTAAAGAGTGGCAGATCGCGCAGTTTCAGCTGCTTGACGCCTTCTCCGACAAAGCGGCCGAATCGTTCTTCTATGAAGCGTGCGTAAGTCTGAACTGCGATGAGTATTGAAGGGTTGGTTTCAGGATCCAAGGCGGGAAGCGCCGCAGGAGAGGAAGGCGGCATTTACCGACAGCACGGAGGCAGTTAGGAATGGATATTTTCAAGTTCAAGGTGAAAATAGCTTTTGAGGAGAGAAAGCAGAGATGAAACCAACGCTCAAGTGCTAGGAGCAGTCATAGAGGTCGTAGCGTTAGTTTCAGAATCTCTGTCTGCCGCTTAAGCCCTCCTGCTTTAGCTTTCAGCCTTCAGCACTCCGGTCATGGTGAGACTTACAAGCCGCTCCTTCCTTCACCTGACACCTGAAGTGGTGCAGTTCGAAGCAGAGCATCCATTTTATGCTAAGGTCTTACAGCTAGACTCGGAGGAGGTGACGTTTCGCAGCTTGGAAGGAGGCGAAGGGAAACTGGAACGTGCCGTCGCCGAAGATCACGTGGTTCGGGCCAGTGAAGTTTCTCAGGCCGGTCAGATCTCGTTGCTCCGACGACCCGTGTCCGTCAGTTTAGCTGGAGAGGTTCAGTATGGACAAGTGACCTCGGTCGACCAGAGCAGGATCCGGTGGTCATGATTTTGTGGCAGCGGCAGCTGCAGTGTCAGTGGTGCCACCAGTGATTGTTCTGTTGCTTGAAGACGTCGAGTTCAGAAGCGACGAGTGGAGTCCTACTGACCTAGAGGCGATGGAGCAGTCAATTCTGAGTCAGCTGCTCGGTACCGGCGGTAGTTCTGCTTCAAATCAAGTGTCCGAGATACTGGAAGGTCTGATGAGTGAGGAAAATCACCCTAGTGGATCGACCCAAGAACAGGAGAGGAAGCTCATTTTCCACTCCAGCACGCTATAAATTTCGCTTATTACGTCGACGGAGGGGTGTCACCAGTGCCACGCAGCGTAGGCAACTCATTTTGCATACCACCAACGCCCCAACCGCTTCGGAGCACATCCGCTTTGTCTCGCGGCTCGGTTCAGGACGTGGAAGAGCTCTTTGACCCGTTTGCAGACGACGATGACTCGCCCCAAGACGAATCGGAACGCGGTGCTGAAGTTGGTCGGGCAAACACTACCACACAACACGTGACAAAACGACAGCAAGAGGTCACGGTTGCCAACGGCGACGATGGCCACGTCCCCTCCAAGCGACAACGAGTTCAAACCGCTATTGATCAAGACGCGTTGATTATCGCAAAAATAAGCGACGAACCGGACCTTCTCGAGCGTTTCTTGATGATTAGGAAGGAGGCCAACGTCAAAGCGCAGCCGGCGGAGGGTGGTGGTACCATGCGTACTCACGTACAGAAGCCATCCCCTACGACAAGGGGAAAGAAGTCGTCTAAGTACGCATTTGCACCGTCCGAGGAGCAGGAATTAGTTCACGAGCGCATAACAACGGAGAAGCACAAAGGTAAGTCTGCCAATGTGTTTTGCAGAGGTTTAGTTCGGTCCGAGCACGTGGAGTTCAAAGCCGTACCTGGAATTTGTACGCGGGCCTATGATATTCGTTTCGGTTCTGGTGGTCTTTCGATTCGACACTTTGCAAGACTATCGAGGGATGAGCGGGTGGCTTGGTTGGAGGCCGGTGGTTCAAACTTTGACAATTTGTCCGCAACTGCAGAATTCTCGGCGGCATCGCCGGCATCGCGCATCGAAGATGTTGTGGACTCTGCCAGGGTTTCCTCACCTATGCTCGCGAGTTTTGCTGTGCTGAACTGGTCGAATTGGTTGAGACCATCGTGAAGTTCACCGCACACACGCTATCGCAGGTATCGTGGACGCCAAAAGAGATTTCTAGCTTAGTTTTCTGGGTAAACGACGTTCTCGAGGATTTTCGTACAGCGTCTGATGAAGGTGGTGAGCTTCGAGCCGTACAGCAACGTTGTACGACCGATGACCGGTTGCTCAAGGATGTGATGTTTATAAAGGTGCATCGGCAAGTGCAGGATGTACGACATGAGATGATGTCGGGACCAGCACGGCTTGAGGGCCACGTTGAACAAGGATCCCAGCTCCGCAACGGCCGCAACCACGACGGTAAGAAGCGATTTGGGCGAATCCCTAAGGAAGTACTTCGCAAATTACCAGTGCAGAACGACCCCGCATCAGGAAAGTCGCGACGACTGTGCATGCGTTTTCTCTCAGCGGCGGGTTGTGCGGTGGACAGTGATGGCGGTTGTCCCAGCGAGCATGGGCATTTCGTTCCCAAGCAGCTACCCGCGATCGTGAAAAAAGAGATTGACAGGCGCTTTGGTGGGCTGAAGGACGAGCACAAAGAGTTATGACTCGTTCAGACTGGTCTGGCAATGTATCCATCACGAACGCAAAACGACCGACCGTCGGCGGTGCCATGCAAAGCCGATAGGGTGGCGCGAGGTCAAGTAGCAAACTGCGTTAACACAATCAATTCAAGTGATGGATCTCAGACGGTGTTGGACCAGTCTAGATTACGCGTGCAATCGAGGCCCCTACGCGACTCAATTAGGGTACCCACAACAACGAGCATGATTGGCGAGGTAATTTGTGCGCAGTCGGCGGGATCTGCGGTAAATCCGACAGCGCCAATGGCGGCTGGTTGCACAGATAGTCGTCAATCGAGGCCTTGTTATGACACAGAGGCAGACGCAAGGAGCGAGACCGGCAAGGTATCCTGCACCCGGGTAGCTGACTTGCGTTCAAAATCACTTGGGTCGTAGCAGTTGCCGGTGGAGGGTGCATGCGTTTGTCGGTTGAGGTGTTGCAGTCACGCCCACATTAGTCTGTCATTGGATTCGGCGCGAGAGATTCAATCATGTTTGGAAGCGGATTTACTTCGGGCCGAAGCTCGAATTTCCGTCCTGCACCGCAAACGGGGGTTCGTTAGTGCAAAGCGACCCGCATCTCCTGTCTACGCAATTGACGAAGTAGCCTGCCCGTAATTCGCACGCACAATATGTCCCTGGAAGAGGCTACGCGATGTGCGGGGTGAAAATAGCATAGACAGCAGACCGAACAAAGCCATCGATCCTGTCCGGCTGCGGACAGTTCTTAACGGCTATCAACATCTCGATCTACTCGTTGAAATTGCTGAGAAGGGCATCGACGTGGGGTGGAGACAAGGGCCGAGACCGCGGCGGCCACCACCGAAGAACCATGGTTCCTGCCGACGTTACCTACGTGCTGTCACAAGAAGCATTCGGGATGGCCAAGACTCCGGTCAATATTTGATAGTTGATGCTGATATCATTGAGCGGTGGCCAGAACTAATCTGCAGTCCGCTCGGTGCTGTTGAGAAGAAGGATGTGGACCCGATGGAGGAAGTGCGCACAATTCACGACTTATCCTACCCAAAAGACGACTGTATAAACGCTGCATTTATTGTCGAGTCGGTGCCCAAAGTGAGATACGAGTCAGTGGTAGTTATCGCACGGCGCATCGACAGTTTAGCAAAAGCAGGGCATGCAGGCCGGATACGCATCCTCAAGGGAGATCTCGAGAGTGCCTTTCGCCACTTAAGAACACGCGCAAACTAGGTCTTCAGAATGGCGGCATATGTGAAAGAACTCGGCATTCTCGTCGTCGATATGGCGGCACCATTTGGCTGGTCAGGTTCGCCCCCCTGCTACACACTCTTTGGCCGTGCCATCACGTGGCAAATGGGCAGAAGTTCACCTGCAGCGGTGTCCGACTCGAGCGACACGAACCCATTGTTTCCTTACGAGTGGGTAGATGACCATGTCTTGGTCGAACCGGATGTCCAGAACAGGTTAGAACTCGCTGAAGCTACTTTACGACACGCTATGTTGGCTGTCTTAGGGCCCCGTTCGATCAATGAGGCAAACGTTTCGGAATGGAGTGTGGAAATTGTTGCTCTGGGTCTACTATGGAACACCGAGCGTCGCACCGTATCGATACCAGAAGAGAAGATCGCTAAAGCTCGTGCTCGCGCCAGTGCGGTGGAGCAACGCGGCACAGCGTCAAAATCCGAACTGTACAAGCTACTGGGTTCTCTTTGCCACGTGGCTAATTGTCTGCCAACAGCCAAGCCGTTGTACCAACGATTGCAGACACTGTGTACATCAGCACCACGGTTCGGCAGAATTAAACTTACAGCAGGGACCAAAACAGATCACGTGTGGTTTCGGCACATTTTAATGCATGGTTGTTTTGCTGAATTACCGCTTGCGATGTTTGGCGAGCTGCCGGCACCGGACGTGGAGCTGTATACGGACGCGTCCAACCTCGGGCTAGCCGTGCTTGATCCCGCCTGCGAGTCATAAATACAGATCCAGTTTGATGACGAAGAGAAATTGCTCATCGACAAAGTTGGTAGCGGCCATGACGATTTTTCAATCAAGCGAACGGACGCACAATTCATGTCAAGTGTCGGAGTGACAATGCCGCAGCCGTGAGTTGGTGCAATCGGATGCACTCCAACAACGCGTTCAGCCAAGAAATAAATCGGGCGATTGGTCTGGCTGAAGTGTATTTCAACCTTCGAGTATCGGCGGATCATATTCCAGGATCGGCCAATTGGATGGCTGATGCAGCTTCGCGAGCTTGGACCGAACCATACATTGCTCGATGGACTAATTTTTCTTCGTGTTGGGTGCAGACACAAGTTCCACAAGAATGCAGGAAAATTTACATCGACTTCTCGAATCTCTTCAGTCCGAGTCACTGGCCACAACGTCCAAGATCAAGTATGCAAGCACATGGACACAGTGGTGTAGAAGGTGTGAGCGGCTTCAATTCGCAAAATGGCTGCCAGAAGACCGCCAGCAACATTCGTACCAGCTCGCCCTTTTCGCCACGAACTGCTGGAAATATGGCTGGGGAAAATCGGGATCGAGGAATTCTGCCTCGACCGTGCTCTCTAAAGTCAGCCATATTGCGTGGCATCGTAGGCGAACCCTTGGTTACATCGTCGGCCTTTTGCCGGGCCACCAACTCGCTATCACCGGAATGCGGCGGAAAGACCCATCAAGCAAGCCACAACCTCCCGTTACAAGCGCAATCCTCAAGTGCCTGCATGAGCTCCTCGATTTCGCAGTTGCCCAGCACCGTGTCATTTGGGGGGCTTCGGTACTGGGCTTCTTCTTTCTTTTGAGAAGATCCGAATATTTGGCTCAAGGTTCAAGGATGCACGACTACTCAAATCGGAGAGCGGACGTCGAATTTGTGGATGCTAGAGCCGAAACCTTCATGATGTGACTTCGGTGATTCTACAATTTCGAGGGAGTAAATCTGACCAATTTGGCAAGGGTACTTCTCGAGAATTGGCGAGATCTGGGCATCGGTGGTGTTGCCTTGTACTAGCAGCATGGTACCTAGTTCGTCACCACGAGGCGCTCCGTATTGATGCGGGCGAGTTACTGTGCAAGGTGGATGCATCTCACAATTTGCAAGTATCCGACGTGGTAAGAGCGATAAAGGCTGCTGCTGGTCGAGCTGGCCATAATCCGCAAGACTACGCCTCGCACTCCCTTCGAAGTGGCGGCGCTACGGCGCTGTTTAATGCTGGTTTTGATAGTCTGGCAGTGAAGCTGTTTGGGAGATGGAAGTCCGACGCAGTCGAACGATACACGCGCATAAGTGGGCAGTTGACATCGCGGATGGCGTCGCAAATGCTGCAGAAGCCCGCATTGCATCATGTTTAGGGGCATCCCCCACGCCCGGATACCCCGGCAGTGGTGGTGCTACAATGCAACTTCGTCATCGTTGTGCCGCGTTTGGCACGCCCCCAGAATCGTGAGCGACTTCGACTGAAAACGACTGCGAGCAGCAGTGCGAGCAGGTAGCTCTCATTCTTCTTTTCTCCAGTTCGAGCTCAATCGTTCAGCCTCACCAAGTGCCCTCTCTCGCGCTGCGTCGATGGAGACCCTTACGTACTACTACCTACGCCCGAGCGCCTTCGACACGCCCGGCTACTGCTACGGTATGGCCCGAGCGCCATTGGCGGGTTCGGAAGATCTCCCGATTAAGAAGGCCTTGAGCGGCCGCTGGAGGGATGCTGACGATTACGAGGTCGACCTCGCTGCGACAAGAGTGGAGAAACGCGTGGTTACGGAGGCGGAAGCATCAGTGGCATCGGAACCTATGTGGGGGGCTACCTGTGCCTGGCGAGAATCCCGAGTGACGGTCCGAGAAGATGGGATTATGGGGTTGTGGTCGGTTACACGTCGGTGGCGGAGCCGGCGGTCAGCACGCTACACCTCATTTTCAGCGATGGACCGGAATCCGTACCATTCGATGAGTCAGCCTTTGATGAATTACCCGTGGAGAGCTATGCAATGCGGCCGTGTCTACACCGCTCAGTGTGTGACGTGATGTTGGGCGAGATGCAGAGCTTTCACAAACAAGTTTCTGCCGATTTTAATGGAGAAGGCCGCCAGCGTCGTGCTACCCGCAATTTGGCAACGATTTTTTGGCGGTATGACATTTTACCTACCGACGAAGAAACCCAGATCCCTCTCTATGATTGCTCGCGTGGACAAGTTCCTCGAGTCTCTATTAAGTCCGTTCTCAATTACGTCTACTACAACTCTGGGCGGCGACGTCCACCAGCTAACATCGAGGTCGGTGCAACCTTGTTCACCAGCCTCCTTTGAAGAGCAGCTCAGGTTGCAGGCCCAGCGGCTCCAGATGCGGCCACAGTACTTCAGAAGCCAGACGGAGCACCTACCCGGACAGTACGCGCTTCTCAGGACGCGCGGCTACTCGACTCAGACGAAGATAGTGACTCGCTGGAAGTGTCGCTGCCATTACCAGCAACACGAACAAAACGTGTGCGGTCCGACGACGAACAGGGCGCCGATCAAGGACGGCCGCGCCGCCGCATGCAAGGGCTTCATAACCAGGCGGAGTCTCATTCCGCTATCGCGGAACTTGATGATATGATGAGTGCTCAAAATGGTGTCTCTCTCTCGCGGACCCATACGCTGCCTGTGTTGGGGTCGAGTTTTAAAGCAGCAATTCAGGCCATCTGCGGTGGCACTGAGTATTCACAACCGAGCCGTCTCACGTAAGTATGCCAAGCTATCTCCTGATGTGTATGTGGAATCTCTGCAATGTGAGGGTCAAAGTCTGCCTTTGTTGCTACACCCAGCTGTCCTGTGTCGTTTTTTCTCTTTGGATTTTGGTCAACGTGGTTTATCGATTCGCAACTTTCGTCTACTTAGTGTGAATGAAGCTCGCGAACTTCGACATCGCTATAACATGACTGACTTTTCGACCAAGAACGTCATGCCAGCCATGGACAGCTTCAAGACGCTCACGGAGCTGGTCGATGCTCTGTCATGCCTCTGTAGTGTGGTCACTATCGCGTGTTCGGCCGAGATCGTAAAGCTTTCTGAACACGCTCGGGCATTCGTCAGTGTGCTGATTCGCAATCGTGTCTCGCTCGATGCCCTCGCAATTGACGAGCTCGCATACTGGATTGATGAACGGTTCGAAATGCTTCGAGCATTGCTGGCGCAGGGTGAGGACCAAGCGTGCAGCATCGTTACTCTCCAATTTTCAGTAACGCACGAATCCTATCAGCAGCTGATGCAGAACGTCTCTGAGAGGCGACATGCGGAGCTTACTCAGCGCTTGGTAAAGTTCGAAGGCTGTCCAAGTCATGGTGATCGCGGGCGACACGCTAAGCGCCAGGGTTCCGGCCCAACAGTGAAAAGATCGGATCGCACCGTCAATCGTCTGGGAGTCCCGGCTGCAGTCCTTAAGGGACTCCCTGTGGAGAACGGAAAGTCTTTGTGCATGAAGTACCTTTCAAACCAGCCCTGTCGCGGAAATGATGGTACCTGTGTATTCGGTGAGCGCGGCCACTTCAAGCCGAAAAAGCTCCCCGATGTCGTACGAAACTACATTACGAAGAACTTCGGTGGATTCAGTGCTGAATTTCAAGATCTCTGATGGGGCCAAGGTGAACCGTTGGGCGTTCCGGCACCTTTGGATTTGCAACGCCCACTATCGAACACCACACGTGTGGACTTGCAGCAAGTTTCTTCCCCACGGGGCGCCAACGTCTCCTCACAGGCAGATCCGTCGCCCTCTGTACATGTTCGCCAGCTCCAAAAGCGGTTTGCAACAACACAAGCCGCACGGACGAGGCTACTCGAGCTGCACCAGGAAGCAGGACGTGTACGGCTCCATGCAGCGTTACAAAAATTTGATTTGCGCCCCCGGCAGCGTTCCCTACGCAAGAAGACACCGAGACGGCACCACTGTTTCTGATTGATCGTGAAAAACAACGCGCGTTTAGTGAATACATCCGTCGATCTGGATGCACGCTGCCGGAATTTGTACGACTGCTGCGAAACGAGACGCCGGACGATACTAGACCCAACAAGGCGCTTGAGATTCCAACTCGGAACAGAGCTTGGCAGTCGTACCCCCATCGCCAGTTGTGGGAGCAGATTGTGCATCATGGTGTCCGGCCACGATGGAAGTCACAGCATTCGCGTCAAGCGGAGCCTCCAAAAGATCACGGATCAGCGACCCGGGCTCTGAACATACTCGCCAAGAATATTCGAAAAGGTCAAGACGCCAACCAATATCTAGTGCTGGACATCAGTCTATTTGAGGTGCTAAATGGCTTGACGTGCAGTCCGTTTGGTGCAGTGGCAAAAGGTTCCGTGCCAATGGATATTGATGCGAGGATCATACACGAATTATCCTTTCCGAGTGGTGATTCTGTAAATGATGAGACTTTGCCTGGCGACGCGATTGACATTACGTATGATGGAGCGCCCGTCGTCGCCCGGCGAATCGTCGAGCTTCGAGAAGCAGGACACGACACTCAGATGATGACAGGAGATGTGAAAGATGTGAATGCCGCTTTCCGGCATATCCCAATCCAGTCTGACTACGTTGGGCGATTTTCTGGTTGTGTACCCGAACTGGGCATCCTCGTTATCGATCTGAGTTGTCCATTTGGTTGGACAGACGCTCCCGGGTACTACTGGGTTGCCGGTGCGGCCATTAAGCACCTGTACGAGCACTCAGCACCTTCGTGGAGCGGAATGATTCAGGAAGAGCGAGAGCCTTTCACATGCTCGGCGTGGTGCGACGACTACATCTGCGTGAAACCAGACATCGGCACACGTCTACCTGAAGCTAATATTGCGTTACGATCGGCTATGACGGAGGTACTAGGACCCAAGCGTGCAATGGCGACAAGTTCTCGTTATGGTTTGTCAACGGCAAGGCGCTTGGGCTAAACTGGTCCTTGGAGGAAGGAACCTTGTCGATGCCCAAGGAGAAAATAGAAAAGGCTCGCTCCAGAGTTCTCGGAATGCTTAGTGCTGTATCTACGACCCGAAATGGCTTAGATCAGCTCCTGGGAAGCCTACGCCACATCACTACGTGTGTGCGTCCAGCAGCAGCTTTTTTCCAACGGGTAGCGTCGCTGCATCGGAAAGCAAACCGCTACGCTCGCATTCGCCTGAACGATGATGTGAAGGATGATCTGAGGTGATTTCTCATCATTTTGGACATTGCACCGCTGAATCGCGTGGGATTCGACAGATTTGCCGAGCGCGCTACACCCGACTTCACCATTATTATGGATGCGTGCGACGGGGGCTTGTGCGCCGCTTTTCCCGCCCGAAAAGAGTTCCTTCTTGTGCAATTCGACGAAGAAGAACGGCACGAGATTTCGCAGCTTAAACAGGGTGGGAATAACTTTGACATTAATGTCCGTGAATTACTAAGTGCGGTGTTAGCGGCAGCAATTTGGGGGGGGGGGGGGGGGCTACTGGCACTCGACCTCGTCGCGATCGCATCACGTACGCTTCAACATTGACAACCAATCGGCTGTGTGCTGGAGCAACAAGCGGTCCAGTAGGAATAGCCTGGCTCAACTTCTCTTGCGTTCGCTGGCGTTGATGGAGGTTCGCTACAACTTTTATACGACTGCACACCATGTTCCGGGTGGAGAAAATGGATTTGCAGACGCGGGCAGCCGGGTGTGGCAATCGCAGACACACAGGGAATTATTTGCTAACATTTCGTTGTCTTGGACGCAGGTGGAAGTGCCACCCGAGTTGAGGAAGCCCTCGAGGCTTTGGGAGCACTTTTGCGAGCAGGTGCACTCGCAGAAACCTCCACTCAAAGCTACGGCAGAGCATGGAGACAGTGGGAAGAGTGGTGTGCGTTCATGAATTACTCTGCCTGGCTCGGTCGCGATGCAATTGATCGGAACGCAGCCCAGCTTGGGGCATTCGCAGTTTTTCTTTGGCGCTATGGTATGTACCGGCAAAAACGAGGCAACCAGTACTCTACAATTTGTGGTAAACTGTGCGCTGTCAGGTGGTACCACCGTAATTACAAGGGCTACGATCCTGGTGTAAATACTAGCCATGCAATACTTCTCCGGGGGATTCGGCGGTTCATTGATCCTGTTCGCAAGAAGCAGCCAATTACGGTGCCCCTGGTACTTGCCGTTCGTGGGCTCCTCACTCGCACGCAGCGACGACACCAATTGATTTGGGGCGGTCTACTTCTCGCTTACTTCTTCCTCCTTCGGCGATCCGAATACTTGTACATGTCACGACTACATTCTACGGCTCGGCGATATCTCTTTCCTGGACGGGCATGGCCAAGCGACCACCCCTCGTCAAGCTCGAATGGTCTGCATCAAGCTCACGGGGGCAAAGAACAATCAATACGGCCGCGAAGAACTACGGTACCTGCATGCTTCAGGTGACGACACGATTTGTCCAATACTAGGTGCTCGATGGATCTACAAAGCGGCAATCAATTACGGTACTCTACCAAGTGATCCTGCGTTAGCCACATCAAGTCGTCGAGGCATCACTTCAAAGGCGATGGCCTTTCTGATCAAACAAGCTGTGGTCAGTGTAGGGCTTGATCCAGCACGGTACTCCACGCATTCCGTCAGAATTGGAGGTGCGACGAAGCTCCTAAATGCAGGTGCAGACCGGTTGGTGATCAAAGTGCTCGGTAGACGGTTATCCAATGCCTTCGAGGAATACCCAGTTTTGTCGGCCGAAGGCTCGCGCGATATTGCAAGCCTAATGTGTTAGAGTGCACATCAAGTCGAGCCCCGGTTAGCATTGTCAGGCGAAGAAGTCGCAGACTCGAGCACATGCACAGTCGCGGCTGTTTTCACTTCACTACGGCTCGAGCTCTGGCACAGTCGTCAGCTGAAATCGCGATTTTGGTCTTGGAGAGATCATTTGGTTACAACTCGAGCCTCGGCACAGTTGTCAGCGGAAAATTGCCGACTCGAGCACATGCATAGTCGCGCAGGGGAAATTGTTTGGCAGCAACTCGAGCTTCGGCACAGTTGTCTGCAGCTACACCGACTCGAGCTGACGCACAGTCGGGAAGCTGAGATGTGACTCGAACTCGAGCTACGGCACAGTTTGGCACAGGTGAAACAAGTGCACTATCACGTGAAACAAGTGCACTATCACATGAGGGCGCGAAGCAGCAATTGAGTTTTGGGGCCGCCACTCCGCACCCTAATTTTCATAATGCATGTTTGCCCCACTGACGAAGTGCTGATTGTTGGAAACGGAGATCACACACTAACTTATCCATCGTGCTGAGCAATTATGGGCTTGTCAACATTCATTTCACGCGGAGGGTTAGCCTGAAAGATTCCGAGGGGGATCGCAATTGATTTATCGACGTTGACCTGGAGCCCCGACCGCTCTGAGAAGCGTCCCACCGCTGCGATCATTTCGGCTTGCATTTTCCGGTGCTTGATATATATTGCAGTGTCGTCAGCATATCCAGCAACGTGAAGTCGATAAGCCCCGGTTTGCTCATGTAGCATGATACCACAAGCATCTGCCGTTGCCTCGAGTTCGTCATAGAGGAGGTCCGCAGCTAGAATAAAGAGTACGGGAGCCAGTGGCAGCCTTGTCTTATGCCTCTAGTAACTGGTATTGGCGCCGAGGGGTATCCATTAGCGAGAAGCGTAGCTGTTGTATTGGTGTGCGTCACTTCGACCATGCGGCAAAATTTTGGCGGGAACCCTTTGGCCCGTAGCACTGCCAGCAAGTAGTGACGATCGAGCATATCATACGCTTTTGCGAAATCGAGTAGGAGTGCTTGAGCGACTAGAAGTTCTGGGTTGGTTTTGCAAACGCGCTTTGCCGCCTCGAACAAGTTGATAGCGGTGTGAATTCTTCGGTCGGGAACAAACCCGAATTGTGTTTCGTGGACCAGGTTCGAAATGTGAGAACGCAGTCTTCGTGTGAAAATGCGGGTCAGGATCTTGTAGTCGGAGTTGAGCAAGGCTATCGGTCTATAGTTCAGCGGCAAGCTCGCGTCTCCTTTTCATAATACTAAAGATGTAGCCTTGCTAAAAACTCGACGGAAAGGCTCTGGGGGCGGATGGAGCTACTGACCTCAAAGTTGCAGGTTACGCAGATGACACAGCCATTTACGTGGACGACGCACGTGCACAACCGGCAGTGCTTGCAGTAGTCAAACAATTCTCGCAGCTCTCAGGACTACGGGTCAATATCGAGAAGTCGGTCGCTTTCCCACTAAGTGTACAAGCCGATTAGTCGGAGATTGACTATCCTATTCAACGTCAAAGCGAGTGTCGCTACCTGGGTCACTGGGCCACCACGGTGTCAGATGTGAAGAAGGTTTGGGACAGAGCTTTTGGAGCACTGACCAGCAGGTTAGCACTTGCTGTTGCGAAAACAAACTCGGTCACCCAGCGGGCCGAACTGGCAAACGCTATAATCTTGCCCAAACTGAGATTCGTGGCCAAACACGCGTGGCCAACTAAGAAGACCCTCATCGAAACTAGCAGCCGGATACGGAACTTTGTCTGGAGAAGTTCATTTGCAAAACCAGTCGGGAAAGTAAAAGGATGGCTAGGTGGAATAGCAGCCGAACTTCCCCCAACGGAAGGAGGTTTCAACTTGCCCAACATCGTAACAGAACTTATCGCTATGAGTGCCAAAATGACGGAGATATGGGCGCTCTCGTGCACCCCCATCGTGCGAATAGCTGGAGATATACTTAGGCGAGCAGAATTGGTTGGTCCGACTCCTCTGGTCCCCGAAGTAATCAAAATTCCACCGAGCGCAGCAGGCAAGACACTTCGCGGTACCGGCGACAAGTGGTTCCGATTTGCCGCAACCAGCCCCAAAACAACAGACTCAGTAAATCACGACGCGAAGCACGCCTAGCATGCACCAACGCGGAAGGGGTGACTACTCGTTGGGTGACTGGGGAGCCCGAATGTGACCTGACTGCCATTTTATCTGGACCTGTGGCAAGAATTGAACGAGCACTAGGCGCGGATAAGGGTGAATTCATTGCCGAGGGCGTCATGGACACGAATATCTTCGATTTACCGTGGTCAGTGCGGCCAGGGGAACCCCATTCGATACGAAGAGCCTTCAACTTATTAGCCGACAAAGGCTCAAAGGTTGGCGATGTGATAAGCTACACTTGGATTCGGCAGGGTGTAGTGAAGTGGCGCGCAGAACGGATTGAATACTCGATGTCATCCAAGCAAGCGCGTCAATTCAGGCACCTGGTATTGCTGATAATGACGACTTATCCTGGTTTTCTACGAAAGCCAGCACCTCTTAATACATTACGAGTCACTCACAATGTGGGATCCCACCACAACTTTCAGGTTTCGATGCCACCGGCAGCAAGAGTCTACCACGTACAAAGTACTGGTCCAGCTAAGCGCGTGAACATTCGTCATGATGCTACTCTGGACGATGTAGTGGCTACGGAGCTGGAAACTACGGCGCAGACCACCTTCTGCACTCCACAAAAACGGCTGACTCGGATTTCTCCTGTTTGGGCAGGCAAGCGCCGCTGGAGACGAAAACACACGGCCTACAAACGCATTGTGGGAAGCCGACTAGCCGAAGCTGGGAAAGCACTATTGGATAAAGCTGCAGCGGCATGGATAGCCGAAGACCCGAGCATCGGCGCGGCAATCGCACACGTTGCCTGGAATGACTTACGGAAAATTAGTGGGATCTCGGTCTACAACTACGAACTCCTCTACCGATTCAAGCTACGCCGACTGTCAGGATGGAATGACAGCCAGAACTCGCATGCGTGTCCACACGCAGCATGCAATGGGGAGCGTTCCACGCTCTCACACATCTTCTGGAGGTGTGAATCAGCGCAACGGATGTGGAGGGTGGTCCTCGGGGGGTGGATGAACGCTGACGGCATCACCAGCGTGCTTACTCTGGCGGAAATCTTCTCACTTCAGCTGCGCCACCCGCCGGAACAGGTCCTGACCCAACTATCACAGATCCAAAGAGAACATGAAAACGTCACAGAGATGTAAGATTGTCTTTACGGCGTTGCGAATAGATACTGGAGAGCAGCGGTGGCTACAGTGATGGCTATAATATGGAGAAATCGTCTGGATCTGCTGCATCCTGCCCCGGAATCCCCATCGAATGACCAGGCCCGCATTGCCAGACTAAATGCCCGCCTTCGACAAGCGTACAGGCAAGTAACGCTGGACATACCTCTCACGAAGACGCGATATCCGGAGTGGAAGGTGGCGCAACGGATGCAAGCCGCGCTGTGGACAACAATACAACTTGCCCCTTGCATCCCAACAGCTACAGTGCGGCAGCCCGTGGGATTCTTTCATGGCCGGTCATCGAACCCCAAGCGGCATGGGGGATTTGGTTACGTGCTGGTACGCCAGACAACAACGGCATACTACAGCAGAGTGCAACCACCGGATAACTGCACAGCGAACGCGGCTGCTCTACACTCGCTACTCCAACTACTCAATCGAGCATATGAGTTAAATCTCCGCGGGATTCATGTGGCAGGAGACTCAACAGTGGTGGTCCGCTACCTTCGCGACAGACGCCTTCTCAAGAAGGAGAACCTGAAGCGTTTGTATCTAAAGTGCAGACGGCTAGCAGATCGGATACGGGTAGATGCATGGCATCACATTCACCCAAGCGCCAACACAGGTTGTGTACTACTTGCTACGACTGGGTCGCCACTCGACTCCGACGACAATCCCGGGGTCGACCCACTTACGAAAAGCTTCCCCTCATTGGAGCAGGCTATACGTGTGTTCAGAGGTCCTCTATTTACGTTTGTTTAAACTATAGAGTCCTGATATCGCTGTAGACTGAGCCTAATTGACGAACGGTGTTGGGATAGTTCCTCCTCCGGCGAAAATTGTTCTTGCAGGTAGTCCCATAGCTTGACAGGCAGGTGCTCTCGAAGTAGTACAGCATTGGTAAACTGAGATAGTTGTCGCAATTTGAGAAATCCTTTGATCGCTTTGTAGATGCGTTTGGAAGCTGGTTTCCATGCTATCGAGACAACGTCTTTGAGCGCTTGGTGCGTGGCAATCTGGGCCGCGTTTCGATACGCAATTTTCCATGTCCATCCTCTAGCGTCTTGGACTAGTTTCAGGACTGGTTCGTGAGGGTTACCAGGTACGAATGCAAGAACATTGCGGTCGCTATCTGCACGCCATGAGTACTGCTGCGACAGAGCAGGAAAATTTCTCGGCCTGGTGGGTGCCAGCGTCGATGTCCACACCCTCGCTGGAACGCAAGCAAAAATGCTAGCACACCAACGCCTCATTTGGCGATAATGTCTGATCGTAAACGGTTTTGTACCTCTTGGAGGCGTCAATGGATACACTCCTGGCGATTCAACCCTAACTTGCAGCTTCATTAGCGTGCAAGGCTGGAACAACGGGAAATCTTGATGCCGAAGGGGCTTCCCTTTTGCATCTACTATAAACGCGTTACTGCTCCACTTGCTGGTTCTCCAATAGTCAGAGTCTACAACCGCGCCTTGCTCGCTCACCGACACGTTTAGCATACACTTGATTGTATCCCCTCGAACCCAAAAACAGATAATCGATTCGCGAAAATCACCCACTTTTTCAGTTGATCACGATCAGCGTGCGGTACAATCAACCGGTCTGTCAAGTACGCCCAAAGTTCACTTCTACCTTGAGCTTGCACCGTCGACATCCATCCCGATTGCTTTTTGCGGCGTACTTGATTTGCTTGAGCTTTTGTCGTTGGAGTAAAGGCGCAACAGTCCCGAGAAGTTGGTATTGTAGGGTGCGCCAACCAATGCCAAGCTACTTGATAGTTGTCCGGTGAAGTCTGGATCCACTGCTCCGCTTGATTAATCCGGGTGATAGTAAGCGCCTCTTGAATACTTTGGAGCCCCATGCCGCCTTGCTCCTCAGGCGCAAAAACTAATCCAGGTGAGATTTTATGCCGAGCATTGACCTCCTTCGTTGTACCTTTCCATATAAATCTTTTTTGGAGTCGCTCGAGCCGCTTCAGAATCTCTATCGGTACAGTGAAATGCATACCAGTGAACAAGATCGCTGGTAGTATTACCGTATTGAAGAGGACTACCCGTTGCTTCACGGAATTAGTAACCTGGGTCGCAACTTGCAATCGTTTCTTACAATTCATGAGCCGTATTTCCCAATTGTAGCCTGCCGTATCGTGATTACCAAAGTGATAACCCAAGATACGAGTGGTATCACCTTTTGCAAGCACAGGGTAACCATGACACCGCTTCTGAGACCATGCTGTATTCAACGGGATCAGTACACTTTTCTTGGGCTGGACCTTCAATCCCGACATTCCTCCAAACTGTTGTAGAAGGTGGTTCAGCGGAACGATTTGACGGGTAGCTGGTAGAAAAACTGTACAATCATCTACGAATCCATTAAAAACCTGTCGTCTACCTCCAGAACCCGGAATTTCCAGACCATTAATTTCAGGGTGAGAAGCAATCGCTCGACCAAGAAAATCAATCGCCAAAATAAAGAGAAGAGGTGCGAGCGGGCATCCTTGACGAATTCCTGAATTAATCTCCCACTTCGATGACTCTACCCCAACTTGCCGAGGTTCCTGTGTGCAAACTGTGAAGCACATCAAGAAACCCTTGCGGAAAACCAAATTCCGTCAAAGCCGTGAGCAGGAAGCTGCGATCCAATGTGTCGTTGGCTTTGCACTCGTCGAGCCCAAGGATGGCGGCCGAGTCAGCCTATGCAATGCTTGCGTCCTCCAGCTGGGTCAGCAACAGTGCTTGGACGACTGTTACACTTTTAGTCATGAGCCTGCCCCGCACAAACCCTTGTTGAGCCAAACTGATTATCCGTGGGAGAAATAGATGGATCTGTTCCGCATAAATTCTGCCTAGGATTGTGTAAGCTGTGTTGAGCAGAGAGATTGGACGATAGTCCATTGCATTTCTTGAGTCTCCCTTCGTCCGGAGTGGAACAACCACGGCGTCAAGGAACGAGCTCGGTACCGCTGCACCCTTCTGAATCGCCTGATAGACCATCGTAAGACATTCCGCCATTTCATTTCAAGGTTGAGGTTAGATTGAGTTCATTTATCCTAACTAAGATAACGACCGACGCATCCACCGCCAACACCGAGCTCATATCTCCCGATGCCCCGCCGAATAGTTGAAACGGACTACTCGACTTCCGTCGATTTGGTACCGCGGACAGCGAACGCGGTCCCGCTGCTCCGTCAGCAGCGCCTGCCCTCCGAAGCTTGAGTTCTCCACTGCATTTTCCTGGGCCGACGTGCGTTCCTTCTTCCCAATGTGTTGCAGGCCACCAGCGAGCGCCCCAGCAGCGCTTTATGCGGCGACGTGTCGTCACCTTCCCCGAGTCAGCCGTATCTGGGTCTCTGCCACTGCGATTTTCTTCGCCCCACCGCACCATGAGTGCACCATGAGAGGACCACCCCGTCGCAGCCAGCTCCATGTAGCGCAGGCCACGTTGACTGACAGCATGCTCCCGCGCGTCACTACGAGTGCTGTGGAGGGTGTGCGCACGTTGGAGTGCCGCACACCCGACGATCTGGTGACCTGCCAGTATTGCACGCAACCTTTGTAGGCTATGACGACCAGGAGGGCCCACGGCGTCACCCGTGGCCTGGTTTGTAATGGGAAACGGCGCGATGGGCTACATGTAGACCACCGTGGACCCCCCACAGGCCCCGCCTTCCGGCTGACGGTCAAAAGACCGCCGCAATACGCCGCCGCACGCAGCGACGCAGAAATCCAGCTTGGTCCGCGGCTTCACCCCCGAGCTGCCCAGCCGTGGCGTGCAAGCACGCCGGCCAGGTGCATGCATGCCTTTCGCTGGTCGCCAGGAACGACTGGCTCCACAAGGGAGTCGCCGTCGTCCAGTCGTGGCCAATCAGAGCGCTCTCGATGCTCACCGGCGCGTTCTGATTGGCCGGACCGCTGGGTCAGCTGGCTCTATCGCCGCACTGCCCGCTGATTGGTCCTCCCGGCGACTTGAGCTCCACGCCGCAGATTGACGAGTATTCCGCCATCTCATCCTTGAAGTCCTTGTAAAAATCATGCGAGAGACCCGTAGTGCCTCCAGATTTATCACCAGGGAGTTTGTCGATCGCATCAGCAACTTGTTTCTCTACGATGGGATTCACAAGTTGTTGCTTCTCCTCCGGGCGTAAGCGTTGGGAATCCGGGATCATATGAAATTCTCGGAGAGCTTTCTGCATTTCTGATGGATCGAGAGTTGCGTGTGAGCCCCCCATTATATGGTTCCATTCACTTGCCATTTTTTCTGCTACTGGCATTGATTCGGGGTAGTAGCGACCAGGCGATGGAGAAATATCAGAGGTCGTTTGATCACGTTGCCAATCCGCGTGCCGTTTGTAGATGTTTTTAAGATTGGCTACCGTCGGTTGTAGAGTTCTGCCAAACGCTCGTTGGCCTTGTCGTACACGGGAATTGTCGGCGATTCGCTGTAAGTCCTCTCGTGATTTGGCTTCACAATTCAGGCACTTCCTCAAATTGTTGTAGTAAGACGTAGTTCTTTCCTTATCCATTCGCGCCACGTCGCTGAGCATTATAGAGATCTGCCTAGCAAACGTATCCCATGCTCTTGCTGGGCAGCTTTATTGGAGAAATGTCGCTTTCAACTTGTGTAGTCTTTTCCGGATTTGTTTATGAACCCATTCTGGTGAAGCGCTTCGAAAAGGGTAGTGCGATTTATTTTTCCTCCCTGCACTGGATTTACGTAGCGTGAGCCAGAGCCGTACTTCCTGATGATCGGATTTATTGCTCGGTGGCCGTGCTTCAATCCATTGCGCTAGTCCCGCAAGATCATTGCTCATGTAGAAGCGATCCAGTCTGCTTGCAGACTGCTTTCTCCAAAAACTAAAATGCGTCAAGGGGTCAGGAACGCTATCTTCGTTGGCATGTGTTGTGAGCTGTACCGCATCGAGTAGGTCGAGCTGATCTACCAGTCGGTCAAGCTCGACACTTTCACAGGACTTCGCACTTGGTAATCCATTAATTATTCGATCATGAGAAGGCTGCAGAACGGCATTAAAATCTCCCCCCAGTAGAAGCAGCTTGACTTTTGAAATCCAACTCTGCAGATCGCTATAAAAACTGCGTTGAGCCTTCCTGTCCGTTGGCGCGTAGATGTTTACTAGAGTCCATTCTCGAAAGCGTAGTCCAATTCGTCGTCCCGTCCACTCACTTGGTCTCCACGGGCTGACTTGAGCTGCAATATTCGGCTGCAATAGAATACCAATGCCTCCTGACGATCCTTCCATCTTCGACCAGTAACTGAGGGGTTGTTTCGGCTCCATAATACCCCACACCCGGTTCCACATTTCTGCTACCTCATCAATTTCCTCACTTGTCTTCAGGTGAGTATCTTGTACATATATAACGTCGGCTGGTCGCAGACTTGTACGTTGTTTCCAACCACGCAGCCACCCAGATCGACGCTCCTTTTTAAAGCCTAGTAAATTCTGTGTAATCGCATGTAGTTCTGCTCGATGCTGTTTGTTTTCTTGCTATCTAACCCAGATCCATAAAACAAATCTGCCATTTGCTGCAGTTCTGTATATAGGTCCGAGTCCTCCATTGCGGTAGTATTCAGCATCTTGGTTCATCTAATCCTGCATGGCCTCCGATTCGGTCGCTGCAATAGTTTCATTCTGTATCGCTAGTAGAGATTCTAGCGCGGCCCAGTCTCCATCCGAAGAGTTTGCGTAAAATGCCCTCTGCACACTAGGGAACCGCTGAAGTGCAAGAAGAAATCGATTGAGAACCTCTCTTGTGGAGAACTCTATCGATTCAGGACGCCCTTGCATTCTGCCTAGTTCAGGTGCATACACAAATGCAGCGATGAGTTTCCGCGAGAGGTAATCCGTTTTCCGCTTTCTACAAAGTTGAAGGAGCTGAACAGCGTCGGGCTTGAGCTTGTTCAGAACACCCCACAAATCCGGAGAGTGAAGATAGCTGTCATCAACCATTGTAGCTCTTTCCTTCCGGAAGAAATCAAGCCACGACATCATCGAATTGACAGCTTCTGCATCCACATCGACACCTTCATTTCGTCGTCGTTCAATCACTTCACCAAGCTTAGCTATGCCAATGATAAGACAATCAATTCGATATTGACGGGCCCAGTCCAGAATCGTATTAACTTTGAGCGTCCTCAGCACATATTCAGGCGAGTCAACTTGCTGTAGCCACTCGAGCAATACATTTGGATGCGCAGTCACCGCGTTTTTCCAGGTCACTGCATCAGCCGGGAGCCGGGGAAATGGTACTGAGCTGAAGTTTTCCCATCTTTCTTCCAGCGCATTCCACTCATCTCTTTTAATGCGCTCCGTGCTCCTACCACCTCCAGTGAATCTACTCCATTGGCTATCCGGAGGCGCTTTTGGGACGTTAGAGCCTAGTGGACAATTCGCTTCACGACTCGATCCAGATGAGGCGATACTTGGAGTCCATTCCGAAGTATTTGATGCTTCCATATCCACGTCATCATCGTCTGGCGTGGTTGTGCTGTCGACCCCATCTTCTAGCAGTCTCTGCTGCCAACGAACTAACGTTGTTTTGGGTTCTCCAGTCATCCTAGTGATCAAATCGACTTGCGAGCTTTCGTCCCAATTGAGATTGAGCAGAAGTTTTTGCAGACCCGGGGCTAGTCCATGTGGACCTTGAGCTGGGAAAGCTTGTAGCTCCTGCTTACGCTGTCCTCCATTCATGAGTATTTCTTGTAGCTCTGTCTGCTCTCTTTCGGATAGATCTGAATCCTGAAGTGCTGTAATTAAATCTTCATTTTGTGCATGCGCTGCCGTTGCCTGTTGTCGGTTTGGCTCATTTGATCGGCTCTGGTTATCTTGCATGCTCGAGTTGCGAACGGGTGTTGGCTGCTCGGCCACTACAGCTTCCAAAGCAAAACAATTCTCGAACAATTCATCACTGGGTGATTCTCCAAATTGTAGTCGGGTGTAGTGCTGAGAGCCAAAATGAATAACAATCGGCAGTGCTCCTGCCTTCTCCCCCTCAACACAATCTTCTTGCAGCGATGTTAGCCATTGGCCAACCGATTCACCTCCATATTTAAATTCTCCTGCGGACATCAGCTCATGAGTAGAAGTAACTTTACGGATGGGCTTGAAAATCTGATAACTAGCATCAGCGAGACCACTTGGTGCCACGACCAGATAGATCGGTCGCTGGAGTAGCTTCGTTACTAACAAGAGAGTCAGCTCAGATCCCCAAAAAGATCGAGGGATGAAAGCAGTGCTCTTCGAGCTGCTGCTGCATACGTCCTCAATATATTCGCGGAGATACTGCGACGATTCCTGAACAGGAAGCTCCCCAGCGCGCTGAATGTGAGAGATGAGAATTGTTTTTCTGATATCGTGGGGAAACTCCACATCAAACCCGTGTTCCGCTGCCATTTGGACTCCCTTTTTCAGTTTGATTGCCACCCTTTCGACCGCCTTTACGGTCTCAGGACCCGAAAAATCAACATTCAGCAACGCCATAGCAATCGTGTAGAATTGACAGTTATCAGTGCCTGGCGTCGAAACAGGATTTAGTCCACATCGCTTCAATACTTCAACCCCTGATAGCTGGCCGACGCTGACAAGGTCAATGTCCCGACAAAGGCTTGCTCTTTCTGGCTCGCGCAAATGTTGCCGCTTGTAAACAGCTTCGCAGTTGAGCCGATTTTGCTTCGACAACGACTCCGGTCTCACGAGAAACGTCTTGCCTGATGACTTTGGCAATTGCTGTTCTCCTCCCTCCGAATCAGATGAAGAGTCCGACAAATCGACCAGGTTAATAACATCTTCCTGTAGCTCAGTATCCTCCTTAGCTCGCGAGGCGTTCTCTTGAGATAACTCGGCCGCCGCTTCTCGTGCTGTCTTTCCTGGGCGGAACGTTCTCGATTTAGATGGCGTTTTCCACTCCTCATGCACTCTTGGCTCCTGCAACGGAAGGCAAGACTCGGAGTTTCCGTTCTGCTCCTTGACATTCTGACTGACATACGAAGTTCCGCTGATATTTTGGTTAGACTTCGTTTTATCCTTCCACATATTTTCCTGTTCCTGAAAACTTGTAACCGTGGATTTATGCCGGTCAAAGCAAGAGATTTCTTTCGTCGTGACTATTATACAGCCACTACCACGAGACCACGCATCTGAGTGAGAACGACTATGAGCAACTGCGTGCCCGGATACACCACAATTATAACACGGCGGTGCTGGGTTCGTTCCGACATGCTGCACAAGAATCTTCTTTCCCATCCAGTTGATGAACTTCACTTTGTCCAAAAACGATGGACACCCTGGGGACTTGAAGTAAATCTCCCATGCCCCCGTCTGGAACATTTGGCGCCCGTACTTCGGTTCTTGGAACGTACTGTAGCTGCCTGAGAACCTCGAGCGAATAAAGGCGTCTAATGCTGCCTCATCCATAAATCGCGATACGTTGAGAAGCTTGACTCGGTAGCGACCATGCTGCTGTTCATTGCGCACTCCGTCTACACCAATTTGACGCCTCCTAATTCTCGCACTGCGCTGCTTTGGAGTATCACCCGGTCGGCCGTCGGCCGTTCTGGCATTCAGCAACAGAAAACGCCGGTTGCGAAATGGTACACTCTTAAACACGGTGTGCTCGTTTCTCGTGTCCAGTAGAACATGTGCACTGAGTGCTGCTGAGAATTGTAGCACACTTGCTTGGTTTCGCCTAGCATCTGGGTGAGTTTGGCTTGATCAATGCCGCCTCGCTTAGCGCCTTGAAGAATAGCCCCCACCAGTCGCTCTCTCGTTTGAAAATCGGGGTAAACGGGGAATTCCATAGGTAGCTGGAAATACAGTTCTCCTTCAACTTGTGCATATATCGTGTTCTGGATTGCTCTGAGCATGTCATTATCACACGTCCTCTTTAGAGATTGAGGTAGTCCTTGCGCCAATATGTTGCCTTCGAGTAGGCCTTGTGTTATCATCATCTCCACAGACGTTGGTGCGCGTAATTCAACCGGGAAATCATGCTGTTCAGTGTACGCCGCCCGCATTGCTTCTATCTCCTCGGATGAATACACGTCACTCCGAAAGCGCACAATCGGGTTGGCTTCTTCCATTGGATCATCTTCCTGGCTATCTGCTGCTCGTGCTAACGGGTTCGCAGACCATGGGTTAGAGGTGGTTGTAGTACGGACCTTCATCTCGCTCTCTCTTAGTTCAATCGTATCCAGTAGAGAACGACGCGAGCCGTAGATGGATTTCGTGAGATCACGAAGCCGGTTCTTCCACTGCTGGCAAGTTGCTCCATCCTCCATGACCTGGGCCCAAAACAGCCGTAGGAGCCCATCTAATTCGACTTGCAACAGCGTCGGAAAGTGATCTTTTTCCTCTGGTAACTCGCCACTGCCATGCATCTTAAAGACAGTTGTGAACATCTCCTGCATGAGGTACCGATCCTCAGAGCTGACCGACACGGGAGTAACGGCTCTTCTATCCCCGGTGGTGGCTTGAACATGGCTCAGAAAGTTATCGAACAGTGTCGGGAACGGTAGCCCATGTGAGGCCGCACCTGGTGGTCCATCTCGAGGCTCTTCTTCTGGTTCTTCTTCCGTCGAATAGTTTTTGTCAGTTTTTCTTGTTTTCTGGTTTTTCTGGTTCTTCTGGTTTGCTCTTCTTCACATTGCGCTGTTTCTGGTGGTGATGGTGGACTGGAAAGGGGACACGCTGGGCCAAGCTCAGTCGTCTCTTCATCATCAGCCGTATTGCCACTCTCCTTTCCAGCTGTAGCTGCTTCCTGCTTGCAATCACCGCTATCCAGGGAGGAACGGCTCACGTTGCCCTCAGCTGCAGCTTCCTCCATCTTCTGCCTTGCTCGCAGCGGGGGGATCACCTTCATCTCCCATTAGGACAGCACTTCACAGGGTCGCGGTGCTCTCAATAGAAGGTCGTATAGTTCAGCCAAGACAAATCTTTCGCTGGAGGCCTGTGGATGGCTCCGTTCGTTGCTTCGTGTGGGTCACTCCCAATACCCACGGGTTAATCTTGGCCTGCTGTCGCTTTGACGGTTCGGCGGCTAAATCGGGAGTGGAGCAGGCTATACGACAAGACATCTACATGCTTGCGCAGGCGCAACTGGATACGGGCATGGCAGCCCAAAGCCAGGGTGGCAGACATCAGCAGATCTAGATCGTGCCAAGTTGCAGGTCTTTTGATCGGCTCGGTTGTTAGGATACTTTTAAGTAATCCAATATACCTCATCATCATCATCGACGGAAAGGCTCCTTCTTCTATCCATCGATTGTATAAAATCGTCAAAAGTGGCACTACAATATCACAATGATCCTTGTACCAGTCGTTGCCAAGTTTGTCTGGGACTGCGGATTTCCCACGCTTGCACTTGCGAATGGCTGCCTCCACTTCTGCTTCTGTTTTTTTGTCATCCATGTCGCTCAGAGCGTATTTGGCCCACCCTTTCTTCACCCCTCCACATATTCATCGATAGATTTGACATCCACGCTACCGCTGTTCAATACAGGAAACCACGCATCTGCTAGAATATTAGCTTTGTCCGCAGGATCCCGTTTCGCTTGCAGTCCACTCTGCTTGAGGTCATGAATAATGTTGTCACTAAACTTCGTGCATATTCTGCGAAAGAAAAACTTGGTGTTGGCTTTTCCAGTCCAAGTGTGCTGTCGCGAGAGGTTCCGCCTCCGCAGTCTTCTACGTCGTTGTTGTATAGATTGAAGTTGGTAAAGTAGCTGCTCCCTTTTGTCCGAAGCTCCGTGTTCCCTGCTTTCACACTTCTTGAGTTTCGTCAGCACTCTTCGTATGCGCTGCCGAAAACCTCGAGTCATTTTTCGTCGACGCTTGAGCTCCCCGAGCTCAGCTACTAGCCCCTTCTTGAAACGATCCCAGCTCTCAGCTAAACGCGCGGCGTCCACGTCGCCCATTATATCGTGTGCTTGCTTGTGAAAATCACAGATTCGAGAAGAAATTAGATTTTTAGCGGCGGCAGTCATGTATTCAGGCATGGGGTAAATTTTTGGCAGGCGTTTGCTGCGCAGCGGATTTGTGAGATTTTGCAGCTGGAGAGCAACACCGTCATGGTCCGAGCGAATTGGACACACGATCTTGCTCACTTGCTTAATCTACAACTGCATTTTGCTGGAGGTACCACCTGTCTATCCGGCTTGAGCCTACCCTTTCATGTGCAAGCTTGTAGAAGTAGGTTTGATGGCCAGCCGCAAAATCATTCCTTGCTTTAAGGCCCATATCATCCAGCTTCAGGTGGTCCAGAGCTTCAACTAAATGTAGCGATTCCAGCCATTGGTGCATCGCAGCTCGCCCTGCGTCTCCAGTTGTCGCGTTCGTTCTCCTATCGAAAAATGAATCGGTGACGCAGTTGAAGTTCCCCCTACTACGAGCTTGACGTTGTCGGGGACTGGGGCGTCGACAAGCCGCTGAAAAAATTGCTTGCGCGCCTTGGGATCGGATGGGGCATACAAATTCATTACTAGTAGCTCTTCTCCCTGCAGGATGCACCTAATGAACTGCCTATAGGCAGTCCACAGATGTTGGTTCCAAGGTTGTGCGTTGCGAATTGCCCCGTGCGGGTTGATTAAGATTGCAACGCCTCCATGACGAGCCCGCTTGCTCCTCCTTCCAGCATGAGCGGGTGCCCAGAAAGAGACGACTGACCGTGAACTCTGTTTGTATCCCCACCCCACTTTATACTGCTGCTCTGCAAAAGCCGATTCCACCTCATAGAAACGATCTCCTGGGTTCGAGTGGCCCTTAGAAATGAACTATCTAGCTCACTTATGAAGTGGAAATCTACATTCAGAGGTATTGACTTCGAGGAGTACAACTCTACATGTAGCACATGCTGACATTGGCGAGAGTCAGCTTTTTATTATTGCTAGATCATCGTTGTCTCTCTTCAATCGGAGCACAGTACAGGCTGCGCTGCACTGAGCTCCCGTAGTTTGTTTTGTTAATGACTTTTGCTAAACTCGCTGTTACTTACCAAACACACTGTAGCTATCCTATCCTTGCGTTATCTAGCAATCTGGCATAGCGGCTCTGTCTGTACCTCGTTTTCGAGCTGTACTGGTTCCATTCGAAGGCGTCTCGTAAACCTTTAAATACCCTAGCAGTGAACACTGCTGCGTATTTGGACACCAAATTAAACAGAAGCACAAAAACATACAGAATATATCGACCACGTATTGTATTAAAAGTACAGACTAGAGCGTGAGAACGAGACGCCTGATATATCCGGATTTAAAAGGGAATCATATGTGGCAGGCATCACTTTATGTATTTTACATTGACTCTAATACCTGATCTCATCGGTAAAAACGGGTGTTAGTTGTTACCCGTCTCGTCATCACGCTCTAGTCTGTAAATGAGAACCAGAGTCCGCATCGAGCCCCCCCCCCCCTCAGTTGAGAAGGTGGCCCTGAGAGGAACGCTACATCTCTCATGCGGTCAGCGTACCTAACGTAAATTCTCAAATAATACCCCTTACCCGTATAGTACCCTCTACAACGCAACCCACTGCGTAACCCAGGGTTACATGGTTACTTCAATACAAATACCAAGTATCATTTTGTGGGCTTATTGTCGAAAGCATATTTATGCATGGAATACTGTATAATATACGTAAATTATCAGATTTTGTTTGAAAACGGGAGGGTACTAATAAATAGTGCCCGGGGTATTATTCGGTAATTTCCGTTAGTGATCCAAATCGAGGAATTCTCCTGAAGTCCCCATCTACTTCAAGTATCATATTGTCACGCAAGCTATGTTTGCTCGACGTGTCTTAACGATATTAAGCATCGTATAATTTTAATAGAATTGCCACTATTTCAAAAAAATACAAATGCTGCAATATAAATGGCGAGAGTGATATATCTTACTGCTGGTAGAAACTACGGACCCCAAGATCTTGCCTAGTACAGTAGGAAGAAAATTTGTACTGTAGGTTACGAGATCTTTATAAAATCGATTCGATGTTATGGCGCAGAACCACTATTGTGAAAACCGGCAAAGATGTCCAGACCAGATTAGTTTGATTAGGAGGGGTAGAAAATATATAAAAAGGGGTATGCCAAATCCTAAATCGTATCGTTGGTCGTAAACCGTCCATGTGCAAATCTGAGAGCCTAGCTTCCTGAGCTACATGAATGGCCGCAGAGGTGCACTGCATCGTGCAGCGAGCTAGAGCAAGCGTATAAGCAGCCACTCGTGCCAAATTTCAGCCCCGTGAATAGTTCAGACGCAGACACATATTGCATGTACCCATCAGGGTGTTTCATGTAAACGGCAGCGTCGAGTTTGCCGTCCACGTTGACATGGGGCACCGTTCATATAAACGAGGTACCCTCATAATGCCAAGTGTGACATGGGCATTTGGCGTAATTTGATTATAAATCGACGGCAGTCCACGGTACAGTATATGATCAGGGCTGGGAAACGCCAAATCGGAGTAGCATCCTATTTATATATAACAAAACAAAGTCTCAGCCGCTTAATAAGCACCCAAATCGATCGATTTGCAAAAAAATAGGACATAGTGTTCGGTTTTCACAATATTATTCTGTACAGATCACTGATTTGAGATCAAGTCAAATCTAATGCATTGCCATATGGAAATGTTGATCATTTGGCGAGTCCATCCAGCGCAGTGCACCATAGCCACGGGTTTATTCCACGATTCGCCTCGCGCCCGATAAGCCTGTGTAGGATACAAGAAGGATGCGCGTGATCGCGGCGGTTGCTGTTTTATTGGGCTTGGTCGTCTGCAAGAATGCTGGGTCGACTGAAGCAATGTCAACGGAGATGACGCTGACGTCAACTACCAGTAGAGATGCTTGCAGGCCGCCTCAGCGAGGACAGGCGTCTTCGAACTAGTGACGCACTTAAGACCGGAGACAGCAAGGAACGAGCGCCAAATACTTGGTTTTTCAAGGCGCGTCTCCCCTGGAAGAAGAGTGGCAGGGTAGCGTCTTCAGACGTGAAGAAACTGGATGAGGTCGGTGCTGCCCGGCTGAGGGCTTGGCGTGACAATTACCTCGATAGCCACTTCATCGCGTTTAACAGCGAGCAGAAATCAGTCGACGACGTATTTGCTTGGGGGAAGACGCAGAAAATGTCAGATACAGCAGCGAGGAACGTAGTCAACCAGTATGGTGACTGGCTTGCCAGAACTCCGAACCTAGTGGGGAAGTAACAGGTTGGCTGGGAGTGAAAGCTACATGTTATAATGTGCTCCTTTATGCCGCAGCTCAACCTCAGATAATTCAGCTGCTTCCTCCTGATACTCTCGAACCCATTCATCAGTGTGAAAACATCCGAAGACGCAAATTCTTTCTCGCGAACAGTTCCCCTTGATGACATTACGCAGCAGTAGCATAACCTCGAATCTACCCTCCGCGGCAGCGTTGCTCATGGCTGCACCCGTGCAGCCTTCAGTTCGGTGCTCGTCTAGCCACCTGATAAAAGCTACGTGTCCGCCACTCGCGGCTCGATCCATTGCTGCTGAGGTACAGCCTTCGGTTCGGGTTTGATGCAGCCACTTTACAACATCCAGAGCTCCACAAGTAGCAGCACCGTCCATCGCAGCAGCAGTGCACCCCTCCGAGCGGTTATGATGCAACCACTTGACAACCTCGAGGTGGCCACCGCTTGCAGCTCCGTCCATCGCGCCAGTTGTACAGCCCACATTTACGTGTTCATGAAGCCATTAACACATCAAGATGGCCCCTTCGTGCTGCGCCATCCATTGCACTTGCTGTGCAACCTTCCGTTCGATTCTCACAAAGCCAGCGTAACATTTCCAAGTGCCCATTCTTCGCTGCATGATCCATCGCAGCGGTTGTGCAGCCTTCTGTTCGATGACGATGTAGCCATTTAACGACTTCAAGGCGATTGTTTTCAGCCGCTCCATCCATGACAGCGAGTATGCAGCCAGACATATCGTCATCCGAGCGCTTTCGCTTAAGAGTCCCAGCTTCCTTACTCATTTCGTGGAGAAATTGCACGATTTCCAGGTGTCCATATCTCGTGGCTACATCGATGGCACTATAGCATCCCCACTTGGTTTTCCTATCGCAGGCCCAGAGGAGCTGAATGCTGGAGTTGATGCTAATTTCAGTGTACAGCCACTTCACAACATCAGTGAACCCCCTCGCTGCAGCGTTTAGTATGGTCTGTCCTGATACTTCTGCGGCATTGTGATCTTCCCCCAGAATCTCATCCAGCTCTTTTAATTTCTTACCGTGACGATAAGATTCTCGGGATTCCTCTCGGCTATTTAGCGGTGCATCAACACGAGCATGAAGATACTTGGCTATATCCAAATGACCGAAAATCGCGGCTGTGTGAATGGCGAGACTTGCTTTCCTGCCCACGTTCGTCACATGCGTAGGTCGTGTGTTTTCCCGTCTGAAGTGAGCACAACAATTGCAGTCCTCGTCACGTTCACTGTCGCTGTCGCTATCAAGATATCCTTCGTCCCAGTCCAGCTCAACTAGCCAGCGAACAATCTCCATTTGCCCGCCTTCAGCTGCTTGTACGAGAAGGCCAGTTCTATCGCCCAAGTAGCTTTTGTCTTCTAGCCACTCCAGCATGTGAAGATGTCCGTTACTAGCAGCACAGTGTATGCCTTCTTCTTTATAAGGATAAACACCACGGTCCATCAACCATTTTACCAACTCAATATTGCCACTTGCTATGGCAGCACGCATCGTGCCCGCGCGGTCGATATGGACCGAGTATTGAGCAATCCAAATTGCGACGGCATTGTGGCCGGCATCAGCTGCAACTGCAGCAAGCTCGTCGCCCCAACCTACATATCGACGCCATTCTCCGTCATCTGCACTTTCATCTGGTCCCTCTTGAGACTGTTGCTCCACTTCAGCTCCGTTGTCATCATCGTCTCCCAGCGCAACCTCCTGACCACGGTCAGGGACGACATCTTGCGTGTCTACTTCGCCCCCATGCTGCTCGTCAAGACTCTCTTCTCCATCCGACTCTCCACTACTTTCACTCTCATTGCTGTGGTCAACATCGTCGTCGTTGTCATAGAAAAATTGAAGAATCTCCAAAGCGCCCGATCTTGCTGCGGCGTCCAAAGCCGGAAATGCCACGTCGTATCTGCTGTCGAAGTGCTCAAACAGCCACTTCACCATGTCCAGATCATTTTGCCGAGCCGCCTCCACCAGTGAGTACGTGAACCGGAATTGCTGATAGTGCGGCTCGCAGTGGAGCAGTCTTCGTGTAGTGAATTCCAGGTCCAGCTTGGTGTCACCGCAGCATAACCCAAGCTACGATCACCCAAGTGCGTCAGCAGCACGGATTGATGACAATGGATGATCTCTTCGAATGATTACTCCCGACGCTGAGGTGGTTACGGCGTAAACAGGTCGAGCAGTTGCGTGGCTCGCTGGACTGAAGTGTCCAGTCGAGCTACATGAGGATTTAGCAGGCTCAAGTGCAAGTTTATTCTGTATGTCCACTTCTTCGAGCAGCAGCTGCCTTCTAGAAGCTTCTAGAAGCTGCTTCTCTCGTTTGGAGGCTGGTGAGGCCACGGGCTGGTTACCATCAGACCCAGTGCCTCACCCCCTTCACTTTCGATTCTTCCTAGCAATACACAAAGCCCTACTTCCGTGCGGGTTGGCCCCCGCATCGTTGTGTGTTGTGTTGCTTGGAACCCGGGAACTACTACAAAGAATTCTTTAGTAGGACACCACTGCCCGAGCGCAGCCTGCTACAGACCGACTGCGCCGCTCAATGACGTCGAAAGCCTACTACAACCCCCTCTCCAAGTGCAGAGACCCAAGTCCCTGAGCATCCGGACGTCCAGCAGCTGAAGATGACGCGCTCGACGGAAAGCGACGGGCCGACCGGTTCTGTGCCACTCTTCGTCCCTATCCTGCCGCCGAAGATCACGTCGATCTCCCACGAGGCGTTGGTGAAGTGGCAGCGCGATCGGCGCGACTACGAGACCAAGCTGTGCTCCCGCTGCCGTATCTCGGGCGAAGACTACGACATCGTCGCCGAGTCCATCAAGGAGGCATTCGACGAGGATCTACTGGAGGTTTTATGCGAGCTCCAGCTGGACACGACCCCCGCCGCTGTAACCGACACCATTCTCCTGGCAGAGATCGAGCGCATTGTCGACAGTGTCAAGAACGACGCGCTGCCGGATATCAAGGAGCTGCTCAAGCGCGAGCTGCGCATGAACATGAGCGAGAGCGACGTGACCGCCCGAGTGCTGGACTACTTTATCCTGTTCAACAAGATCACCAAAGAGAACGGGCTGACGGCGTGCTTCAGCCACGCCAACGGCGTACGCGAGAAGTGCAAGCGACTCGTGTCGCAGCTCAAGCCGGAGGCGGTGAAGAACGAGGTGAAGCAGTGCATCCGCTTCACGCACGTTCCAGCTGCCACGGACCCAAAGCTGCTGTTCAAGCTGGTCGTCGAGAAGGCAAACGAGCACGAGCGGCGGTTCATCCGCCTCAAGCAGCAGAAGCGAGAACCCGCTGAACGAGACCAAGACAAGTCGAAGAAAACCCAGCCAGCCAAGCCGAAGAAAGACTGGAACAACAAACGGCCCGCAAAGCAGACTGGGGCTGTTAGTGCTGAAGCGAGATCTAATTGGAGGCCCGCACACTCCGACAATAGCCAAAAACCGTCCGGTCCTGCTAAGCCATCAACGACCGGGAAGCCGCCGCCAGGCCCGTGCCCGAAGTGCAAGGGAATGCATTGGATCCGCGAGTGCACGGTGGCGACGGAAGACGAGAAGGTCGAGCTGATCAAGACACTGCGCAAGAACAAGAAGGCGGAGCTAAAGCGCCTCGGAGAATTGCTGCCAAGTGGGGGCCGCACGGTGATGCTCAACGGTGTGCTGGAAGTACCGTACTGCCCTGACAGTGGGTCGGACTTTACAGTCATTGGGCGGTCGCACTGGGAGCAATTGCGTGCTCTCGATCCAATTATCACAGTCGAAGAACTATCTGTCCCCGTGGAGAACCAGACGTTTGACTCCACGGTGGTGACGGCCCGCCTGAAGGCCAAGCTACACGTAATGATCCACAGAGCAGTCGGCCCTGTTGAACCTATGAGCATGGCGACGTGTTGGTGGTGGATGTCGACGATGGTGAGTTAATCGTTGGAAATAACCTCCTACTATCGCTCGGCATTAATGTTGATCACCAGCTGGAGCAGCTGGCCTCGCGTGATGAAGATGAACTAAGTGGAGATCCGATCAATTTGGAGGCAGATGAAATGCCTGTTGGCGCCGATGGATCCCCGCCAAGTGATGATGACGACATTTTTGCTGCAGTGGAACGATTGATTGACCGCGCCGTGGAGAACGGATTTCCGCTGGAGCATGTGGAGCAGCTGTGCAAGATCGCGCACGCGTACGATGTGTGGCGCCTCGAGTTGCGTGCTGACCCACCGGCAAACGTGCCGCCCCTGGAAGTGCGTCTGCAGAGCGGGGCTCGCCCAGCTAAGTGACTGGTGTACGAGAACCCCAAGAGCCGCTGGTCGAGCCCCGTTTTGCCAGTCAAGAAATCGGCCGACCTCATGGACCTCCGCCAGACTACCGACTACCGAGCAGTCAACTCGCTGACGATCGCCATGGCGGCGGTGATGCCTATTCTTTCGTTAGTTCTGGAAAACGCCCGAGGAATGAAGCACTTTGGTCTTTTTGATTTCCTCAAGGGTTTCTGGCAGTTGCCGCTTGCAGAGCTCTGCCAAGCGTTTTTCTCCTATTTGACTGACATGAAGACTTTCACGCCGCGTCGAGTGCCGCAAAGAAGCAGTGACGCTGCCATTCACTTCAAGAAGACAATGGAGGAGTGTTTCTCAACCTTACTCTACGAGCACCTTCTGATCTGGATTGACGACCTGCTATTGTACGCTGCGGACATCGAGACCTACTTGATTAAGCTGGCGGAGCTGTTCTCACTGCTCAACCAGTTTGGCCTCAAGTTGAGTGCTAAGAAATGCAGTTTGTACCAGACCAAGGTGAAGTGGTGTGGTCGCGTTATTGATCACCAAGGTGTGCGGCATGATACCGAGCGCATTGATACTCTGCGAGCACTCCCGTACCCGTGTACTGCTGCGGAGCTGCAGCAGTTTGTCTGCGCCATCAATTGGATGCGCGAGAGTATCGTCGATTTCGCGCGCCAAGTCGCACACCTGCAGCGCCGATTGGATGCAGCACGTGCCGACACTAAACGAACAAGACGTGCTGCCGCAGGTATTGAGATCGATTTGACTGAATAAGAGCGCCGGGTGTATGATCACGTGAAGGAGCTGCTTGCAACGTCCGCCACGCTCGACTTCCCTGATGACAACGCGACCACGTGCCTGTTTTCAGACGCATCGGACGTCGGTTGGTCGTTGATCGTGACCCAAGTTGCGGCGTTTGACTCTTCCAAGCCTGCCACGGAACAGCAACACCGCTTGATCCACTGCATGAGCGGGACGTTCACGGGCAGCCAACTAAACTGGTCAATTATCGAGAACGAAGCACTACCAATAGTCATTGCGTGCGAGAAGCTGGACTACTTGCTTCTCCGCCCAAAACCCTTCAGGATGTAGTGCGATCATAGGAACCTGATTCACGTCTTCGCCCCACACGAAAGCGTGAAAAAGCATATCAAGGGCAAGCTTCTAAGATGGGCGATGAAGCTGATGAACTTTCGATACGTCGTAGAGCATGTGCCTGGACCAGATAATGTGTGGGCAGACATGATTTCTCGTTGGGCTGGGAACCATGTGCCCGCTGTTTCCGTCAAACGGATAAAAGCAGTACGGCGACAACAAGGGGCCGAGCGACACGCGTCGCCCTTGCTAAGGCCTCTCGATGACGACGGCTTCATTTGGCCTACGCTGGAGGAGCTGCGCGAGTTCCAAGCGAAGTTTTCACCTCCACCAAAGGCCGAGCGCGGTGAGAATAGCGTCATAACGCTTGGGCACCGCATCTGGGTGCCGCGTGAAGCTACGGATTTGATCCAGCGACTGTGCGTCGTGGCGCACTGCGGAGCCCAAGGCCATCGGGGACAACAAGCAATGATAGTCTACCTGAATCGACTGTTTGCAATTGATCGTCTGACGAAGACGGTGGCAACTTTTGTGAGTGGATGTTCGTTGTGTCTACACTCTCACGGAGGCAAGATAATCCCGAGGCCATGGGGTCAGCAGATTGACTGCAGTACACGGAACGCCGTGTTACATTTTGATTTCATATACCTGGGACCGAGTTATGGTGCGAGCAAGTACCTTTTGGTCCTGAAAGACCACGCAACCCATTACTGTGAGCTGATAGTCGCGGATACACCTGAGAGTCACGTCGTGGTGGACGCGTTGTTGGATTGGCACCCGCGGTTTGGAGTTCCACCTGACTGGATATCCGACCAAGGATCACACTTCAAGTGTGAGGTAGTCGCCGAGCTCTGACGCCGCCTCCGCTCCCAGCCGTCGTTCACACCTGCGTACAGTCCGTGGGTGAACGGTTCAATTGAACGAATCAATCGCGACATTCTTCAAGTCATTCGTGCCATGATACTCGAGTACAAGGTAAGCTACAAGGACTGGGTGTACCTGGTGCCGATGATCCAGTCAAATCTCAACCATTCTGCTGTGCCTTCGCTCGGAAATCGCGCTCCAGTAGAGCTGTTCACGGGTCTCGAGTGCCCGACTCCATTGAAGGAGTTTTATCTACCTGACAAGAACGACCTGCAAGAAATTCCTGCAAGTGATGAAATTGATGCGTTCCTGGACACACTTCGCGCGAGTATCCAGAACATGCACAACGCCGTCGCCGACAAAAAGGAAAAACAACGTCTCCTCAACAAACGGCGAGAACGAGGCGAAAATATGGTGAATTTCGCGCCCGGAGACTACGTGCTGCGTTCCAGAGTCGACGAGAAGCACCGCAACAAATTGCAGGTGACGTGGGTTGGCCCTTATATGGTGGTGCGAGCTGATAAGCATTCGTTTGGCGTATAACATCTCATCACAGGTGAAGAGCTGGACGTGCATCCCTCCAGGCTCAAGTTTTATGCGGACGACAGCCTGAACGTTTCCGAGGAGTTGCTGGAGCACGTGGCATCGCAAGGCATCGTGATCGCGGCGGATTAACTCAAAGGCCACCGCTGGAACGAAAACATCGAGGACTACGAGATTTTGGTCGGGTGGAAAGGTTTCCAGGCCATAGAAGACTCCTACGAGCCGCTGAGTGATGTGGCTAAGGAGATTCGTGTTTTGGTGAACAACTATGTACTGCATGCTGAGGACCAGGCGCTCGCGGAGCATTGGCAAAAGCTGCACGGGAACACAAGGCAGAGCGCCGACGGGCAACCTGTAGTTCCCGGCGCTACGTCGACCGGTGAATCGCGTGTGCCACCAGGCAACGCGGGACAGGCAAGGCGCCGACTATCCGGGAACAAGCGGCGAAAACGTGATGGAGGTGCTGGTCGCAGTGCTCCACAATCTGATAATGGCGATCGAGCTGGAGCAAGGCCTCTTGCTGCGAGCAAAAAAGGCAAGCGTCCGAAGACAAGAGTCGCAGAGGCTGGACAGCCTCCAAGTGGCGGTCAACGACGTTCTCGCCGTTCAAATCGCTCTCGTAAGGACCATGACCAGCACGACTAGCTTTCTTGCGGAGAACTGCAGTCGCTGTCGGCGATCGAGATGATATGAGTGGTGACACAAGCTTCGGGGGTAGTGTAGTGAATTCCAGGTCCAGCTTGGTGTCACCGCAGCATAACCCAAGCTACGATCACCCAAGTGCGTCAGCAGCACGGATTGATGACAATGGATGATCTCTTCGAATGATTACTCCCGACGCTGAGGTGGTTACGGCGTAAACAGGTCGAGCAGTTGCGTGGCTCGCTGGACTGAAGTGTCCAGTCGGGCTACATGAGGATTTAGTAGGCTCAAGTGCAAGTTTATTCTGTATGTCCACTTCTCCGAGCAGCAGCTGCCTTCTAGAAGCTTCTAGAAGCTGCTTCTCTCGTTTGGAGGCTGGTGAGGCCACGGGCTGGTTACCATCAGACCCAGTGCCTCACCCCCTTCACTTTCGATTCTTCCTAGCAATACACAAAGCCCTACTTCCGTGCGGGTTGGGCCCCGCATCGTTGTGTGTTGTGTTGCTTGAAACCCGGGAAATACTACACTTCGTATCGACCACTTGGAGTCTTCGTATTCGTGGCGGTTACCGACACTTGTCCAAATTCGCTCCAAGAGCGCAAGGGACCCAAAACGGCTCGCTTTGGCGAGTGGGAGCTCGACGGAAGAGTATGCGAACCCAGACACGCAGTCCAGCGCGTGAGGCAGCGCGCCGAATTCCTCCTTCGAGCGGAATAGCAGCTCGACGATGAGCAGTGGCTAGAGTCGACCATGTGCGTCCATTCTTGGTTGGGGAAATACTTCCGTACGTACACCAAATGCATGACAATCTACATACGGTTTTTGACGCTGAAGTTATTATCGTATTTACGGTATCAGGTACGGTACTCGATCGACACGGATCATTTGGCGCCAAAGAGGGCGGGCGGGGCGCGAGAATGCGCCGCCAGCCGACAGCACCAAGCGTGTCTGCAAGACTAACTCTACCAAGCCCAGCAAGACGCACCCCCACCCAACAGCCAACAGGGCAGCGTGAAGAAAACCAGGGCCCCAGTTCCCTCGAAGTACGAAAAGCTACATGGCGCCAATTTCCCAGTGGAGATCGTGGCCTTGCCCCATGTGCTTCAGAGAATCGACGACCTCGCCATGAGGCCGGAGGAGGCCGTGATTGAGGCCGCCAAGGCTCGAGACCGGAAAAATGCTCAAGAAACTCACCAAGAAATTAAATTGTAATGTCTCCGACGCGCTTAAATTTGCAGCTGGCAACGGGCGACACGAACCTGTGCGGTCCCTTCTTCCGGAGGTCATTGGGGACGGAGAGTACACTCTGGACGACGAAGTCCTTGGCATCTTGGAGAGCATGGCGATCACCGCCGCTGAGAACGACCACTACGAGGTTGTGCAGCTGCTGCTGGGTGAAATCATGGAGGAGAGAGAGGACGAACACGAAGGCGAGTTTGTGTATTATGGCTACGAACGAGACATCGAAGAGGGCAAGAGCGACGCAGCCTGAAATGTTCTTGATGCCGCAGCGAGAAATGGACACGTCGATATCGTGGAGCTGGCGGCGGAGTCTGTATCTGACGACGACAACTTGCCTGCTAGTGAACGGAGTGAGGCGTTGTCTAGCGCAAATTCTGGCGGACATGCTGCTGTTGTGGAGTTCCTGGTGGAATGCGAGCAGTTTCAGTGGTGTGTGTTGGGTGCTTTTGATCAAGCGGTCAGCGAGAACCAACAGGAGATCGCCAGGGTAATTTATGACGTGTACCCGCGTTGCAACAAGGGTGCGGACCTGTTCGTCGACTTGGCCGGTGCTGGATACTTGGAAGCCGTGACGTACTTGTACGATAACGGGTTCTGCTCGTCAGGGTCGATTGGGGACGCTTTTGTAAGCACTATATGCTCAACACGAATTACTGTCGCAAACTTCTTGGTCGGCACGGATTCGGTATCCGCTACGGCGTTTAATATGGCATTCAAGAAGGCAGTTCTGGGTGGACGAATCAAATCAACGGAATTCCTTTTCAGTACAGGGCGTGTGCCTCCACAGACCGTCAACACTGTTTTCCCAAAGGTTACCAAGATCAATATGATGAAGCTACTCGCTACGAAACAGCCAGTCTCCTCGAAGGCTATCGTGACCGCATTCCGCAATGCAACATGTCAAGGGCGTTTCGGGTGGGGTACTGATACCGAAGCAATCTTGCGTGAATTGTGTAAGACGAACTGTATCCCATCAGAGGTCTATGGAGAGGGTTTTATGACAGCAGTGAACACCAGATACGGCGGGGATGCGATGGGCAAGGTCTTGTATGACGAATCGCGGATTTCGGAGGAGGTCATTCAAACAGCATTCAAGACAGCTGCCGATATTGGCCATAGCGAGATGGTCAGGTTCCTATTCGACAAGCCAGCTTTACGCCAAGCGGTCAAGCACGACGGATTTGTGAGTGCGGCTCAACACAACCAAGTCGAGGTCGTACAGCTGCTGGCAAGAAGCGCGCAATGGTCGCAAGATGCGTTGACCAGTGCATTCCAGGCCACCAAAAACCAGGCACTGCGGAGGTTTCTTCGAACAAAACTTGGCATCAAGTGAGCGGAAGATTGCTCGCGCCAAAGCATCTCCAAGCGTACTACATAGTGGAGGCACATTGACGACTTCTTTTATTTCTTTCACGTGTGTAATCCTGTGAATACACGATGTATAGCAAAGCCCAACTCGTATTCGTTGTTTTCCAAGAACTAACACAAAGACGTCTTCTCTCGTAACACTACTGGGGTCTGTAGGCCCCCTAGCTCGCTACTGCGGCGTCTCGGTGTCCCCCTCAAGAGAAGTTTGGCCTGTACCGACCAAAAAGCTCACGACAGAGGGGCAGTTGTTGGCGGTTGCTTGGGTATGAGCCTTGCTTATCAGTTGCGAGTCAATATGCCCTCTGGAATGCATATACTCGACTGCATCTCTGCGTCCCCTCCCCGCCATTTCCACAAACAAGTTTTCTCCCTCATCCAGCTCCGAATAGAGCTCATAAATGCGTTCAGCAACTTCGTGCTGCTCCTTATTCATCGCCTCCACAAACGCGCTGCCAAAGTCGCAATGAAAATCCTCCAAACCGAGCAGAAACGTCACCACTTCAGCATGCCCACCGTCGATTGCCTTTATCAGTGCAGGAGTGCACTCCCGATCAAACTCTTCGGACGAAATCAATTGCTCAGCTGTAAGTTTCACAATATCGAGGTATCCGCGTGCAGCGCCCACGTGGAATGCCGCCCAAAACAACTCTTCATTGATCTCTCCGTCGCACTCCAGCGCATAGAGCAGGAAGTCTACCACCTCTGCGTGGCCATTTCTAGCGGCGGGGATCACAGCCTCTGAGATTAATTCTCGTCCTGGAATATCGAGGAGTTTCTCGTCGTCATCGGGTTCGCATAGCGCGTCTCGAAGCAGCACGACGCAGTCGTAGTGGCCATTAGCAGCTGCAGCCATCATGGCTTCCGTCAAGTTATCCTCGAACGTCTGCAGAAGTTCCTCCAGTCGGGTAGCATCCCCTGCTGCTGCGGCTTGAACGATGGCTTCGCATGGGGGAGGAGGGGCGAGGTCGGCGTCCACTGTGGTGCGAGGGCGCTTGACGTCCTCGTCGTCGCTGGTGAGGTCAATGACGGTCGGCCGAGCTCGCTTGCTATTAGGGGTCGCGGCCATCGCCTTTCGGAATATTTTTTTTGTTCTGGGCGCCCTTTCGGGGTTATTTATTTTTGCAAAAATAGGTAATACCTTTTGTGCTGATATGTTATGCATACAGAGAGTGGCGGCAATAAGAAAGGGTCAACAGCTTATAATTTCGACAACACATATCTATTGAATTATACAGGGCCTCTATTAAGGTACTGAGTTTGTCAAAGTGATGTGGCATACACACAGCAGTAGAAGTTCCCGCGCATTTTTCAAAATCCAAGGATGACTCCGTGCAGACGAAGTGGTCAGCCACTGCGTGGGCATCAACGGCCGTTGCGCTCCAGCGCCCCAGTGCTCCCGTCACACCTACTTTCTCGTCCCCATTGCCCCGCAAACTGCCGCTAAGGAAGATCATGAGCGCCTGCAGGTTGATGCCGGGGTGTTGTCCACTGCACATGTTGGGTTTGCACAAGCTCAGCGAAATGAAACACACCGCCGAGACGTAGCTACAGTAATGTGCGGTGGCCATGGACATGCAGGGCGTCGTGGTGAGTCGCAGCCAGTTCATTTGAAGGTCGTGCGCCTCAGGAAGACGAGTACGACGACGATGCCTAGCGTCGAAGTCCATCGTCGATCGGGCCAAGTAATAACGTACCTAATGTGTTTCATTTATTTCGTTAAGTCAATACGTTTAAAGCTCCGTAAGATTTTATTTGACTTGATTATTGTATATACCTTCAATACTTTAATCGTTGAACCCTTTCTTATTGCCGCTACTCTGTATTTTCGGATGTAGCACAATGGATTGGGAATGCAAGGAAGTGTGTATAGTGTAGTAAGCAGGACGCTTTTTCAGCCCCGACAGACTGGCGAAGTGGACTTTACACCAGGGCGAGAAGGACAATGAAGCGGAGACATGCACCTTAACAGCGGACCCGGAGCGACTTTACAAGCGAGCCAAGGCTCGGTCATGTGGCAGCGGCGGCAGCCAGAACAGCGTAACGGACAAGGGCGCGAGGTGACCAAGCGGCGACGACACGGAAAGATCGCAGCAGCAGCCAGCAGGATGACTACAGAAGGGGTGAGCAGCACGACTCTGAGTGCAGGCTACCATGACATCCGGCAAGGGGTGGCAATTGTGTGGCTGAGCCGTGCTGGCAAGCGTCGCTGTCGAAGATCGCCCGCCCAAACGCCGCGCTCAACAGAGAACAAGGCCGGCGAGTCGAGCAGAGGGCGCTCAGTCTAAGATCTGCGGAGTTGACGGCAAGTCGAAGACGCACAAGAGCGCGAGCTGCCGAGCTAGCGCCCAGCAAGACATTGCGCCGGTCTGGTGTAGTGTCAGAAACACGCTAAGAAGAAATACACTTGCGTTACCTGAGCCACATCTACTTGAGCCAACTAGAGGAGGACTAGTGAAGAAGCCACTGTCGAAGCAAGTCGCGTTACAGCAACTGCAGCAGAAGCGGAGGTCGGCTGAAGCAAGCCAGAGTCGCCGAACTACTGGTGACCTGCATCGACAGGCCCCACGGAAGAAGACCGTCGGAAGGGAGAACACGAAGGCTGTGCGTGCACGTGGGCACGGTCTACACAAGTGATCGCTCCAGCCAGCTATAGCCTCTCTGGGCCTAAAGAAGAAGCAAAGGGTCGAGAGCACGTGCAATCAGTACCTGGGACGATTTCGGCGATAGTAAAGCTTTATCTACCCAGTAGATATTGTACATTGCATCAGTAGTTGAGCTGTCGCCGTTAGCCACCGGAGACCTCGGAGCTGTAGTGACGAGATCCGGGCAAGGTACAGGTGGTACGAGAATCCAGCTCGGATCACGCCAGGAACAAGACCGGAAGAGCTGAGTCTGGCGGTCACGTGCACTGCGTCACAAGTTGCTGATGAGGCCTGTGTAGGGTGTGTTTTGGGTGGACTCGACCACTGTGTGTGAGCCACACGGCTGAGATGCCGTGTGCTCTCTGGTCGACGGAACGCTGGCGTGGCTTCCAAACCGAAGGCTGCAATACAGGATCTTGCAGAGCAGCCAATCCGGTTAGTCCATGGGGGTTTTGTAGCCAAAGGCTTTCCTCCGGAGTTCACAGTCACAGAAGCTCAATAAAACACGATCGCCTCTGGTGGTCACTTTGCGATTTGCATCTTGCCACACAAGTCATCTCTCCTACCTACTTGCAGTCTCCTACGCTAATCTCCTAAGTGCTCAAGAGCCGACTCCTCGAAACTCTTAGGTGGTAGCTGGAAAGCAGGGGTACCTTACTGTGTGCTTGTGCTAACCACTTAGTGGCAAGTTTTGTTTTAGAAGTTCGGAAGTCAATCGGACGTAAACACATTATGAAATTTGCGATCAAGTTGGTGGTCTGCTGGCGCGACGTACAAGATGGAATACCACAGAGGCATCGATCTCTCTTTGTTTGTCTGTTGCTAGAATCATTTGCCGCGTATCGTCCGTGGATTACTGGGATTCCCAACGAGGAAAAAATATTCCTCATGAAACAAAGCGCCCGAATCTTGGCATCGCTATCAGCTTTGTAGCTTGGTTCGAAGACTGAGACGCCTTGGCCGTCGTCATCATCATCATCATCACTATCCTCGTAGTCGCTCTCCTCTTTTGGAGGACTTTGAAACTTGTCAAGGAAAAATACACACAGTCGTCCATTCACTCGCCGACGTTTCAACGCAATCAAGACGCCATCACGCGTTCGCGGCCCAGTAAAGTGGTTCGCTCCCGTCAACATTGCTAGGATGAGCGCATACGTGTACAGCCACGGTTGGTATAGAATATCCGACACGAAAGCGCTGTCGACCTCCAGCATATCGCTCTCCACACAACGCATGAACGCAGCAGAGCGGAGGCAGTTCGGGTTTCGCTTAAGCGAGGGTTCTCCGCAGATGATGTAGAACAAGTCAAGTTCCTTACGAGCCATCAAATTGTAAGCCATTTGCGATTTCTCCGTTTCAGTGGAACAAACGAGAACAATGCAAGGTGTTTTGGGCGCACCATGTTTGCTCAATCTCCCAATAGTTGCAACAAGCTCGTCCACAACATGGAGTTTCTTCATCAACCTGATTCTCTCTAACCCAAATGCACTGAGAGCAGGATCGTTCTTTCTCATTCCAATCATAACATCCGCTACACAGTCTGAAGACTGGGCCACCACGCGAAATGAGGGCACATTACTCTGGAAGATCAGACACTCCAACTCCACCTTCGATACTAGAAGATCAATCCATCCATCAGTCACAGTCAAATCGAAGCCTGATTGACAAAATACGAGTCTTTTTTATTTTCTTGCTAGATGTATTTGGATTATACCTGGAGTGAGTGAGAGAGAGAGATTCAGACATTCAACCTCCCGTAGTTGTCAGTCCAACTTTTCGTGGCCGATGACTTCGCGCGAAAAAAACTAAGTGTGTATGCCCAAGCTCGAAGTAAGCGGAATCAACACGAAGGATCGTGGGGAGGTTTCAAGACTGGGTGAAATGTTCAGCCCACTATCCCCGACTCGAGAATAGCCGCTTTCCAGCTGAAATCTGCGCCCGGCGAGTTTGATCCTCTCTGCGGAGTTGCGTGGGAAGTTCTCGACACAGCCGCAGGCAGTGGACATCTAGACATTGTGGAGTTTGCACACGATATTGCCCTATGTGAAGAGTACAGCGAACCCGAGGATATCTCAAGTGAGGCGCTGTTCAATGCAATCCGGGGGCGCCATATTTCTGTCGTGAACTTTCTATTTTCTCACTCAGAGAATGTTTGGGACCTCAGAAGGGCGTAGTCGCAAAAGGCTTATTATTTGTTGCAACGCCAATTTCTAAGGCCTATCTCGCGAACAATTCTGAGTCGATAGAAAATTTGCTTGTTAAACTGGCGGAGCTCGGGTACCTACACAGCGTGTCGTACTTGTACAATCAAGGCCACTATGGCCCGGAAACGATCGGCGACGCCTTTGTCGGTGTCGCGATATGCGATAACGATTGATGTACTTGAGTTTTTACTGTCAACTGGGCGAGTTGCATCTAGCGCGTTCGACAAAGGCTTTGAGATAGCGGCAAGTCGCGGATCTGCCGAAGCGACGCTACGTTTATACAGTGAACAGCGTGCTACCGTCGCATCGGTCAGGCGCGCCTTCGAAAGCGCAGGCAGCGTCACTATCTCCAGATTTCTGTATGAGCAGGAGAAGTTTCCGGCTGAATCTGTGGTTGCTGCATTCCAAGATTCAGCTCGCCAAGGACGTCGCCTTTGGTACGTGAGCGAGGAGGAACGCATCCGCATCATGAGGTTTTTGTGCACTAGAACTCATATCCCAGTCGAACTGATTGTCGAAAAATATTTTTTTCAAAAATTTATTTTCGAGGATTAGTACAGACCAATGTGGATTTAGTCCACAGCAAACATCTAAGTTCCATACTCCATGGGCTCGCTACGAATAGCAGCTGCGACAGACAGCGCACAGTGTCGCGCCATCTTGTTAACAAGGCGCATGTCAATGCAAGGCATGCAGTGCTCCGCGGCTTTCTCGAGCAGTCGCATTCTGCGCTCCGTCTTCTGGCCGTGCGGCACGTTGATCATCTCATCGTGGCTCAATCCCAGATACGCCTTGAAGCGAGCTTATAAAACGCTAAAGCAACCTGCACAATAATACATTGTATCGCCTCAGTACCTCTAAGTATATCGCACCAAAAGATAAGCTAACCGTACCTTCGATCGGGTTACACATAGGCGAGTACGGCCCTAGGCGTAGCTACTCCAGATCCGCCCGCTGTTGGACGAGATCCTCCGTCTGGCAGTGGGCAGGCGCATTGTCCAGGACGATGACGATGGTCTTGCCGAGAAAGTGGTCGCGGTACACGTCGCGGGCCTTGACCGCGTCGTATACCTCGTCCACAAACTCGGCATTGACCTCCATCTTGATGCTGCCACGACGCGTGGCGTAGTGCACGAGACCGACTTCGGGGGAAACTGCGCACTGCACCTGTAAGTTAGCCCCCTTAGAGGGAGGGAGCTTGACGATAGCGCGTTGTCCGACAGGAGCGCGGCCTTGCGCCGCTTACAGTACAGGTTGTAGTTGGTCTCGTCATAATACACGATAAAAGCACCGTTCCGCTCATGCTTCAGCAACGCTTCACCAAACACCCATCCTCTTCTCGATATTTACAGCATTATTGCAGGTCTCGGGCTCTACGCGAACCTATCACAGGGAACATACTTAGTAGAGTAGATGGTAAAAGTGATAGCATAATAACTTGAAGGCGTACCTGCTTAACAGTGTAAAGCTTATCGCAAAGCTTCTTACTGATCAACGAAGTGCTGATGTGCACCCTGAAGTCGAACGCAAGCATTTCCTGCATCTGCACGAGTGTGTACTGGCAGTTGTCTTCCAGGTAGCACACGACAGCTTCCTCCATTTCTGGAGTACACTTCGTGCACGCCGCCCGCGCGCCGCCTCTCTTCTTGACATCAGCGGCTTGGCGCTGGACGATGTTGCGGGCAGTAGTGGGAGGGATGCCGTTGCAGTCGGCAACCAGCACCCAGTCACGCCCTTCTCGGTGTGCATCGAGCGCACGCTTGCGGGCCGCAAGCCCATGCTTCGGCTCTTGGGGCATGTTGCCGGCGGAGACAGTCTGTTACTGACCAGTGATTTGAGTTTGCTCTGCACTAAATCCACATTGCTCTAAATACTAATTTCAGAAATTATTTTCCGATTTTTGGATGGGTACTTAAGTTACTTCACACCGTTTTGTCTTACACTGCTGCCAACTTGGATTGGCAAAGGTGTAGTCAAGACGGATTTGTGTGGTGAGGACGCTATCTCCAAGTTATGGAACCTTTGTGAAAAGGCTGAAGATCAGGCCGACAGCCACCAGTAACAAGTAGTACACAATGGAAGGCTCGTTGTGATTCAGTATTTTATAACTAATTGTTGTGTTTTACTATAAGTTTTTACTTCTATGTTGTTTATATTGAGCGTGCTTAATAATTTCAGGCGCTTTTCGATACGATCGAAAGAATGAAATCAATGAATTTGATAAACCACGAGGAAGCTACGTAAGAGGAGGTGGATAAATAATTTTTCTGTGAAGGCAGGCGACTCACTCACCTGAAACCAAGAAAACTACACTGAAGTACGCAATTACAAGATCGGAACTTTGTTTTTCACTACGCTTGCCAGCGGAAATTCTAGTTAAAACACCTGTTCACTAGCGACACAAAGCTATACGATGCTTAGTACACACGAAAGGCTGGAACCGTAATGACTCATTTCGGCGAAAATAAATCTTAAGGACACGGAAAAACGCTAGACTGGATGTCTATCCCTTGCACTTCAACATCGATGCCCTCAGTTGTCATTTCGCCGGTCCAAGCACAGAGCCATGGGCAAGCCAAAGAATCCCCACCCGACGGACATCGTGAAGCGGACCGACACTCAAGCCATCCACCTTCCGCACGTTCACCTCGAGGCCGTCACGCAAGTTGTCACCAAACCGACTCCACCGTCCCCAATTTCGGCGATTGTCCAAGCTGCAGCGACTGGGAACATTTCGTGGCTCTGGAAGTTACTGCAAGCCTTTAACGGGGACATGGCAGACGCTGTCGCGGCGGCAGCGTCCAACGGCCACTGCGACTGCGTCGCTCTGCTTCAGAGTTACCTCATCAACTTTGATGCCCCGAAGGCCCGGCAGGTTATGAGGGAGGGGATGGCGCCTGCCGCCGCCAATGGCCACATCGGTATCGTGCTGTTCCTTCTCAAGGGCGTGGCTCCTGACGACGAAGTGGATGGCGACGCAGTCTGGATCGCGTTGCTCGAGGCCGCTGCTAACGGGTTCGTCGAGATTTTGGAGCTTACAGCGAGTTATGTGTCGCCACGGGACGCGAACTTCGAGCTCAACGTCGCGAGGGCGATGTCGAACGCGATATCGGGCGGGTTCATCGACGTGGTGGTGTTTCTCTTGACTTGGGAGAAGTGGGACGCCGACTTTGCCAAGACATTCGAGAAGGCCATGGCCACCGAGCAGCACGCGGTGGCGAAGAAGATTTACGAAATCTATTCGCGAGTGAAGGTGGGAGGGAACTTGCTGGTTGATATGGCGGCACGTGGGAGGTTGGACGCCGTGAAGTACCTGTACGACCGAGGTTGCACGTCCAAGCTTTCCAGCACGCCGACACCAGCAAGGCCACGCCGGTTGTCACGTTCTTGAGAGCTGCCATTGCAGGCATCTGCGGCAGCAATTCGGGATGAGGCAGTCGCTTAGTTTTTCCTCGCCGTTGTGGAGGGCCCTCAACGCGGTGTCAGTAATAATTACCTGCATTAGCATGGCGTAGTGAGAATGAGGCACGGAGGGCGGCTGCGGGGTTTATTAAGAAAAAATAGCAAAGATGTTCGTTGAGTTTTTCCAGAAGAAATCGCTTGAGAACTTGACGCCTTGTGGCCTTGTAAGCTCTAGTCAGAACATCTTTGGGCCATTCTCCACATCTTCCTAACTGCTGGACGATCTCCACTTGGTCATTTTGAGTGGCACTCACCATGGCTTCGTGCTTGATCGCTTGAGTTAACGCTGGCTTGTCGAATAAAATCTCTACCATCTTGGTGTGACCAGTATCCGCCGCTGTCTTGAATGCGGTACGAATTACTTCCGCTGAGATGCGCGATTCATCGTACAAGAGCATGGCCATCGCATCCCCACCATAACTCTCTTTCACCGCGGCCATGAAACCACGTCTGATGGGATGCAGCTTTGCTTGTACAAGAAGCGCAAAATGGCTTCAGTGTCTGTTTTCCAGCCGAAGTATCCTTTTGAAGTGGCATTGCGAAATGCTGCCACGACCGCTTTCGTTGTGATAGGCTGTTTCTTAGCGAGAAGCTTCAGCACTTTGATCTTCGTCACTTTTCCAAAGACTTTGTTGACCAATTGTGGTGAGGCACGTCCCTTGCTGAATAGGAACTCCATTGAATCAATCCATCCCTCAAGGGCTGCTCTTTTAAAGGCCTTGCCAAAAGCTGCTGCAGATACCAAGTCGGTATCGAGCAAGAAGTTGGCGACAGCGGTATAATTAGGAGTCATGGTGCTTGCAAAAGCCTCTCCAACCGACTCCGACGTGCAGAACCCGTTATCGTACAAGAACTTGACAGCTCCCAAGTATCCAGCACCAGCCAAGTGGATGAACAAGTCTGCGCCATTGTTGCACCGCGGATACACGTCGTAAATTACCTTCGCGATCTCGTGTTGGTCCTCATTGGCCGCTTGGTCAAAGGCCCCCAACTCATCCCACTGAAACTGGTCGCATTCCAGAAGGAACTCCACAACAGCAGCATGTCCGCCAGAAATGCGTTAGTCAACGCTTCACTCAGCTCACTGGCAGGCATGTACTCGTCCTCTGTAGCACACCCCGCCGCTAGCTCCACGATATCGACGTGTCCAGCTTCCGCCGCTGCATCCAGAACGTGCCATGCGGCGGAATTCTTGTTATCTTCGATGTCTCGTTCGTAGCCATAATACACAAACTCGCCTTCGTGTTCATCCTCTCTCTCCGCTAGAATTTCAGTCAAGAGCAGGCCCACAACCTGGTAGTGGCCGTTGCCGGCAGCAGTCACAGCCATGCTCTCCAAGTCACTCAGCACCCGATCTTCCAGATTGTATCCGTCGTCCCCAATGACCTCCGGAAGAAGGAACCGCACAGCATCGTGCCGCCCCTTGCCAGCTGCAAATTTAAGCGCGTCGGAGACATTACAATTTAATTTCTTGGTGAGTTTCTTGAGCTTTTTTCCGGTCTCGAGCCTTGGCGGCCTCAATCACGGCCTCCTCCGGCCTCATGGCGAGGTCGTCGATTCTCTGAAGCACATGGGGCAAGGCCACGATCTCCACTGGGAAAGTGGCGCCATGTAGCTTTTCGTACTTCGAGGGAACTGGGGCCCTTGTTTTCTTCACGCTGCCCTGTTGGCTGTTGGTCTGGGGGTGCGTCTTGCTGGGCTTGGTAGAGTTAGTCTTGCAGACACGCTTGGTGGTGTTGGCTGGCGGCGTATTCTCGCGCCCCGCCCGCTTCAGGGATCGAGTGGTCACAGCCATTTTTCCCTTTTGGCGCGAAAGGATCGTGCTCGCAGGATGGTGGTGAATACGATAGCTTTCTCAACCTGCTACGAGCGAACAAATACAATTGAAGATAAACGCAAGTTTGATAAAGCTCTTGCTCAATGTAGTGGCGGGAGCTTGACCTCAGATAGAGAGCAGTGGAACAAGGGTGTTGAAATGGTTTCATGTCATTTCGATTCATCGGAAGCAAGCTAACCGTGAATTCTTTGAGGTGGCTACTGTAGTGTGTGGGGAAACATTAGCCCACCAACGTAATTGCGTCTGCAGAGGACAGAATGTAAATGCCAAGCAAAACGAGTGCGATCGGAACGATGTAATCGCCGTGTTTTTCAATAAACTGCACCACGATGCGGAACGAGACGAAACTCCCCGCAGCGTAAATCCATGCGACCACAAGTGCGTAGAAAACACCCACAGTCAGAGCTATATCGCCGACACCGTAGGCCACTAAGCCAGGAACGTACACCGCCACGTTGTCCCCTCCGTTACCGAGTGCCACAGCTGCTATCATCAACGATTCAGCCGTAAGAAATGAGCACGCCCCCCTATCGGATCCCAACACTCGAAGCACAATCCTCGTCCAAGATAGCTCTTCTTCAATATCAATCACGTTAGACGTGGAAGTCATTGCTTGATCTCCTCCTTTAGAGCCTGGTGTAGCCTTCGTAGTCGCGAAGAAAGTCTGCAATTGGTCACTCCGTGACTCTATCGCGCAATCTACTCCACTATCGTGATCTCCTTTCCCCTGTGGCTGCAAATTCGCATTTCTCACAGTCAAAGGTGGCACTGAATTTTGTTGGTGGTGGCTGCTTTCGCCTTCTTTAAGAGTGTCATTAACCGTCTTCCACCACTCCCGCATTCGCTTCAGCCCCATCCATAGAGGCACAACGCCCAAGAGCCCTGAGTAGCGAGGCTGCAGCTGTGACCCGATAACTCCAAAGAGACTCACCGCCATGATAATGGAGAACCCTAGAAGCTGCCCGAACCAAACGTCTTGAGCCCGGAGTCCGCCTCTACCTTCGGCAGCATTAGCGAAGTAAACGATCAAAACAAGCGCGTCGTCAATATTGGTGCTCACAAACATCATAACCGCCGACGAGATCACGCCCCAGGCCCCCATCTTCTTGTACGTGTAGCGGTTGTGAATGTGAACTGCGACAGCGGACTAATAATATCTCGGAAGTCGGTCTAGAGAAATGAATTAAACTTGATTTAGGCAGACTTACACTAAGCTTAGTACATCGGCAGACCACAAAATGTAGATACCGAGAAACACAAGGGCGACAGGAATGAGGTAATCGCCATACTTCTCAATAAACTCGGCCACGAAGCGGAAGGGTACGAACGCCGCGGCTGCATACAACCACAGAGCCAGCAGCACGTAGAAAATCGCGACTGTCAGCACGATCTCGCCAGCATCATACGTCACGAGACCCGGAATATAAACGGCAACGTTGTCGCCTCCATTCGCAAGCGTCACAGCCACCAGCTTCATCGAATGGACACTGAAAACGGACGATCACCACGGACTGTGAGTCTTTTTCTCCAAACTCACTCCGGGTAAACCCTCTTCGACATCTTCTACGCCACCCGACGGAGTAAGCACTTACAATCAGGATGGTCTTGACAGCACTTCAGCGTCTCCACATTTCGCTCTCTGGATGATGAGCTCTCTTGGGCTTTTGGGGTCACTTCGTGTAGCTGATAATTACCAATGGGCTCATTGATGGAGGCGATGTTGATCTTCATTAGAGCTTGCCCGCTGGTTCTTTCTTCTCGGACACTGCTCTCCGTCGAATTGCAACGAGGATCAATAGAATTGTGGTCTCCACTGCTTTCTTTGTCCTTCTTGCACCAGTCTTTCATCCGCCACAGGCCCATCAGCAGCGGCACGAAACCCAGGAGTCCAGAGTAGTGAGGAGGTAGAAAAGACCCGACGAACGTCCCGACGAAGCTGAGGACCATGATGATGGAGAACCCGAGAAACTGTTCGATCCAGACGTGCCGCGGTTGGAGACCGTCTTTGCCCTCCGCAGCGTTGGCGAAGTACTCGACGAGGACAAGGGCATCATCGATGTTGGTGCTGGCGAACATGCCGAGGCGACGACTCCCAGGAGACCCATCTCTTACCAGCAGTTTCCCAGTGTTGGGTCAAAAGGCTTCATGCAGATGTTTGATGTGGTGCACGTTACTTACATATTGGCATGGCATACGCAATTTGTTTAGCTTTCCTGCGTATACATGTATCACTACTGAACAGTAATTCATGATTCGTACAAGCAACACGCAGCATGAAACGGCAGTAGGTGACAATACAACCCATGCAGAGGCTTATCATCATTTTTGGCTGCACCAATGCAAGTCACCAGCGTGGGTTGCATACGAATGTGACCCATGTTCCTGTTGTCTTCATTTGTAGCCTTGAATAATGTGTTCCTGTTAAAGGCGTTCCTACCAGCAAGCTTCACATCCAAATATATCCATCTCAACAGAATGAATCACATCTAGAGCACCCGCGCAGTTACACAGGTAGGCAAGCATACCCAAAGAGGGAGTTGCCATTCAACCTCCATTCCGAAAACCCTAGATCGTTCTGACAAAACTTTGAGTCATTTCATTGTGGCGTAATAGCGAAGCTCGATAATCAAGCTGTGACACCAAATCCAGCAGTCCCTCTTGTACGGTACGTACATGTACTGTAGTGGCGTAAGCGTGATGTGGTTAGCGGCCGCGTAAACTTTCAGTTCCCGCTGCAGCCCAGTTGCCACCGCAGCGAGGTAGCCAGACGACACGTTGACAACTCGCGCTGGCAGAGACGTCCTGTTTTAATGCTGTAATAGCAGTTTGCATACTTACACGAATCATACCGGGGTACAAGAAAAATAAGGCATGCTACTGGTTATCTAACAGTAAAGTTGCGCCAGCCTCCATCAAGGCCAGATTGGGGCTCCGTACCGTAGCCGTAGCACCACCACCTGTTTGGGATTACCGCAGTCACATCGAAAGGGGGCAACGCAAAATTGCACGCTTTTCAATGTTGTCTGCGAGGTTGCAGGCTTCGACCATGTTTAACGTGCGTCTTGCACTGCTCGGAGGCTGCAGCTCGAACGTTCACACTCAGCAGCAAGGGATGTCGTGCCTTAAGCCGCACACAATCTTTGCTGCCTCGAGCGTCGGATGGCTATACTCAGATGTCAATCGCACGATTAGCGCGGCGCTGTCGGCAATCGCGACTTGATTATCGTGGCGAAACTGCCACAATCGCATTCCATTCCATTCCCCCCTTCGCGTCGGTACTGTAAAACTCTGGAGCTCATTTCCAAACTGGTTCGCTGATCACCAGCCGATCCAAGTACTTCACACTGCACAGTAACCGGTCGTCTTCGTTCAGCGAAAAGTTGCTCGCGATGTCGCCCTCGGTCGACAAATCGGGGCAAGCAGCTCTCCACTCGGACGTGGAGCACGGCACGACGACCAAACAGGTTGGTCTGGACTCCGGCAAGGCTCTGCTGGCCAATGGACCCGCTGCAATGCACGACTTCGTGGCGTCTCGACTGGAGACCGCATTGGGCGGTGAGCTCCCGCAGATGGAGGTGCGCTTCACCGACCTGTCGGTGTCGGCCGACATCACGGTTGTCGAGGACGATGGCAGCTCCAGCGACCTCCCCACGCTCTGGAACACGGTCCGGAAGTCGGTCGCAGGCATCGGCCGCAAGAAGCAGATTGTGCACAAGGACGTCCTCAAGAACGTGACGGGCGTCTTCCGACCGGGAACGATGACGCTGGTGCTGGGTCAGCCCGGCTCCGGCAAGTCGTCGCTCATGAAGGTGCTGAGCGGCCGGTTCCCCATGGCCAAGAACGTGGCCATCTCGGGTGACATGACCTACAACGGCCTGACCCAAGCGGAGATCAAGAAGCAACTGCCCCAGTTCGTGTCATACGTGCCGCAGCACGACAAACACTTCCCCACACTCACGGTGCGTGAGACGCTCGAGTACGCGCACCAGTTCTGCGGTGGCGAGCTCAAACGCCGAGCCGGAGAACTGCTGACGCAGGGCAAGCCTGATGAGAACGCCGAGGCGCAGGCGGTGGCCAAGGCGGTGTTCGACCACTACCCGGAGGTCGTCGTGAACCAGCTTGGCCTGGCCAACTGCCAGGACACGACCGTCGGCGACGCTCTCCTTCGCGGTGTCTCGGGCGGTGAACACAAGCGCGTGACGACGGGCGAGATGGAGTTCGGCATGAAGTACATGACGCTCATGGACGAGATCAGCACGGGTCTCGACAGTGCCGCCACCTTCGACATCATCAGCACGCAGCGCAGTATTGCTCATCGCTACCACAAGACGGTGGTGATCGCACTGCTCCAGCCGGCGCCTGAGGTCGTGGCGCTTTTCGACGACCTGATGATCCTCAACGCCGGCGAGGTCATGTATCATGGCCCCATGAGCGAGGTGGTGCCGTACTTTGCTGGCTTGGGCTTCGAGTGCCCCCAGGGACGCGACGTGGCCGACTACCTCATGGACCTGGGCACCAAGCAGCAGACGCAGTACGAAGTGCAGCTACCGGTCCCCAACCTCGTGCACCCTCGGGAGCCTAGTGACTTCGCTCGCGTCTTCCGCGAGTCTCACATCTACCAGAACACGCTGAAGATGCAGGCCAAGCCAACCAGCGACAAGTTGGTGGAGTACGCGCAGAAGCACATGAAGCCTATGCCCGAGTTCCACCAGTCCTTCCAAGCGAGTGCGTTGACGCTGCTGCGTCGTCAGATGTTCATCATCGGACGCAACAAGCCGTACATTTTCGGCCGAGCTCTCATGATCACGGTCATGGGCTTGCTGTACGCCACCACCTTCTACCAGTTCGACCCGACGGAGATCCAGGTCGTCATGGGCATCATCTTCGCCGGCACTCTGTTCCTGTCGCTGGGCCAGGCTTCGCAGTTGCCGACCTTCATGGCGGCCCGTGAGATCTTCTACAAGCAGCGAGGCTCCAACTTCTTCCGCACCGCCAGCTACGTTGTGGCTAACTCCGTCAGCCAACAGCCGCTTTGCATCACCGAGACTCTCATCTTCGGCACGCTCGTGTACTGGATGTGCGGCTTCGTGTCGGAGATCCTCGAGTTCCTGCTGTTCCTGCTGGTACTGTTCATGACCAACTTCGGACTGGGCCCCTTTTTCTTCGTCCTCACGGCGGCGGCCCCGGACATCAACATCGCGACTCCCATTTCCATGGCCTCGACGCTCATCTTCATTATTTTCGCGGGATTCATAATCACCGAGAGCCAAATTCCGAGCTACTTCATCTGGTTGTACTGGCTGACTCCGGTCTCTTGGACGCTGCGTGCTCTCGCCATTATCGAGTACCGCTCTTCGGCTCTGGACGTGTGCGAGTACGGCGGGGTGGACTACTGCACCACGGAAGGCGTCACGATGGGCGAGTACTACCTGCAGTTGTTCGACCTCAAGACGGAGAAGAGATGGATCTTCTACTGCATCATCTACATGGCCGCCTGCTACGTGACTTGCATGACGCTCGGATACTTGGCACTGGAGTACAAGCGCTACGAGACGCCCGAGAACGTCGGTGTGTCTGCCAAATCCACTGACGATGAAGGCGACTACCGACTTGCTAGCACCCCCACGGCCAGTAACGCGTCCAAGTCCCAAACCACGAGCGAAGTGATGCTGGATGTGGCGGCGCGTGACAAGTTTCACCCCCGTGACGGTTGCGTTCAAGAATCTGCGTTACTCGGTGCCTAAGCCGTCAAACCCCAAGGAGTCAATTGAGCTTCTCAAGGGTATCAGCGGCTTTGCTCTTCTAGGCAAGATGACGGCTCTGATGGGCGCCTCCGGTGCTGGTAAGACGACGCTGATGGACGTGATTGCGAACCGCAAGACTGGCGGCACGATCTCGGGCCAAATTCTGCTGAACGGGTACGAGGCCAACGAGTTGGCTATCCGTCGCTGCACGGGCTACTGTGAGCAAATGGATATTCGCTCGGAGGCGTCGACGATTCGTGAGGCTCTCACCTTCAGCGCGTTCCTGCGTCAGGACAGCAGCGTCCCCGACAGTGTGAAGTACGACTCCGTCGAGGAGTGCCTGACTCTGCTGGATATGCACGACATCGCCGACCAGATTATCCGCGGCAGCTCGACCGAGCAGACGAAGCGCTTGACCATTGGCGTGGAGCTTGCGGCACAACCGAGTGTGTTGTTCCTGGACGAGCCTACCAGTGGCTTGGATGCTCGCTCGGCCAAGGTCATTATGGACGGTGTTCGCAAGGTCGCGGATTCCGGGCGAACCATTGTCTGCACCATCCACCAGCCGTCCTCCGAGGTGTTTTTCCTGTTCGACAGCCTGCTGCTGCTCAAGCGTGGCGGTGAGACTGTGTTCTTCGGTGAGCTGGGACACAAGTGCAAGCACCTCGTCGACTACTTCGAGGCTCGCCTGGAATTTCACCGTTGCCGCCGAAGTACAACCCTGCCACTTGGATGCTCGAGTGTATTGGCGCTGGTGTGTCGAACAATTCGGCTGATGGCATGGACGTTGTGTCGGCGTTTGAGGCTAGCGAGCAGAAGCAGAAGCTGGAGCACACTCTGTCGCACGCAGGAATCTGTTTGCCTTCACCGGATATCCCCGAGCTGGTATTCGCCAAGAAGCGAGCGGCTTCCTCCATGACGCAGATGCACTTCCTCACCAAGCGCTTCCTGGACATGTACTGGCGCTCGCCCACGTACAACCTCACTCGCGTCGGCATGTCTGTTTTCCTCGCCTTGCTCTTCGGCGTGACCTTCACCCAGGCGGAGTACGAGACGTACCAGGGCCTGAACTCGGGCATGGGCATGCTCTTCATGTCAACGCTGTTCAACGGCATGATCTCGTTCCAGTGCGTGATGTCCGTGGCTGCTGCCGATCGCCCAGCTTTCTATCGTGAGCGCTCTTGCCAGACCTATCATGCTTTCTGGTACTTCGTCGGCTCAACGATCGTGGAGATTCCCTACGTGTTCGGCGGCACTCTGGTGTACACGGCGATTTTCTTCCCATTGGTGCAGTTCACGGGCTTTTACACCTTCGTCATGTACTGGATCAACACGTCGCTGCTGATCCTCATGCTCACGTACATGGGTCAAATGTTCGTGTACTTGCTGCCGAGCGAGGAAGTGGCGGGGATCATTGGAGTGCTGATCAACTCGGTCTTCTTCCTCTTCATGGGCTTCTCACCGCCGGCGAACCTGATTCCGCAAGGCTACAAGTCATCACACCTCAGCGATTCTCCCTCGTGATCCTCGGCGCCCTCGTGTTCGCCGACTGCCCCGACGAGCCCGTGTACGACGAAGCGACCAAGACTTGGAGCGGTGTTGGCTCAGAGCTTGGCTGCCAGCCCCTGCAGAACGTTCCAGTGTCCACGGGTCCTACCACGGTCAAGCAGTTCACGGAGGAAGTCTTCGGCATGAAGCACGACGAGATCTGGACCAACTTCATCGTGGTGATCGCCTTCATCGCGGCCTTCCGACTTATCGCTCTGATCGGCTTGCGCTTCGTAAACAGCCAGAAGCGGTAAGCCGCTCAAAATGTCCCGAATCACCGACACGGCGGGGCACAGCTTGACCGAAAACGTGAAATTGCAGACCATACACTAATGCACGTAGATAAAATTGAACAGCAAGCGAAAACCACAGCGTGGCTTCAGTTTGCCGCGAAAAATTGCGTTGCGTTTTGCGGCCTTGTAGCTCTTGTGTGACTTTGTCTCGATACCAGCCATCATTCCACCCGCCAGATATCAGGAAGCAGCCACAAACTTTGTGGCACAAAGTGAGGCAAATAATCGTAAAAAAATGTTCGTGCTTGCGCCGCGCCAATGGCCAATGCCAATCTCTTGAAAACTGCTCGAAGGACCGCATTCACGATACTCAACAAACTCATTGGGGTAAACCTCACGAATCAAGTCCGCAATGTCGAGTCGGCCTCCACTCACCGCTTGACCAACAGTTTTACCTCACTCTCTCGCAACAAGCAGCAACTCCACGACTTCGACATAGCCCCCGAAAGTTGCCAGCGACAGCGCGTCGCACGCTTTGCACAAACCGCGCGCCGTGAAGTCCTCTCCACCCCGAGCTTAGCGGCGGCAAACTCCACCACATCAACGTGCCCATTGGCCGCAGCCTACTCCAAAATTCTCCAACTCGTACACGCTGCAAACCAAGGGGAGGATTGAGATACGAGAGCAGGAACCTCACCGCATCCAAAAGGCCATTGGCAGCCGTAGTTGTGCCCACTTTAATCGCGACGTCCACAAGAAACTCGCCATCATATTTACGAACCGGGAAAGCTTCACCACTTCAAGCTGGCCTGTGGGGTATATCGGCGTAGAAGGCATTTCATCCAGTGCGCCTGCCCCGTCCTGGCGGCCAAGTCCAGAGCAGAGCGTCATCTGCAGGCCTCGAGTTGTTCCGTCGCGTGGCGCAGAGCTTGGATCTCAGCTGAGAGATCCAGGACAAATACTCCGGTGCTCTATGGTTGGATGCAAGTATCAACTTGGTTATCGCTTTCTGACCAATCACACACTCCACATCGTCTCTCTTGATATTTGTATCCGCGGGCCAAAGGCAGACTCCAGCTCCGCACCCGCAGCCAGCAGCTCCACACTCTCACGTGCCGCCGCCATGTCCAAGCTCAACCCGAACGCGGGCGAGTGGGTCCCCACGTACGTCGCGCTCTGCTGCGCTATCTCCTCTCTCTTCTGCTCCGTTTAAGCCCCAATTCGCCGGCTAATTCCCACCTTCTCGCGCCAGCTTCTCGGCGCCCGCAGCTTCTCCGGCCAAATCTTCGGCCGCCGCGTCCCCCGTCAAGGAGCCGGCGGTCGCGGAGCCAGCGCCTGCGCCTGCGCCCAAGAGCGAGCTGGAGGCGCCGGTTGTAGCCGCAAGGCCAACCAATAGCAAGACGCCGCTGGAGCGCGCCGCCGAGTTCGGCCACGACGCGGCGCTGAATGAGGACGGAGAACCCATTTCCTACGTACGTACGAGAGTGCAGCAGCTCTTTGAGGTGTCTCGGCCACTGACTGTGATTGGCTCTGCAATGGCAGGAGGGATACTCGCCGCTGCACGACAGGTTCATCTACTCGAAGGAGTACTTGCTGGCGGTAAGGAGAGGCGGTTGGCTGATAGCAAATTGGAAGAAAGCTGGGTTTAATCAATTTTGCATACTGTGTGGCTGCAGTTTCGGCCGCTGGGTGATCGCGTGCTGAAGGGCATCCCCGACGTCGTGCGGAACCCCTCACCGCCGAAAGTAGGTGCTGGGCTGGATGAAATTGAGATGCATGCAGCAGAGATGTTGACTTTTTTTATTATTTGGTTGCGAGTGCAGAAAGTGGGGACGAAGGGCAAGGGCAGACTGGTGTACACGGTTGTGGAGCTCTTGCAGGTGAGCAGGGAGTTGGTTTTATTACGTTTTGATGCTGTAGTTTGTGTTGTATTGATCGCTTGGGCTCTTTTGTTTTTTTGGGCATTAGTTCCAGCCGCTGTATGAGATGATGCCGGAGGACTTTACGTGGGCCGACACGATCGGAGCTGACGCTGTTATTGGGGATAACAAGAAGGCCAAGAACAAGAAGGACAAGAGCCGTCAGCAACGCGGGAATGTGATGTCGTACGACGCTTCCTTGGTGTGCTACTTCAACCCGACGGAATACGCGACGGCCATGAATATGGGGCTGTACACGGGCCCGCCAGCTGAGGAAGCTGCGAGTGGCGCTGACAGCAAGAACAAGGCGCCTGTCATCGAACCGGTCAATCCGGTCGAAGAAGCGATTATTGCGAAGCGCCGCATTGCGACGTAAGAACTCGGATGCATTGCAGTTGTGGGTGCGGACTATCAGCTAATGCTGGCGTTTATTCGCATGTTCCGACAGATTGCTGGATGATGTCAAGCCAGATACCGTGAGCTCTATCCTGGAGTCTTTCATGGGTATCACGATCAGTTGCACACATACCCTGCAAGAAATTATCGGACTGCTGTTCGATCACGCAATTGCGAACCCATCATTGAGGTAAGGAGTGCTCTATCTTGCTTTAGGGACAAATACTGGCGAAGCAAAACACTAAGACGACTGATGCCTACTCTGTCTATTGATTACAGCAACTCGTACGCAAAGTTGTGCACGGGAATGTCGGAGCGCACGCCAGAGTTCAAGGATGGTGCAAAGACCATCAACTTCCGGCGGATTCTCCTTACCAAGTGCTACGAATCGTTGATTGAAGAGCCCGATAATCAGCCACTGCACTTGTCCAACAAAAAGGGAGGAAGCAATGGTCAGAACGGAGCAGCGCAGCATTCCTGGCGGCGAAAGTGCATGCTGCGAAACGTTGGCTTTGTTGGTGAACTGTTTCGGCGGCAGCTGCTTACCGAGAATATCATGCATGTCTGCGTTGCGATGATGCTTGATGACGAGGTGAAACCTCAAGCCGAAATCATTGAGGCTGCGTGCGGGCTTCTCAATCAGGTATGCACATGGTACCGCAATTATTTTACCTTTTGCATCTGTACTGATACGGTATCCTCTACTCTTCTAGGTCGGTGATTTGCTAGATGGATCAAGTCCAGCCTCTCGGCGAACAATGGACGAGTATTTCGCGGTCTTGGTGCGAATTCAAGAGAACTGTCCTCTCCCGGACCATGTAAAGAAGCTTATTGCTGAGGTATGTACTGCATCTGATTGCCGCATGCACTTTCACTTCACCACTAACGTTTCGACGATTCTTGTGTTTTTTTGAACAGCTAAAGACCGTGCGTGTGGGTGGATGGATAAAGAATCGCCAGGAAAACTCTTCTGTATCAAGCACACCTGCTGCATCTCCAGCGAAACTGACGGATTGTGAAAGCAATGGAACGGCCCAATCCCCCCTATCAATCTCCGATTCGGTGCCAGCCCCCACGGCCGCGGCTGTGTCCTCTCCATCCAAGTCGAGGGACGCTTAGAGCACGCGCACATATAGGTAGGAGAAATAAGAGACACCATGATAGCGAGTAAAGGTATGACAATTAACGTAGAAATCTCAACAGGATAGTTAGCCACACCCGAGCCCGCATATTTAACCCGATAAAGATCAAAAAAAAGTTCGAGAATAGAGCCAAGCATAGCAGACCTTTATCCCGAGCGCCTTTGAACGTGTTGCAGTTGGAACATCCCCGTGTCATCTTGACTACTGGGTGGTGAGAACTCATATCGAACCTGTACTCTCGCGACATCTTCCCTCACATCTGCTGCATCTTCGACCTCTTCACGCAGCGTATACACATCAGGCTCCTCAGTACCAGGAACGATCTCTAGGAACCTGCACCACCGACGAAGCAGCGGTCGGTCTCGAAGCAGAAACGCGTCCGTGTTCCCTGTTACAACTGCAACTCCAGAGCCTGTGGCCGTCTTCATGTATTCCTTCGCTTCCATCAAATAGGCCAGCGTCTGGTACACACTCCCCATATGACTGCAACATCAACAGCCACATTCACGTAAGCATGAAGTATTAATGATACCATAGTGAAGATCCTCGAGCCCTTTGCAGCAGTATCACAAGTATACCTGTGGTCAGAGAAAAACCTCTCGAAGCCCTCAACCAGCAAGACCGACGTCTCTTTGTCCACCACGTGCAGTGAACACAGGAAATGCTGCAGCTCCGCGCTGCTGTGGAGGTATCTTACACACAACGAAAGAGCAACGTCATAATAATTAATTCTGATCCCCTAAATAAAATAAATAATAATCAATTGCCGCCTCACTTGATGTGGATGCGGCTCCAGATGCCGTTGTCCTCCCCGGTCTGCACCGGCATTTGGCAGTTGGCGCAGGGCGTGAGCGGCACGATCTGAGACGCCGCCGGCTGCTGCGACGCCCCCGCGCTACCGCACATGACGAGCACCACGTTCCTGCCGGCCTGGGCCTGCGAGAAGCCGAACTGCAGCAGCAGCGACGTCTGGCCGGCGTCCCGGGGCCCGTGCAGGTACAAAACGCCGCTGTCACACAGTCCTTCGCTCTGTCGGGCACTCGGCTTGGCGTCTTCGGGCGCGTGGGAACCTGCGCAGAATGTGGCGCCGTCGCCGTGCGTGAAGAACTCCTCGAGGTGCGGCATCTTGGCAAAATGCGGAATGCGCACAAGAGTGATGGTCAAAAGGCAAGTGTAGCCATCTGTCCACACATGACTACACCCGTTGAAGTTTGACCAAATACGGTTGGAAGCATACATATCAACACTGTTATCAGGGAGCTGAACGGGCTGCAGTCCATGACTCGCTCCTTCGTGACGACGACTATTGCCAGTGCCTGTTGAAGTGTGCGAGGCAACTGGAACTGCTACGTCAGGTCTGAGACCCAGGCGTTCAAGTCCAAGTACATGGAGAGGCTCGACGGCAGGCTCTAGATCGTGGATCTACTCACTGGTCTTCACGGAGAGGCTTGCGGGAACTTTGCTTCATCGTATATACTGCAACGTGGATTCGACCGCCCACCTTGCGTCGCGTATGGATACTTACGTCATACGGAGGAAGAACGGAGGCTGGTGGAGCCGGATTGCAGCTTTGGGCCACGCGAAAATGTTGGAGCGGTTCTACCTGCAGGATTGGTTTGGTTCGAGTACCATACGCTGAAAGTGGAAATCGGCGTTTGTCGAGGCTAGCCCAGTTTGGATCGCAGAGCTGCAATCTGGCATCGGTATCCCGGAGTGGAATATGTGCTGTCGATAAGGCTGTCTCCAGCGCTGCGGTGGTGCGAATATCGACTCGAGCAGCGTGTGGATGGAGAGTTTCCTGAAGGGGACCATCGCGCGGAGATCCTACCCATCGACCAGAATGCCGTCCTGGAGTTCAATGCCCATCGTCTTCTGGGAGTTCCAGCAAATGCTGTTCTCCATCCTGGTCTCAACAACCCAGTGGTTGTCAATTTGTCTGTTCAAGTGGAACAACTCCGTCGAAGCATGGCAGCTCCACGCGAGAGACCCATTTGATAAAGTTGCTATACGCTCTTGAGCATTCTCCGTTTTTTTCTTTTCCTTGATACATCGGCCGGTAGTTGCTACAACTTATGAAGGAGGTGTCCTGTGTTCTCGGAGTGAAACTCATATCGATAACACTGGATCGGCAAGGATCGACAGAACTGTGAACAATTGTTTGTATCTGTAGTGCTTCATGTATTTTAAGTATTACAGTAAAATACCTGTACTTATCAAGCTCGATGGTGTGGAACGACACATTGGTACTTCACAGTCATGCCTGTTTGCCTTTCAATACACGTAATTTGGACTTTCACAATTTGAAGTCAAACTACGCCGCAACGCCAAGGTGTAATTTAAAAGCTAAAGCAAACTTAGTTTTCCTACTTCTCCGTTCAGCCCTCTCCATCGTACGGAGCATAAGCCAACGCCTGCCGTGCGATGTTTTTCGCATCGCTCTCGCTTACCACCTTTTTCATACCTGGAGGAAATTGAGTGTTGGCCGCACGGTCTCGCATATCGTCCGCTACAAACGTCATCGGGTCCGACTGAGACCGCGACAGATCCTCCAACGCCCTTCCAGTGCCATTGGTTATCACTGGATGACGGTTGATCGGCTTCTAGTTTTGCACTGATCGGATGCAGTAGGTGAAGGTGAAGGCCTCCACCTTCGATGTGGCCGCTCTTGGCTTGGATGCTCCCGTCGAACCTGACTCAGATTTCGGAACTAGTCTTTTTCGCGAAGTCCTTTGCGCTCTTGGCATCTCACTTTTGTGCGAAAGCACAAAACGATCAGCAAATTCTTGTCCTGGTTCCTGCAAACTCATGCAGACACGAATCATATCGGCTGGGGGCTTTTTGGATAGCGAGTTTTTCTTCGATAAAATGTACCGAGGACCCAACCTCTGCGGTGACAGCGAAGGAAACTCCCTGTCGCCATTCTTCACATTCTTCACTTGAACCACGATCACCGACACGCCCGAGTTGCAGAACATCGGAATCACCAGATTTGCTCCACCTTGGTCGGGCGAGAAAACACCAGCAGCCCGTCGGGAGAGCAAAAACCACAGCGTCTTCTCGGTTGGCTCATTTTCCAGCTTCATAAAGTGGCAGAAACCCATTTTCCACGAATCGCACCGCGAATACCATTTCCTATAGCGCCCCATGACTCTTTCATCGACCTCCGAACTGGTCGACACTAGCACAGGTGGGTCGATACCGACGAGCGTTTCCAAGAAGGACGAAACCTGCACAAATTAGCCCATGAAGGAGAATTCAGCGTAGTTTCGAACGAGGTCGAAAGGTTCGTTTGCCTCAATGACGATAGTCGCGTCCATCACCAGCAGGAAAACAATCCGAGCGACAATCACACCAACATCTCCAGCATTGTGAAGACGTATGTTGCGCTTGACGTGCGGCAAAATAAACTCCGACAGGCCTTCACACGCACTGTACCACACACGTGTGGCGCCTAGCGCCAGCACCGGATCCGACGGGTATGAGCACAGCAGACTGTCGTTCGTATGGTCCACGTAAGCGAGCGTCGCCATGAAGTCGGTGACGATTCGATATCCAAACTCCGTCCCGCAGTGGAATCGTAGCCCAAGCCGACACAGCACGGATGCGGCACCGAACATCGTGTCCTCCGTGTAGCTGGTGTCACACCTCGGTTTGCCTCCCTGGAGCAGCATCTCCGCGGCAAGTGAACAGCGGCCGTATACACTGATACAGGTATTGCATCGCTCGCTCGCACTGTAAGGCCGCCTTTGTTCGTCAAACCAGCTCGCCAGTGTGAATCCATAGTTTGAGAGAGTACAAACGGTGGGAATGACGAGGCTCGTTGCTGCGAAGATGGCACGTTCTGCGGTAATGGAGAGGTCAGGCCTACGAAAACGGCAATAATTCCACCTCCACCAAGCCCAGAACTTGACGCAGAGCGGATGCGAGTATTTGCCGTGATCAGAGCCCTACAAAATAGGTCGAAAGTGACAGCACCATCATTTCGCTTCCACGTGCGCAGCACGTTTGCTTCATCGACCACCAAAACCACCACTCGATTGGACACACAGCAACGACGCTTATCGAGCTGTTCGAATTCAGCGCGTTCCAACTTCCCAATCACAGCTTCATCCGCCGTCGTGTTCGTAAAAAGCTTAAGCCACTCTTTCCCCACGCCACTCCAGTTCTCTTGGGCGTAATAGTACATCGACACGAGGTTCTCGACCAGTCTGCTTTCACTCCAGAGGGGACCGAAAAACCATTGGCAGAGAGAGCTAGTCGGCTGGGGAAACGCCGCCGATGATGGAGATGGAAAGCAGGTGTACAGGACCTTGAATCCCATGTCGTCGCTCTCACTGGTTCTTTTGGCCAGCTCATACATCAAACGACTTTTTCCATTGCCAGCGCTCTGCAGGATCGTCACATACGGGTCACTAGAGAGAGAACGATCTTCTTGATACACTTTCCAGCAGCGCTTCAGGTACTTGAAGAAATGGTCGCAAGCGTCGCTGCAATACTCGAACTTGGTGAACGCGTGGAGAAGATCGTCCTGCGTCAGAGTTGCATTGGCCATGCGTACACTGTCACGCAGAGCAGGCTCGATTTGGATGGCCGCCGCTTTTGCCACCTGCATGGCGGCTTTCATGTCGATTCCGTACGCCTGCATAATACCACGCCAGCACATGGATGCAACCCCTCCGGCGCCCAAGTGGCTGTAAGTCCATCGGGCCTTCTCCTCGTCGATCACCAGTTCCTGCACAGTAATATTTCGCGTGCTCTCACCGGGATAGTTCTGCAGTATGAGTTGAAACACTATCTTACTGGTCGTCTCTTCAAGAAGAAATGACAGAACAAGATTGAAAGAAAGTGATGGACTTGAGAAAACTTAACAAATAACCAAAAACAAATGTTAAACACGTTAAAATTACTTTCCTGCAACAACTAGTGTGTATGACGGAGGTCTTTGTCTCGTTGTCATTAGGCTCCATCACTCTCGGCTGTATTCAGATAGCAATCAACCGTCATCCCCGTCTTCATCCTCAGACCGTCGCTTCTTACTTTCGGGCTTTGGATCAGGTTCATCTCGCTTTCGGTGGTGAGAAGTGAGGTAACTCGTGCTCAAGTTGGTGAAGCCGTTCTAGCGCATCTTGAGCATTAGGTCGGTCCGACGGAATTCCTCGCATTAGTTCGCGTACGAAGTCAGCTCTCGCTTCCACGACAAACCACTCGCCTACGTCGCTCGATGCAATCAAATGGCCCACCGACCAAATACCCGCTTCTACTGAATGGCTATCAGCTGCCCGAATCTCCGGGGCATGTTCTTCCTGCATCAAGTGCCTGGCATTGTCTGAGAGCTGCGGACTGTGAGCAGCGTCCGTGAAGTCAACCAGCAACCACCCGTCAGAACCGTCTCGACGTTTGGCCACATTGGCCCAGCGAACGTCTCGGTGCATCCACGACGCAGAGTGAAACTTCACTAGGGCCTCTAGGACGTTGCCGATAGCTCGAAACAGCGCGGCTAGATTCGAAGGTTTGACTTCAAATCCTCGCGGTGTGAATACCAATCCATGCTGCTGTTCATCCAGCGCTGTTGGAGTCTGAAATCGGTCCACGTTGGGGACTCGGAACGTGTCGAGGATTGTGTAAACTTCTTTCGTGTGCTTAAGAATGCGTCGGTACTCCGAGGTATCTTCAATTGTCTTCACGACTTACAGGGCGATTGCGATTCCGTTTGGTCGCTCAAAGTGGCCGTACTCGTATCTCCCGTTATCAGGACACGGCAGTGCCGTCGCTTCGGCGAGAAGCGTTATATTCAATAACGCCAGCAGCAATTTCAATCTCCCGCTCAGATTATCAAGCTCGAACACACCAATCTCTGTAGTCGTCGCCTTAAGCTGATCAAACGTTGGACGCTCAATTGCGTACAATCGAAGTTCAGTGTCGACAGCGACGTACCTGAACAAATAGGGAACATCTCCATAAACCCAGTCGAGGTTGTTAAGCAATTCACGGCATCCAACCTCAACCGAACAGCCTTTGTATCCTTTCTCCAGTTCACGAAAGAAACACACTCCATCCACCGAGTACGCGAAGCTTTCCATGAAATAACGCGACGAGCGTCCCGGTTCAATTCGTTCCCTGGGAAACATAAAGTTGAGGTAATAGCCGATGACGTCGAGCCAGAACGATACATACGATATCCTTATTGGGGGACACTGTGGCCCATTCAGGCGCATGTCAATCCCTGAGAGGAAACTCACACAAGATTTGGTACTCTCGCTTTGAAAGAGCTTTCCCACCAGCTCCGAGTCACATGATGCTGTCGAATACAGCTCGAAGAAATCCGTGGAGGCCCCAATTTTCACTGCCAGTTCTTGCTTGATAAAAGTCTTCAGAGAGTCAAGCGGCGGTAGATCCGATGTCCGAGTAATCTTGCATGCTCGAAACTCCTTCAGACACCACTTTGTCCAATCTTGGCGTACAAAGCCACTCGATGGCTCCTCCAGACCGTCCACCAGCACGTGAATTTGGCGGCTTGTACTCCCAGCAACCAGGTCTCCGGCCTTGGTCGACGGATTCAAGGCGGTCGTTGGCCACTCCTCAATCTCCGCCGCCATTAGGCCCTCTTGCAGGACTGCTACAAGTTTATCTGTGCACGGGAGCCAGCGGCCATCGCTCGTTTTCGTGATGGAAAGCAGCAGGCTCGATGCTGAGCAGTTGAGCTGTGGCAATTTCTCCAATAGCACCGGCTTGAGACCTCCCGCTAGCCGTCTGGGCGCCAACTCGATGTTAACTGGGGCCTGTTTCATTTTGCACCGTACTACGCAGACAATGGGCACCATATTTGCTCCGAAAGAGTAAAAGTGAAAAACCATGCTCGAGCCAAGAAACAGATTGAAAGAAAGTGGCCAATCTGAAAAGATCACAAAAAATCATCAAGGAATAACGCGAACTTAAGTCTCAAAAGTCTCAGCCATATCCAGATCGCAGTCCACTATCGATGCCCCCACTCCATTGGGCATCTTAGTTCCTGCGATCCAGACGCCCCAGAGGGAGAGTATCTGGATTCAAGATCTCCATTGACGTTGCAATGCCGTTCATGACCGAATCCACGATCATCTCCGCGGCACCTCCATCTTATTGGCTTAAATTTTTGACCACGAAGTTTTCGTTGAAGCTAAATAGAAGTCGGACCTTCGCTTCGCGAGAGTTATTCAACTTGGTAGTCCGACCATGAAAGTAGTCGGCTTGTTCTTTGTTGCGTCGGTGGATAAATTGCGAGCGTTTCTGTGTTCCGTCAGCTTATCGGGCTTCGGCATTCAACGTATATCAAGTTCTCCTTTATGCCACGTGAGACTGTATTGTGAGTTTCAAAACCTTTCACCAGCGAAAGTTGTTGGTGTCACATTTTGAGATACATATCGCTTGCACGATACTGGAAGTACTAAATAGCGTCGAATCAATGTACCACTCAAGATAAAAAAACGTGTGGAGAATCCGATCGCAGACGCGCTGGTATGTGTGAATTTGTTTCGTTTCGAAGTTAGGTACATTGATGTCACTTAGAATTCTAACGACTCCCTATGTCCGTATCAACAACTTGTTGGGCGCTTGTTGAACAAGCGCCAAACGTCTGGATTTGTGCGTGTCAGAGACATCATTGTCGACATGCCTAATCCCACGCTGTGCAATTACTCATTGACCTCAATGATTGAGGTTGGTAGCCAATTGGTGTAGTAGCTAAAGGATTAATCTTTGGAAAAGTTGGGCGCTAGCACTGATAAAATTGCGTATATCTAAGAGTATATGCACCTTCCTACTGGATTAACTGCCAGGCATGGCTGATGGGACGCGCTATACAGTTATCTATCGGTACACATCCTCTAAGAGTGCTTGTTCTGCAACGCTTGTATTTCATTTCTATTCATACTAATCTCCCTGCGTGGGGCTGAGTGCCGACATCTTCAAAAAGATGTGAACATTAAGTCAATAGGTGTAAGGTCAATAAGGACGCGTAACCCTTCTAGCCCCAGACCTTATTCTGTATCCTACAGAATAAGCATTAGACTTGATTAAAGTATACTTCAAAACCTGTCAAAGATTTGCTGTTGGAAGCCCTTTCGCATCTTGCGGTCAAGCGCTGGGTACATTGTGCACAGAACAGCTACGAAAGTGAACAAAACATGCTCAATGTATCCACCATATGCCGAAATGGCGAGCTTCTATTGGTCGTGGCGAGCGTAGAGCACGCTCAAAACCTGCTACATGGTAATACCTTGCAAGGCTGCTAAGGCAGCATACTTCGGCTCCAGCCACCCATCTTTGGCACGTCGCGATAAACGCGGAGGAAGAAATCGCCCTGTTCCTAACTGACGTAGTGAGGAGGAACTGGGCGAATTCTTCCTTGTGCTTGACATTAGCGCATCATTAGATTTCTTTAGCCCACCTAACAAGCTTGTTACGATTGTCTCTCTAACAACACCAGGGAGCTTGCATGCTCAATAGCCCGTAATGACACGCACTACACACGGTTCCTCTTGTACGAAACAGGACAATGTATGATATTCATGCCAACGCCTACTTGTTCCTTTACATGCGCACGCTCTTCAATGTTCGCGCCAGCCGTGGGTCATCTTCGCCATTTTGGCAGCCTCCGCTTTGCTCTGTAGCCTCCGGCACTGCCGCTCCATTCCTGCCGCTTTCATCGGTAGCCTCCGTCGTAGCCTCTGTCCCTTCTTCTGTAATCTCCGGTGTAACCTCATCACGCGGAGAGCTTCTTCTGTAGCATCCGTCGTAGCATCTACCGCTTCTTCTGTAGTCTCCGGTGTAGCCACACCATGAGGAGCGCTTCTTCTGTAGCCTCTTGAGTAGCCACTGCATCAGCTACAATACAGCGGTAGACCCGGCTGTAGCCGGCTTCGTAGGAACCGATGAGGTTGTGCGCTGACTCCGCAATCGATCTGCCAATCGGGCCACACGCGAGAGCTCATAGCGTCGTGTGGGTCGGATCACCAGGTCTGGTAATCAACATCGCAACGTAGAATCAATATACCACTAGTACAATGTTACAGAGCAAAGTACACGCTCTCGCTTACCTGTAGATCACAATGGCGCTCATCATGATCGTCTTCGGCCATGGTCCTTGGTCACTTGGGCGCGCTCGACGGGCCCCAACAAAGCTTGCATTGCGACGTCTTGAACAGCGCAGTTTCGGAATGAAGGAACGTACGAGTGGCTGACACGCGGCGGTTTTAGGCTTCCACCCGAATTTTCAAACCTGTTGGTGGTTTATACTCGTCCGTCTATTACCGCGGAATAAACCCCGTTTATCTTTCCATCGCTAATCTAACGGGAAGATGTGCACAATACCGGCTATACAAGCATCCATATGCGAAGTTCGAAAGAGAGGACAAGTTTGCTGGATATTATGTCCTGTGACAATGCTTATTCTGTAGGATACAGAATACGGGGTTAGAGGGGTAACAGCGCATCCCTTCATGGTTCTTCAAAACAGCTTGTCGAGTCAACAATGCTGACCACTTTGCTTGCTGCCTTGTGAAAGATAGTTCGTTGAGGAGCACGCTATGGCCTTCACCACGTAGGAACTACTGTACATGTGTTGGTACCGGCGCAGATAAGATTTTACAGTACCCGGCCACTGGACGTCGTGGTCCATAAGTATAAAACTATGGCGCATGATTCCTGGAATCGGTAAACTTTGATGCCTTGCAACCAGGCCTCGGAAAATACAGTATCATATTGAATTGCAAGAGTTCGGTCTCCATAATAATTATTTTAATATATCATTCACCAAAAATATGTATTTATGTCAATTACTTTTATATAGAGAATCATGTTAAACTCGGTTTTTGTATGGTCAAACATTTTACTGATAATTGGGCTTCAATAACAACAATTGCAATACGATCAGCAACCAATAATACGTATTTCCGTACAAAAATTCAGTAATTGCAATATAATAATTATTTTTTCCGAGGCCTGCTTGCAACGCGCATTAGATGCATACTTGTGACAGGGCACACAGCACTTCTTAACAGTGGAAGCAGGAGTATACAAACTCCAAGTGAACAGCCGTTCACGTGTCCCTGGTCTGAAGGGGACGACTTGACTTGAAATGCGGTAGATCTAAGACTGAATGTATTTATAGGTTGGTACAGATTTGGCCTGCATACAAATCCCAAGTTCCCTATAGTTTGTGTCATACAAAATGTATCTGTTGGCTCTGAGGCCACTTGGGTCACTATCCAGGGGAGTGACCGATGTAGCCATCCCTGAATAGTGACAGGGTCACTATTCCATGTAACCCCATTACATCCTCCCCCACTTAGATTCGATCTTATCGACCAATCAGAGCGAGGTTACGCCGGCGACTCACATTTCACTCGCAAAGTCGATATCCATCGACAACGGCGCGAGCTCTGGCGCCTCGGCTCCCGGGCCTCACAGAGCAACTGGCGCATCGCCGAGCAAGCCGCAGGGTCTCCACGTCGACCGGAAGCATGCCTCCAAAGCGCAGTGCGCGCAGTGCGAAAGCACCTTCGAAACCGCGGGCCATACGGCCGAAGACCAGGGCGGCCAAGGCCAAGGACGAGTCGTCCGCGCTGATGGAGGCCACGAAGGCGGCCGAGGAGGCGGTGCGCTCTCGTAGCAGCACGCCGAAGAGTGGCTGTCAGGCCGGGGCTCGGAGCAACTCTCCTGACGCCGCGAAAGACAAGGAGGAGAGTCCTCGGGGCCATAAAAGCCCGGCTCGCGACTGGGAAGCCGCCGTCTTTGACTGCACGATGGTCCCGTACTCCGGTGAGAGTTCACCCGACGACGAGAACGTCTCGGAGGGCAGCACGCACGCTGCCGAAGGCACGGAGCTGGCGGCAGGCGACATGACCAACGCCTCGGCCGACGCAAAGGCCTCGTCGGAGAAGGAGGCGGAGGACGCCGAGTCCGGCTCAGGCGACAGCAAGCAGTCGCACGACGACGTCGCCATGGCCGACGCTGGGGTCGTGGCCGAGAAGTCGCCGAGCGACGCGGGCTCCAAGCCCAAGGAAGTGCTGGCATCCAAGCATCTGACGCTGGCACAAGGTCGTGAGCGTGCCCAAGCGTTGAAAGCGGCTGCCGCTGCGAAGGCCGCCGAGGCCAAGGCGAAGAAGCGTTCAGCTTCCAGGTCGCGAGCTCCGCATCGAGTTCGCTGAACTCGTGAGCAAGCGCAAGCTCCGTCCGAAGATGGACGAGCTCAAGCAAGAGGCGAGAGCCAAAGCTCGTGAAGAGCGTGGGCGCGGTGCGACTACGTCTGCTACCGTGCCCCGGGTATCGGGTCGGCTCGACGATCCACGCGGCCATGGAGACTGCGAGTCTCTTGATAGAGCGAGGCAACATCCTCACCGAGCTGCTCCACGGCACCAGGCTGGCCAGCACGAGCGGCAGCCTCGCCACCAAGGCCGACGCCAAGGGCGATCTCGAGGACGTACACGCGGTCCCGAAGAAGCCGAATCTCCTCTTGCTGCAGGGCCACCACCTGACTTGGGGCCCTAGCATGCGGCTGCGTCGCCTCAGGCTCATAGCCATGGCCGTGCGAGGCCACCGCCGGCCCTCCTTGATCGTAATGGACAGATCCACTACCACGTGGAACGAGTCGTCCGGGAGCGGCGGCTCCATGGCAAGCGCCAGCTGCTCGTGAAGTGGAGGGGCTACCCTGAGTCGGATAACTTGTGGGAGCCCGTTGAGCAGCTCCAGGCAGACTGCCCGAAGGCTGTTACGATATGGGACGAGTAGCAACAACAGCTTCGTAAGTAGTCCTTGGCTTCTTGCTTCATAGCCACACGCCGTATCCGTAGCAGCAGCAGCCCCACTCGTATCAGACCCAATTTGACCAGCGCTCGTACGGGGCCCCTGCGTATGCTGCTCCGATGTACGCCGCGCCGTCTTACGACCAGCGCGCGTACCAGGCGCCTTACCGCGACGCGACGCCGCGCTTCGAGGAGCTGAGCTCTTCCCCACCGGGCCACCCTCCGCTTCCTGCGGGGCAGCCAGAGCCAGAGTGTCATGGTACCTCTTAACCCCTTACTTCCCAACGGTTGTACCGTAGATCATAAGGGGTGTATAGCTCCTGTCGGTTTTTTCGCAACGTCTCTGTTATGTTGGAGGGTACAACATAAGAAAATTTTAATCTTGAAATTTGTATGTACGTACTGTCACTACATATCCATAATGAAATAAAGATAATAGGTTGAGTGGAAAATGGCCATTTCAGAGAGATTCGGTTGAAGGTGATTTAGATTGGACTTGCCATCCACCTCGACCCCAGTGGCCGCCATCCACTCACCACTCATTTCAGAAAAAACCGCGGCGAGAGCAAGATGGTCGGCGCGTCAGGCAAGACACCACGCTACGAGCTTACAACGCGGGAGCGGCAGCTCTGCCTGGAAGGGCTGCTGAGTGAACTGCTGAGTGAACGGCGATGGCAACGCCGGCTCCGACGGCAGCGTGGCCGGCGCTGAAGTGTAGGCTAGCATGATCGATTCGACGACGGGTTGGCGGACGTGGAAGTGTAGGCTGTAGCAATTGCATGTTCTGACTTTGCATTTATTGAAAAAGCAATCAGTTGACGCACAATATCCTTCGTTCTTTTTTTGTGATACATCCATGCTGCTGCACGTGCTCAATGTTCAGAGATAGGGCTATTCAGATAAACAGTACAGTGCATATGTTGCCTTCTCCATCATAAGCGGACCACCACTAAGGTATTGAGCCAACGTAATGTTGGATATGCCACGTTCTTAACCTGAGACAAGTCTGTACTATCCAGGCAGCATAGTCGTGCAAAAATCCAGTCCATACAAATTCCTTTATTATCTTATGCTATACCGTAGATCATAAGGGTCAAAATATACCCCCTACTTTTTTCCGGGAAGTAAGGGGTTAAGACGACCCACGTAAAACGTCGGGTGACTCGTCATCGACTTAGGCAAGTCTATGGTGTACGCCGCGCCATGCCGGCTGAGGACCGTGAAGGGTCCAATGAAGCGGTGCTTCAGCTTGTTGCTCTCGACCGAGCTAACAGTGTTTAGGGGTCGGTTTCTAGTATCTAGGAGAACTAAATCCCCAACCTTAAACACGTTCATGTTTCCTCTTCCATTTCGGTCAGAGTACTCCTTCTGTTTGTCTTGGGCTTGCGCCATGGTGTCTCGCACCCTGTTGATTATGTTCAGCCTGTCTTCGGCAAACGAGGACAGTTGCTTCCGCAAGGCGGCTGGACTCGCGTCCGAGTCTTGGGAGGAAAAGGTTTTCCTAGCCTCTCCCCCACTTAGGCCCGAAGCCCCGGTACTGCCTCGTAATGTGAGCGGCACCTGAGGGTGGCACAACCCGTTCAGGTAAGAGGGCGTAACGCCCGTCGATGCATGTACCGCATTGTTGAGTGCGAACTCAACCATGGGCAAGCGATCAGCCCAAGAGCGGGGCATCTCCACGCAGATACTGCGGAGCGTGTCCTCGAGCACGCGATTGACTCGCTCCGTCTGGCCGTCCGTCTGCGGGTGGTCCGCCGTCGACATCGACCGCCGTGTGCCTTGAAGGCGAAACAGCGTCTGCCAGAACGCAGCGGTGAACCGCGGGTCTCGATCAGAGACAATGGTCTCGGGCAGACCGTGGTGCAGGAAGACACAGTCCATGAACAGGCGAGCGACATCGTCACCAGTGACGGTGTCACGAACTGGAGCAAAGTGTACCATCTTGCTCATACGGCAAAGGCAACAACACCGGTGTTGCCACGGGCATCGGACGGGAGGCCGAAGACAAAGTCGAGACTCATCGACTTCCAGCAGTCCGCTGGGACCGGCAGGCTCTGCAATGGTGCCGAGGCGTGACCGGCAGGCTTCACGCGCTGGCACGTCTCGCACGTCCGGACGTAGGTGGCGACCCACTTGTACATGTGACGCCACCAAAACGTCTGCGAGACAGACGCGTACGGCTTCTCACGGCCAAGATGACCACTGGATGGAGCGTCGTGCGCCTACATCAGGATGTCGTACTTGAGACCCTCGTCGTTGGACACGACAATACGAGAAGGATCCTCGGGCTCGACCCTATAGTGGAGCAAGCCGTCAGCCCACTCAAAGCGGTGCAGCCGTGCACGCTGTCGGGGCGTGAGCCACTCGACCTTGGCGGCCGAGCCAGCGGCCAAGAACCGCACAAGAGGTCCGAGACTGGCATCGTCTCGGTATCCCAGCCTGATGCGATCATACAGATCCGTCGTGACCCGACTAATATGAGCAAGCTCGTAGTCGGGTCGGCGCGACAGCGCGTCGGCAAGCACGTTCAGGTTGCCCGGCTTGTACTCGACACGGAAGTTGTATTCCGCAAAGAATGACAGCCAGCGCGCCAGCCGCTGCGAGAGGTGCGGCGTGTTGACGGCAGTTCGCAAGGACGCATGGTTTGTATAGACGACAAAGGGCTTCGAGCCCAGGAGATGTACTCGGAACTTGACAAGAGCGTACTTCATTGCAAGTAGCTCCTTGTCATGAACTGGGTAGTTCCGTTCGGCAGCCTTGAGCTGCCTGGACCGGAACGAGATGACCCGTTCGCGGCCTTCATCGTCGGCCTGCAATAGCGCACAGCCAATTACGTAGTCAGACGACGCTGAAAGGCTTCGTCTCGTCCGGCAATGCCAGGACTGGCGCGCGCTGTAAGCACGCTTTGATGTCGTCAAAAGCACCTTGGTGGCGGTGCTCCCAGCGCCAGTCGGCATCCTTCTTCAAGAGATCCGACAATGGTCGTGCCAGCTCGGCGTAGCTTGCACTGTACTTGTGCAAATAGTTGGCAAGGCCCAGCCACTGTCGTAGGTCCTTCTGCGACCGAGGTGGCGGCCAAGCCGCGATGGTTTTCACCTTCTCCGGGTCCGCGTGGACCTCGGCGCTGCTGACGAAGCAGCCCAGGACCTTGATCTCCTCAGCTGCAAACACGCACTTGTCGATGTTGGCGTACAGCTTGTTCGCCCGCATGACTTTGAACACCCGACGGAGGTGCTGGAGATGCATCTCCATGACCGAAAGGCCTGCCTCGGCACGGCTGTGGACGAAGATGTCGTCAAAGTACGTCTGCGCGAACGCACGCAAAGGTCGGAACAGTTGTGTGACCAGGCGATTGAATGTTGCCGGGGCGTTTGAAAGCCCCTGAGGCATGACCAGCCACTCCCAGAGCATACCGCTCGGCGTGCTCACAGCCGTGAGTGGGATGTCGCTCTCGCGCGTCAGCGGAAAAGATTTTTTCATGCCATTTTGAGAGGTTTTCCATACCAATAGGATTAATTGCATTCCAGCCGGAGGAATTGCATTCCACCCGGGTGAATTGCATACCACAAGTACTCCCGCAAAAACATTTGAGCTCTTCTGAGTTTTGAATTATCCTAAACGTTACTGAGGCTGTCGTTGCCAGCCAACAACTACAACAAAAATTGTGGTGTTTCCTGACAAGCGTATATACTGTCAGGAAACCGTACACGTGCTTAAGAAAGACTAGTATGACATCTTCAGTGTATCCACTAGTGTTGAATGGGTTTGGTCAGGAAACGGCACACGTGCTTAAGAAAGAATAATATAATTTCTTCAGTGTATCCACTAGTTTTGAATGGGTTTTGGCAAGAAAGCCTCTACCTGCGCATGAAACAGCTAGACTCATTTATATCTGGCGACCAAAAGCCCATGTTTTTGGAACAAACTTCTAGCATGTGTGCACCATAATACACTTTGTCATTCTGCAATTTGCAATGAAATCCCAACTACTACGCCGAGAGCGCGACGAGTTCTACGTTGCCTACAAGCGCATGCGGACGTCCTACGAAAACGCAGTCGAGGTGATGAACGACCTCCACCGTGAAATTTCAGCTCAAGAAACAGAAATTCGAGAATTACGGCAAGCTCGATCTGCACAAGATGACCAAGATGTACAAGATAACCAAGATGACCAGGATGGCCAAGAAGACCAAGATGAACCTCGCCAGCCCCAACCCTACGGCACGACAATCGCGGACCTCTTCGGGGACACGAGCAGCGAGAGCAGCGAGGACTCGGACGTGCCGCAAATGGAGGATAGTTCTGCCACGGACCATGCTGAAGGAGACGAGTCGGACGTTGAAGAAGCGGAAGATCATCATGCACAGCAAAACCTTCAAGTCAATAGCAGAAGCACTCCGCCACTTGCAGTCGCGCGAGAATACGGCATTTCGAGAGAGGTCTCTGTTTCGTCGCACTACGGTGTTGGTCTGTGCATCGCACGTTGATTGCAAAGCCCAGGCCAGAGTAACTAAGCGTGATGGGGACATTTTCACCCTGAGCACGAGTGGGTATCACACACGGCATCTTCTGCCGAGTTCACCAGACCGTGGTGACTTGTCGGACCCCGATAGGCGCCGCTTAAAGTCCAGTAAATCCGGATCCGACTCTCCAAATGACAGCAACGATTTTGATGGTAGTGAATCCGAGTTCTATCCTGACGATACTGACTTCGACGACGAGGATGATGAGGATAAGGATACGAATGATGTCGATTCAGACACGGCAGCACAGCAGGAATTTGGGATATCCAACTCTAGCAGTGCTGAATGTGATAACAGCCACGCCAGTGTTGAATCTGCATCTGTGGGGTATAATGACGATAGCGATGTCGCAGACGACACCCACACTGCTTCAGCTGGCGTTAACCACGTAGACGAGGATGGATTCTGTGTTCTCGATCCGTTCAAGACTCGCGAAAAAGCCCGTGTCGCAATTGATGGACTGGCGAACATTCGGTACAAACGCCTCAACGACAACAGAGACACGGTGTGGTACAAGTGCTCTTCTCACATGAATTGCTCTGCGACGGCCAAGATCAAATTTTTCGCTTCAAGCAAAACGTACACCGCCACATTGAATGGAATCGACAGTGACGTCGTTGCCCCCCTCGATGAGCAACGGACTGGCATCCACAAACCCCTTCACGACGAAGTGAACAACCTTTTACTTGGGGGGCAAGGACCTGCAAGGTGTTTGACCACCCTTGAAATGAAGTATCGAAATGACGAAGAAATGCTGCGCCTTCTATCGGATGTTGGACAACTCAAGAATCGATCGCAGCTCCTGCATTATCGAGGCGACTTCGACATCACTTCGATGGCGGACATCTTGAAGTGGGCATCTCCAAAATGTGTAAGACAAAGGAGGACTTTTTCAAAGGAATGGTTTACAGGGTTGGCATGGACCTCAAAACATTCGCCAAGAAACCCTTCAACTACCGCAACGAATTACTGGTTCTTGACATCTTCACCGAACAAGTTGGAAAAAAAGATGTTTCATTTGGTAATATCTTCACGTCGAGGAGGCTTTTTCGCAACGCTGCTCTTGCGGTTTTGGGACAACGTGAAGGAGTCTTGGCGGTGACTGATGGTACCTACAAGATCGACTTCAACAACTGGACGCTGATATCATTCGGTACCTGTGGCATGCGTTACAAGGAGAAGAAGGAGTACCAACACAAGTTTTACCCGATAGCCTTCCTGTTCGTGCGTGCAGAAACAACATTAGCTTATATAAAGCTATTCTCTGTTATCCAGAACCGCACGAAGGATTTCTTTGGTGGAGACCTGACTGTCAAGTATGGGTCGATGGACCACTCGGCCGCAATTGCTGGTGCCTTTCGCGCAGTATGGTCTGACATCGAGCTGTTAAATTGTTGGCCTCACTTGGGTCGCAAGTCCAGAGAGAAAAAAGGGCTACTGTCAGACACACAAGTCAACGGCGATATTATCAAACCGCAGCTGGACCAACTCGAAAATGCTCGTTCTCGTGAGCAGTTCTTTGCTCTGTCTGAATTAGTCACTCAAAACTGGAGAGACCAACGCCAAAGGAGGTATGCCAAGTGGTTTGATGAGCAGTACCTCACGGACCCGTGGGACCTGTGGTTCATCACCGCCAGCAACGTCGCTGGAATAGTACCAAACCAGAATCCAATTGAAGCACACCACAGCGCTATCAAAAAGGTAGCAGCAGGCCATTTGCAAGCAGCGATATCGCATGTCTTGGCCGTCACTTTGCCAAAGATAGTGATTTACTGTGGAGCCGCTATACAAATACCGAGTTCTTGTGGCCGTTTGCATCAGGTCCCGTTGATGAAAAAGTGTATCAAGCTGTCAAACGGCTCTGCGAACCTGGCAATCACTACCCATGCCACGAGCGGATGTCTAAGCGTGAAATCGCCAACATCAACCGCTACTACTTCAATGCAGACTATTGCCTCATTCACGATGAAAATCGGAACGGGCAAAAGGTCACACACACAAGGACATCACGTTACGCCAAGTCCCTGGAGGGAGTTCTAAAAAAAGATGAGGTCGTGAACAGCATCCAACTATCGTACCAGTCCCTACACGCAGTGGATATTCTATCGCGAACTCCTATTGAACACGACTGGGCTTCTCCCATGTGGACAATTGAAGAGGTAATTCAATCCCTTGCTGTTGCATGCTCTGTAGATGCATTACTAACGTTTGTGTGTGGGTGCATACGGTCTAACAGATTCGGGCCCTGCGAAGCAAATTTAAATGCGACTGTAAAGAGTTTTACCAAACGGGATGGCTGTGTGGGCACGTTATGACGTGCTTAAAACTCGTTGATGGCTTGGACTTTCCGCTGATGCTACGAGGCTTGCTGATGAGACGCCCATCCGGTCGACCAAGAAAGAAAAAACAGTGTCTTGAGCGTGAAACGCCATCATCTGGCCAGTACAGTGTCGATGCTCTCATTTCCCGGCTCATTAAAACTCCTGCGAGCGTTATCACTTGAAGCGTGCTAAGCACATGGCCAGCTAAAAACCGGGATGGCGAAATCGAAGATCGAGACTTTGTGGGGGTAGTGGACCCTCCCTTTATGAAAGGTGGGGCTCGCTATTGGGACGTTTACTACGAGAAACGCAGTGAAACGGTGACCATGGCAGCCGAGGAGCTCGCCAACGCGATAAACTACGCACATCGGATGGGGCATCACATTGTTCCCCCCGGGAATTGAAAACAAGCAGAAAGTCGCTGAACTTCTGAGATTTCGTCATTGCTTAGGACGAGGTTGCATGTAATGAGGCTAGATGTAGTGAGGGCTTCGGGCGCTCCGAACTAGGTACCTGCTATACATCAACCCATCTAGGACACTTTCACTTGTATTTTGTATGGCAAGAATTAAATATTTTCATTTGCTTTTTGTATGGCATGCAATTAATCCGGTGGTATGGAAAACCTCTTTTTTTGGCATGGAAAACCGCTTTTTTTGGCATGGAAAAAATCCGCCACCGCGCATAAGGATCTGGTAGTATCCGTCCACCAGGTCCAGCGCGCTGTACAGCATGCAGCCGGCCATGTTGTTGAGCAACACGTCCTTGCGCGGGATCGGTGTCTGCGCAGGCACTGTCGCGCTGTTCAGCTTGTTATAAGCATGAACCAGACGCCACTTTCCGTTCGGTTTGCGAACACAGAAGGTAGGCGTCGAGTGCGGGGACTTTGACTCCCACACCATGCCTGCCTTCGCCTTGGCGGCAATGAAGGCATCAATGACTTCACACTGCTCCCGGGGAAGAGACCATTGCCTCGTGACACAGTATTTCGTGCCCGGCACGAGGTCAATCTCGTGCCTGATTCCCCTGCCCGGAGGGAGATTGGACGGTGGGTCCTTGGACACCACGTCCTCGAACTCTTTTACCAAGGGATACACCGGGTCCCGGGGGTTCTTGAGAATCGCAGAGCCTATGCGCGACGCGCGCTGCCTCTGGAACTCCTCCAGGACTTCCGTGGTCATGACCGAGGACGAGTTCAACTCGGCCGACGTGGACTCCGGTCGGAGGAGAACCAATTCTGCGATCTCCCCGGCCTTTAGCTCGGCCAAGAAGTCCTCCATGGCGAGCCCTTCAAGGTTCAGCAACTCGGAAACCTCGGGCAGAGCAGTAAACTCGACAGCTCGTGCCTTGACCCGACGACCGGTCACGCCGTCAAAGGTGTGATAACATTCTTCGGCGGCCGGAGCCTTGACTCGAGGCTCGGAGTCGCTGGCGACTGGCGTCGTCGACCACGCGACTAGGCCCGGCTTACGACGTGACCCTCGGGTGTCTTCATCTCGTGGCGCCGCCTTGACAGCACCACCGATCTTCTCGATCGTGTGCGGAACTATGTTACCCGCCTTGTCCTTGAGCGGAACTTGGTTACCCGCCTTGCTGGGTGGAACTATGTTACCCACCTCGCCGTGTGGAACTTGGTTACCCACACCTGGAGCGCTCCCAGCGACTCCCGCATCAGTTATGGTCTGAGTGACTTCCTGTGGAACTATGTTACCCACATCGGAAGCGCCTGCAGTGCCTTCCTCATCCGTTACGGTCTGAGTGACCTTGCGTGGAACTTGGTTATCCACGCCAGCGTCAGCGACGCCTTCTCCAGCAGCCCTTGCTGCCTGCGGTACTTCGTTACTCGCGTGTGGACCTAAGTTACCCACCTGGTAGGCACCTCCACTCTCAGACCTTGTCCGGCCCGGCCGGAGTCGTCGTCAGTCTCGACGGAACCCAAAACTCGCTGGACGCTGCTGCGCCCTGGCGGCCCTCGCGGGCGCCCCAGCTGCATCCAGAGGTGGGAGCATGACTCACCAAAGCTCTGTCAGAGCGTGGGGGACGGCTGGCCCTGATGGCCTTGCCGCGCCAGTCGACCCAAGGCTCGTGTTTCTCCAACCACGGCATGCCAAGGATCAAGTCGTACTTGTCCATGTGTAGGACCAAGAACGGCTCCGTGCTGTCGAAGTCCTCGAACTTGATAGCGAGGTCCATGTGGACCCGAGGTACTTCTACCACCGTACCGTCGGCCAGTCTTACCGAGACCAGCCCGTTGCCTTTGCTGCCTCGTAGCGCATCGGCGTACTTGTCACGATTGCGTGCGACAGTCTGGCGGCACGCAAAGTTCTTGGACGCCCCAGAGTCGATCAAGATTCTCAAGGGATGATCGTATCCCGGTACACTCGCGTACACCACAAGCAGCCCACCGCTGCCCTTCTCCGCTTCGAGAGTACAGAGAATCTCAGGGACTAAGTCCCCATGGCGTGCGCCACCCGCACGCCCCTCATGAAGACTTAGTGTTTCCCCAGTAGGGCGCCCCGCCCCCACTGGTGCCCGGCGTTCCCCTGGTTCCTGGGGCGCGGCTTCTGCCAGCGACCCCTAGAGCCAAAGGGCTTCGAAGACAACTTCTTCTTCAGTCCTCCCGTTTCATGTGCCCAAGCTTGCCACAGCCGTAGCAGCGAATGTCGCTCTGCTCGGCCATGCCCAGATCCATGGGAACCGGCCCGTTGGACGCTCCATTGCCGGAGTTACCATAAGGCGCACCGCCAGAGGCACGGTTGCTCTACCATACCGTGGCGGGGGTACGAGCCTGCTTGTGACTGTACTCCTCCTGGAGAGCGATCTGAATCGCCTCCTCCATAGTGTTCGCTTGCACACAGAACAGTTGTGTGCGGGCAGGACCGACGCGCAGACCGTCCATGAACACGGTCACCTTGATGTGTTCAGGCAGGGGGTTCCCCACCAAAGAGGCAGTGAGCACTCGCATCTCCTGGATGTACTCATGCAACTCGCGCCTTCCTTGTTTGCAGGCGAGGAAGCGCGAGCGCTGGCGGTACTCGTAGTTCGCCGGAAGAAACGCGGCCCGCTGCTGCTCGCACAGCTGGGACCATGATGCGAAGCATCCAGCCGTCGTTGCTTCGTGCGTGTACGCCCAACTCTTAGCGCGACCACTAAGGTTGGAGAGCGCAAAGGCGACACGGAGTCGCTCGTCCGAGACGAGAGCCGCGTCCATCGCGAGCTCGACCACTCGAACCCAGAAGTGAAGGTTTTCGTCTTCCTTCCCTTCGAAGGGGTGAACCTTCAGCCGCAGTGGCCTGCAGCCCTTGAACGTGGGCGAGGAGCCCTCGCTCGTAGGTGTCGAACGCGTTGATACGCTCAACCTGCTCAGCCGGCGTCGCCGCCGCTAAACTACGCAGGCATCTGTCCCAAAGATGCCTGCCATCTTCCGAACGGACTCGTACTGCGAGTCGCTCAGATGAGGAAACTCCGTCCGATCCATCTTGGCTCACTCGATGAGACCACAAAGGATTCAGGTAGTCCAATCTATCCGCGTAGGCGTAGGATTGACTACAAGTGCTACCAAGTGTGACGGGGCACACAGCACTTCTTAACAGAGGAAGCAGGAGTATACAAACTCCAAGTGAACAGCCGTTCACGTGTCCCTGGTCGGAAGGGGACGACTTGACTTGAAAAGCGGTAGATCTAAGACTGAATGTATTTATAGGTTGGTACAGATTTGGCCTGCATACAAATCCCAAGTTCCCTATAGTTTGTATCATACAAAATGTATCTGTTGGCTCTGAGGCCACTTGGGTCACTATCCAGGGGAGTGACCGATGTAGCCATCCCTGAATAGTGACAGGGTCACTATTCCATGTAACCCCGTTACAATACTACTCACGGCCCAAGGCCGGATGAACGCCGTTCGGTAGCTTGCCGTCAGTAGGCTTTTCCGATGCACCTCCCACGTGTAGACGGAGGAGATGCCCCCTGGTAGTACAGCTCCCGGTACGAGTCGAAGATCTCGTTGGCCTGCACCTCGAGCTCGCGCAGTGTCTCAGAGGGGTAGAAACCTTCTCCCTGGGCGGTCGTACTGGTCCACGGGGAGTGGTACGAGTCCCCGTCGCGGTTGTAGTCGCAGAGCAGATACTTGCGACCGCTGGTCGGGTCCACCCGCACCTGCAGCGGCTGGTCCACGCGCTGGTACAGGTCGTCGACCAGCGCGGGCAGCAGCCGCGTTAGCAGGGGCGTAACTACGGTAGACCTTTTTTTAGGGGGGGCACGGGGCTAGGGTTACGAAACTAGACTCCAAATTTAGTTGAAGCGGGCACTTCTCTGCGTTAACCGCCACTACCGTGCATTCACCTCTAGGCTTCATGGGGCCTAAACGGCTCAAGGCGGTGAGCATCATCGTGTTCTTTGAGCGTAGTGAACCCGACATCAGCAGCGAGCAGACCATACCTAAGCATCATGCTGTCCAACAACACGATATTCCTACAAAGAACAGTCTAGAGCAACAAAAGAAGGAAACGGCGGCATGGTGTCAGTTGAACGAAGTACCGATGGATCCTCGAGAGTGCAGTCCCAGCGACTTCGTGCGCACCGATCCCGCTGATCGCCCCCCGAACTTGTTCCTAATAGACCAGCTATCCTACGACCCGGTTCTCCGGAACGCAGTGCTTCGTACGTACGCTCATTTGGGGGGCCCATCAGCTTCGCTTGAGCCAACACCACGCCCGTAAGTTCGGCAGCAAGATGCGCTCTTTTCAGTCGTCTTGGTACGAAAAGTATCCGTGGTTGGAGTACTCAGCGAACACGTATGCAGCTTATTGTCTATGGTGTTACCTAAGTCGTGAGGTCATGCTTGTGGGCAAACAGCCTAATGTGTACACAGAGCCGTCACAAGGGTTCAGCAATTGGAAAAAAAGCGTGCAGTAAGGATGGATTCGCGGCGCACATGGGTGACTCCTTTTCGAAGCACCACAGCGCACATGCAAATTATGTAGTGTTGCTTACAGCAAGGCACGACATCGAGTTATCCCTTGGCCGCGCCGACAGGACGCAACGAGCCCAGAACCGCATGCGGCTTGGCATGATATTTGATATTTGCCTTTTTCTCGCTAGACAAGGAATACCATTCCATGGGCATTCCGAGGCAGTAAGTTATGCATGACAAAAATCGTTTTTATGCTTTTGTTATTAATTTGTTGTGCTTGTTTGTTGTATGCATTAGGATATGGCATCAAATAAAGGCAACTTTTTGGAGATGGTTGGCTTCATGATGGAGAAAGTTACTGATTTTTCGAGCGGAATGTCTTCTGCACCGCGCAACGCCCACGTCTCCATGAGTGCAGCAGCAGTTCGTGCAATGCGCAGCGGACTTGGTCGGTGAAAATATCATTGACAACGAGATGGCTGGCAAGTACTTTTCCGTGTTGGTTGGCGAGGCCAGCTGCGAAGGCAAGAAAGAATTTATGTCGATAGTGGTGTGCTTTGTGTGCTCTCGCATGGGACGAATTCTGGAGCGATTCTTAGGGGCAGTTCATGTTCGGTCAACGGGAGCTGCTGATCTTTTCGACAGCCTCATGAACCATCTTACAGCATGGAACATCCCTGTGCTCAATCTACGCGGCCAAGGATACGATGGGGCAGCGAATATTTCGGGGGACTACACAGGACTCCAAACGAGAGTGCGTGGAGAATGTCCGTACGCATATTACGTGCACTGCTTCGCACACAGGTTGAACCTGGCCATTGTGTGTGAAGCCAAAAAAATGTTTCGGTGGTAGAATGTTTTGATGTTGTGCAAAACATTCATACTTCGTGTGGTGCCTCTTGCAAACGGATGATATGTTAATGGACACAGCGCGTGACGAGAAGGAAAAACTACTGAGCGAGGGCGCTCTGGAGACTGGCCAGGGGCTGAATCAGCCTATGAACACAAGAGGCGCTTAGTACTACGCGATGGAATTGTCGTGTGAGGGCCCTAAGTCGCGTTAGATCCCTGTGGATGCCGATAACTAACGTGCTTCGAACTGTCGGTAGTAATGCTGTCGACCCTCAAAAGCGAGCTGATGCTGCTGGAAATCTCGACAAAATGTGGACTTTTCAATTCGTTTTTCACGTAGAAGTTCTCATTACTGTGCTCGAGAAACTTAACGTGCTATCGCAATATCTGCAAAACAATGATATGGACGTGGCCTCAGCTGCATTATTAGCGATGCGAATTCGAGAAGAGCTGCAGCAAATGATTGATACGCCTATGCGCAGTGAGGCTGAGAACAGTTTCTCTGCTGTATGGACTAGGTATGTTGGTTTCTGTAGCACACTGCCGACTAGTGGGGGGATGTTGGTACCTGCAATGAAGGCGCCGTGTTTCCGGCGAGGATCAAGATACCGAGGCAAAGGTAAATGTGGTGTCCCTGATGCAGACAACGATACTCAGCAAACCCAAGAACAACGTTTCTACGAAGATGTGTATGTGCCGGTTGTAAAAAGCATTCTTCAGGAGCTAAAAAGTCGATTTGGTGAAGATGTTCTTGGTCTTATGGAGCTGTGCGGTGGTCTAAGTCCCAAAAACAATTTTTCCAGTTGGAATCCCAACGACATCAGATGGATTGCAATGGACTATTACCCCAATGACTTCAACAGGCAGTTCCAAGCGGTGCTCGATCAAGCTGCCCACTTTGGTGCTATCGCTCGACGGGACCATCGCTTCAAAATGCGCAAGTCGTTGGGTGACTTGAGTGAAGCAATGGTGGCTACAGGCATGAAGAGGGTTTTCCCGATCTTGTATCGGCTGCTACAGCTCGTGTGTGTTCTGCCTGTGTTGACTGCAAGCACCAAACGCTCATTTTCTACAATGAAGCAGGTGAAGACACGACTACGAACTACGCAGGGCGATGAATTGATGTCGGATCTCTTGCTGCTTTCAATTGAGCGCGACTTATCTGGAGTCATCAACCGAGATGATGCAATCGATCGATTTGGCACCATCACCGAGCGCCGCATTGACATTTAATGCATTAATACACGTAAGCACTAAAATAAATTGTCTTCCGCCAATCTGGGAGGGGGGGGGGGGGGGCAAAAGTTTGGGGGGGCATGCCCCCCCTAATCGGGCCTAGTTACGCCCCTGCGCGTCAGGTTGTACACGTTCGTCTCCACCTCGCGCGGGGGCATGCGCCGCATGAGGTTCAGGCACGAAGTCATGCCGCCGTCGTCCGCCATACTGCTATGTACCTTGGTGATTGTCCCCTTGTGTGTCTGATGGCATCAGATGGGCTGCGATTGGGTGGAATTCTAAGGTTTATTTATACCCAATGACAAGAGGTTACGGTTCTTTTGGACCAATAAGGGGGCGTTCCTTGGATACAGTGTTTTCAGCCAATGACGGCGTGTTGATTGGCTGGAAGCGTTGGCGGTGCGTCCACACCAGCAATTGACACTACACAGTGGAGCGACATCATGAGCAAGCGCGTCAAGGTGCACCTCCAGCACCAGGAGTCCTTCGACAGCACGGCGCCCGTCGTGGGTACGCTACACCAACCTCACTACAATGCCTATAACAACCGCTTACTTTTAACTAACAAATCGCGTGTAATTCCACGACGATTAACTCTGCAGCGACGTTCCGCAACGGCCCGCCGCCGCCGAACCAGCGCCAGGACCTGGCGTTTGAGGTGTTCGAGAACCCGACCAAGAAGCAGCGCCTGGTGGTGGCCAGCTCCGAGAAGGTGGCGTACCAGGGCGCCAACTTCGGCTACCTGGGCTCGAGCCACGACTTCGCCAGCTACGCCGTGGGCGTGTACGACCGCAACACCAAGGAGGTGCGGCTCTGCAATGTGAACCAGATCTACGTCATGCAGCAGGCCATCAAGAACGCGTCCGAGAACGTGGACGACAACCGCGGCGAGGACAAGAGCTTCATGGAGCAGCGCCGCGACCTGGTCGAAGTCTTTGGTAGCAAGAAGAGCAAGCGCATCCAGAAGAACCGCGAGGAGAACATCGTGGACCTCGAGCACATCAGCGGCGCCGCCTCCGTCACGCAGACGCTCCAGAAGAAGATCTCGGCCGCCAAGAAGCAGCTCGAGGAGGAGCGCGCGCGCGACGGCACCTTCTCCAAGGAGGCGGCGGCCCTTGCGGCTACCCGCAACGAGCTGCTGCCGCCCTGCGACATCGACGCTCCGACACCCGACCGCGTGTACGACCTGACCAAGTGTAAGTTTTTGCCCTGTGGAGGTGTTTTGGTAGTATGGCGACAAAGGTTTTGACAGGTTCTGGTGTGTCGTTGTGTGCTGTACAGTCATGAACAGCAGTGTCATGGACTCGCTGACCATCATGGCCGAGGAGGTGATCGAAGCGCTGCAGAGCACGAGTGTGGCCGAGTACGCGGCGAAGCAGAGTCTGGCGGCGCTGCCCACGCGGATGATGCTGTCGCTGGCTGCGCCGTACGACGTGAACAAAATGTGCCTCGTGGTGTACTTGGCGTACTTGATCGACTTTTACCACTCGCGCTTCCCGCTGCACAAGTCCGCTGCGGCCTTCAGCGAGGAGAAGGGCATCCCGCTCGTGATTGTGCGTCACTTCCTCAAGCTCTTCACGGATATCGGCGAGGGCACCAACGGCCACCCGACGTACTTCCAGGCCAAGGCCAAGAAGGACAAGCTCTGCCTGTTCCTTATCGTTGTGGCGCTTACGCTCAACGGCTTCACGCTGGACCTCACAGAGGTCGCCGCCGACCTCAAGCGTACGCCCATCCAGATGCAGTCGTACGCCATTCAGCTGGGCTGCGTCGTCGAGAAGGCCAAGGCGGAGACGGCCATCTACGGCGGTGCCTCATCAGTTGGGTCCAAGAAGAATATTCTGCGTGCGGTGCTATCGGTGCCGCTGCACTTCCCCAAGCCGAAGCGTGGGGGTCCCGCTCGCCGGTAAGCATTCGGCAGCAAAATAGAAGCCGTGGATTTACAGGACTGAGACTTGTTGAGGTCGAAATACATATACCTTTGCATGGATCCCCACTCTACTGCACTAGCTTTCTACTCATTGTGGTAACTCGGAATCGGCACGAACGTACTGTATCATCCTACGACATCGTGATCGGGTGGAGGAAACGCGCGGGGATTCATTATGACTACTCACTGCATTCAAAACTTGCGTTGCATTAATTGCACTGAAGCTCCCAAGTGGAGCACTCGACACATTTTCCTAACCAGTTACTATAGATACATCTCTCTCTTCATTCTTTCCTTCCTGTCTGGCTTAGGACTGCGTCGGGCGGCCGAATTCCGAGTCTGTGGAGAAGCGCGAAGAGAGCGCCGACGTGCGGTCGAACGAGCCCGACTCGAGCATGGCGTAGCTGTCGTTCGTGCCGCGCATCTCGTCCATCCAGTGCGACGCCTCCTGATCTCCATTGGGCACCTCGCTTTGTCGCTCCAGGGCCTCCGAGACAGTCGTTCCGACCGTGTCGCGACCAAAGTCATCCACGCTGCCATCAAACGAGTTGAGCACTCCCTGGCCGTTGTACGTGCCCGAAAACGAGTTGGCGTACGACCCCGCCATGGAGCCAGTGAACGAACCGGCGTAGGACTCGTTGTACGACTCGGCATAGCTGCCGGCGGCGGCGTTGAACTCCATCGAGTGGGCCTCGAAGTTGCTGTTGCTGGGTCGCGAGGCCTGCACAGCGTCCTTCCTATTAAAGGGCGACGTGGACGGCGCCGCCCCGTTCACCGTCGACTGCGCCGGGTCGAAGTTGTACTTCGTCGGCTCCTGCGTGGTCGGACTGGGGGAGCTACCGGGCACGTCGTGCAGCATGGCGATGGACGATTCGAGCGGCTCCGGCGCGGCCTTGGTGGTCTGCGACTCGAGCGCGGTGAAGTCGTACTCGGTCGGCGTATTCTGCGTGTTGGCCACGGACTCGTTGGGCTCCGACGTGTTGATCTTGGACACCGGGTAGTTCTGCATGAACTGCTTCTCGTCGTCCTCGCGCTTGGCGCCCATGGCGCGGTAGGCGAAGAAGCCGCCGACGCCCAGCACAACGACCACACCGACGATGATGCCGATCACAGCGCCTGCACTCATTCTGAACAGCTAGAAGATATTCCTGTGGGAATGCGCCCTTCGATTCGAGGATGAGGAAGCGAGCGAGCGCTGGGCCGCCGGGGGATTCGATTGTGGGCGCCTGCCGCGTCCGTCGCACTGAAATCAGCGCGCGCGTGGTCCGTCGTTGGGCCGAGAGCCCTCGCACACCGATCTGCGGTTGTGTGGAGGCGGGAGAGCTGGTTGTGCAGTGCCAGGTCGCTTCAGTCTTAGAATGACAGCCGGCACGCGGTCAGCGCAGTATAGTGAGACCAAGAGAGCAGCCGTTTTAAGGGCTCCATCAATACGAGACACTCGCTGTGCCGCGTTTTCGACCCATTCACGTTAGACTTGGCGTTTGTATGCTCGAGGCTGAGCTCACGTGCACGACGATCGGACGACAACGCCGCCTGTACCACGGCGAGAGCCTCGGCGGAGCTCAAGCTTTCGAGCTTTTCGGGGGACGGATGCTGCTCAGCAGAGCGAAGCCCATGGCGTGCGTGAGCGGCGGCAGCGCAGGGCAAACACCGCGACGTTCCATTCGTGAATACGGTCCTGCCCGGGGCTGGTGTCCGTGAGCGACGCTGGTTACATCCTGCAGCTGTGTGTCGAGACGAAGGAAACGGCAGGAAGTTACCATGAGAGATCGCGCTTTGGTGGCCCCAAAGAGGCGGAGCCGCACCATCCGCTTTTTCGGTGACGCCAAACTTCCGTCCGTGCAAGCGAAGGGAGCGCAGGTTGCCTGCCTGTGCCAGAGCCTCTGCACGGCGGCGCAGCTTGCATATCTGCTGAAGCCTGGACCTCACAACAAAGGGAAAGGTTGGTCCTTCAAGGTTTCGTTTCAACTGTAGGCTGCACTCTGTAAGTTGCGTGGCGCGTCGATGGCTTGAAAGCCACAAACAACGTGTAAGCGGAGGATTGGAAAACTCTTCCGCTTTGGCCTTCAAGACTTGGCGTCGCGACGTTGGGTCACTTTTAGTAGATTTTGCAGAGTGTGGCCTCGACAGAAAGCAGGAAGGATGGGGGCAAGTGGGAAATGTACCTACACGGACGCAAACTCCGCGACATGGACCATTTTCGAATCCATTGCCAATTGAAGTCGGCACATTAAACACTGCGATAACTTTTATTGAGCGCTCGCTCCGATTTGCCATACGAATCGCGGGGACAGGCCTTCGGGCCGCTACACACGAGCTCGAGTTCGTTACATGCCCCTCTGCCCCTCTGTCACATATGCGTCGGCAAGCAGCGAGGGCACGGCGGCATTCGAGCACTTTCGTGCAGCTGCTGAAGGATTTCGAATCAAGGAGACAAGAGGCATCAAACTCGACTTGAGTCCTGATCCCAGCGCCACCTGGCCTCGCTGTTGCTCTATTAGACAAGACAAGATCGCGGGGCTGCGCGTGGTACTTGTGTCCTCATGCTTACCACTGCAGCTGCATTTGACAATTTCCCATCCTTATCCGAGCTCCACCCTTTGGCCATCCGATGTACAAACAGTAAGATATCGTGAGCTCTAGTGCATGACACGCTGTGCACACCCGCCACTCGAACTTCTTGCGGTGTATCCATGATACACTTGAAGCCATGATGAAATGGCTACATGTAAGCTTAGCCAAATTAGCCAGTTTCCCTCCCGCAGCCGAAGCATGAGCAAGCGTAAACGCGATGGCTCAGCCCAAGTCGCCGGCGGCTCCAAGCACGCGCGTGTGCGCGAAGGTCAACGTGAACGAGAGCCCGAGTCGGTCCCTCGCAGGCGCAAGCTCAAGGGGGTTCGTCTCCCAGTCGACATCGCGGCCCTTGCGCACGTCTTGCAGCAACTCGAAGACCTCCTGCTGAGCCCGGACGAAGCCATGCTGGAGGCGGCGGCGTTCGGCCACGTGACATGGGTACAGGAGCTTCTGGGCAGTTTCGAGTGCGAGTTGCTGGAGCCACTGCACGTTGCAGCCGCCAACGGCCACGCGGAAGTGCTTGAAGCGCTGCTGGACAAGTTGGTGAAGCCCCCGAGCGAGCTAGACAGCGGTACGTCGGATGCCTTACAGTACGCGTTGATGGCGGCTGGGGAGCACGAGCACCTCGCTGTTCTGCAGCTGCTTGTGACGTGCTTCCTGGCTGCAGGTAGTACACACAAGAGGGAACACGCAGCATCTACAGTCACTTTAGTGCTGGAGGATGCAGCAGCACACGGCCAACTCGCCGTCGTGGACTTTCTGGTTACACACGCGGCCCCGCTCTTTATGGAGTTCGTGGATCCAAGCGAGGAATCGCCCGCCTTGGCGGCCGCAATAATGGGTTGGCACGTGGACGTCGCGTGGTATTTACTGGATCGGGATGCGGACGGCGTCATCTTTGACTTTGTCACTGCGTTTTGGGTAGCGCTAGACGCCGGACTGAACGACTTGGCGGACAGAATTGACGTCTATTCGCTGAGACGTCACGAGAGGACTGCGCTGCTTCTGGAGCTGGCAGTCGACGATAGCGTGGATGCCGTCAAGTATATTATCGACAAGGGAGTGGATTTGGATTTGGTGAGCAAGGCGTTTAAGAAGGCGGCGAAGGCTGGTGCCGTCGCAGTCGTGCAGTTCTTGTGAACGTCGTTCGAAATCTCGCCGGAATATTTGGACGAAGTGTTCAAAAAGACCGCTATTTCAGCAGGGAAAGCAATTCAAGTTCTCCCCATTCTCTACGAAATGAAGCGCCCGTCCCCGCGGATCATCTACAAAATATTTCGTGATGCGCACGACGTTGCCGTACTCAAACTGTTGCTCGAGATGGAGCAAGTTTCAGATGACGCGACTGTTGCCGCCTTTGAACATGCAGTCGCGGTCGATTTTCGGGATAAATTTGCGATTCTCGAACTGTTGCACTAGAGGGAGTGCATTTCGCCTCAAGTGCTCACTGACGCTCTCGTGGTTGCAGCCACGCAGGGAAACTCTGCATTCGTGGACTTAGTGCGTGGCGACTCTCGTATTCTGTGTGAGGCGCTGGATAAGGCTTTCGTGGACTCGGTGTTTAGTGAAAACGGCAATCGGATGAAGGGACTGTACGACAGCCAACTTGTTTTGCCTGCGGCGATTTGTGTCGCATTCATCATCGCCGCTGCTCGAAACCAACTTCAAACCGCGACCGCACTCGCGAACTACCTACCTGTCGAATCGTATGTACCTCGACATTTTAAAGACGTGGCTTTTGTGTTTGTGGCAACACGGGGGCAACTACAACTCATATAGGCGCTGAACCAGAATGGAAACGGAGAGTGGTCGGTGAGCGTGCTGCAACAAGCCTTGGAGGCCGCGAGTGACGACTCAATCAGGAACTACATTCGCATACTTACCTGCAACAAGCTCTTCCATCGACGTGTCCCAGAAGCGGTGATGAAGTTGTTGACGGATTGGAGCGATGATTCGTCGGACGAGTAGCATCCGCTGCCACACTGGGTTTATTCGGATTCGCTCGTTACATACCCGATTGAAGGTTGCGGATGCAAGAGCTGCGTCTTATCACGGAAAAGTTGAGGACGAAGCCAGAGTTTCCCGATGTCGCAAGTGTAGTTATAGTTAGATCTAGCAGGAGGTAGAGTCGATGATAGCTCACTTGCGAATTCTCCTCGCTCCAGCAACCCGCCACGCCACGCCCTTGATGTGGCAAAATCTACATTTATTTGCCCCACACATGGACATTGTTGGAAACGAGAGCAATAGCGACCAAGCCCACTATGGTCGCGGCAGCCGCAAAAACCATGTCATACATGTAACCCTTTTTACCGGAGGCTTTCACCGTTTCTTCTCCAAGATGCTCGATGTCGCTCTGGGTGAGAGAGTTCGTCCTCAGCTTGGGCGCAATTTCTTTGTATGTGGAGGTTCTTCTTAGCTTCTCCAGGAACCCGGGTTGACCCTTGAGAGTTGTGATCGTCTTGGCGACCTTAGGGTCCTTGAGGGCATCAGTGATCGACGGATTCGAGGCAATAGCGTTACCGATTTTTGGGTTCTTCTTGAAGAGTGACGACAGTTTGCTGAGACCCGGAATCTTAAATCTCCTTTCCTCGGTTTCCGCGATGACCAGACTATTCGTCGTCTCCTTTCTGCCGTCTTGGAGGGTGCGACGCATCTTTCCATCGCGTTCCGTACCATTGGCAGCGTTGATGCTCGAAGTAAACTCGATAAGGGCCATGACAAGCACCGTCACGGGGACGGATTGACGCATCGTGATTCGCGGACAATTTGAAGTCGTGGGCTACACTTGCGGCTGCGGAGGTCAATTGAAAAGTGAGTGTGGACTTTACAAGACATGACACAACTACAGATTCACCCTTTGTGGGGGATTCAGACTACGCTTAGCATCACATCAGCCAGTATGCTTACTTATTTAGCATTATCATAACCCCATGACATACAGTTAGCATCCACCGTGTCGTGATGGTAAGCTCTACCTGCTTAGCGTCACGCCATCTGTGATGCAAGGCCTCTTTTCGGGGGCCTTTTGTTGACAACTCTCAAACGGCAGGTCTCTGAGTGAACACTGGCGTCATACTCCAAGATCCATAGTTGGTCACCCAGCACAAATTGGGGCATTCGGGGAAATATAGCTCATCAAACAATCTTGTACGAAGTGTGGCCATCCGTCTCACGCCAACAGGAGTTTTGCAGCGGAACCCCACAGCATCAATGGATGTGGGCACACCGAACATCGCCTTCTTGGACAACAGTTATTAGCTCAATGTTCGGTTGTCAAGTCGGAGAATCAAGCATTGAAGTCAAAGTATGGGGAGAGATTTAACGTCTTAATGTGCAATCTGGCTTTGCCCGCACAATTCGCTTTGATTCCGAGTTCGCCGCACAGCTCACGGCTGAGAGCAGGACGTCCTCCGACCACGTGAGACTGCTGCACATATACTCGAGCGTTTTCAGCCTACAGTGGTGGGCGGCGCCCATTAGAGCTTGCGTGGCCAACTCCGAAGGGATGGTCTGCGCGACCTGCAAGCTTTTGAGTACATTGGCTTTGTCGTTGCTTGCTGCGCTCAGGAAAACTTCCGAAAACAGGTCCGGGGGAACTAGTCCGTTGCTGCACATGAAGCGCATGATTACTTCTTCACCCGCTGCCCTCTATAGCAGTATGAGACGTTCGACGCTGCAAGCTCGAATCCCGCTGCGATGGACTCGGGCGAAATCGACTCCTTCTCGTGTAAGAACTTCACCGCCTCAGTTGAACCAAAGTAAGCGGCGAGTTCAAATGCTTTATTCGACGTCTCGACAGAAATCCGCCCACGATCTCGAAAGAATACCATCGTTTCGACGCAATTACCCCGCGCTGCTCGAATAAACGCCCGATTCTCTTCTTCCAGAGAGTCATGTCCGCGCTCGATTAGATACTTCACCGCATTCAAATGACCCTCTTGCGCAGCCTCACCAAGCATGCTCGTTGGCGCGTTACGCTCGTACCAATCGCCTTGTACAAATCCTGGATACGCGCGATACAACCTTTCCATGAGTGGTTTGTTGTCAACACGGATGGCATTGTCGAGCGCTTCCCTGATCCCAGTAATATTCAAACGGATTCAGCAGCACTTCCACTATATCTGCATGTCCGTTAATAACTTCAGCAGATAGCGCGTTGGACCTATCCTTTGCGAAGTATCCCAGGATATACGGGTCAATGGTTTCAACTGAATATACCAACTCGAAGACACTGCTGTGACCGTGTTCTGCAGCCACCCCGAGAATGTCCCATTCTAAATCGTTTCGGTCTTCACGGTCATCAACCAACTCTAGCAGACAACGTACTAGGTCTACGTCGCCATTTTCGGCACCAACCACAGCAGCACCGTAAACGTTGAGCATGTAGCTGTCGTCTTCCTCGAGCTTTACCAGCCACTGCACATCCCCCGTCTTCACGGCTGCCATGATCCCCTCCTCCATCGTCATCGAAAACTCTTGAATCTGCTTCACAACGTGTGACATCGCCTGGAGTTCAGGTGGAAGTACTCGAACCACGCTCGCTTGACAGCTGACTTCGTCGGCTTGACCTTTTTCATCTTCTTGTTCGTCTTCTTCAACTTCTCGATCGTCTTCTTCCAGGGACACATGGATTGTATCCTCCAGAGCCTTGTTCATTGATTTGCTTCTGTTCTCTTGGTGTTGCTGCTACCTTTGGATCTTGGAGAATGAGCTGTTCATCAAAGTCTGATTCATTTTTATCAACTCAAGTTTTTCAACCCACGATGCGATACTGGGTTGAAATCCTACGATACCCCTGATACGGATCGGTACATTCCAGGGAAGACCGCAGCTCACAAGGTTGGTGCTGGTATGGTAAAATTATTCTTTCTCGTTCGCATGACTTAGTTCCGAGCTACTTAATTTTTTTCCCACACGGTAGGCAACTGCTCGCAAAAATATTTAGCCTCTCTGCTCTTTATGCTCTCGTAGGGTAGTACCGCGGACTCGTTCCAACCTGAGAGCGGTTTCCGTGTAAATACCGGGGGCATACTCCAAGTGTAAAGTTGGTCGCCCAGCAAGCATCAACTCCCGGTATACTTTGGCTTCAGCACTTTATTCTCGGTCTTGACAACCGTACATTGTTGAGCAACATACACCGAAAATTTCCTGCGTGGACAGCAGCCAAATCTGTGTCATTTGTTTTTATACTGAGGTATTCCGTTGCGAAAAAACTCCTGTAGGCATGGGACGAATGGTTTACACTTGATACAGGATTGTTTCATGAGCTTTATGACTTAGTACGTAGTATTTCGGTGTCCCACTGGGCGCCTTCCAAAACACATATATAACCGTTTGATCAGTTTAATCCGTAATTTCTTTTAAATTACCGAACGGGTTAATGTGCCCTAAAACGGTTGCTGGAACGCGACCTTCGGGAATAGTGGAGTTCAGTCACCTGTTTAATCACGTTGCTAGTTAAGAGTCGCATTAGAATTGTTTGATGAGACCAAAAAGTGGTCTCATCAAACAATTCCCCGTGATTAAACTTTTATGCGCGACCTTTGGTGAGGGTTTTGGAAGGCGCCCACTGCTTAATTCGTTTTGTCTAACTTTATCCGCAAAATCTGCTCCGATTCCAAGTTCGTTATGCAACTCAAAGCTGCGAGCAGGGCAGCCTTCGAACAGGTTTCATTGTCGCAAAAACACTCGAGAGTCTCCCACCAACTGTGCTCGGCGGCGTCCATTAGAGCTAGCGTGACCAATTCAGAAGGGACAATATGCGCAGCTTGTAAACCTTTAGTATTTGCACCTGGTCATTAGACGCAGCGCTCCGGAAAACTTCCGCAAACAGGCTCGGGGGCACCGGTCCGTTGCTGCACATACAGCGCATGACTTCTCCTCTCTCCTCCCTCGCATACAGGCCATGGCAGCGGTGTTTGCTGTACAGTGCTGCGAGCTTGAATCCCGCTGCGATCGACTCGGGCGCAATTGACTCCTTCTTGTTGCAATATCAAATTCGTGCAAGCATTACTCCGGTGATATGCGGCCAGCAAGAGCGACGGACGCACACACGCGGGGAAAACATCTACTGCGCACGCTCATTTCAATTCAGCTGAGAGGACAGGCAACAAGTGCGACGGTGGCCTCCAGCTAGCTACTACTACTTCACAGCACCACCACAGAGGAGACCAAGGGGATAGCCCTACATGTAGTCCGAGCTCACAGCTCCAGTTCTTTCTCATTCTCACTTTTACCTGCTAACCAACAAACAACTTGAGTCTCCTACATCGCCGCAGTCTTCAGTCGACTTCCTAGCCTTCCATCACTTCTCGTGTAAGAACTTCACCGCCTCCGTTGAGCCAAAGTAAGCGGCGCGTTCAAACGCCATATTCAACGACTCGACCGAAATCCGTACACGATCGCGAAAAAACGCCATTGCTTCGGGGTGATTACCCTTCGCTGCTAGTATAAACGCCCGACTCTCTTCTTCAATTGAGTCATGCCCATGCTCCAGCAGATACTTCACCGCATTCAACTGCCCCCCTTCAGCAGCATCACCAAGGATGCTGGCCGGCGCGTCAGGTTCCTCTTCATCTTTTTCTACGAACTCTGGGTACGCACGATAAATCATTACCACAATTGGCTGGTTCTCCACACGGATGGCATCGTCGAGCGCTTTCCCGATATCCCAGTGATACTCGTACGGGTCCAGCAGCAGGTCCACCACGTCTGCATGCCAGTTGACAACGGCAGCACATAACGCGTCGCTCCTATGCTTTGCAAGGGATCCCAGAGGCTGTGTATAGGAGTCGACCCTTTCAACAGGGCAGGCCAAATCGATGACCCCGCAATGGCCATGTTCAGCAGCCGCCTGGAGAACTTCCCAGGCAACCTCGTTTCGCTCTTCAGGGTCATAAATCGACTCCAGAAGACAACGTACTACGTCAATGTCGCCATTCTTGGCACCAACCACAGCAGCGTCGCATACGTTATAGCAGTCGTCTTCCATGAGTTTCTCCAGCCACTGTACATCCCCCGTCCTCACGGCCTCCATGATCGCCTCCTCCATCGTCATGGAAAACTCTTGAATCTGCTGCACGACGTGTTCCAACGCCTGGAGTTCGGATGGAAGCACTCGAATCACGCTCGCCTGACAGCTGATTTCGCTTCCAATCGAGTTGGAGAGTGAGCGGTTCATCAACGCCTGATTCATTTTATCAACCCGTAGGGTGAATAGTTTTCAACCCACGACGCCAGATTGGGTTGAAAGCCTACAAAATCCCTGATATGAAACAATTGGCGGGAACCCGGGTACCCATCGGGACCCCGGTTCCCCCAAAACTACCGGTACACATGTATGAGCAAATGCATTGAAGTGTTGGTCTATGACCTACATAGAACGCAGCTAAAGCTCAGTAGGGGAACGGAAGGTTAATTTACCTTCGCCCTCGTCCTGTGTCTCTCCACGAAAATCCAGTCGCTTGCCTGGTGCAGCGGTACAGTGCTTCCCGGTCTCATCGCTATCCTCCTGCTCATGAAAGATAAACTTGGACATGGTAAGGTATGTTACTTGGGTCTATTCAGTACCGGTGGCATATTTTGAGGGTAGTCCTTCATCGACAGCACTTAGATATGAGGGTTTAACTTGCCCCGAGGGTACCAATGTGGAGGCCAAAAATTAAATAAATAATTCGCGATTTGGTCGGTATCATTTGCGGGAACCCGGGTTCCCGCCAATTGTTTCATATGAACATGGTGCACACTACCAGAACGAATCCTTGACTTCACAACAGCCTCCGCTCTGGATCACCAATTCTCCCCCTCCAAATTTGTTTGAGCTGCGGGCTGCTCGTCGCTTTCAGTGCTTCATTCAGAGTGGCAAGCGGCCAGTCTTCGCCCTTCTCTAGCAGCTGAACAACAGCTCGGTAGTTACTTCGAGCTGTTCGGAGTAACTAACAGCAGGACCACTTGCTTCACGGACTGCGTGATCTGAGGTTTGTCCATGAGGAAGTAGACGATACGCAGATGCCCCATGTCAGAAGCATTTTGCAACGTTGCAACGCAGAACATACAACTTTACGGGAAATGCTCGGATCGTCATACAAAATCGTCACCAGGTCGTCTAGATCGTACGCGGTCATCGCGAAGGCGGTGCAAATCACATCGAGCTTCTGTTGTGGTACAAGAAGGCAGCCACAGCTTCGCGCTCCTCCTTCGGAATTGTCAAGACAGTCGACCCGATGCCGTCACGTTCTCAAATGCGGTCGTGATGCTCTTCGAAGGTATTTTCTAAAAGGAATTTGGTCACGGAAAAGGATAACAACTCTCTTGAACGCTCGATAAATCCCTGAAGATATACAAAGTGCCTCTCATAGAGAAACGTCACGATCCGATCCAGAAGTTGCCGCAGCTTCAAACGCCGTATAAAAAATAATTCCAGGGATGCCCAGTCCCGATCTGAAAGACCGTTTCTTGCACATGTACAAGCAGTGCAGCGCGAGCTGAGCCAACCACGGTAGACACATGTCTGTTACATTCAACAACTTACTCTTATGTAGTGTCCGGAACTTTTATCCAATCGTGCAATCGAATAGAGTTTAGAGCGCCAACGAGTCGAAGTCTGTACGCATTTTCAAATTTGTCTTGGCACTTCACTACAGCTTCTCCTCCCAAGTGTCAGTCAAGCTCTTCGACTGCATCGAGTATCAAATTCATCCTAGTTGCCACTGTCACGGCCATTCTCTGCGTATCTGGAGTCAGCGCTGAAACTTCCTCCGAGCAAGCACAAGACGTCTCGCAGGAATACGTACTATCACGACTCGTGATTCACGAGCGGCATTTGAGGTCCGGCTAATCAAGAGACAAGAGGAAGGCCCCCTCCAACATGGCTGCACGCGAGATGGAGTCATGGAGCTACTTGCAACAAACTTTAACAACGATGCATGAGTTCAAAAGTTGACGTGGCATTAAAAACTCATAAAGTGGAAACGAGCTCGTAGTTAAGACACGAACTTAACCCGAATCATTTCCAATTATATATAGAAGCTATTTTATTTTAACAATATATTCAATACTTAAGTAATACGATTTAAATAATAAATTATTTAAACTTTATTAAAAATAGATTTTAAACAAATTATTGTCCGAATCCGCAAAAGAAAATGAAGCTTCCTTCTTTTCCTAAGCAAGACTTTTCCTAAGCAAGATAAAGCGCGCTGCTGCAACCCCCTTCTTCGACGAGGACGACCCAGGGAAGGAGAGCAAACACGCAAGATCTGGCGAACAAGCTGGTGAGAGGATCGACCCAGAGCTCAAGCGCCTCAAGTACGCGAGCTTCCCCATCCAAATCGCATCGCTGCCTCACGTTCTCAAGAGCATCGACGTGTTCTTAATGAGCCCAGAGGAAGCCATATTGGAGTCTGCAAAAACCAGTCACTTAAAATGGCTACGCTCCCTACTGGATGGGCATGGCGTAAAGGTTCGGGACGCAGCCATGATCGCTGCGGCGAGAAATGGCTACATCGAGGCGGTGAGAGTGTTAATGCTTGAAATCATCAGCGCACAGACGGGAAAACTGGACTATGCAAGTCGCCAGGTCCTGACAAAAGCTGCCTCTGCTGCTGGTTCAAATGGTCATCTGGTTGTGGTGGAGTTGCTGTTGCTGGAAATTGAAGCGGACGACGAGCGTGAAGACAAGCGTGAAGAGGAAAGCGACTATGACAGTGGCGATGATGAGCTCGCTCCATCACATGACGCGGCGTGGGAAATTCTCGAAGAGGCCTGCCCATGGACATCTTGGGGTCGTGGAGTTTGCGGCGGAGTATGCACGTGAGACTGAGTACAAGAGCGCGATTGAAGCCTGCAACGCCCTCAATACCGCCATTAGAGGTGGCCATTTTGAGGTCGTGCAGTTTCTTCTCGAGCCTGGGCGGTACTGGTGGAATTATACTGAGGCGCTTGAGCTCGCCATTACCGAAGGACAAGATGCTATCGCCCAGTTGATTTACGCTGGCTCTCCGCAGTTGGATGGGAAAAGTTTGTTTTGTAATTTCGCTGTTGCCGGCAACTTGAAAGTGGTCACGTACCTTTACAACAACGGGCACAATGGCCCTGAGCTGGTGAACGATGCCTTCGTGCAGGCAGTCCGTCACGGACGAACCGACGTCGTTGCATTCTTGCTGGGCAGTGGACCGATTTCACCGGAGGCTTTCGACTCGGCTTTTGAAAATGCTGCAGCATCAGGTGTTATTACAACCTTGAGGTTCCTTTACGAGCAATGTCGCGCATCACGACCCTCCGTAATTGCATCGTTTGAAAGAGCACCGAACGCTACTATTATCGAGTTTCTCGGTTCCAATGAGAGTATTCCTGCGACGTCTGTAGTCGCGGCGTTGAAGAACGCTACTCGTTACATTGGCCAGCACTATGATAGCCGTGGCCAACTGGAGATACTCGGGCTCTTACGGAAGCGGACGGACATTCCTGCTACCGTCATCAACGAAGTCGTCGCACAAGCCACGCTGGAATTTCGCCCCGGGATTCTGCAAACTCTGGGCATCGACTCCAGACTGACACCTGAAGTTCGTTCTGCAGCCTTTGCGAAGGCCATTGATAAAGGAAATCTCCAGGCAGTTCAGGCATTGTTCCAAGAAAATCAGATTTCCCCAGAAGGAGTGGCCCAAGCCTTTGTGAGGGCTGCTAGCGCTCGACACCCACACCTTGTGAAGTTTCTGCAGGACAAACCCGTCATTGACGCATCCGTGGAGCAGGACGCTATACTCGCTGCCGCTCGCGCAAACCGTAACGAGATTACGCAGCAGCTTTTGAAGCGCAAAGTGAGGCCAATTGAGATTCTCCAACGAGCACTTAGTGCTACTCGTCGCAAGAAACTCAAGAAATTCCTTCGTGCAAGCATCGCGGAACGGCAAGGTAGTTTCTAAAAGCGAGGGTCGTGGACCCCCCCCCCCCCCCCCCAACTAGGGCGTTTTTTTATTCAGTAAACGTTCAATGCGAACAGCCAAGAACAATATGCTCAGTGTAGATTGTTCTTGACAATTTACATTGAAAAGATACTGAGTGACCGACCACGTGATTGAAGCCGATTGATGTAATATTAAGTCGAGCGAGTAAAAGTGAGTTTGGCATTAACAAATCTGTTGGCAACTAAAACCGGGCAGAATGGGCGTCAAGAGAGTCAAGTTTGCGCGCTTGCTCACCCAGGTTGCGGCACTTTCTCACGTTATGAAGAGCATCGAGGTCTATTCAATGAGCCCAGTGGAAGCCGTAATGGAGGCAGCAAATACAAGTGATTTACCGTGGTTTCGAGTTCTACTGAGCGAATACGGAAGTAAGGTCTGTGGTAGAGCCATGATTACTGCGGCCAGAAATGGCTACGTTGAAGCGGTCAGGATTCTATCACTGGAAATTATTGGCGCAGAGACCTGGGAACTGATACCATCAAATTGGCGAGTTTTACGAGCGAAGCTGAAGCAGCCGGTGCTAATGATCATTTGGAGACCGTAAGTCTGTTGTCGTTGCTCGAGCATGAGGGCAAAATTCAAGGATACACATGGTATGATTATCGCAGCAGTTTAGCATGGAAAGTGGTTGAAGAGGCAGCAGCCAACGGGCATCTAAGTGTCGTGGTATTTGCTGCCGAGTATGCACACCCGATATCTTACGAACGAGTCTACAACGTCGGGTCGGCGTTATCACTTGCGACAATAGGTGCCATATTGAAGTCGTGCAGTTTCTATTTGGTATTGTTGGGATCACGGTGAGGCACTCGAGCCGTCGATCATGGACGAGATGCTATTGCCGAGTTGATTTACGCTGCCTATCACCCGCATCATGTGGAACGTTTTTTGTGTTATCTCGTTAGACGAGGCAACTTGAAAGTGATCAAGTACCTTTTCAACAAAGGTCACAAGAACCCATGCTTGCTAGATGACGCATTTGTCAGCGCAGCGATCCACGGACACACCGACATTGTGGCGTATTTGTTGGGCAGTGAGCTGATTTCATCGAAGAAATTTGATTCGGCGTTTGTCGACGCGGCTGGATCCGGTGTTGCAGCAACCTGTAGGTTCCTGTACGAGCAACATCGAGTCTCACGGCCAGCACTTGGTAGGGTATTTGAGATACTGAACTATTGAGGTTGATGGATCGACTGTATTCCTGCTGTATCAGTTGCGGTGGCGTTCAAGAAGCTCGCGCGTTGCGGACGAGATTGTGCTCCTCAAAACGGCCAGCTCGAGCTACTTGAGCTTATGTACAAGAACACGGAAGTTCCTGCTCAAATAATTAATTCCGTGGTCGAGAGAGTCACAGCAGCTTCGGATACAGAAGTTTCGGTGGACACTCGCGCGCGAATTGTTCAATTGTTGGGCAATGATTGCCGACTGGTACCTGACGTTCGGAACAAAGCTTTAGACTGGGTCACTGACAAGGGGTGTATCAGCATCTTGCGGGCTTGGTCCAAGGAAAGGCAGATGCTATCTGAAGAAGCGTGTAGAGGGCTCTTGAGAGCTGCTTCGGCTGGTCATTTGGACATTGTGAAGTTCGTACTTGGCCGGCCCGGCATAAGTACGACTGTTCTCCGAGAAGCTACCATTGCTGGCGCTCGCAATAACCATAATGGTGTTACCCTGCGGCTGTGCAAGCACCAACAGTGGCCGCTTGACGTACTCCAAGGCGCGCTGAACGTTACTCGCAACAAGAGGCTCAAAAAATTCCTGCACGCGAGACTTCTGTACGTCGGGAAAACTGTCACTGAATACGGCTGAAGATGAAGTTGAAGAGGATCGCTACTATGGTAATGACAGTGACAGAGAACTTTTAATTTTACCCAATTTGCTTGGAGAATTCTCGAGGAAGCGTCTGCTAATGGGGTGAGATGTGCTGCAGAGTATACACGAGAGATTGCTTTCAAGCCAGCTCACAAAGTTTGCGAGGCGGTGCCCCCCGCGATAATAGGCGGTTGCTATGAGGTCGTGGAGTTTCTGCTCGAAACCCGGAGATACAATTGGGATTATGCTGAAGCGCTCGAGGTAGCGGTGGATGCTCGGCGGGATGCAATAGCAGAGCTGATCTTTGCCCAGTCAATGCAACTCAAAGATACAAATTTGTTACGGTTTTTTTCTGAGAGCGGCAACTTGAAAGTTATCCAGTATCTGTGTAGGACGGGTCAAAGTGACTTTCAGTTAGTGACCGATGCAATTGTACACACAGCACGTCCTTATCACACTGATATTGTGGTGTTTCTGCTGAATAGTGGTCAGAATTCTTTAATCATTCGATTTAGCGTTTGGGGACGCGGCCAAGTATGGTCTTGTAACGACCTGGAGATTTCTTTACGATCAAGCACGGGTGTCACGAGCATCACTTGTTTAGGGCAGCGGTACAATTCTCAAGCTGATGTAAATGAACGCTCTCTTTCGGCAGGATCGGTAGCGGAAGCGTCTTTAAATCTTGCTCGTAGCAACAAGGTGGCTGGGCAGTACAGATTTCCTGATAAAGCACAGCTGTAGCTACTTTGATTGATGTGCAAGTGATCGGAGTTAATGAAGTTTTCAAGCGAGCTAGGATAGCATTGCACTTGGAAATGTTCGTTCCCGAGCTATTGAGGCGGTGGGATTTAGTGGATCTTGCCAACTTATTCAGGATCCGCGACCCGGTCTTTAGTAGTCGTTAGCTGATAGCTAAGTGACAATAATGATCCTCAATTCAAAAACAAAAACAAACTTATTCAGGATCTATTTCACGAAATGGAACTGTCTTCATGCGATGCAACCCAAAAGCTCTGGATAGCCGCCTGTAAGCAATTTAAGCGCTGTTAAAGTCTTGTTGATTCAGCCCGGCATACCCGGAGCAGCTTTTCGAAAGGCCATCATGATGAACACTTGTAATGACCGTAATGGCGTAACGCGGTGCCTTTCCAAGCACCAGGGGTGGCCGATAAAAGTTTTCCGAGACGTGCTGAGAGTTACTCGCCTCAAACGGCTTAAAAAGTTCCTGCGAACAATCATTGCTCTTCGTCAGACGGTAACCACTGAAGCACAATGAAGGCCTGGAATCGGTTTGATCTAACATATTTAATGTTGTTTTAATGTTCGGAAGTGAGGTGATGGCATCTGCAAAAAACCGTAGTGACGAATTACGTCTAAATTGTAAATATCTTTATTCGGCTTGACCGGGGTTGGCGGGCCTTGCGGCCCGCCAGCCGCCGCGCGGCCCCGCCGCCCGCCACCAGCCGCCAGCTAGGAATAGATCTAAGAAAAGTTGCACCTACTGGTAGTAAAAAAAATGGCAGCGAGTGCGGCTCGTGCTGCAATACGAGATGCGATCGCAACGAAGAGCTTTCCTCCTGCAATAGCGTACCCCGAGAAGCAGAGGAACGCAATGCTATCGGCTTGGTTCAACCTGCCTACGATCACGTGGGTTCCAGACGTGTTGAATGCAGGTCGATCTCCTGTTTGTACCACAGAAGGATGTAAGTGCACGCCGAAGGTAAAGGAATATCTGCAGCGAACTGTCCATGATGTCGAACACAAAACCATTTTGTATTATGCAAGGTACAAGTGCTCTACAGGACGATCGTTCTCTACAATTGATGATGCTTACCTTTCTTCATCGAAAGCCGTATTCCTTGCATTCCTGTATTTGTTGACTTACCAGACCGCAATCTCGTTAGATTTATTTGAGCTAGTGTATGACAGCATGCTTACAACCAAGGGACTGGCGGGGGCTACAGACAACGTAACGCGGCGCCGTCAGAAGCGCTATTATGCTTTGTTGGCTCGTGCAGGTTGCGAGATTGAGAAACGAAAAGCTGCGGATACTGCTTATGCACCACCACTCTTGCAATCGGTCGAGCAGTACATGACTAACCATATTTGTCTAGACAGCGAGGCGCTGCAAAAGGTATGGCTCTCACAAACGGAAGTGTGTAGTAGGTTACTCGAAGCCCAAATGGCCGTCTCACAATGCGAAAAGGTTATCAGAGTAGATCACTCTCAAAAATTCTGTAGCAAGTTGAAAGTTTTCGGATCTGACGGAAGCAAAGAGCAAGCTTCGAGTGTGCGTATGTTGCTTCTTGTACAGAACGAAATAGGACAAGTAGTTGCAAGAGGTCTAACGCGTTCCGAGAACCATGAAGAAACAGAAGCTATTTTACAGTGTGTTGCTGATAAGCTAGCGGCCCACCCAGCAGAGAAGCGATTCTGTGTGTGTGACCACGCTAATGGGATGCGCAGCCTTATAAAAAAACTCTTTGGAGATTCGGTCGCCGTGAAACAGGACCCTTTTCACGTCATTCAGAGACTCGCGGAAACAATTTCCGATCAAGCTCAGCGAGGCTGGCTCGCGAAGCGACTTTCGGCAGCAATCTACGACGTAGAAAGAAAAATTCTATCGCCAAGTGCAACAGCAGAAAATTTTGCGGAAGCTGCCTCTAGTGTGCCAACATCAAGTATTCGTGTCTCTACCAGCGAATGGGAGGGCTGTGTCAACAGCAATCTCGAGCAGATTAGGCAAGGAGACCTTTTTGTTGAGGGGAGCGACTACAGTGAAGGTGGCAGTACGGTGCGAGTGGTGTCTACAAGTCAACTTGAAGCGATTCATTCAAAGTTGAGAAAACTTCTGGATCGGGTGCTTTCGATCGAGGTTGGGCTGCGTATCCTGGATATCTTCCTGTTACAGGTTAGTTTTCTTGCAGGAGATTTTTTTTACTGGACGGTATGTTAACCCTTTCATTATGGTTGTGATACTAGCATAATGTCAAGGTCGGAGCCAAGTTTAGGCGGAATCCTGAATTTAATGCGGTTGACTTCATAACACTGAGTCGCAGTGCTGTCTTATGCCGTGTCATTGTTCCTGATTCGCCTCAGCTAGAGTACGTCAACGTACTGCTAGCAACTCGTCCAGGCCCGGTTAGCTTGCGGCACAAGTATAGACCCGGTGGCGGGGAGGCTCCTGTTCACCGCCCATGGGAAGCACTTTACGACATGATCCCACTTCAAGCAGAGCGAGCAGAAGGAACCTTGCTACAAGATGACACAACACAGACCGATATTCAGAAGCTGCTGTTTGCTTCAAGGCATGGACGTAATGAGCTGAGTCAACAAGATTTTGTCGAAAACCTTGGTTTGGAAGCTGAATATGACAATCCCGCAGAGTTTTCAGCTCACGAGTTTGCCCTGCTAAAGTTACTGCGTGCAGAACAGCTTGCGGCTAAGATTGCTAAGTGGGAATCCTACGAAGTTGTCGCTACGATACTATACAACACTGCTGTCAGACGGCTCGACAACCCCAACCTGGACATGAAGAAACGAGGCTTCCGTGCCATTGCTCGCCGACTTCCTGTAATCGACTCGCAACTTAAGCAGCCTTCAGTGAAGGTGGTATCCAGTGGCTCTCGCATGCTCGTATTGAAAGGATCCACTAAGCTCGATGATGAAACCAATTTGCCGAAAGAAAAGGCTCTGCAGGAAGAACTGTTCCAGCTACTTCGATTACCGGTCGGTATTAAGCACGTCAAGCAAGTCTACCGCTCCGTGTACGATTTTGCCGCCTACACATGCTCGGGAATTAATCAGAAGAGTGATGAATTTCTAGAGCGACGCTGGGATTCTTTGCGCCGGTCCGTAAGCTACAAGCGTCGCAGAGATGAAGGTGTCGAACTCAACACTTCTTCGTGTAGCTCCATCCAACCTCCAAACGCCGCCGTAGAGGCACTCGCGCAAGCTCCGTTCACAGACAATAAAGTATCTCGTCCACCGAAACCTCTTGCACCGGTAGATGCTTCTACACAGCAGCTACAATTTGGCATGGCGGTATGTGTGTCAGTTCCAGCGACCAACCCCAGTAATTCAAGTAGCCAAGAAGCTCCACACTCACCAAAAAGAAGTCGGTTTGAAATTCTGGACGAAACCACTCTAGATGTTCTGCTGGAGCACGCGGCTAGTTTTCGAAAAGGGGCTCACGGAAAGTGGCCGAGTATCGTCGCAAAATATCAGCAGATGCACCCGTCCGGAAGCTTGGATTTGAACAAACTTCGTTGTCGACTCAATGCAGAGCGCAAACGGCGCGCAGGGTTACAGGCAGCAGAAGGCAACAGCGTGCCAACAGCAGCACCGGTATCCGGGAGTGTATCTTCAAACCCAGCACCTGTACCACCTGCATTTGTACACAGTCAAACGCTCAACAGTGCACGGCCAACAGGCCCAGCGTGCGCAAGCTGCAACAAACGAAAGCGTGGATGTGGACCCAACAGCACCAATCCGAACTGCATGCACCGCCAATCAGCACCAATGCAGTCTATTACCAGTTTCTTTTCATGCTGAATAAATCCGCTTGCCACCAGCTAAACGTCTACATCAATATACAACACGTAGTAGTATCTTAGTAATTAGCACACCCCACAACGCATTTGAAATTGAGTATGTACCTTCACATAGCACGAGTTGGAGTCGATAAGAACGCCGGCGAAGTGAACCTCAATCGTCTACGGTACGTTGGCTTCCATGAGCTTGCCTGCGCTTTGCGCCAGCTTCGACGCCAGAGTCGCCGAAACCATATCGACGCGAGTAGATCTAGTGCAACAGTGATGCAGGATGCCTAGCACGATCAAGGCCTCGCCCCTGTTCTTGTTAGCCACAGCACTAGTCAGAGTAGAGGCCGCAGCAGCTCTGAGCAGCCCCTTGATACGGCTAGCTGTGGTAAGTCTGTCCCGCTCAGTAGTCGGCTTCACATCACCACTAGAGTCTGCCGCCATATCAGCACCAGCAAATCGAATAGTTAAGAACATAGGTCACCGCATACATCTCATTAGGATCTGCAGCACTTTCATGCACCGTCCGAGCTTGCGGGCCCGCAGTGCCTCGGCGAGATTGCTGAATGTTGTCTCCTATTGGCTGTTATATTTGTCGGGGGTCCCAGGACAGATGTCAGGACATGGTGGTTTTTGGTGGTTTTTGGTGGCAGTTGGTGGCTTTTGGTCCCAGGATAATCCCGACAATACCGGTCAAGCCCCCCCCCCCCCTTTATTCTTGTGGACTTCGCTCAGCTTTCGGGCGGAAGTTTTTGATCAACTGTTCGAAAATACATGCACTTCCGGATGGAAAAGGAGCGAGATAATACCAACTCTCTACCGGATAAAGCGCCCGTCTCCACAGGTTATCGACAGCGTTTTCCGTGTCACTTGCCGTGCTCAGGCTATTGCTCGAGAACGAGCAAGTATCAGATGACGCTATCGTCGCTGCCTTCGGGCTTGCCGCTAGGGGCATTTCCGATCTCGGTTTGCCATCCTCCAACTGTTGTACAAGAGGTCCATTCCGTCTCGAGTGCTCACTGAGACGCTTCTGGCTGCGGCCACCCAGAGCGATACTAAAGTCGTGGAATTATTGCGTGGCGACTGTCGTATTTCGTCCGAAGTACTGGATCGAGCTTTTATGGACTCGACTCTTAGCCGAAGTGGCAGTCGGATCAAGAAGCTGTGCGACAGTCAGCTTGTTTCACCTGACGTAATTTCCAAGGCCTTCTGCACCGCTGTTCGAAGCAATCAACCACAGAATGTGGCGATACTCGCGAATTGCTTGTTGGTGGAGACGTATGTACCTCGTCATTTTAAGGACTCTGCGCTGGTGTTTGCTGCAAAACATGGGCAACTGCAAGCGGTTGAGACACTGAACAAAAACGAACAGGGAGAGTGGTCGCTCAGCGTACTGCAGGAAGCGCTGGAGGTCGCGAGAAACAACCCCGTCAGAAACTACATTCGCACCATTACCTGCAACCAACTCTTCAATCGACGTGCCTCAGGACGCCTCGAAGCGGTGATGAAGTGCTTGGCGGGTTGGAACGAAGAATCGAAGTCCAAGTAGGATGCGCGTACACGCTAATTCTCTTCTAACGTGTTGTGGTCAGCTCTTTGCTTCCCAATCCGGGTTGCGGCATGCCCAATAACCATGCCATACATGCAACCTTATTTTTTTTAGGAGGATCCTTCTCGGTGATACCTTACGGCCTTCTGTTCGGCTTCAGTTTAGGTGCAAATTGAGTGCGATCGATGCCTATTGAATGGAAGCTGATGAAGAAATGAGAGCGAAACTTGCGGAGCTCATTTACTCGAGATTCCCGAGGCAAAAGTTTCTTCTACCATCTTGTCACCAACGGCATTTGGGATACCTGTACCACATGGGTGATAGAACATACTTTTTGGTGGACACATCGAAATTGTGATTTTTTGCACTATCGCGGCCCAATTTGGCGTTTGAAGGCGCGGTTTTCGAAGAAGTTGGGGTTTCCTTTCCAAACAACACCGCGCTTCACGATCGTCACTTGCCAAAGCGCTAGAAACTACCCAAAGATCTGAAATTGTCGAGTTGCTCCTTTCCAACGGCACTTCTACTACGAATTTAGTCGTGGCGGCGTATGAACACGCTGTTCGACGTGCCTACACTGGTGATCAGTGTCTACGCTCGAGATGTGGTGCGCTGGGAGATGCTCGGGCTCTTTCTAAAGCGGACTGATATTCCTGCCAAAGCCATGAGTGAAGTTGCTAAGCGAACTACGAGCGGAAGTTAAACAAGCACGCCCGAGGCTGGGCACCCTGCGCTGCATGAATGAACCTGCTTTGTATTCTCGCGTTTCTTGGCTCTAGTGTGCTGCAGGCGCGATAGCACGAGCGATGCAGTGTTAGCGGCTCAAACACTTCTCCTTCTTCAATCCGCCACGAAACAGTACTCGAAAACTAGCTCCTTGTGTTGGCGTACACAGATTTCCGCCGGATCTTTTTGATTCCGCGGAAGTGACCAGCAACAAGCGTCCGACCTCAAGAGCCCCATGCCCGACGCCTCTCCAAGCTCCAAGAGAAGCCGAACAGGGCCCGATCCGCAGCCTCCTCCAGCGTCGAAGCGTGCTCGCACGTCTCCAACGGCGGCCGAGGAGTACGAGCGGCTCAAGGACGCGACGTTTCCCGTTGGAATCACGGCGCTGCCGCACGTTATGAAGCAGATCGACCGCCTGCTGATGACGCCGGAGGAGGCACTTGTAGACGCGGCAGCCACTGCCGACATGGAGTGGCTCAGCTCTCTCCTGCGCAAGTCCAACTGTGCTGCAGGCCGAGCGCTCGTGGCGGCCGCCTCCAGAGGCCACGCTCTTGTTCTGGTGAAGCTCATGCGGGCAATCTCTGACGGCGATCGAGATGGGGGCGAGGACCCACTGACGATGATGCTGGAGGCTGCCACAGCTGCAGCTGGGGGCGGACACCTCAAGGTGGTGCTGGCGCTGCTGCGATTTGTCGAGCGTCGAAGCGGCCGAGACAGTGAAAAACGCACAGGGGCTGCGAGATCTTTGAAGGAAGCGGCGGCGAACGGACACCTGGACGTGGTCAAGTTTATGGTCAAGCACGCGAGGAAGAAGCGATATACGAATGCGACAAAGTTTGGGGCACGGACACTGTCTGTCGCCATTGCTGGAGGCCACCAGCACGTCGTTGAGTATTTGCTAAAAGTGACTGAGGTTCGGTGGGATTTGGCTGGTGCGTTTGCAGCTGCAGTGGATACGAAGCAAATTGAACTGGTGCGCAGGATCGGGGAGATGTACCCGAAGCTCTTTCCAGGCCACAACCTCTTCGTTCATTTGGCACGCGACGGACATCTGAGTGGAGTCAAGCATATCTACGAGAGAGGGTATAAGTTCATCAAGGCGATCAACAACGCCTTCTTCCGCGCGGCACTGCATGGGAAGACAAGTGTGGTTGAATTTCTGCTTGGTACTGGCCACATTGGGCCTGAAACATTCGACAAGGGCTTCGAAGGTGCTGCGGGGACGACGGGAGGAACTCAACTGGAGACGACTCTCTTCCTCTACTACACGCACCGTGCGTCGTCACAATCGCTGAACAAAGTGTTTGAGGTCACGGACAGCGTCGAGGTGATCCAGCGACTGTATGAGAACGAGGATATCTCCAGTGATGCGATCGTCGCTGCTTTCAAGCGGGCTGCTGACTGCGGCAACAGTATCCACGCTCACAAGTCGGGTCAGCCTGAAATCGCCATCCTGTTGTTTGAGGACGGCTGCATTCCCCTGGAGACGATTAACGAGGCATTCGTGATTGCAGCTCAGAATGGACACGATGATGTTGTGGAGTGTATGCGCAAGGATCGTCGGATTTCTTCAAAGTCGATAGGTGAAGCCTTCGCGGCCGCTGTGGGGCGTGGAAACAGTGCGTTGATGGAGAGTCTTTATGAAGCTAAGCGCGTTTCCCCCGATGCGATCTTCCAAGCTTTTGAGAAGGCTCCAGCTCACGGGGATCGCGCCATCATTTCGTACCTTGTGAAGCTTCTTTCGGAAGAGCGTGTACCACGAGCGATCAAGTACAAGGCATTCGTCAGTGCTGCCAGGCGCAGCAAATACACTTACATGCTGGAGGTGCTCAGCACTAACTTTGGAGAATGGCCGCTGGACGTTCTGAAGGAAGCCCACGAAGCTGCGCTGTACTGCGCGCCCCGGAATTACATCTCCAAGCTGACTTGCGACCAGCTATTTAACTCCAAGAACGAAGAGAGACTGAAGGCTATGGTCAAGTGGATGGAAAAGTGGCCACGCAGTGCAACGAAAAAGTAAGATCAAGCTGGGGTGTCTCTGTTGACTGCCGTTGTATCGTTGCTATCCTGTTCGGGATTTTGCCTGAAGATGTTCACAGTTAGCCACGCAAAAAAATTAATGATCGCGCAAGGTGTGAGTCTTCGGTGGCCTTGACTCGTTATCGACATCGTCCGAAGCACTTGAAAACTATTGGCGCTATTCAGAGCAGTGCCGATGTGTATCCATGAAGTGAATACCGGGCTTTGTTGCGATGCGAAAAGACTTGCGTAATTCCTAGCAGGAATCCATCGGTCCTACTAACACTTCAACACCTTCAGCGCCACTGGAAATGAAGCGCCCACCCTCGCCTCCACGTCAACACAACCCCGTCAACGAGACCAAGCATCGCAGGACAGCAGACGCAGACGACGCAATGTATAGCCCAGCGCTCAAGCGACTGAAGTTTGCGCGCTTCCCGATGCAAATCGCGTCGCTCCCCCACGGTCTCAAGAGTATCGACACGCTGTTGATGACCCCAGCAGAGGCCATAGTGGAGGCTGCGAACACGAGTCAGTTGAAATGGCTGCGCTCTCGACTAGATCAGCACGACTCCAAGGTTCGGAATGAAGCCATGATCGCTGCGGCCAGTGATGGCTACATCACTGCAGTGAGAGTGCTGACGCTGGAAGTCATCGGTGCAACAACCGAAAAGCTGGATCCTGCGTGTCGTCAAGTTCCGACGGATGCAGCAGCTGCTGCCGCTAGGAATGGCCATTTGATTGTGGTGGAGTTGCTGCTGCTCGAAATTGTTGCTGACAAGAGTGCCGAATTCCTTGAGGAAGACGAGTCTGGCTCGGGCAGCGTTCCTACCCATGATGCGGCCTGGAATCGAAAAAGCATCCGGTGGTGGGCATCTTGAAGTGGTGAAATCTGCTGCACAGTATGCGCACCAGAGGGGCCGTAGGCAAGCCGTCGAGGTCTGTCAGGCATTGCCACTTGCGACTATAGGCGGCCACTTTGAGGTCGTGCGGTTTCTACTGGAACCCGGTCGGTACTATTGGGATTGCGCTAACGCACTCGAGCTAGCCATCGACAACAGACAAGACGATATGGCTGAGTTGATTTACGCTGCTACTCCAGATTTTGAAGGAGAGAGCTTTTTTTCGTGCTTAGTGTACGAAAATAAGATGAAGGCGTGATGCCTTTGTGCAGGCGGAAGCATCGACATTGTGGCGTTCTTGCTGAGCAGCGGGCCAATTTTGCCTGAGGTATTCAAATCCGCCTTTGAATGCGCGGCAGCAACTGGTGCGGTAGCCACCTTGCGGTTCCTATATGATCAACAACGGGTGCTGTGCAACGACAGCATTTGTAAGAGCTGACGGAGCGGCTACTATGGAGTTTATCCAAGGAGAGAATCCCCGCTGCATTAGTCGTGGCAGCTTTCAAACGCGCTGCCTATGGCAACTACTCCGCTCCCTATGCTAATGGGGTGTACTATCACCCCACGACTGACCAACTAGAGATTCTTGGGCTCTTACGGAAGCTGATACCTGCCAAAATCGTCAATCAAGTGGTAGCAAACGCTACAGCGGGTTTTATCCCGGGAATTCTGCGAGTTCTGGGCTGTGACCGTCGCCTTACAACTGAAGTGCGATCGGCAGCTTTTACGAAGGCCGTCGATAAGGGACCTCTTCAACTGATCTGGCCGCTGTTCAAAAAGAACCAGGTTTCCTCCAAGGAAGCGAGACGAGCATTCGTAAAGGGGCCTGCGTCGGATATCTGGGCACTATGCAGTTTTTGCTGGCAAAGCACGTCATACCTCCATCCACTGAGTGGGAAGCTATTATCGCGGCCGCTCGCACAAATCACAATGAGGTTGCCCAGTACCTATGCAAGCGTCAAGAGTGCCCGGTCGAGGTACTCCAAGAAGGATTGAGTGCGACTCGTCACAGGACGCTCAAGAATTCCTTCACGCAACCATTACTCGATATCAGGGGTCGCCCTTGAAGATGAATCGAACGTGACTTTCCTGACGATGCCTAGGCAAGGTGGGTCAGTTCATTTTTGTATATTTTTCGAGGGGTATTTGACTTATGATGTTCCCTTTGGCGCCACAGAATGCCGTACAAGCAAGCCAATGCTACGCCAACTCCTGGATCATTAAGAAAGATGGTGCTTACATATCCATTTTTAAGAGGATTGATATGGCAACTTGGGGAATAATGAGTTCAGGAGATGAGGGGTTACCGCGTACGAGAACTGCGGTTTATCTTGGGGCTCTGATTGAAAACAGGGAGTGCAGTAGTAAGATAAAGCGTGCGTGAGAAGGCAACTACTGAGACTCAACACGCGCCTTAAGCCGAGGTGCATGAACAGATCATGATATAATTGTCAGATATCCGAGATAACCTGATGATTTCTGCTTTTTTAATTAAGTTAACCCCTCCAGCGCGAGCGATCTGAGTTCCCACCGTTGGCCGAAACCCTATACACGATATTGATTTATCTCATGCTGGGTACATATAGTGGAGTCCACACTATTATAAACGTGTATATCCCAAAGCCGGTCCATGCACCTAACCCCAACTTGCCAACTCAGCCACTAATGTGTATCACAGTACAAAAACAGCGCAGTCGTAAGGCCAAATATTTTTTCGATATTTAGAGAATCAAGTCAGATGGCAATCAGCAAGACCAGTGCATACTCAAATTAAGTCAAATAAAAAGCCAGAAGAGCTGCTGCACACACTACATTGCGTTTCGTCGAGCACGCTTGTGCTGCTGAATCGCGCGCGCACTCCCATCAGACGCGGCATCGCTGTCACTACTGCCGCCGTCACTTGCGGCCGCCGCTGTGGCCGCCGGCTTCCGAGCGCGAATCTTGCGCTTGGTAATGGACGGCGGGATCAAGGTACCGTTCTTCCAGTGTCGGTGCCAAATCTCGAGGCACGGAACAACCTCACCATTACTTGTGTGCTTGACTTTGTTGCACAGGAACACTCGTGCAGTCTGAGCGTTTTTTGCCGCCGTCTTGAGCTTGCCGCCACCGCAGTAGAACGTTGTCTTGCCTCCTCTCGCCTCGCCAGCGCGCTTGAGCACCGAGCACACCTTGCAGGCACGCTGGCGTCGCTTTCTCGTGTCGTCCGTGTTGCCCTTCCTCCACTCGTCGATTTGTACGGGTACATGAGTTGTTGTAGCCTTGCGTTGCTTCGATGGTGTAGGGTGCATGCCGCGGTGGCGCAGCATTTGGGTCCAGTCGGCAGGCTTCAGCTGGATCAGCTCCAAATGAAGCTTCTTCAGGAACTCTACGTGCGTAGCTTTGCGTTTGCCATCCATGGTGCAGCGCCAGTTGTACACAATGAAAGCATTGATGATAGCGAGATCAATCAGACCCAGGAACAATGACTAGTAGTATTTCTTGTAGCGTCTGGCTTTTTGAAGAGAGTATCTGTAATAAAGCAGTATGATACACGATAATCAGTATTGATAAAACTGTACATACACGATACAAGCACTTTACCTCTGGAGTCGAAGCTGGTCATGTACGTCCACGCCGCCCATGTACGTTTGATAGTCCTTCACTACGGCGCGATGGTCACTACGGCGCGATGGTGCTGGTGATCAGCAAACCAATAAAGACACACAATTCTCTGCCCGAGATATCCTTTGTAGTTTGCACAAACTCCTTTATTTGTTGCGGCGTCTGAACTTGAAAATCAGGGTGTTTCTCCTTTCCTTTTTGCTGCTTGGCGTACTGGGCAGCTGCTCGCAGGTCCAGGTTGTCCTTGAAGTAGTCATCACTTGCTCCAGCAATAGCTTCCCACAAGTGCGGCGGTACAAAGCGAAAGAAAGCTCCCGACGGTGTCAACGCCGCAGCAATTGCATCGGCTGTAGGTCCGTGTTCTCCTTCATAGATGTTTGGGTAGGCTTCTTTAATCCAGCCGTCCGGTCGCGCGTTGTACGGCTGGTGCATGTACGGGTAGGGAGTCACATACGTCGGTTCCGTCCATCCATTGAACTTCATATCCACCAGAACGTCCTTGGGCACGCTGCCGTGGGCAATCTTTGACAACCCTCCCGCGGTTTCGAGCAGTGAGGGATTGAAATGGAGATCCGAGGCCGAAGCTGACACCTCCGCAGCCGGTTCCGTGAGCGCCAATTCTTCGTCATCGCCGAACACAGAGGTTGTTCCATTCTCCTCATCTGAATCCAATACTGTGTAGTCGTCAACGACTTCCCCAGGCTGCATGATGTTTGGATCATCTGTATGTTACACGATAGAAGTCAGTAAAACGTATCGGTATCGTGTATGTACGTGTATGTACACAATAAACTTACCAACAGAAACTGGTGTGTCTTCTTTGGTTTCCTCATCCTCGTTCATTTCGCTTTCCTCTTTCGATTCTTCTTCAACTTCCTGTTCCATACTCCCCGACGGCTCGTACTCGCTATTAGGTGCATCGCACTGGCCAAAATCCGAGCGAAGGTTTCGCGTTGGCGTTTGAGGAGAAGCGGTTGCTGCAAAACAGATACGACAAACGCAGAGAGTCAACACCAAATTGACGCCTTTCAGTGATACTTCATTGCCTTACCTGGTGAAGCCGATAATGCAGGGCTTGACACGTGGCTACTGGCCTCGGACCCGAGATGAGGAGACGTAGAGATCAGATCGGCAACGCGGCTGGAACTTGGGGTACCCTCACCTGAGTTGAGTGTACAATACACGTTTGGGTTAGCCAAATAGCTTGTAGAATACAAGTTATCATTCGTTACCTTGCGACTGAGGAGGCTGGGCGTCCGCAGCATCCGATCCAGCGTCCTGCTCATCGCTGCATGTACCAGGTTCAGCGTCTTCAACGTGGGGAGAGGTTGGGATGAGCGGTTCGGCAGCAGCTTTGCCTGTATCGTACACGATAGAGTCAGCTCTAGGTCGTATCCAATACACGTTACCCAAATTGGTTACCTTGTTGGACTTCGTCAACATCATCTCTCGGGCAGTCGCGCTGGCCACTTGCTTGATGCGCTGCAATCGTTTCGTCGGGGCCATCGCCTTCGGCTTGTCCGTTCTGAGCAGCAATCGCGTCCTCGTAGGCTCGGCGCTCCATTCTTCTCTTCTCCTCCATTGCCACTATTAGCCACAAGAGAAAAGATGTCGTCAAACTTGAGTTATAACAAAATACGGGGATCGCGAAACGTACCACGATCACAATGGTCCAGATACTTCATTAGCGCTTCTGCGCCGACGAAAAAGTCTTCATTCTCGACATCGTTCTTGGTTTTACGGGATTAATGTAGGTGTGTCGACTGAGAGTCCCGCAGGCTTCTTTGAGGTCCATCCGGCCGCACGGAAAACCATCGTGTCGTTGGTTGCGTGTCGGGCGGTAAACGTGCGGTAGCGCGAGATCTGTGCGGCGTAGAGCTGTTGTAGTTAGCTTAACCTGCCCTTAACTTTCTAACCTCTACTTGCTTAACTTACCCCCTCCTTACCAGCCCCTAACTCACCCTCTACTTTGTTTATGTGGTCCACCCTTGTTCATCATCCAATACAAAACCCTATATAAACGTATAGTCCAATCAAGCGCCTCGCAGTGTCCTGGGTGGATGTTCATGGTCACACTCGTCACCTTCCTCGTAGATTCGCGCTCTGCGCCGCCACTTGCAGCGCCACATGTATAACTAACTCGGCGGCGAGCTACCAGTGGAATTTCGCGACTACCAGCTCCGTCCTCCAGCATGCAGACCTCACGTTCGAGCTCCCTCCCCCATCGTTGGTGCCGCCATCACGGCTGTGTACGCTACGGAGCCGTGGAACATGGGCTGTATTCAGCGCAGCTTGCTGTCGAACTGCGTGGCTAGGCCAAGACAACTGCGCTGCTGCCACGGACGTCGGCGTCTTCCTACTGAGCTCGCTTCGCCCTGCAGCGCATGCTGATTGGTTTGCAGTCACGCGACAGCGTCAACTACATTAACCAGATCAACAAGCAGGCCGATTCGGCCTTCCAGTGCAAGACGACCGTGGGCAACCAGACCGTCGCCTTCGCCAACCTGCTCCCGGACATTGTCGGAGACAATGCCGGAGACAAGACGGGCAACAATATCAAGGATGTTGCGGGCGGCTCGGATATCATGCCCGCACTCCAGCAGCGCCTCCGCCTCGGGCAGCGGCAGCGGATCGGTCTCTCTCAGCAAGTTCGTCCCAAACAACGAGGAGACGGACAGAGCAGCTTGGGCTCGACAGCAGATAAGGCGGCTGCCTTGGCGGCATCTGGGCTATTATAATCGACACTCTTCTCCCTCTGCTTGCTGGCGATGGTGTTGCCGCTCGCGATCATTAGCCGAGCGCGTGCTTCATGTCGCTGAGCAATATAGATTGTCACCACTAATACACTGACAAACGTGTACACATAAGGTGACATGTATTAGGATCGACTCGTTTTTGAATGTACTAGCGCTTCCGCCCGACCCAGAGGTGTACTTTCATCACTAGCCGTGCATCGTCCTCGAGTGTTATCGCTGCTAGGCACCCCCACGCTTCGCTCGTTTAGAATTTTCAGCGATAAACACTAGGTCCCGCACCAGCTCCGGCGTCAACGAGCTCCTTTTGGCAGTGATGATGTTGCCACTGGTGGAAAATGCTCTTTCGGAAGGGACACTGGTCGCCACAGCTCCTAACCACTTCCTTGCCAGGCGACTGAGATTAGGATGTTGCTTCGATTTCCTGCCCACCACGCCAACGGATCCACCTTGCCTACCTTACTAAGCGCGCGGGCCGAAGCCAAGTAGCTTTCAATCTCTTGAGCGCAGGCCTTCCTTAGAGGTGTTTGACTCGAGTCATCAGGAGTAGCTTTCAACACGAATTGAGTAAAGAAATCCATCTTGTCAGGATCTGGTGATACAGCCGAAATAGAGCTCTGCGGTGGTGGTGATTGCAGCTCGGCCACCTCAACCGCAGCATCGAGAAAATCCGCGTGAGCTTTTGCTCGGTTTTCGTCTGTCAAGTGGCTCATTGACATTGCCATTCGTGGGTCCAAAAATGCAATCCAGACGAGCTTTGAGGTTTTGAGGGCATCAAAGCGCTCCGTGAACAACCGTCGCATTGCCGCTTGACATTCTAGCATTAAGACCCGGACTTCGTCGACATAGGCTTCCTTACCAACAGCACTTAGAATGTTGTCAAATAGTTCTCGGTTGCGAAGGACGCCTTCCAGCGCATCAAGAGCGGGCAGGACCACAGGAAGTGTCGGATACAACTGTCCGCCCAGGTTTCTTGACACCGACTCAAATGGGCTCAACAATACACAAAGGCATCGGATAGCCAACCACTGCTTGTGTGTTGGCTTCGATAGCTTTTTGTGCATTCCATCAAATTCCACTCGCCCCTCGTAAGTGAACAAATGCTCGAAAAATTTGTCAAGCGCTGGCTCCAGTCGAATGCACCGTTCAAGCATTGTCCAGCAGGAATTCCAACGCGTCGGGCAGTCGACGACCAGATTTATGACATCGCCCGGTTTAATGCGGAGGTGTTTCTTCTGATTACATCTAGACGGTTGTACGCTTTTGGTGACTTTCGGAAGTATGCCGACAGAGTCCGACACGCTTGCACAACCTCGCGCATAGACTCTAGCTCCGTTTTCTCCAGGTTCAAAAGTGTTTCGGCCAGAAATGCATCCAACTCATCGATAGCATTTTCACGAAGAATCTCCATGTCCGCTCGTTCATCCTCATTCAGGTTGTCATCTTCTTTGTTCTCATTCTCTAGCGCACCTGGCTCTTGCGCAACCACCGACTCCCACGCTGGTCTTGAATTCTGCGGCGACTCTTTCTTCTTCTTCTTCTTCTTCTTCTTCTTCTTCTTCTTCTTCTTCTTGGACAAGGCGCCCAATAGTACTAAGTGAAGCTCATGCGCCAAACACGGGGCGTGCTCGACGCCAAAACTGTCACCAGCAGCTACCATGTTAGACCCCGAATCATGGACAAATCGAGTACAATACTCTTTACGAAGCCTCCACACCTCCATTATCTCCTCCAACGCCAACCAAATCGCTGCAGCATCATGTTTCCCAGGCAGCTCGCGTACTTCCAGCGTCCAGCTTCGCACCTCAAATGACTCGGTCAAATAGTGGACAGTAAATGCAAAGTAACTTCGCGGGTTCCTCGAAGTCCAAATATCGCACGTAATTGAAAAATATTCGCACGACTGCTCGATGTCGGCGCACACGAAAACCCCATTTGGTCGGCCACCGAGATGATACACCTACGCAATTGAGCACGCTTGGGAATTGCCATGCGAACACCACACAACTTTTCAGTGATAAACGCAATGAACTCGAGAAAGCCTTCATCTTCGACAATAATCAGCGGGCGAAAGTGCGCTGCAACCCTAGCATATTCAGATGCTTCTGCTCATCCGGACTGATCTCTCGAAGCGTAGCCGCTTCCGTGAGTTCTTCATCGAGATTGCGTTGGACTGGTTGCTCATTTTCGCCACGGATGAACTCGTTTAGCTCACGAAGATGGTACCGCTCCATGTGCTGCGCAACCTTGTGTTGAGACGTTTTAAACGCTATTGTCATTTTGCAACGGGTGCAAAAAGCAAAGGCGGCGTGCTTGTTTTCGAGCTCGGCGTCTGCAAAGTACCAATGATCAGGATGAGTGGCTAGTCGAACGAATTGCCACAGTTCGTGCCGACGCTGGCGTCTTGTTGTGAACAATCGTGGTGGAGCAGTGCTTAGACGAGTGCCAGGATCGGGGACTTCTCTGTGAAGCGCTGCAAGATCCGAACGTGGGTCTCGGTCGCTTGGCGGCTCGGTCGGCTCAGTAGGGCGGCGTTTCTGGCTGGAAGTTCGTCTTGTACTTGAACGTGCTGATCGCTGTTGCTTGTGCTGGCGGACACTCGATTGGTGCGTGCTGGAAGGGTTTGCTCGCTTTTGCTTCCGAACACGAGCTGAAGTACGTCTCGAGCTCTGCACAGAGCGCCCTGCACTTACAGGGGTAGCAGGAGGTTTCTGTGTATTGGCGTCTTGGGCAAAGCCATCTTGACCCGGAGCTAGCTCTTGGCCATGTCTCGGAGACTGTGGACCATGCACTTGGGTGGCGTCGGTCTCCGTTGTGGGCTCTTGAAGCTCCTGGCTATCTGGTGGAGCGGGGCTTGCACGACGAAGCGCTTCAGCTTCCATCTCGAAGTGCCGTGTGCTCGAAGAGCTACAAATCGTTTGTACTTAGGTTTTGTATGGGGTAAGTAAAGGTTGAGTAAACAGGTAGTTGAAGGCAGGTTAGGGCAGTACACCCTCACGTTATAAACACAAGTTGTTAGAAAAGTTAAGGATTACTTTCGCGACAGCTCTAGTGCGGCGGCGCGGGATTTTCTGAAGTGAGGCCAGAATGGATGGCGTGCGCAAACACCTTCACATACTTATACTGATTTGCTGAGCACGCTGAGTACCTCTGGCATCTTATTTTTACGAAATACGAAGTTCAAGTGCCGCGCACGACTATGCAGGCTGATCGGGAAAGGATGGGGCATATACCTACCCCCGGTTGACTTCAACTTTGTATGAGCCTATACAAAGACGAAGTGAAAATTCCTTAACGTGTCTAATACAGGATAAGCATTTTGTCGAATCGTGTCTAATACAGGCTCTCGCGCGGGGGGGGGGGGGTAATTAAAACTGAAAGTTTGCACTCTTGGTGCTCCACTAGCAGCTGCATCGGTCTTGTTAGCGCCTCTTTATCACTGCAGCCTCGGCGCTAGGTCACCAATTCTCTCCCTCAAAAATTGTTTCAGCCGCGGGCTGCTCGTCAATTTCAGTGCTTCATTCAAAGTGGCAAGTGGCCAGTCTTCGCCCTTCTCCAGCAGCTGAACAACAGCTCGGTAGTTACTCCGAGCTGCGAACAGCAGGGCCACTTGCTTCACGGACTGCGTGATCTCAGGTTTGTCTATGAGGAAGTGGACGATACGCAGATGCCCCAAGCCTGACGCATTTTGCAAGGCAGCACTCACAACTTCACGTGAAATGCTCGGGTCGTCGTAGAGAATCGTCACCAGGTCGTCTAGATCGTACGCAGTCATCGCGAAGACGGTGCAGATCACGTCCGGGGGCATCGCGCTCCGGTTGTGGTACAAGAAGGCAGCCACAGCTTCGCGCTGAGTGTCGATCCGATGCCGGTCACGTTCTCAAACGCGCTCGTAATGCTCTTCGCGGCTATTTTTCCTTCTTGGTGGTGCTATGGCGGAGCCAAGCTGTGTTTTGCTGAAACGTGAAGACGCGAGAATCGCGAGATCTTGCTCTTCAGCTCGTACGAACAGTCGAACAACGCCAGCCGCACGATCTTTCGCGAACGGGCCGCATTCGAGCCGCACGATCATTTTAAGATTCGCCTCCGGTCGCACAAGTCCCGAAGACCCCGCATCGCCGACGTTACCTTCTCTCATGCGCACGCAGGCACCGCTGATACTTGCACGGCCGGAGGATTTCCTGCCAACATCGTTGTGAAGCCTGACCAGCACGTTTACGTGCGAGTGCTCCGGACCCGGCCCGACCATGCTGTCGTTCAAGCGTTTCGCGACTCCTCGCGCCACGGCCAAGTCCGTCTCAATGCTCTCCAAGATCGTCTGGTGCCCGAAGAAGACGCCAATACGGCGACGGGCGAACTTCTACGCAACGCGGCACTTACGTCTATGGTCATGTCCAGACCTATCAAGGCAAGTCGGTCAACGTACGTCATGGCGACAGCGTCAGCCGAATGGCAGCCTCCCGCCTCGACGAGATCGCTCCTGTTACCTGCCTCCTGATGCAGAATTCAGCAATCAAAACGGCGGACACAACACGAGCGGCGCTTCGAGACTTCAACGTCACTGAGCTCGACCGAGTTCTCGGCACCGATGGGAGTGATGGCTCCAGAGATGTTGCTGCCATTTTGAACGGAGTCTTGCCTCGTAATCAACAACCGGATGGGTCCGAATCGCGCACCTGGACCGACCCGACTACAGGAAAGATGGCTACATTTAGTCTGCAGCATGCGGTGGACTACGCGTACTACGTCGATGGCAACAGGCCTATCCCCACAATGCGGCAACTGAGCCTTGGTACCGGTTTCACTGACGATCCCGCTTACCGTGAAACTGTCGCTCAAGATGCCAATGTGCAAGATCCCGGGGATCAACTTCCAACACGTCGATCCGTACCTCGCTCCGACGATCGAACCCGAACTCGAACTCGAAATCGAAATCGAACTCAACCTCGCACTCGAACTCGTGACTCGTCACTCCATTTCGATCCCATCGCTTCTCCCACTGAGAATTCAGCGCTCACTGCGCTACTCTCAGAGCTCGAGGGAGACGATGCAGTCGTGGATGACGCTGTCGAAAACGTCCTCGAGCGCCCCACGCCACCGTCATCGTCGGGTTCATCGCGGGAGCTTCAATCAGAACTCTTAGCAACTCTGGCGGCTAACCCACGTGCGTTGGCATACTTCATTTCAGAGTACCTAGATCGAAACAAGCGGCCAGCCGAGAGCGCCGACATCAACTCTCGCCCAACCCAACGCCGTGCGCCAGGAGTCGAGCCGGCCATGCCATCGGCCATTGACGCTCTGGAGAGATCTCAAGCAGGGACAAACTTTCGACCTACAAGCTTGCAACAAGCCGTACATGGGCTCATCGTCCATCCCGACTATGCCGGTAAGACACCCTCAGAAATAATGCAGCTAATGCTGTCATCGTCTGCTGCAGGTATAACACCCCACCCAGCTATCCTGTTGAAGCTTTTCGATTTCGCGTTTGGCATTCGTGGTCTCTCTTTGGCTCACCTGGAGCGGTTCGACCTGACTGCGCAGCGCAAGTGGCGTCGACAAGGTGTCAACATGAACAATTTTGCGGCCAGTGTCGATCTACCTCGCTCTCGCTGTCTGACGACGATGGCGGAGCTGTTCGAAGCGTTCTCGCTCCTTCAGGCCTTCGCGCTGAAGTTCTACAACGCTGCGACTCAGGAATTTATTACCGCTGCCATGAGTTTTGCAGCAACCATCACGGGTATGGGCCTGTGGAATGCGTCGGCGGTGGATCTCATCACGTTTTGGTTTGATGGTGTCCTCGATGAATATCGTCGGGCAGTCGAAGACCTGGCGGTGTCGGGTGTTGATAACCGGGGACGCGTTCGACAGCGACTCGCCATGAACGACCCTGATTTCATCAGCACTATTCATCTCGTCCACACGGAAGCAAATGCAACTGCACTTAAAGAATCAGTACGTCAGGATCGTACCGTGACTAGGCGCAGCGGCAGTGATTCTAAACGCAGTCATGTCCCTCAAGACGTTCTCGCGGCACTACCGATGCAGAATGGAAATCCGTGTGCCTCAAGTTTTTAAGCCAGTCTGGTTGCTCTCCCCGCTCCCCAGAACGTTGTTCTTCCGGTCGCGCCCATTTCGTTGCAGAGAAGCTCGAACCCGTGGTGCGTCAGTACATTATCGAGAGCATGGGCGGCCTTCGGCGAGACATGCCCCAAGATCAATGACTCCCAATGGCTATCTTTCCTCACGGCGAGTTTGCAATTACTACTGCTATCGTTCAACAGGTGAGAGAAACACTAGAAACATCGTTGCAGAACGAGGAGCAGAAACGCCGAGACCAGCTGAATTCACTCTTCAGGGAAGCAGGCATCCAGCTTCCGTGCTGCGCTACACGACGGACTTCACACATGGGTGTATCTCCGGCTCAGATCGACCGGGAACTACAACGTGCAGTTTCGGAGCTTACGCGTCGAGAACATCTTTCACTCGTGCAGTTAGTACGGATCTGGCGAAACGAGACAGCCGAAGACAGCAGGCCTAATAAGGCACTGGATATGGAATGGTCAGCCGTACTTTCGAGAGGGTATCGCCATCACGAAGTCCTCCTTCACACTGTTCGACATGGCGTTCGTCACCGTTTTCGTCAATGTCTCGATGATTTCTTCTCTGAGGTTCCAGAAAATCACAAGTCTGCTGGCGATGCGGTCAACGCACTTCGGCGGAGCATTCGTGACGGCCAGGATGCTGGGACGTATCTGGTTGTTGACACGGATGTATCTCAGCGTTGACCCACCGTCAAATTTAGCCCGTTCGGATGTGTACCTAAAACCGGTCTTGACCCTCAATTCGAAGCCCGACTCATCCACGACCTATCTCATCCAAAGAGGAGATCGACGAACGCAGCATCGGACCGCTCGCAACTCCCGACTATACTCTACGTCCACGTTCGAGCCATCGCCCGTCGAATTGAATATCTACGCAAGCGCTACCCAAACCGGCGGATCATGATGTTAAAGGGCGACGTGAAGAGTGCTTTTCGACAGATAATGCTGGCAGCAGAAATTGTTCGGTGGTTCTGTGGCAAATTTCCCGAGGATAACGCGGCTGTAATCGATACAGCGCTTCCGTTTGGCTGGACAGGATCGCCCGGCCATTACGGAGTTTTTGGAGGCGCCATTTCGCATCGCTTGGGGTTAGAAAGCCCTGGTAGCCTTGATCCACGGTCATCGGACAAGGAAACGTTCTTTGCTTATGAATGGGTTGATGATCACATTTGCGTCGAGCCCGAGATCGATAATCGGCTCGAGCTCTGCGAGGCAGCTCTCCGTCTGGCGATGATGGCGTTTCTCGGTCCGAGATCAATTAACGATTCGAAGTTCTCGCGTTGGGAGCAGCAGCTGATAGCTCTTGGGCTCGAGTGGAATACGCAGGAAGGTACTGTCTCCATGCCGGAAGCCAAGATAGAGAAAGCTCTCGGACGCATACGTGCAATTCTGGAATTCAACGCGGCATCAAAACATCAGTTGAACAAGCTTTTGGGCAGCCTGCGGCGCGTGTGTTCCTGCATCCACTCCGCTAAAGTATTCTATCAGTGTGTGGTAACCCTGTGGCGTCAGATGCCACCGCACGGGTCGAAGGTCCTAAGTGCCGGCGCTCGGCTAGATCTACTCTGGTTTGAACACCTTGTATCGGTTGGTCGGCCTCGATCAGTACCGACAGCTTCTTTGGGGATCTGCCGGAACCTATCGTCTATCTCTACATGGATGCGAGTGACACAGGATTATGCGTGCTTCATCCCGCTCGTCGTTAATTCCTACGAGTCCAATTTGATACGATCGAACAAGACATGATACAGAAGTGCAAAGCCGCTGCAGTCGTCTCGGATGCGCATTTCACGATTAATGTTCGCGCGCAATTGAGCGTTGTTTTGGCGGCTCTTGTGTAGGGTGCTGAATGGAGTCCAACAAATGATCGTGGTCTCTCTCACGTGAAGTGCATCATCGACAACCAGTCTGCGGTATCATGGTGCAACAAACAGGCAAGTTCTAATCCGTTCTCGCAAGAGCTGAACCGTGTGCTCGGGGCGGTCGAAGCCCAACACGGCATTCGAGTATCGGCCGATCATCTCGCAGGAGCCCGAAATACGTTGGCCGATTTGGAATCTCGCGCCTGGGTGGGGTCCAGCCTCGATCAGTTTTCTAACCTCGTTGCTATGTGGCAGGAACGAGAAGTCCCGCAGAAAATTCGGAGGATCTACGATCCACGTTATTCGCGCTTCAGCTCCGGTCCCTGGCAGATTCGTCGCAGCGAACCTATCGGTCCTCATCGCAACAGTGGTGTCAATATCGGCGCTCTCGACAACTCCCGATCTGGCTACCTCGAAATGACCCCGATGAGCAATCACTACAGCTGACTCTCTTCGCAGTGCAATGCTGGCGCACAAGTGGCATTGGATTCGCCACCATTCAATCAAAGCTTAGCCATGTCGGCTGGTATCATTGCATCAAATATGGCACCAGACCCAAGCTCAACGACGGACACCACCTCGCGCTTCGGGGACTCCGACGGACAGCTAGCGCGTCACGACCTCGCGCCCCCGTCAGTCAACAACTCCTCGTTGCATTCAGCAACCTCGTCGACTTTGGCAACCCACAACACCGCGTGCTTTTTGGGGCTACGGTGCTGGGCTTTTACTTTCTCCTCCGACGCTCGGAATACCTAATATGCGATGGTCGCCGATATCCGTATTGCCTCGAAGTTCGGGATGTCAAGGTTGCTGACGGTGAAGGCCGCACGACGTTAAACTACCAAGCAGCAGCTTCTGTCCAGATTCAGTTTCGGGGAAGCAAGAATGACCAGTACCGCCAAGGAACTGCAAGAATGCTACAAAAAGCATCTCGTCCACCGATTTGCCCTGTATTTGGTGCCATCTGGCTGATGAAGAACGCCGCAGATCTCGATCTGTCCCCTGAGAAGCCGCTCTGTTCATTATCAAACTCCTGGATGGTTTCGGCAAAGATGATGAATGCAGCACTTCAGCTAGCCGCTCAACATGTTGGCCACGACCAGCGTCTGTATACTACGCACTCGCTCAGAATTAGAGGAGCGACAGCATTATTCCACGGTGGAGCTGAGCCAACGGCAATCGAGTATCACGGGCGATGGCGATCTGAAGCTTATCGCCGATACACACGAAACCCAGAACAGCGCACAAGACGGCTGACTCAACTGATGGCTAGTGAGCTAACAATGTCTACAGCAACTACGTCTTCTGATCACTAATTGGGGCTGCACTCGGATGCTCCTCGGTGTGATCAAGACTAGTTTGCTAATAGATTTTGTTTTGCCCCACTATCTACCTCAGTCTGGTGCGTTGAAGCAAAAAGAGGAATTTAGTCACGGAAAGACTGCCCGCTCTCTCGAACGCTCGGTAAATCCCCCGAAGGGATGCAAACTGCTGCTCATAGAGAAACGTCACGGTCGAGACGGATCCAGAAGTTGCCACAGCTTCAAACGCCGTATCAAAAACCTCCTCTAATACTCGCCCAGTCCCGATCAGAAACTCCATCACTTCTGTACGACGCGTCATACCGGTAGCCGCTTTGAGGAACGCGTCCTGAACCAAGTTCTCGTCATTATGGCCACGCTCGTACAGGTACTGGACTGCGATGAGGAACCCGTCGCCCGCCATCTCGACAAACAAATTCTTCCCTTCAAAGTAGAAGGGGAAGACCTGGTAGATCTTCTCAGCGATAACATGCTGCTGCTTTCTCACCGCCTCCATAAAGGCGGAGGCCACGTTCCACGGATACCGCAGCAGGTAGACCACCACGTCGACATATCCCCCAGCTATGGCAAGTGACACGGCCTTACTGTCGGTGCATCGCTCATCGTCGCTCGGGGTCCTGATCACGTACCGTGACGCGAATTGCACCACCGCCAAGTGCCCATGTACTGCCGCCTCCTCCAACACTTTCCAGGCCGCCTCTTCACGGACTTTCCCGCGGACTTCCAACGAGCGCAGCAGCAACTCGACCGTGTCGAGATGGCCACTTCTTGCGGCAATGATCGCTGCCTTTTCAAGTGTTGCGATGGTGTCGGAGCCGAAGCACCGTCGACACGGGTCATCCAACTCGTGCAGCAGCTGCAGGACCGTCTGGAGGGTGTTCCCTTCGGAGGTGGCGGTCGCTGCTGCGTGCTCCAAGGTGCCCATAAACTCGTTTAGAAGTTGCTTCAGCCACCCCGATTGCCCCGATGCTGCGGCTTGCAGAACTGCATCCTCTGGGGTCATCCACAGCGCGGCAGCACGCTGGAGCACGAGCGGCAACTTCTGAATCTCGACCGGAAGGTCAACGCTTGGCAGGGGGGAGGCAGCTTCGTCAACGTCCATGATCGTGCATACGCGCTTGGAGGAGGAACTGTCGTCCGAGTCGGAGCTCTCGAGCGCCCTCTCGCTGCTGCTGCTGCTGGAAGTGTCGCTCGACATGCTCTTCGGCTTTTGGGTGAGTAGCGGGATGCGGTCCACTGTCGTTGAAGTACTGTACGTCTGAATTCGAATTATTATTTTTTCCTACTGATTCATACAATTTAGCGCGGTAGTGAGTCATTACGTTTCGAGCTTGCGACGTTGTCGATGTTGCGCACCACTCGACTGCTGCAGATAAAGTTGTGAATGAAGCTAACCAGTTTGCCGGGTCGCTCCAGTTGTGTAAGAGCGCTCGTGAATACGGACCGTAATTCGTCATTATGGCTCGATGAGATGGGTACATGGAGCCAAGTTTTGACGAGGAGATGCGACACAAACGAAAACGAAGGTAGCTACAGCATGTAGGAAGTACTTGGAGCATGCATGTACGACCTCTCTATTGAACGCGTGCCAGACGCGTTTCGGCCCCCCGCCGGGGGCCTCGTCAGTGGCTTTACCAATCGAGAAGTGAGCTCTCTCTCGACTCTGGTGTCTAACCGTGTATCCCCACCATGGGGTTACACCTACGTGCCTGCAGCACTTCCAACACAGCATGGCGAAGCGAGAACGCGAAGACTCTGCTGCCCAAGTCGCAGCCGCCTTCAAGCACGCGCGCGTGGCCGCATATCAAGCCGACGAAGATGGGGACGACGCAGTGCAGGCAGCGTCGGCCGCTCCCCCGAGCAAGCTCAAGGGGGTTCGCTTCCCGGTCGAAATCACGGTACTGCCACATATTTTGCGGCAGCTTGAAGACTTCCTGCTGACACCTGACGAAGCCATGTATGAGGCGGCAGCAAGTGGCCAAGTGGCCCGGGTGGAGGAGCTTTTGCACAGATTTGACTGCAAGCTGCTGGACCCGTTCACACTTGCAGCGGGCAATGGCCATGTGGCAGTTGTTCAAGTGATGCTACCCGAGTTGCTCAAGCCCCGGAGTGAGCCAGACCGTGACACGTGGGAAGCCATACTCGACGGCTTCTTTGCTGCTGGGGAGAACGTGCACCTTGTTATCCTGCTCGTGCTGCGGCCGTTCCTCACTAGAGCTAGGAATCGCAAGAGGAAATACGAGGCGTACGAAACAGCCACCCATTTGTTGGAGAACGCAGCAGGCCAAGGCCATCTCGGCATCGTTCGGTTCATGATAACACACGCTACATCGATGTACGTGAACGGCATGAATGCAGAGGACGAGTCGTTGGCCCTCGAGAGAGCGATCTCCGGCAAGCACATGGACGTCGTGGAGTACCTGCTGAATTTGGACGTGGCCGGGTTCCGTTTGGACTTCAGCGGCTCGTTCAGTGCCGCGCTCGACGCTGGGCTGTACGAGCTGGCGGACAGAATCTATGATGTCTATGCTCGAGCTCGCCCAAGGCGTAAGTTGCTTCATGAGCTGGCACATTACGATTACGTGGAGGCCGTCAAGTACCTTCTCGGCAAGGGAATCGGTCTACATTTGGTTGACGCGTTATTCGAGAAAGCCGCAATGGGGTGTGCCGTCGCTGTCGTGGAGTTCTTGTGGAGTTCTTTCAAATTGTCACCGGGACTTTTCGACCAAGTGTTTGAAAAAACTGCTACTACTGGATGGAACAGACGCGAAGTGGTACCGATTCTCTATAAGAAGAAGCGCCCGGCTTCTCAGATTGTTCTCAGAGTGTTTGGGCTTACGGGTAGTACCACCGTACTCAAACTCTTGCTTGAGAACGAGCCGATACCAGATGAATCTATCGTCGCCGCCTTTGAACGTGCAACTTCAAGCAACCTCCGACGCAAGACTAGAATAATCGAACTGCTGTACAAGAGGGAGTGCATTTCGTCTGAACTTCTCACAAGGGCGCTTGTGGGGGCAGTAGTGCAAGGCAGCACTAAAGATGTGGAATTATTGCGCGGCGACTCTCGTATTCTGCCGCAAGTGGTGGACAAGACCTTCATTGACGTGGCTCTGGGAGGGCGCGGCAGTCGGATGAAGAAGCTGTATGAAAGTCAGCTCGTTTCGCCTGAGGCAATTTTCGAAGCATTCATCACCGCTGTTAGTGGCACTAAACGGCAAAACGTGACACATCTCGCGAGCTACTTGTCGAACGGAACGCGTGTTCCGCAGCATCTAAAAGATTCCGGTTTCGTGTGTGCGGCAAGACATGGGCAAATGCAAGCGATAGCAGCACTGAACCGAGATGAAAAGGAAGAGTGGTCACTCGGCGTGCTCCAGGAGGCTTTGGAGGCCGCGCGAAATAACTCAATCAGGAACTACATTCGCACAGTCACATGCAATCAACTATTCAACCGACGAGTCCAAGGCCGCCTTGAAGCTGTGGCGAAGTTCTTGGCAGACTGGACTGAAGAATCGAAGGCCGAGTAGGACTTGTTGGCAAGCCAACTCTTTTTGAATGTATTGTGCTTCGTTCGTTGTGTCTCCGATTAAAGACAATTCAACAAGGCTCTATAGGATAGCGGCAGCTGCCATGATTTATACAGGCTACCCTTTTACCGGGAGGGCTCGCAGCTTGGGCGCAAACGCTTTGAACTTGGAGGTCCTCCTCGGATTCCCAAGAAGCCTACCGCAGGTTATTCTTGAGGGCTGTGGCCTCGAAAACCGTCGGGCTTGCTCTTAAATCGTCATCAGGTTTTGAGTTCCGCTTGGGCATTGGCGACAGCTTACACAGACCCAGAACCTTGAACCCCTTCCTCGGTTTCTGTTGTGGGCAGGCTATCCGTAGTCTCCTTGCTGCCATCCGGAAGGATGCGGTGTGTCTTTTTGCCATATTTTCGTATTGGCAGCTTTCATGTTCGAGGTGAACACCACAAGGACGACCTAAAACACGATCAAGGGACGCCTGCGGGGGCCAAGCGAAAAAAATGAATGTGGCAACAGTTGTGCATCTCTAGACAGGATTACCTGACGTTGGTACTGCCGCAAAAATATCACACCTACAGTACCTAGCGCGTCCATTAGAGCTTGGGTAGCCAACTCGGCAGGAAAACCTACGCGGCTTGTAAGCTCTTGGTAGATGCAGTGCTCACTCCGAGTGTGACTGGCGTTAGATGTAAAAAAAATTGTAAGCTATTGAGTAGATGAACCTGGTCATTGGACCTAAGCGCACACGAAAACTTCAGAAAACAGATCTTATGAATAACCAGTCCGTTGCTGCAAATGGATCGTGTGACTTCTTCTAGTTCCTCGCTTACATATCACCCTCAATAACGGTGTTTACTGTACTTAGTGACCTTGGACTCCGCCTTGCTCCTTCTCGTGTTCGGTAAGAACTTCACAGCATCGGTGAGCCAAAGTGAGCGGGACATTCAAACGCCTTATTCGACGACTCGCCAGAAAGTAGCCTGATCATCCTCTTGGGGTATGCACGATGAAAGCATATTCACAATTGGCTTGTTATCCGCACGGACGACATCGTCGAGAGCTTTCCCGATATTATAGTGACGCACTGGCGGTGATACCTAGCGTTATCAATGAATCATGGTCCATTCTTGAAGTGTAGTCAGCAAACGGTGTCAGCAGATCTTAGTCCTCCTTGCTTGCAAACTCGTGATGCCGCGAATTGATAGGGTTCACGTTCCTATTGCACACGACGAAGGCGACCATGACTCGATTGGCTCTTCGAATCCTACGACCTTACCGTACTTCACAAATTAAAAGCTTTTTCATGGATCGCGATCCTGTGGGGGAAATGAACTTCATTTAGGGCTTCTCGGGAGTGGAGCGGATAAAAAGAGCTTCGGCTGTCCATCTGGCCTTCCTGCTAAGACTAAACTTAGCCTAAAAAGTTCAGGTAGACTTCTGGTGATCCGGAAAGGCAGGCTTCCTCGTTCGACTGCAACGTCATCGACATCTTGCCAAGAGAGCCATGCGCGCGACCACTCCAACGCCCAAGAGACCCCGGAACGGAGGAACAGGACTCGACCCGCGGCCGTCTCAAGCGTCGAAGCGGGCTCGCACTGCTGCAGTAGAGGATGGAGAGTACGAGCGACTCAAGCATGCAATGTTTCCAGCTAAAATAATGGCACTGCCCCACATTATGAAGCAGATCGACCGGCTGTTGATGACACCGGAGGAGGCGCTGGTGGACGCAGCAGCTACAGGGCGAATACGGTGGCTCCACTACCTCCTATACGAGTCCAACTGCGGCCTCCGCAAGGCGCTCGTGGCTGCGGCTTCCAGAGGTCATCGGAAAGTCGTGACGATGCTGCTGATATTCAGTTCAGACAGCGATCGCGAAGGGAATGAAGATCGACTGACAACGCTATTGGAGGCTGCAGTAGCGGCTGGTGCAGGTGGACACTTCCAGGTCGTGCAGGTACTGCTCTTTCATGTAGATCTCCAAAGCGATAGACCCAGTGAAATGCGATCAGGAGCTGCGAACATTTTAAAAGAAGCGGCGGCAAATGGGCACTTGGCTGTGCTCAAGTTTGTGGTCGAGTACGCGAAGGAACGAGGCTATACGAATGCAAAAACTTTTGGGTCACGAGCACTACAGCTGGCCATTTCTGGAGAACACAAGGAGGTGGTGGAGTATTTGCTCGAACTGGATGGATTTCGGTGGGATTTGGCGGGTGCGTTTGCTGCTGCAGTGGATATGAAGCAGAGTGCACTGGTGCGGAGGGTCGAGGAGATGTACCCGAAGCTCTTCCCTGGCCACAACCTGTTCGTTCATTTGGCTCGCGACGGACATCTTAATGGCGTTAAGTTCATCTACAAAAGAGGGTACAGGTTCATCAAGGCGATCAATAACGCCTTCTTTCGCGCGGCGCTCCATGGGAAGACAAGTGTGGTTGAATTTCTGCTTGGTACGGGTCACATTGACTCCGAGACATTTGACAAGGGCTTTGAGGGTGCTGCGGGGTCGACAGGAGGAATTCAACTGGAGACGACTCTCTTCCTCTACGACACGCGTCGTGCGTCGTCGCAATTGCTGAACAAAGTGTTTGAGATCACGGACAGCGTCGAGGTGATCCAGCGACTGTATGAGAACGGCCATACAAATATCTCGGAAGAATCGATTACCGCTGCTTTCAAGCGGGCTGCTGGTTGCGTGAACAGTGCTAATGTTTTCGAGTCTGACCACCCCAAAATCGTGATGGTGTTATGTGCGGATACACGTATTCCTCTAGAGATTCTTAACGAGGCCTTCGTAATTGCGGCCCGGGAAGACCGCAGTGATGTCGTGAAGTGTATGCGGGACGATCCTCGGATTTCTTCCGAGTCCGTGGGCGAGGCTTTTGCTGCCGCTGCGGGCAGCGGTAACCTCGAGATGATGGAGAGTCTATACGATGTGGAGCGGGTTTCTCCCGAGACGATCCTCCAAGCCTTTGAAAAGGCCCCTATTCATGATAATTTGCCTATCATTACGTATCTTGTGAAGCTTTTATCAGATGAAAAGCACGTGGCACGAAAGTTTAAGCACAAGGCGTTCGTCAGTGCTGCCAAGCGCAGTAAATACGCGAGTATCCTGGAGCTTCTCAGCAGTAACTTTGGAGAATGGCCGCTGGACGTGCTGAAAGAAGCTTACGATGCCGCAGTGTATTGCGCACCCCGGAACTACATTTCCAAGTTGACTTGCGACCAGCTTTTTGGCACGAAGAACGAAGAGCGACTGAACGCAATGGTCAAGTGGATGGAAAAGTGGCCACAACCAGCAACCAAAAAGTAAGGCCACGCCGTACTGTCTCCTCGCCGATTACGCGGTGGCCTTATCTGTTCGATCAACTTGGACTCTCGCAAATAATTTAAACTCCACGCACGTTTGGAGTGTTTGGAGTGGAGATTCGTTTTCATTTACATGTACATGGCTGATGACATCAAGACTTCCGTCTGAAGTACTTGTGAAGTGGGGTTTTACTGGAGAAGTTATCTAGCGGGGGAACCAGAACACTACTGAGCGCCTTAGGCAGTCAGCTTGAGGTATCCGTTCCGGATGAGGTAGCGCATGGACCATCCCGTGCGCTTGACCGTCTCGTCCGAGTTGCGCCACGCCCAGAAGGCCCAGCCGCCGGTCGTGTCGGCGTTGTAGTAGGCGAGCTGCTTGCGGCCCAGCTCGCGGAAGTTGTCGATGTTCTGGAAGATGCCCCTCGCGTCGGGCGGGCCGCCCATGCACCACTCGCCCAGGAAGAGCGGTTGTTGGTAGGCGCCGCCTTGAGGTGGCTCTGGGCGTACTGGTCGATGACCGCGAGCACCTGCTCCTCCGTCTTGCCCTCGTAGCCCCAGATGAAGTAGGCGTGGATCTCGGTCCAGGCGTTCGTGTACTCGGGGGCGCCGATCATGCCCTTGAGGTGCTCCGGGTCCTGCTCGCTCAGGAACGGGGTCACCAGCCGGATGCAGTCGTTGCCCGTGGCTCGGATCTGCTTGTACGCCTGGATGTAGTAGTTCCGCAGCACGTTGCCGTCCACGAACGGCACGGGCTCGTTCATGCGGTTCAAGCCCAGGAACGCCGGGCTGTTCTTGTACCGCGCCGCGAGGAACGTCGCGAACTTGAGCGAGTTGTCCACGTTGGTCTGCGACGTGCTCCAGCCCACGTTGCCCAGCGTCACGGGGGCGCTGTGCTCGATGCCGTTCTGGCTGCCCTGGTGCGCGTGGAGGCTGATCATGACGGCGACGTTGTACTTGACGGCCCAGTTGTTGATGAGCGCGTCCAGGTACTTGAGGCCGCCGCGCGCGTACATGTCGCCCTCGGTTCCGGGCGCAGTGGTGGCGTCGCGGATGATCCAGTGGCCCACGGGGACGCGCACGGTGTTGAGCACGCCAGTCTCGGCGATCTCCTTGATGTCGGCCTCGGTGATCCACGTCTTGCGGTGCTGCTCGAACGCCGCCGTGCCCTTCTCCTTGCCCTGGAGCTGCATCGTGTGGTACTCGCCCTTGTGGTCTTCGTCCGCCGAGATGCCGTTCCACAGCGCAGACTCCCACGTGATCCAGTGCTCCGTCAAGAGCCAGCCGCCCAGGTTGACGGCCTTGGACTGCACGGCTCCGCTGCGGATCTGGACCTGGATGTGGCCGCCGTCTGTCGTGTTCGTAGCGCGAGGCCTCGAGGAGGAGGAGGAAGACACGACGGCGGACACGGCCCCCACGGCCTTCTTCCTCGTGCCCGTGCCGCGCTTGAGGTAGCAGTGCGGCTGGCCATCCCAGCCATTGTTCACGAACGTGTACGCGGCACAGCCCGAAGTACTGGCGCACCGGTTGCAGCAGTCGTCGGGGAGCTACATGCCCGTGAGGTCGGCGAGGTCAGCGCCATTGTAGTCGATGCCGACCTCGGGCGTGCCGCACCTGGCGGGCGTTGGCCGGCTGGTAGTAGGTCGGGTTCCACGGCTGGCAGTAGTTTCCGGAGACGCAGCAGTTGGGGCCACTCTGGTCGTTGCCGCAGTAGGCACAAGCTTCGGACGCTTCGACGAGGAGAACGTGTGGACACATCCGCCGATGACTCGGAGGATCCGACGGCGACGGGAGAGCCGGCGGCAGCCGGGCTGTGGATATACCAATGGCTAGTCAGGGAGACCCAAGTATACTCAGATCAAGTCAATCGGAACCCGGGAGTAATCCGTCTGATGAGAGGCACCAACGAGCACAAGGAGAACAAGAAGGAAAGCAGGAGGGGAAGACTAGAGAGTAGTTTGAGAGACGACAACATTTAATCTCACTTCGGAATTTGCCCCCTAAACCACAAGCCACAAACCAACAGGTTAACAGCCGCAACAAGCTCAAGCCCTCCCCGACGACCGACATGACGACGTCCAGCAAGAAGGCCGAAGTCATCCTGGGAAGCGACAATTACTTCCACTGGGAGTTCGCGATGCGTATGACGCTCGCGAGGAAGGGGCTGCTGGCGCACGTCCAAGTGGTGAAGGACCCGACGGAGATGACGGAGGCCTGGATGCTCAACGACATGAAGGCGCTCGGTCTGATCGCTCAAGGCGTGGCTGTGGAACACCACACGAAGATTCGGTCGGCGACGTCGGCTATCCAAGCCTGGAATACTCTACGCGAGTTCTACAACCGGACGACGATGCATAATCGGGTCACGATGACTCATCGGCTCCATGAGTTCAAGATGGAGGACGGTGCGACGATGGCGAAGCACCTGGACAAGTTCGACGAGCTCATCGTGGGCCTCCAGACGCTTGGAGAGCCGCTCGATGACTTCCGACAACTCGTCATCCTGTTGAGCAGCTTGCCGGCGGAGTACGAGTTGATCGCATCCATCGTTGAGAACTCGAAGGATGTGATCCTCATCGAGGTGAAGGAGAAGCTGCTCAAGGAGTACGAGCGGCAGGAGAAGAAGGAGACCTCGGAGCGCGCGTTGAAGGCTACCTCGTTCGGAGGTAGGGGCCAGAACGGGAAGTTCGGCAAGGGCGGCAAGGCATTCGGCCGCAAGCGCAACGGCGGACGAAAGGTCGGTGGCTTCAAGGGCAAGTGCTTCAACTGTGACCAAGTGGGCCACATGAAGCGGGACTGCCCGGAAAAGGGAAATGGAGACACCGCCGAGGACTGGGTGTTCGCTGTGGCGGAGAATCCTTCAGCGGGTTGGCTGATCGATAGTAGGGCGACGGCTCACATGACGCCTCACCGCGATGACTTGTTCGAGTACAACGAGTCGTCGGCGGACATTTATGTGACAATCGCGGACGGGAAGAAGATCCGCGTGGCTGGGAAAGGGTCGGTGCGCCTAACGGGCATCGGCGGCAAGCGCATCAAGATGGTGGAGGTGCTCCACATCCCCGGACTCGACCGGCGACTACTCTCGGTTGGGAGGTTGGCTGAACGCGGCATGAGTGTCGAGTTCCAGCGGAAGTCGTGCGTCATCTGGGACAAGACGAAGGCGATCGCTTCGGGGAAGAAGGTCGGCAAGGCGTACTTGCTGGACTGCCAGCAGGACATGGCGCACTACACCGAGTACTCGGGAGTCGACGGAAAGTGGGAGCTATGGCACGCTCGTATGGGACACTTGAACGGAGACGCTATGGCGAAGACCCGCGAGGCGACGGACGGGATCCCGACGACTCAACAGCAGACGAAGACCCTGTGCGGAGGATGCATGAAGGGCAAGCAGACGGTCGCACATTTCCCGTCGCGGTCGACGTCGGCGACGACTCGACCGCTGGAACTGGTTCATACAGACGTGATGGGTCCTATGAAGACGAAGTCCAAGGGCGGAGCGAGGTATGTGCTCACCTTTGTCGACGACTACTCGCGACACGTCGTGGCGTACTTCTTGACCAAGAAGAGCGAGGTCGTGACCAAGTTCAAGTCGTTCATGAAGCTGTACGAGAACCAGTGGGGGCAGCGCATTAAATGCCTGCGCTCGGACAACGGCACTGAGTTCGTGAACACGCCGATGACTGATTCCTGCCGGGTGAATGGGATTATGCATCAGAAGACGGTCCCGTATAGCCCCCAGCAGAATGGCGTGGCGGAGCGGATGAACCGCACGATCATGGAGAAGGCTCGAAGCATGCTACACTACAAGGGCGTGGCTTCGATATGGTGGGCAGAGGCGGTCAGCACTGCTGCCTACCTGATCAACCGGTCGACGAACAGCATGTACCCGACCAAGACTCCGTACGAGTTGACGTTCAAGTCGAAGCCTCGGCTGGACCATCTTCGAGTCTTCGGGTCGATTGGTTACGCCCATGTCAACAAGTCGCGACGCACCAAGTTGGAGCCGAAGAGCTTCAAATGTATGTTTCTTGGGTACGCCGACGACTCAAAAAGCTACCGAGTGTACGACTTGGAGTCAAACAAGGTGAAGGTGTCCAGGTCGGTGAAGCTGGACGAGCGCGAGGTGAACGACATCTACGACACGTCGCCCAGCGATAACTCGCCGATCATTCAGTCGACGGAAGATGTCGACGATGAAGTGGCGCTGCACGAGGAGATGCAACGACCTGCCGCCGACGAGCCGATGGAATCGGCGGAAGAGACCGTCGAGGACGCGGAAATACATGAGGCGGAGACGCCGGAGCCATCCATGCAGGAGCTGACAACGTACCGACGACTCGCGAGACCGGTGTTTAATGATGACATGGTCTTCCATCCGGAGTCGGAACGGACCAGGCGTGCCGAAGAACCGGTACTACTACTTGGAGATAGTTCCGCAGACGGTGAGGAGTCGAAAGAAGATGGTCCCGATGACTCGGACAACGATGACCACTTCTGGCCACCGTCTCCGAAGCGACCCAGGGTGGACGAAGACAGCCTATTGGCTGAGGCGGTGCTGGCCTACGCCGCAGACGTCGGCGATGCCAATGACGCACCCACCACGTATCAGCAGGCCATGCAGAGCGACGAGTCGTCGGAGTGGGTGAAGGCAATGAATGCGGAGCTCAAGGCACATGCGGACAACGGATCATGGACGTTGGTCCGTCGGACACCGAGTACTCGACCAATCGGTTGTCGCTGGGTGTTCGCAAAGAATCGCGACGAGCACGGCCGAGTCATCAGGTATAAGGCCCGCCTGGTGGCGAAAGGGTTTAAGCAGAAGTTTGGCGTGGACTTATTCGAGACGTACTCGCCCGTGGCCAACATGAACTCGATCCGAGTGGTGTTGTCGGTTGTGGTGGCCGAGGCGTACATCACCGAGCAGCTGGATGCGGACACCGCCTTTCTCAACAGCGGGCTGGTGGAGCGCGTCTACATGGAGGTGCCCTACGGAATCATCAACGCGAAGAACATGATGTGTCGGCTGCAGAAGGCGATCTATGGTCTGAAGCAGGCGGCGAATGCCTGGCATAAGACCATCCACCGAGTCTTCGTGGGCATCGGATTTTGAGCTGCGGTGGCGACCAGTGCGTATACGTCAAGGGCGAGAAGGGCAGGTTCGTATATGTCTACCTGTACGTGGACGACTTGATCATCGCGGCCAAGACGAGCAACGAGATCTAGGAAGTCAAGATGGCGCTCAAGAATGCGTTTAAGATGAAGGAGTTGGGCGAAGCCAAGTTTATACTTGGTATGGAACTCATCGGCGAAGACTCTCATGATCAAGCAGACTCGATTTATTGATGATGTGGTGAAGCGGTTCAACCAGCAGGACGCCAAGGTGGTGGTGAACCCTTGCGAGTCGGGCATGAAGTTGTCGAAGACTCAGTCGCCGACGACTCAGAAGGAACGCGAGGAAATGCAGGCGAAGCCCTACCGAACACTCATTGGCTGTTTGTTGTACATTACAACTTGCACCAGACCTAATGTGGCGTACATCGTGACCCAGTTGTCGCGCTTCCTTGAGAGCCCCGGGCAGCAGCACTGGAAGGCTGCCATCCGCGTGCTCAGGTACCTGAAGAGCACCCAAGACATCGGCATCGCCTACAATGGGAACGCGAAGAAGGTCGAGGTGACGGCGTACACCGACGCCGACTGGGGCAGCAATCTCGACGACCGACGCTCGGTGTCGGGCATCATGGTGATGATTAGCGGGGCGCCGGTGGTCTTCAAGTCGAAGTACCAACGCACGGTGGCGCTCAGCTCGGCGGAGGCCGAGTTCATGGCGCTGAGCCTGTGCACGCAGGAGGTGCTGTGGACCCGCGCCATGCTCAAGGACATGGGTCACGAGCAAGTGGGAGCTACCCAAGTATGGGAGGACAACCAGGGCGCGATCGCCCTCGCAAGCAACGCTGGGTACAACGCGAGGACCAAGCACGTGGACGTCAAGCATCATTTCATCCGCGAAAATGTGTCCCGAGGACTCATCGTCGTCAACTACGTGCCGACGGAGGACCAGCTCGCGGACATGCTTACCAAGGCGTTGGGAACGAAGAGGCTCAAGTACCTGATCAGCGCAAGCGGAATCGTCGGGACGGTCGTGCAGCATTAGCGGCGAGTGGGAGTGTCCATGAGTCTTCGGGAGCGCCGCCAATATATGCACATGGACGAGGCGAACGTGTGGACACATCCGCCGATGACTCGGAGGATCCGACGGCGACGGGAGAGCCGGCGGCAGCCGGGCTCTGGATATACCAATGACTGGTCAGGGAGACCCAAGTATACTCAGATCAAGTCAATCGGAACCCGGGAATAATCCGTCTGATGAGAGGCATCAACGAGCACAAGGAGAACAAGAAGGAAAGCAGGAGGGGAAGACTAGAGAGTAGTTTGAGAGACGATAACATTTAATCTCACTTCGGAATTTGCCCCCTAAACCACAAGCTACAAACCAACACAGCGCTATCAACAAAGAGGAAGGACTCCAAGGCATCGCTGGCTTGTGGTGCAGCTGCTGAGCTCTTGGACGGAAAACTGCAAGTGAAGGACTTGTTGGCTGTAGCTCTACTGCAGGAGGGATTCTGTTCCGGGAAGAAGACCACGTATAAACGACCAGGCAACAGCTGATGCTGTGCTCCTCAACATGTCCCGCGGGTGAGTCAATGCGCTACAGTAGGCAACAACCGATGATGTGCACCCAGACGCTACTATCACGTGGCAAATTTTAACACACGTAATGTGACCAGAGCTGAGATCACGGTGGGCACCTGTTATCGAGTCCAAACACATCATTTTCACCATTGTCATCGTTCCTCTAGTGAAGGCCGACGAAACCAATGCACCACCTTCCTCGGTACAGCACCAGCAAAAAAGCAACACTCCGGTTCTCCAACACAACAATGCGTTCCCCCATCATAAATATGCCAACCAGACAGCGCAAACACACTCCAGATGATCCTGACAAGCCAGTCTCCAAAGTGCAACGTGATCTGTTGTGCTGTTTAACACGCGTTATCCGGGTTTGTTATCAAACGATGCAACTCACTACAGTATCTGTGGTAGCATGAAGATAACCTGGAACGATGCCTCGTCCAACAGTTCATGTTGCAGATGATGCACAATACTTTACACTGTATCATGATGCGTTGTAGTGACCTTGGGGTCACGAAGGATGTCGCTGTTTTACCGACCGGTAGCTGCGGGATTGGAAACCTCTGTCGATTCATCAAAGCCCCCCCCCCCACTTTCGCACTACAGTCTCGTCAATCGAGCGTGCGATCTACACTGTTGAAAAATAAAGCGACGTAAGGTATCGACTGATTATCACCAGTCTTACTGGTTCTCGGGACCCTGCATCAACATGAACCAAAGCTGGCTTTTTCGATTTTTTTAGTGATACGGACGCTATTATTGTCTCTTCCTAAGATAATATCCGACAAAGCTTGGGCATTTCACTATACGGACGACAACACCTCTGACGAAGCTCCCAAGGGAGAATGGACCCAGCAGCTTCAGCACCGGAAGGAGCAAGCGACCCTCGTCCACTCAAGCGCCCGAAGCACGCCAAGCTCCCTGACAAGATCCTGGCTCTACCGCATGTACTCAAGCTACTTCAGACGTTCCTGATGACGCCCGAACGGGCCACCATAGAGGCAGCGCGCACTGGCAACATGCCATGGCTAGCCCAACTACTGGAAAACTACGATTGCGAGGTGCCGCAAGCCATGGTATATGCTGCTGCGAACGGTCAGCTCAGAGCGGCGGTCATGCAGTTCTTCGCATTCTTCCACTGCGCCCTGACGGACGAAACCAGGAGAATTCTGCTAAAATCACTGTGAGTGGCCGGTCGGAACAACCGCGTTCGGGTTGTCGAGTTTCTACTGCCGGAAGCTATCAAGTCTGGTGACATGAGTCACAGAGAACTGCAGGCGTGTGGTGCAGCTCATGCCGTTCTGAACGACGCAGCAGGAAACGGACAACTGGAAGTGGTCAAATGTGTCGTGAAACATGCAAACGAGAACGGATACGAGTGGCGGTTCCTGGTCACTAGTTCGGGATCTGAGGCGCTAGCACGTGCTATCACCGGAAAACACGCTGGCGTCGTGGATTATTTGCTACAAGCGAGTGGATTCCGCTGGAACCTGGTTGACGCTTTTGAGGCCGCAGTGGTTACGGATAATGAAGTGCTGGTGGAGAAGATTTACGAGTTATTCTCGCAGCGGGAAGGCGATTTCAAGCTGTTTATCGAGTTGGCATGGTGGGGAAAGCTTCGCGGTGTGCAGTATCTGTATCGAAATGGTTACGCCTCCCCGGAGTTGGTAAACGAGGCTTTTCTGAAAACTGCAGGTTTCCACTGGTCTCCTGTCGTCATCTACCTGCACGATACGGGCCTGATTACGTCGGACGTGTTTGACAAGGCATTCATCATGGCAGTCAGCGCAACGTGGACCACCACGAAGACGGTGGAATACTTCTGTCACCTGAAGCGCGCCTCCGCGGAAGCGAGGAGCAAGGCATTTGTGACTGCGCATTGCCCTGAGAGAGTCAAGATACTTCTCGAGAACGAACGCATCTCAGATGCATCTATCATCGACGCGTTCACGTTATCTGGATACGCACACCGATACTTGTCCAAACACTACTTGTCGCGCAGCATCGACTTCGTCAAGTTGCTGGGCAAGAATGCCTGCATTCCGGCCGAAGTTATTGGTGAGGTGTTTGTGACCGCAGCCTCGAAGAACTGCCCCGAGCTAGTGGGGCTATTGCGGAACGACCCTCGCATGTCTGGCGAGATGGTTGAGAAGGCCTTCGTTGGGGCTGCTGGAGAGGAAGATTGCAAGCTGGTGCAATCCCTGTACGACAAGAAAATCCTTTCACCAGAGACGATCTTGGCTGCTTTTGAAAGTGCCGCTGCAATGGGATCGGACGACGTAGTGAAGGAGATTGTCATGTACCTGTCCGATGCTGCGCATGTGCCCAGACTGATCAGGCTCAAGTCTTTCGTGGAAGCGCTGGGCGCGACGGAGGATTTAGTGAAGAAGAGCTTCATCCGCGAAGTGATTTGTGACCAACTCTTTGATGCGAGAGCTCCTGAGCGCTTTGAGACCCTCGCGAAGTGCATGGACAAGTGGGCGGTCCACGGAACCGGTTCGAAGGCCCGGTTAAGTGAACCGGATGTTTCCGACTTGGAGAAACCACGGCAGAAGTGGTTTCGAAGCCAAGAACAGCGAGAGCGCGGCGCTCGTACGAGAGAAGAAGGCCCGCGGCCCAATATTTTTGTTTCTTCTCTACGTGGACTTGCATCTGACTGGAGATTAGTATTTTTCTCCCTACGGGTTATATAGACTGTTCTCCGGGGTCAAGTCTACGCGAAATACTAGAAGGGTAGATGGATTAGTTTGGTATTGGCAGCCAAGTCTCACTAACTAATCAAGTGCTTGCCCCCCTCTCATCGCTGTGAGTGACGACACCAAAGGAAACTGAATCGATGTCCACAGGAGGACGGATGCTCGTTGCCGTGTGAAATGAGGAAGTCGTGGCGAAGGTGGTCGAGGTATATGCTGTATGCGTAGGGGTTTAGGCAATTCCTGTAGGGTAACGATGCGTTTTCAAGTTCATCTCACCTTATCCAACCCGGGGTTGGCAAACCCCTCAAGCTATTTCTCGGTGTCGCTGCAAATCTTCCAGGATGATTTTCAATTTCATTGGAAGCGGGATCCAAAATGCGGCTGATCGACGCTGCGTTCGCTTGAGACTTGCGTGGGGCTCGCAAGGCGATAGTCGGTGGCTGCGACCTGGACGAGCGGGGTGCGAACGGGAGCACTGCCGTCATGGAAGCTGCTCGGATGGGCCACGTCGACGTCCTCACGTTCCTCTTGACGAGTGGCGCGTCTATCAATTTGGTCAACTTCGACGGCCGCACGTCGCTTCACTGGGCAGTGGATCGTGAGCAATTCCAAGCTGTTAAGGTTCTTTTGGCTTTCGACGCTAACGTCGATCTGGGCGATAACATGGGGGTCACACCTCTCATGCTGGCAGCAAAGCGGGGTTTTGTTGCGCTGGCGGAGCTGTTGATTGACGCGGCACCAAATTGTGTGCGTGCTATCGACAAGACAGGGGACAGCGCACTGACCATCGCCGCACACAACGGACAACTGGAGATCGTTCGTCTTCTTCTGAGTGAGAGAGTTCCGACTTTTAGTTTGAGCAACGGGGGAGCTCCGACGCCCCTCACGTTGGCCGCGGCACAAGGTCACGTGGAAATTATGCGGCTTTTGATGAACAAAGGAGCTGATGTAAACGGGATGACGTGGAACGAGCACACTGCGCTGACATTTGCAGCTGAAGGTTGCAGAGTGAAGGCTGTGCAGATGCTGCTGGAGCGAGGGGCTGAAGTTAACAAGCACGGCGTGAATTCACCGCCGCTGGCAACAGCAGCTCAGAACGGCCACGTCGAGGTCATCAAGTTGCTGCGTCAGCATAATGCGGATGTAAACGCTCAAGACGCTGACGGTGACTCAGCACTGCATGAAACAGTGTACAGTCGGTCAACGGAGTGCGCGCGAGTATTAGTGCGTGGCTTAAGTGTGGATGTGGTCGTGGATATACGAAACAAAAGTGGGTGGACTCCTCTTATGGCGACGGTGCAGCGTGAGCTGGTTGAGGTTGTGGATATTCTCCTAGGCAAAGGTGCCTCTGTAGAGTTGAAGACCGAGGATGGCCGTACCGCTCTTCATATTGCTGCGGAAGAAGGTCGTGCCGATGTGATTGGCTTGCTGCTTCGTCGAGGAGCGAATGTCGATGCTGCAAACCTGTCAAAGTGGACTCCACTGATGCTGGCAGCGTATCGCGGGCATAAAGAGACGGTAAAGCTGCTTGTGAAGGAAGGGGCAAGTCTGACGGTGAAGAATAAGGATGGCGCAAAGGCTGCAGAGATCGCGAAGTTGAACAACAGGACGGATCTCCTCGATCTTCTCCAGTCTGGAATTGACCTCGAACGGTAAACGCCAGCGCACATGTTGACCACAGACAACTAGGAATCACGTTTGCGAAGTGTATTCCTTGTTGGCTAGTTGGCTCTGCAACGTTATCACCAGACGTGGGTTGCTTAAGCATATTTGGCGAGATTACTACAATCAACACGCCAGCGAGTGGCTGGCTACAAAGGTTTGTAGGCCGACGTAGCGTGATTATCTTGATGAAAAGAGGAGGCAGCTGTCAGCGTGTGCACTACGTTTGCGTGACGAATGCCATCAGTCTATTCAATAGCAACGTTGGCGTGCTATTGGCCCAATAGACTCTATTGGTCACGCCAACGTTGCTGCATACAGATTGTTTATCCTGCAGATAACCGCAACTACAAGTCTCGTCTATCGTATTTCAGCCAGGCAAAACTGGGTTGCTGATGAATTAAAGCGCCAGCGTACTTCTCTCACTTTCCGATTTACACCAAACGTGATCAGCACCCAGCAGCGATGACTTGGAGTCCTTCCTCTTTGTTGATAGCACTGGCTGCCGTCACTCTCCATGGCGTGACCGCCTCCACCGAAGCGTCCGAAGCTTGTGCCTACTGCGGCAACGACCAGAGCGGCCCCAACTGCTGCGTCTCCGGAAACTACTGCCAGCCGTGGAACCCGACCTACTACCAGCCGGCCAACGCCCGCCAGGTGCGGCACGCCCGAGGTCGGCATCGACTACAATGGCGCTGACCTCGCCGACCTCACGGGCATGTAGCTCCCCGACGACTGCTGCAACCGGTGCGCCAGTACTTCGGGCTGTGCCGCGTACACGTTCGTGAACAATGGCTGGGATGGCCAGCCGCACTGCTACCTCAAGCGCGGCACGGGCACGAGGAAGAAGGCCGTGGGGGCCGTGTCCGCCGTCGTGTCTTCCTCCTCCTCCTCGAGGCCTCGCGCTACGAACACGACAGACGGCGGCCACATCCAGGTCCAGATCCGCAGCGGAGCCGTGCAGTCCAAGGCCGTCAACCTGGGCGGCTGGCTCTTGACGGAGCACTGGATCACGTGGGAGTCTGCGCTGTGGAACGGCATCTCGGCGGACGAAGACCACAAGGGCGAGTACCACACGATGCAGCTCCAGGGCAAGGAGAAGGGCACGGCGGCGTTCGAGCAGCACCGCAAGACGTGGATCACCGAGGCCGACATCAAGGAGATCGCCGAGACTGGCGTGCTCAACACCGTGCGCGTCCCCGTGGGCCACTGGATCATCCGCGACGCCACCACTGCGCCCGGAACCGAGGGCGACATGTACGCGCGCGGCGGCCTCAAGTACCTGGACGCGCTCATCAACAACTGGGCCGTCAAGTACAACGTCGCCGTCATGATCAGCCTCCACGCGCACCAGGGCAGCCAGAACGGCATCGAGCACAGCGCCCCCGTGACGCTGGGCAACGTGGGCTGGAGCACGTCGCAGACCAACGTGGACAACTCGCTCAAGTTCGCGACGTTCCTCGCGGCGCGGTACAAGAACAGCCCGGCGTTCCTGGGCTTGAACCTCATGAACGAGCCCGTGCCGCCCGTGGACGGCAACGTGCTGCGGAACTACTACATCCAGGCGTACAAGCAGATCCGAGCCACGGGCAACGACTGCATCCGGCTGGTGACCCCGTTCCTGAGCGAGCAGGACCCGGAGCACCTCAAGGGCATGATCGGCGCCCCCGAGTACACGAACGCCTGGACCGAGATCCACGCCTACTTCATCTGGGGCTACGAGGGCAAGACGGAGGAGCAGGTGCTCGCGGTCATCGACCAGTACGCCCAGAGCCACCTCAAGGCGGCGCCTACCAAGAACCGCTCTTCCTGGGCGAGTGGTGCATGGGCGACCCGCCCGACTCGAGGGGCATCTTCCAGAACATCGACAACTTCCGCGAGCTGGGCCGCAAGCAGCTCGCCTACTACAACGCCGACACGACCGGCGGCTGGGCCTTCTGGACGTGGCGCAACTCGGACGAGACGGTCAAGCGCACGGGATGGTCCATGCGCTACCTCATCCGGAACGGATACCTCAAGCTGACTGCCTAAGGCGCTCAGTAGTGTTCTGGTTCCCCCGCTAGATAACTTCTCCAGTAAAACCCCACTTCACAAGCAAGGCACCCGAAAAAATAATACTCATAAAAATACATTCGAATACTTTAATTCAATGATAAATTTTAGACCCTCAATTTATTTTTGAATTGCACACAATTCGTATTTGAATTGCTCAGATGGAGTTTGTTGCAGCCACCAGTGTCCGCCGAAGAGTCCACCACCAACCACTCGCCGATCTGGCACCACTTCACCGCACCACTCGCAGCGGAGGCTCCTTCAGAATCCAATTTGCTTTCTTCACCCCTCACCGCCCAAGCCCCTCGCCCCACGTGTCCACCATGGTCCTCACGAGCAGCCAAATCTGCTCCATGCTTTTCACTGATGTCGGCAACGGCTTCTACAAGTGTACATCCTGCGACAAGCAGTACAAGAACGGCAATGGCTACACGAACCTGCTGAGCCACCTGCAGCGCAACCACGACAACTACGAGCAAGAGCCCCAGGAGGCGTCACGCCGCCAGAACCCGCTGCGCCTACACCTCGTCAGCACACGGACCAGGGACCTATACCGCTGGCTTGAGTGGGTCGTCTGCGACCGCCTCCCGTTTGCGTTCGTAGAGCGGCGGCTCACGCGCCTCAACGCCTCCCTCTCTCTCGTGTCGGAGAACACCCTCTCCAAGTACATCGTGCTGATTTTCGAGCTGCTAGAGCTGCGCGTCGCTCGCGAGCTCCCTGCATCGTTCGGCCTCGTTCGAGACGGGTGGACCAGTGGTGGTCGTCACTACATCGCGATATTCGCGGTATTCGGTAGCGACAGTACCGGTATTGCCGGTGGCGGCGCTGACAACGAGTACTATGACGATCTCGAGTGCTCATCGCGCCGCTTCCTGCTGTTAACATTCGCTCCAGTAGAAGTCGAGGAAGACATGGGTGCGCAGAGTCAGTACGACCTGATCGCTGACACGCTGTCTCGCTATAACAAGCCCTGGAGCGCGGTGAAGTTCATGGTGGGAGACAACTGCTCTGTGAACCAATGCATCGGCCGGAAGGAAGGGGCTATCCCCTTCATTGGATGTGCTAGCCACAGATTCAATTTGGCGATGAAGGACTTCTTCAAGACCGAGGACGAGCTCATTGCGAAGGTGCACGCGCTGATGACCAAGCTCCGGACGATCATGGGCCGCGGTCTGCTTCGCCGCGTCTCTCATCTGTCGCCTCTGTTGAGGAAGGACACCAGGTGGTCGAGCACGTACGAGATGGTGGGACGCTATGTGAAGCTCCAGCCCGCCATAATCAAGCTGGTCCATGACCTTCTGGTCAAGTATGAAGTACAGCCGCTTTTGCTGCGGCGCGCCGAGCACGAGCGAGCCAAGGCGTTGGAGAAGGACCTGGAGAAGTTCGAGGGAGTCACGAAAGAGCTACAGAGGTCTACGCTAACTTTGTCTGCTGTGCGCCGTCTTTTTGACCAGGGGGTGAAGGAGTACCCTGCACTCAAGTCACGACTGGCCGCAACGGCTCCGATCGTCAACAACCCGCATTTAGAAATGGACCTCGTCAAGCTTCAGCGCGAAGAGGCTTTGGCGGCCGCGGAACGGTCGGCGTGTGCCGAGTTTAGATCGACGACCCTTGAAAGGGCACCAGCGCGGGAGGACGGCAACAGCTCTATCGTCAAGGCGGCGTTCAAGAAGAGGAAGGCACCGAGGCGCTCGCAATACGTGGCCGTCACCTACGTGCCGCCGACGTCCAACGAATGCGAGCGCTTTTTTTCGGCGGCGAAGCTGGTGCTCACAGACGTGCGGAAGAGTCTCTCCCCCACCATGCTCGAGATGCTGATGTGTCTGCAGTACAACCGCGACTTGTGGGACGTCAACACGGTGGAGCAGGTTCGTGCACGAATTGGCAGCAATTAATGGCAATAATGCAATGATTAATTTTTGCCCGCAGTTTAGAAGTATTAATCTAAGTATTTCATTCTCGGGTGCCCTGTTCACAAGTGCTTCAGATGGAAGTCTTGATGTCATCAGCCATGTACATGTAAATGAAAACGAATCTCCACTCCAAACACTCCAAACGTGCGTGGAGTTTAAATTATTTGCGTTGATCGAACAGATAAGGCCACCGCGTAATCGGCGAGGAGACAGTACGGCGTGGCCTTACTTTTTGGTTGCTGGTTGTGGCCACTTTTCCATCCACTTGACCATTGCGTTCAGTCGCTCTTCGTTCTTCGTGCCAAAAAGCTGGTCGCAAGTCAACTTGGAAATGTAGTTCCGGGGTGCGCAATACACTGCGGCATCGTAAGCTTCTTTCAGCACGTCCAGCGGCCATTCTCCAAAGTTACTGCTGAGAAGCTCCAGGATACTCGCGTATTTACTGCGCTTGGCAGCACTGACGAACGCCTTGTGCTTAAACTTTCGTGCCACGTGCTTTTCATCTGATAAAAGCTTCACAAGATACGTAATGATAGGCAAATTATCATGAATAGGGGCCTTTTCAAAGGCTTGGAGGATCGTCTCGGGAGAAACCCGCTCCACATCGTATAGACTCTCCATCATCTCGAGGTTACCGCTGCCCGCAGCGGCAGCAAAAGCCTCGCCCACGGACTCGGAAGAAATCCGAGGATCGTCCCGCATACACTTCACGACATCACTGCGGTCTTCCCGGGCCGCAATTACGAAGGCCTCGTTAAGAATCTCTAGAGGAATACGTGTATCCGCACATAACACCATCACGATTTTGGGGTGGTCAGACTCGAAAACATTAGCACTGTTCACGCAACCAGCAGCCCGCTTGAAAGCAGCGGTAATCGATTCTTCCGAGATATTTGTATGGCCGTTCTCATACAGTCGCTGGATCACCTCGACGCTGTCCGTGATCTCAAACACTTTGTTCAGCAATTGCGACGACGCACGACGCGTGTCGTAGAGGAAGAGAGTCGTCTCCAGTTGAATTCCTCCTGTCGACCCCGCAGCACCCTCAAAGCCCTTGTCAAATGTCTCGGAGTCAATGTGACCCGTACCAAGCAGAAATTCAACCACACTTGTCTTCCCATGGAGCGCCGCGCGAAAGAAGGCGTTATTGATCGCCTTGATGAACCTGTACCCTCTTTTGTAGATGAACTTAACGCCATTAAGATGTCCGTCGCGAGCCAAATGAACGAACAGGTTGTGGCCAGGGAAGAGCTTCGGGTACATCTCCTCGACCCTCCGCACCAGTGCACTCTGCTTCATATCCACTGCAGCAGCAAACGCACCCGCCAAATCCCACCGAAATCCATCCAGTTCGAGCAAATACTCCACCACCTCCTTGTTCTCCAGAAATGGCCAGCTGTAGTGCTCGTGACCCAAAAGTTTTTGCATTCGTATAGCCTCGTTCCTTCGCGTACTCGACCACAAACTTGAGCACAGCCAAGTGCCCATTTGCCGCCGCTTCTTTTAAAATGTTCGCAGCTCCTGATCGCATTTCACTGGGTCTATCGCTTTGGAGATCTACATGAAAGAGCAGTACCTGCACGACCTGGAAGTGTCCACCTGCACCAGCCGCTACTGCAGCCTCCAATAGCGTTGTCAGTCGATCTTCATTCCCTTCGCGATCGCTGTCTGAACTGAATATCAGCAGCATCGTCACGACTTTCCGATGACCTCTGGAAGCCGCAGCCACGAGCGCCTTGCGGAGGCCGCAGTTGGACTCGTATAGGAGGTAGTGGAGCCACCGTATTCGCCCTGTAGCTGCTGCGTCCACCAGCGCCTCCTCCGGTGTCATCAACAGCCGGTCGATCTGCTTCATAATGTGGGGCAGTGCCATTATTTTAGCTGGAAACATTGCATGCTTGAGTCGCTCGTACTCTCCATCCTCTACTGCAGCAGTGCGAGCCCGCTTCGACGCTTGAGACGGCCGCGGGTCGAGTCCTGTTCCTCCGTTCCGGGGTCTCTTGGGCGTTGGAGTGGTCGCGCGCATGGCTCTCTTGGCAAGATGTCGATGACGTTGCAGTCGAACGAGGAAGCCTGCCTTTCCGGATCACCAGAAGTCTACCTGAACTTTTTAGGCTAAGTTTAGTCTTAGCAGGAAGGCCAGATGGACAGCCGAGCTCTTTTTATCCGCTCCACTCCCGAGAAGCCCTAAATGAAGTTCATTTCCCCCACAGGATCGCGATCCATGAAAAAGCTTTTAATTTGTGAAGTACGGTAAGGTCGTAGGATTCGAAGAGCCAATCGAGTCATGGTCGCCTTCGTCGTGTGCAATAGGAACGTGAACCCTATCAATTCGCGGCATCACGAGTTTGCAAGCAAGGAGGACTAAGATCTGCTGACACCGTTTGCTGACTACACTTCAAGAATGGACCATGATTCATTGATAACGCTAGGTATCACCGCCAGTGCGTCACTATAATATCGGGAAAGCTCTCGACGATGTCGTCCGTGCGGATAACAAGCCAATTGTGAATATGCTTTCATCGTGCATACCCCAAGAGGATGATCAGGCTACTTTCTGGCGAGTCGTCGAATAAGGCGTTTGAATGTCCCGCTCACTTTGGCTCACCGATGCTGTGAAGTTCTTACCGAACACGAGAAGGAGCAAGGCGGAGTCCAAGGTCACTAAGTACAGTAAACACCGTTATTGAGGGTGATATGTAAGCGAGGAACTAGAAGAAGTCACACGATCCATTTGCAGCAACGGACTGGTTATTCATAAGATCTGTTTTCTGAAGTTTTCGTGTGCGCTTAGGTCCAATGACCAGGTTCATCTACTCAATAGCTTACAATTTTTTTTACATCTAACGCCAGTCACACTCGGAGTGAGCACTGCATCTACCAAGAGCTTACAAGCCGCGTAGGTTTTCCTGCCGAGTTGGCTACCCAAGCTCTAATGGACGCGCTAGGTACTGTAGGTGTGATATTTTTGCGGCAGTACCAACGTCAGGTAATCCTGTCTAGAGATGCACAACTGTTGCCACATTCATTTTTTTCGCTTGGCCCCCGCAGGCGTCCCTTGATCGTGTTTTAGGTCGTCCTTGTGGTGTTCACCTCGAACATGAAAGCTGCCAATACGAAAATATGGCAAAAAGACACACCGCATCCTTCCGGATGGCAGCAAGGAGACTACGGATAGCCTGCCCACAACAGAAACCGAGGAAGGGGTTCAAGGTTCTGGGTCTGTGTAAGCTGTCGCCAATGCCCAAGCGGAACTCAAAACCTGATGACGATTTAAGAGCAAGCCCGACGGTTTTCGAGGCCACAGCCCTCAAGAATAACCTGCGGTAGGCTTCTTGGGAATCCGAGGAGGACCTCCAAGTTCAAAGCGTTTGCGCCCAAGCTGCGAGCCCTCCCGGTAAAAGGGTAGCCTGTATAAATCATGGCAGCTGCCGCTATCCTATAGAGCCTTGTTGAATTGTCTTTAATCGGAGACACAACGAACGAAGCACAATACATTCAAAAAGAGTTGGCTTGCCAACAAGTCCTACTCGGCCTTCGATTCTTCAGTCCAGTCTGCCAAGAACTTCGCCACAGCTTCAAGGCGGCCTCGGACTCGTCGGTTGAATAGTTGATTGCATGTGACTGTGCGAATGTAGTTCCTGATTGAGTTATTTCGCGCGGCCTCCAAAGCCTCCTGGAGCACGCCGAGTGACCACTCTTCCTTTTCATCTCGGTTCAGTGCTGCTATCGCTTGCATTTGCCCATGTCTTGCCGCACACACGAAACCGGAATCTTTTAGATGCTGCGGAACACGCGTTCCGTTCGACAAGTAGCTCGCGAGATGTGTCACGTTTTGCCGTTTAGTGCCACTAACAGCGGTGATGAATGCTTCGAAAATTGCCTCAGGCGAAACGAGCTGACTTTCATACAGCTTCTTCATCCGACTGCCGCGCCCTCCCAGAGCCACGTCAATGAAGGTCTTGTCCACCACTTGCGGCAGAATACGAGAGTCGCCGCGCAATAATTCCACATCTTTAGTGCTGCCTTGCACTACTGCCACCACAAGCGCCCTTGTGAGAAGTTCAGACGAAATGCACTCCCTCTTGTACAGCAGTTCGATTATTCTAGTCTTGCGTCGGAGGTTGCTTGAAGTTGCACGTTCAAAGGCGGCGACGATAGATTCATCTGGTATCGGCTCGTTCTCAAGCAAGAGTTTGAGTACGGTGGTACTACCCGTAAGCCCAATCACTCTGAGAACAATCTGAGAAGCCGGGCGCTTCTTCTTATAGAGAATCGGTACCACTTCGCGTCTGTTCCATCCAGTAGTAGCAGTTTTTTCAAACACTTGGTCGAAAAGTCCCGGTGACAATTTGAAAGAACTCCACAAGAACTCCACGACAGCGACGGCACACCCCATTGCGGCTTTCTCGAATAACGCGTCAACCAAATGTAGACCGATTCCCTTGCCGAGAAGGTACTTGACGGCCTCCACGTAATCGTAATGTGCCAGCTCATGAAGCAACTTACGCCTTGGGCGAGCTCGAGCATAGACATCATAGATTCTGTCCGCCAGCTCGTACAGCCCAGCGTCGAGCGCGGCACTGAACGAGCCGCTGAAGTCCAAACGGAACCCGGCCACGTCCAAATTCAGCAGGTACTCCACGACGTCCATGTGCTTGCCGGAGATCGCTCTCTCGAGGGCCAACGACTCGTCCTCTGCATTCATGCCGTTCACGTACATCGATGTAGCGTGTGTTATCATGAACCGAACGATGCCGAGATGGCCTTGGCCTGCTGCGTTCTCCAACAAATGGGTGGCTGTTTCGTACGCCTCGTATTTCCTCTTGCGATTCCTAGCTCTAGTGAGGAACGGCCGCAGCACGAGCAGGATAACAAGGTGCACGTTCTCCCCAGCAGCAAAGAAGCCGTCGAGTATGGCTTCCCACGTGTCACGGTCTGGCTCACTCCGGGGCTTGAGCAACTCGGGTAGCATCACTTGAACAACTGCCACATGGCCATTGCCCGCTGCAAGTGTGAACGGGTCCAGCAGCTTGCAGTCAAATCTGTGCAAAAGCTCCTCCACCCGGGCCACTTGGCCACTTGCTGCCGCCTCATACATGGCTTCGTCAGGTGTCAGCAGGAAGTCTTCAAGCTGCCGCAAAATATGTGGCAGTACCGTGATTTCGACCGGGAAGCGAACCCCCTTGAGCTTGCTCGGGGGAGCGGCCGACGCTGCCTGCACTGCGTCGTCCCCATCTTCGTCGGCTTGATATGCGGCCACGCGCGCGTGCTTGAAGGCGGCTGCGACTTGGGCAGCAGAGTCTTCGCGTTCTCGCTTCGCCATGCTGTGTTGGAAGTGCTGCAGGCACGTAGGTGTAACCCCATGGTGGGGATACACGGTTAGACACCAGAGTCGAGAGAGAGCTCACTTCTCGATTGGTAAAGCCACTGACGAGGCCCCCGGCGGGGGGCCGAAACGCGTCTGGCACGCGTTCAATAGAGAGGTCGTACATGCATGCTCCAAGTACTTCCTACATGCTGTAGCTACCTTCGTTTTCGTTTGTGTCGCATCTCCTCGTCAAAACTTGGCTCCATGTACCCATCTCATCGAGCCATAATGACGAATTACGGTCCGTATTCACGAGCGCTCTTACACAACTGGAGCGACCCGGCAAACTGGTTAGCTTCATTCACAACTTTATCTGCAGCAGTCGAGTGGTGCGCAACATCGACAACGTCGCAAGCTCGAAACGTAATGACTCACTACCGCGCTAAATTGTATGAATCAGTAGGAAAAAATAATAATTCGAATTCAGACGTACAGTACTTCAACGACAGTGGACCGCATCCCGCTACTCACCCAAAAGCCGAAGAGCATGTCGAGCGACACTTCCAGCAGCAGCAGCAGCGAGAGGGCGCTCGAGAGCTCCGACTCGGACGACAGTTCCTCCTCCAAGCGCGTATGCACGATCATGGACGTTGACGAAGCTGCCTCCCCCCTGCCAAGCGTTGACCTTCCGGTCGAGATTCAGAAGTTGCCGCTCGTGCTCCAGCGTGCTGCCGCGCTGTGGATGACCCCAGAGGATGCAGTTCTGCAAGCCGCAGCATCGGGGCAATCGGGGTGGCTGAAGCAACTTCTAAACGAGTTTATGGGCACCTTGGAGCACGCAGCAGCGACCGCCACCTCCGAAGGGAACACCCTCCAGACGGTCCTGCAGCTGCTGCACGAGTTGGATGACCCGTGTCGACGGTGCTTCGGCTCCGACACCATCGCAACACTTGAAAAGGCAGCGATCATTGCCGCAAGAAGTGGCCATCTCGACACGGTCGAGTTGCTGCTGCGCTCGTTGGAAGTCCGCGGGAAAGTCCGTGAAGAGGCGGCCTGGAAAGTGTTGGAGGAGGCGGCAGTACATGGGCACTTGGCGGTGGTGCAATTCGCGTCACGGTACGTGATCAGGACCCCGAGCGACGATGAGCGATGCACCGACAGTAAGGCCGTGTCACTTGCCATAGCTGGGGGATATGTCGACGTGGTGGTCTACCTGCTGCGGTATCCGTGGAACGTGGCCTCCGCCTTTATGGAGGCGGTGAGAAAGCAGCAGCATGTTATCGCTGAGAAGATCTACCAGGTCTTCCCCTTCTACTTTGAAGGAAAGAATTTGTTTGTCGAGATGGCGGGCGACGGGTTCCTCATCGCAGTCCAGTACCTGTACGAGCGTGGCCATAATGACGAGAACTTGGTTCAGGACGCGTTCCTCAAAGCGGCTACCGGTATGACGCGTCGTACAGAAGTGATGGAGTTTCTGATCGGGACTGGGCGAGTATCAGTGGAGGTTTTTGATACGGCGTTTGAAGCTGTGGCAACTTCTGGATCCGTCTCGACCGTGACGTTTCTCTATGAGCAGCAGTTCGCATCCCTTCGGGGGATTTACCGAGCGTTCGAGAGAGCGGGCAGTCTTTCCGTGACCAAATTCCTCTTCAAGACGGAGAAAATGCCCGCGAAGAGCATCACGACAGCATTTGAGAACGTGACTGGGATCGGGTCGATAGTCTTGTCAATTCCGAAGAAGGAGCGCGAAGCTGTGGCTGCCTTCTTGTACCACAACCGGAGCGCGATGCCCCCGGACGTGATCTGCACCGTCTTCGCGATGACTGCGTACGATCTAGACGACCTGGTGACGATTCTCTACGACGACCCGAGCATTTCACGTGAAGTTGTGAGTGCTGCCTTGCAAAATGCGTCAGGCTTGGGGCATCTGCGTATCGTCCACTTCCTCATAGACAAACCTGAGATCACGCAGTCCGTGAAGCAAGTGGCCCTGCTGTTCGCAGCTCGGAGTAACTACCGAGCTGTTGTTCAGCTGCTGGAGAAGGGCGAAGACTGGCCACTTGCCACTTTGAATGAAGCACTGAAATTGACGAGCAGCCCGCGGCTGAAACAATTTTTGAGGGAGAGAATTGGTGACCTAGAGCTGAGCCTGCTATGAAAACGAGGCGAGTCCACCTAAGACCCTCAACTCGGGTGGTCATTAAAGCGTGGCTAACTGTGAACATCTTCAGACCCAACCCAACCAAGTTAGCAGCGGCGGCATCGGTAACCAGTCAACAGAGACGTCCCACCCAAACTTGGTCTTACTTTTTAGTTGCACTGCGTGGCCTTTAGTCTCTCTTCGTTCTTGGAGTTGAATAGCTGGTCGCAAGTCAGCTTGGAGATGTAATTCCGGGCCGCGCAGTACAGCGCAGCGTCGTGGGCTTCTTTCAGAACGTCCAGTGGCCACTCTCCAAAGTTAGTGCCGAGCACCTCCAGCATGTACGTGTATTTGCTGCGCCTGGCAGGACTGACGAATGCCTTGTACTTGATCGCTCTGATGGCGCGATCCCCGTGAGCTGGAGCCTTCTCAAAAGCTTGGAAGATCGCATCGGGGGAAACGCGCTTAGTGTCATAAAGACTCTCCATCAACGCACTGTTTCCACACCCCGCAGCGGCCGCGAAGGCTTCACCTATCGACTTTGAAGAAATCCGACGATCCTTGCGCATACACTCCACAACATCATCGTGTCCATTCTGAGCTGCACTCAGGAATGCCTCGTTAATCGTCTCCAGGGGAATGCAGCCGTCCTCAAACAACAGGATGGCGATTTCAGGCTGACCCAACTTGTGAGCGTGGATACTGCCGCCGCCGCCGACAGCTCTCTTGAAAGCAGTGACGATCGCATCACTGGATATATTTTCGTTCTCATACAGTCGCTGGATCACCTCGACGCTGTCCGTGACCTCAAACACTTTGTTCAGCGATTGTGACGACGCACGGTGCGTGTAGTAGAGGAAGAGAGTCGTCTCCAGTTGAGTTCCTCCTGTCGTCCCCGCAGCACCTTCGAAGCCCTTGTCGAATGTTTCAGGCCCAATGTGGCCAGTACCAAGCAGAAATTCAACCACACTTGTCTTCCCGTGGAGCGCCGCGCGGAAGAAGGCGTTGTTGATTGCCTTAATAAACTTATGGAGTCAAGTTCATCTACGAAAAAGGGTACTCACATGTCCGTCGCGTGCCAAATGAACGAACAGGTTGTGGCCAGGGAAAAGCTTTGGGTACATCTCCTCGATCCTCCGCACCAGTTCACTCTGCTCCGTATCCACTGCAGCAGCAAACGCACCCGCCAGATCCCACCGAAATCCATCCAGATTAATCAGATAGTCCACGACATCTTTGTATCCTCCCGCGATGGCGACAGACAGTGTCCGTGATCCAAACCTTGATACATTAGTATAGCGCTTCTTCCTCGCGTACTTGGCCATACACTTGACCATCTTCAGATATCCATTGGCCGCTGCTTCCTTCATTTGGATGGTCATTCTTGCGCTCAGAGCCGAACATTTCACGTTTTCTCCGTTTGCTTATGCGCTAGTTGTGGTAGTCAATCGCGTTTTTAAATATATTATTACGCGATACCGTTCAATGTACTTCGAAGTATTACTTAAGCATACGGCTAGCTCGAATAGCATGTAGAGCATGCAAAATCACGTTACAGAAGTTTATCCCGCAGCTAATGGCAATCTCGCTGAGCCAGATTGGCGTCTAGTATCCCCGAGAAAATGTTGCGGGGTCCGCTTGAGAAATAAAACAAGATTTCATGTATGACAGGGTTATTGCGCTCGCCGCATCCCGTATCGGAAGGAATGAACTGACCACACACAACACATTTAATGAGAACTAGCGTACCAGCGTATACTACTCGGCCTTGGACTCTTCACTCCAATCCGTCAAGCACTTCATCACGGCTTCGAGGCGTCCCGGGAAACGTCGATTGAAGAGCTGCTTGCAGGTAATGGTGCGGATGTAGTTCCTCACTGGGTTGTTTCTCGCGGCCTCCAACGCTTTTTGCAGTACGGTGAGCGGCAACTCGCCACGGTGAGCACTCGAGACGGAATGCACCTCTTGTACAGCAGTTGGAGGATGGCAAAGCGGTCTCAGAAATAGCCCCTCGCTGCATGCTCGAAGGCGTCGACAATAGCATCGTTCGACACTTGCTCGTTCTCGAGCAACAGTTTGAGTACGGCAACGCTATCCGTGACACGAAAGACTCTGTCGATAACCGGTGGAGACGGGTGCTTCATCCTGTAGAGCGTCGGTATTTCGCTCCTTTGCCATCCGGAAGTAGCTGTGTTCTCGAACACTCGGTCGAAAACTTCATTCGAAAAGTTGAACGAACTCCACAAGAACTCCACCACCGGAATGGCAGATCCCATTGCAGCAGTTTCGAATGCTTCGACCAAATCCAAATCAATGCCCTTGCCGAGAATATACTTGACAGCATTCACGTAGTTGTAATCTGCCAGCTCAACAAGCAGCCTTCTTCCCGTGCCACTTCGCGAATAGATGCCATAAATTCTGTCCGCCAATTCATTCAGTCCCGCAGCGAGGGCTGCTGCATCGTAAGCTCCAATATAGTCCAGACGGAACTCGGCCACGTTCAGATTCAGCAGCAACTCCACTACGTCCATCTGCTTTGCTGAGATTGCTCTCCCCAGGGCAAAAGAGCCCTCCCCTTCATCCGCGAAGTTGGCGAAGATCGGAGTCGCCTGTGCTATCATGAACTTGACGACGTCGAGACTCCCTCGTGCTGCTGCATCCTCCAACACCGCACTGGCTGTGTCGTAGACCGCTTCTTTCCTCTCGAGTATCCTAGTAGCCGCGAGAATCGGCAGAAACACTTGTAGAACAGCTAGATGCTCCTTCTCTCCAGCAGCCGACACTGCGTCGAGTATGCCACGCCACTTCTCGCGGGATGGAGTGGCCCCCGGCGCGACCAACTCGCACAACAGCTCTGCAACCACTGCCGCGTGGCCATGGGCGGCTGCAAGTTGCAGCGGATCCACCAGTTTGCAGTCGAATCTGCCCAAAAGCTCCTTCACCCACGCCAGTTGACCGGCTGCTGCTGCCTCCGCCATGGCCTCGTCGGGTGTCAGCAGGAAATATTCGAGTTGCCATAAAATGTGCGGGAGCGCGGCGATTTCAGATGGAAAAAGAACGCCCTTGAGCTTACCCTGGGCAAGAAGGGCCGGCGGTGGATGCGCTGCGACTGCTCCAGCTTCATCTGCACGTACACGCGCGTGCTTGGAGGTGTCCGCAGCTTGAGCTGAATCCTCGCGTTGTCGCTTGGTCATGCTGCAGGTCAGATGGTGCTACTGCCGCTGCTGGATGCGTTTCCTATCAACTAGCGAAATGATGTCTGCAGCTGAAGACTTTTACGTGAGTTCGATTTTTCTTTCGGCGCCGTTGGAGGCCATGATTATAATCATGGAAACGTACATGATCGGAAAACATGATTTGTCCAGGATTGATAAGAAACATTTCTTACCGAGTGAGGGAGAAATAGCGCGACCAATTTAGCACTTGCGACGCTCGCGGAGGAGGCGAATGCGATTGATTCTCGTTCTGAGGAGTCGGCGTTTCCCAATCGAAGGTTTCCCGTGAAGATGCCGAGCAACGCACGCGGAAGCGGCCAAGGCAGTAGGCCTACTGCGAAGGCCAAGGTGAAGCGAAACAGGATACTGGAAGGCGAGAGCAACGACGCTCATACCGGGGTCCGGGGCTCTGCATGACGCCAACTTCAGACGCGACCAAGAGCACGCTCGACGACGGAGAAGGTGTGAGGAGAAGAGAGAGCACGACAAAGAGCAAGCTGCGATCATGGGTAACTCAGTGGGCAGTGATGGCGATGATGAGTACGATGCTGCGGGGGCTACTGGGGTCCTGCTAGTGGGGTGTGCGTCTAGCCGCGATGGTGATGGCCACGAAGAACACGGCGGAGACGACAGTGCGGCAATCTCTGTAAGCGTGGAGCCTCCTTTGCTCTGGCACACAGACTGGGCTGCATGGAAGATCTATTTGGCTGAGTACTGCGAGCGTACCAAGCAAGTGTTGCCCGTGAAAGAGACCCTGTCTCGTGCAGAGCGTATCAAGCGCTTAAAGTGTACTAAGAAAGGAAAAGAAGTCTCTATGAAAGAAAACGATGACTCCCTGTTGCTCCCCGAGGCGTTTGACCCGTATCAGCGGACTTACATTCGGACCCACGGTTGGAAAAAGAGGAAGTCACGCAGTGAAGGTAGTCGTCCAAAGCAGCATATACGGTTGACGAATTGCCCGTTTAGATTCGTGGTACAGTGGAATTTGTCAAGGGGCGAGCTGCAAGTAAAGCTTGGATGCTTTACCCACAATCACCCGGTATCGGCTGCTGCCTACGCGACGTATCCGACTTCTCGTGGAGTTGACAATCCACTTGTAGAAGCACGTGTGGAAGGTATGTTGTCCGTAGGTGCAAAATGCGCTCGAATCTACGACTATCTTCTGGAACACGATCAGAATGTCATCCAAGTTGATGTGGATAACATGGTGCGTGAGCATAAATAGTCGGTGTCAAGTGTTGACGATAACGAAGCTACCGCGAGAGAAGTCGCGACTTTCGCAGCAGCTGATCCAGAGAACGTTGCATCAATTGCAGATACTGATGCAGGTGAAACGGGTGTCATGTCGCTGGCGAGTGCACACATGCGCCGTGTATATGGCCGATTTAGCGAAGTGCTGCTAGTTGATTGCAGCCACAAAACGAATCGGTACGTGGATTTGTCTCTCTACTGAGACTATGTAACAATGATTTATAACGTGCCTTACCTGCCATTGACGTCTTAGCTACAACTACCAGCTCCTTACTTTCATGGCCATGAACGAGTTCGGCGAAGGCGCTGTGGTGCTCGAGGCGAATGGAGATTGGCACATGGAGAAAGCTATCGCCCACTTTAAGAGAGCCCATCCGACTCGGATTAATTTGGTGCGCGTTATAGTTGTCGACAAAGATCTGAACGAAATTCGTGAAATCTGATTTTGGGAAGATTTCTGCTGACGACGCGAGCCAAGTCGACGCAGCAATCCACAAAATGGTGTATGCTGCTTCGGAAGAAGACTACAAGGCTACGCACAAAACACTGAAGGGCTTGTGTGAAAGAATCGGTCTGACGGGGTTTTTCGAGTACTTCGAGAAAAATTGGGATTCGTGCCAAGATCGTTGGGTGATGTATCGACGCGCAGATCTGCCACACTTTAACAACCACACCAATAATCGCCTTGAATGCTTTTTTGGAAAGTTTAAGGATGGAGTAGACAGCTCCCTGAGTATGTCTATGTGCGTGAAAGCTTTGGTCGCGTCTGACCGTCGAATGCAGAACGAATATCAGTATCGGCTATCTCGAGTTGGCCAGTTCGTGAACAGCAACTATGACGAAGAGATGTCCAATGTGCTTCGCATTACTACCCACTATGTAGCCAAGCAGATTGAACAGCAGTACGCTTGTGCATTGGACAATGTTTCAAATTACACGTTTCGTAAAGATCACGGCGACCCGAGTCTAGTCATCGTGTACGGCACCTCTTCTGAGTATAGGCTTAGAACGGACGACTGGAGATGTGATTGTGGGTTCTCGTTATCAATGCGCCTTCCGTGTCGCCACGCTATTGCGTATCGCAAGAGCGAAAATTTAGCTGGCCCGCTAATTCCCTGGAGCCGTATCGACAAGAGGTACGATCAGACTGACATCACGATAATAGTACATCCTAAAAACTCATCAGCCAATTGCACTTGCAGGTGGACGAACTCAGACCGGAAACTGGAGAAGGTCAGACAGTTCTCCTATGAGAAGTTCAAAGATGCCAACTCGGGTCGCCGCGAGCAACGAGTGAAGACGCACGCGGAGCGCTACAGAGAGGCTGTGAGGGCCACACATCTGATCGCAACTGAGATGGCAGATATTGATGATGAAAGCGAGTTTGAGGAGATGCTGCAGTTCGTGCTAAACCAATGGCGCAACGTACGCCAGCGTGAAATCGCCGATTTCGAGCAATTGTGCGTCGATGCGGTTTCCAGTCCTCACGTTCACCACCACCAAAACGCAATAGATGAAGATGCGGAAGCCAAACGCGAATTCGAAATTAGTTCAAGCGAAGAATCCGATCAGTGTCTAGAAGTGGAGAATAGGTCATCGAGTTGTGATGTGACTGGATTTAGCTCTGTGCACGTACGACTGAATCCCAAGGCCAGGAAGGTAGGGGCGCCACGAAAACGGAAATCCACAACGGCTGCTGGTGAGAAAGGTGATCGAAAATGGTTCGAAGCCGCTGAAGCGGGGCGTAAGTGTGCAGGAGAAGTTACATTAGTGGGGTTGCTGTCTGCGCTGGATCGTGAGCGCCCAACTCTTGTAGAAACTCAGCGGCGTCTGTCCGGGATCATTGTCAAGTACAGCGAGGCGGCTACCAAGAAACCGAAATTCAAACGCATAGAAAATCCCGTACTCATCATGGACGCGTTCTACATTCTCCCCTCAAAGCTGGTAGAATCCTGTTTAAAGGTGCTCCCTCTCTCTAACACTAAAGACACCGCCATAGCCGTGGACGTTAGCTTGGAAACTGACACCAAACCTCGTAGCAAGGAAAACGGAGACGGCTTTATTGATACGGTTCAGATCAAAGACGTCGGGAATTTTTCACGCATGCAGATCGAGACGTTCAAGAAAGTTCAAGATCTGAAGGAATCGGTGCAACTCGGAGTGGACATGCACAAGTGGCTCATCGGAAAGGGACTGCCCTCATTGCCTGCTAAATATCACGCCTTGGCGAACAAAGTTGCAGCTGACGTGTTATCTGCGTACACGCGCAAGCAAGTCGACGGCCTCCCCAATCTTCCTGACTTTGAATACGCTATGCTTTACAGAGCGACACCACCCATGTGGCTTAGTGATGCATCAATCGCGGCGTTATGCCATCGACTACAGGATGACTTTCCTACTTGCAGATTTGCTGGATTTCAGTCAGCTATTCCAAGCAAAACTCGCACGAGACGCAGTGACGCGGACCTAATCGATGTTTCGATCCACGAGCGTGTTCTACAGCAAGTCCATGCATTTGGGGTAGACGTCGTGCTGCTGCCGTTGAATTTTCCGAAGGCACACTGGTGCTGTGTGATTATCAAGGTGACGGAGAAGTGTATACTTTACTACGACCCGCTGAACCAAGTTTCCTTCATGAATACAGCGAAGGCTGTTGCCCCGCAGCTGAAAATTCGAGGTCTGCAAGATTACACTGTCCTCGCTCAGTGTAGGCCAATCCAATTTGACACGTTTAGCTGTGGTGTATACGTCTGCTGGATGTTTATCCACCAGGTCGTCGGTGGGAGACAACTGGACATGAGCAACACCTCTCTGACAAGACGCCGATTCGAGTTGTTCTACTATTTGCCATCCGGTCAACTTCTACCTCTGCAGGATTTAACGATACCGGATCGCATGGAACACGACGACACCTAAGAAAAAGATACCCCCACCGTCCGAACATGCCTAGATCGATGACGCGGAACTCCAGCCGTCAGAGCTCGCGCAAAAGCTAGTGCCATGGCCACGTGCCCTAGAGGTTTCTAAAAGCTTAGCACTATCGCCACAATTAATACATGTAAGCTTTGCTCCAGCTTCCTTAGAGCTCTCCTCATTGAGACGTAACGATTGGGGTGACGGCAGTCACTCTATTTTCCAAGTATCAAACCAGTATTTGCCCATGATTTCTCTTGCAGTAATTCTGCAAAGAAAGGAGAACCACAGAAGGGTATCTTCCGCGTCCTCAACGTATCTTCTCCAATCTTCCTCAGATGGTACTCACTTTAGTTAGGAATCGCTCGTCCAGGATTTTATCCTGTACATCGTCATGGACGTGTCCATTACTATAATCCTGGCCTCCAACACCTGCCTTTTTCTTTTCCCTACTGATATATACAATTTAGGCGAAATTACTCATTACATTTTCGATGCGGATTTTTTTAGCGCCGCAAGTATAAGGCAGCCAAGGATGTTTACTTGGATAGGTTTTTATTGTCAGCCAATGTAAAACATAAGAAACTTCAAAACGTTTGGGAGGGCGAAATGTCACCACGTCCGATGAATGTGCAAAAGCACGGCTTCAATCACAGATTCTTACGCAGTCCTTGTTCAGGCACCGTACAGCGGTTAAAATATGAAATGGAAAAAAAGAAACGATTGGTCACTATCGAGCTGGTTATCGCTGAATTTTGCATGGTCGACCAATGTCAGGGAAAGGAGTTATTTGCAGATGCAGAACTCTAACCACCTTTGTCGACCAATGTCAGTCATTTCATCAGCGAGTCAACGCCAAGAATATACTCACCTTCTTAGCCAACGAAGTTAACAATGTACCCCAATGCGAAACGAACAATGTGCTCACCTGACAATGTGCTCACCTGACATCCTTTTTCAACATCAACCTTCATTCACATTTTTAGCCAGGCACTTTGATACGACCTGACATAAAGAAATCGTCCGGCAACCAAGTGCGCGAGTTGTATGTAAATGATTTTGGCTATATTCCTGCTGAATCAGTAGCGATGGCGTTCTAAAAGCTCGCTGGATGCGGAAACGATAGTATGCTCATCGAAACAGCCGGCTAGAGCTACTTGAGGTCATGTACAAGAAGACATCTGTAAGTAGCCACGCCGAGACAGTGAACCTCTTCAGCTCATATCCATTTTCTGATAAGGAGCTTGCCACATTGTCATCTTCCAAAACGATCTTCATGGGGGCAAAGCAGTTCATTCGCAGGTTAGGAGCAAGTTGCCTGGCAAGTCGTAGACTTGTTAAAAGTAGGAAGTAGGTGGTGACATCCTGCGAATGAACCGGTCTGGCAACATCGCGATGCATGATAGCGTGTACGCGCTGGGGCCCCATGAAGTGTAGGAAGTAGTGAAGCGCGTGCACCAGTTGGAGCGGCGGTACCCGCGGATCTTGACAGTCGTGACTGGAGCGAGAGGTGGTGTCGTAAGCTGCGGGACAAGCCCATATCCACAAACGTGGGACGTGACTCCGCACAGGACAGCCAATCCGATGAAGGAACCTTGCACCCAGTCGGCTAGGCCGTACTGGGACGTGGAGGAGAAAAGCTTTCCGGAGACGCTGTCATGTCCTCAAAGAAAATCTGCGGTCGAGTTGTGCATCCCGCGTAGATTGGCTCGTAATCCTTGATTGGTGAAGAAGTAATGTGAAGCAATGGTCGCTTGATCGCCGAGGAAATGTCACGCGAACACAATAATGCCACTCAAATGCAGCGAACTCAGCGGAGTCTTGCCACCAAGCATCTGGACAGCATCGTGAACAGTAACTGGAGTGAATACATCGATAGTGAAATCAGGCGCAGCCGAAGATTTGTTGACTTGGGGGTTCTTCTCGACAAGATCCATTGACTTGGTGTCTTTCTCAACGTGGTAGTGCATGAACCATCGTTTTTGAAAGCTTCCAGCTGAAACGCAGCTCAGGGAGAGGAGGGTAGCGAGAGGCCAAATCCTGACGTCATGGCTCGGGCATCCGCAGGCGTGAAAGTTTTGCAGCACTTCCACTGCCATGGCCGTGTCGCTAACGCTGGTCCTGTTAACAATTGCAAATACCACAATGTGAACCCCAATGACGTACGTATATGTGCGTTGGGGCCAACGTGGTCGTCGGTGTTGGCAGTATGGGCTATCTTGTTGTCGGCCGGATAGCATGAGGACAGGGCTCGTGCTGCTGTCATGTCCGCTGGCGACGGATCGTGTTCGATGGTCGTAGATGACCATGCTCGCAGGCCCTGGATGACAGGAAGTCTCGTGGGCGTTCAGCATTGGAAAGCTTGGGCTCGTGCTGCGGTCTTGCTGCTGCCAAGTGCGATGGTCGGGACTGGATTTGGTCAGTCCGTCGTGGCATCATGTTCGATGGCCAGAGCTCGCGCTGCTGGGCTGCTCGAAGGTCACGGCTCGAGGTTCGATAGTTGTAGATGGACATGCTCGATGGAAGGAGGTCGTGCATGTTCACCGTTTGTGCATGGGCAGGTAGCCATGCCATCGTGGAGGACTGTGGCCATGCTGCTGTCATGCAGCTGTCGTACTGCTGGGATGCTGTCACTGGTGTGACCTCGGAATTAGTTAGTTCAGCAGAGATTTTCGTCTTCTTGTACATGACCTCAAGTAGCTCTAGCTGGTCGTTTCGATGAGCGTTCTATCGTTTCTGCATCCAGCGAGCTTTTTGAACGCCATCGCTACTGATTCAGCAGGAATATAGCCAAAATCATTTACATACAACTCGTGCTGTGACGGGGTCACACAGCACAATGCACAGAGGAAGTGCGTGCAGGTGAACAGCAGTTCACCAGTTCCCGGCCTCAAAGGGAACGGTTTGCTACAAAGGAGTAGGTTATAAGACTGACTGTATTTTGGTAGAGGTTAACTTGGTCGTAATACAAACTACAAGTTAACTATACAAAAGCACACACAAACTCAAATGGTTGGCTTGCGGAGCTACTGGTACCATGTACCATGTACTCGGGAGAGTGACACCCGTCACTCTTCATGTAATGGGTACACTTGATTGTGCCCCGTTATACGCGCACTTGGTTGCCGACCGATTTATTTATGTCAGGTCGCTTCGTCATTTGCTATACAGTCAAACCTGTTTATATGAGGGTCTGTTGGTGACCATCTACTACAATGACTCATATAAATGGACTCAGTTAAAAAAATTTATGTGGTGCACGTAAAGAAATCGTGCATAGTTCGCTGCCGCTTTGCCTTCACCGTAGTCTCTCGAACCAAAGCGGTCACGGTCTATAAAGCTCTTCGTTCTCTGTCAGTCTGCTCTCCGCATTGCAGCAGAAATGCAGCCAGCTCCATGCAGTGTCTCAGAGCAATGGCAGGTTGAACTGCGGGTTCCTGTTCCTCCTCTTCCTCCTGCTCGTCCTGCGAAACTGCATCACTTCCTGCCGCTTCGTCCACTAGCACATCTGGCTCGTGCACAGGAACGTCTTCGTCCACTGCCAGATACTCACTAGCGCTAACAGCGCCCTCCCACCTCGATAGCATCGCCGTTAACTCCTCCATCTCGTTGCTGGATACCTCCTCAATGTAATCCGTGTCAGCACGGGTCCTTCCTAGCATCTTTCCTCCCAAAATGCGAGTCTTGACCCAGCAATTTGTAATTGTCGTTGGCGTCACACCCGCCCAAGCATCAATGGAGAATTGGACAGCTTCCAGTACGTTGAGCTTGCGTGTAATGTTAGTTTCAAGTGCATCCAAACACCACCGCACAAAATACTTTCGGTACCAAGCCTTGAACGACCCGATAATACCTGAATAAAAAAAACACCGTAATAGAGTTGGTTAGTTTAGGCTACACCACAATAAAGAAAAAATATTTACCTGCATCCAGCGGCAGTACGGCGGATGTCATGTTAGGAGGGAGGAAGTGAACAGTCACATGAGTCAGGTTTCGTAGAATCTTGTGGCATGAAGCATTGTCGACTAGAAGTAGGACCTTGCGATTGGCGGCCGCCATTCTCATGTTGAAGAGGTGCAGCCATTCGTCAAAAATGACGGATGTCATCCAGGCGTTCTTGGAGGACTTGTACAATATAGATTTACCTTTAATCGCCGCTCCCTTTTTAAAGCACCTCGGGTTCTTGGCCGTACCGATGACTATTGGGTCGAGCTTGTCGGAGCCAGTCGCGTTGCAGCAGAAGGCCAAAGTCAAACGTTGCTTCTCCTTTTTCTTGCCCTTGCGAATAGTCGTAGCTAGCGTTCGATTAGGCGCTAAGCGATAGAAAAGCGCCGTTTCGTCGAAGTTGAACACATTCTCGGGTGTAAACTGCACCACCAACTCTTGTAGCTCTAGCCTCGCATCTCGCTCTTCATCAGCTTCTACAGCGCCACCTTCGCCGTGTAGCGTATGGGAGCGGATCCCATTGCGCTTCTTAAAGCTTGGAAGCCAGCCGTTGCTTAGCCGGAGCTGCGTGGCATCGATGCCTAAGCGCTCCGCCAGCTCATGCGCCTTCATCAGGAGCACGTCGTCCGCCATCGCCGTTTTAGCTTCGTTCTGAAAGAAAAATTCCCTCAGTTCCCGCTCGAACTGAGGCAATTTCACTCGGCGCCGCTTGGTCGCACTCAGGTCGACGTGGCTGAAGTAGGAAGAAGGCAGGTTGCGCAGTCGGGCGAGTGTGGCACGGCTGACCCGGGCCTTGAAAGTTGCGTAGATCCACTCGGCGAGCATGGGGTTGTTCATGCCAGGATTCTGCTAGAGCTTTAGGTGCGCTTGGAGCTTTTGTTCTAGCGTCAGACAGGTGCGAGGAGACATGGCGAGCGAAGAAGGCTTGCGGTAGGCGTTGAGTGTTGAGCAGTGGTGTGTGTGTGGCCGTGAGCAGTGCGAATCAAATAAACAGGTGAGACCTAATTTGGTCCCCCAAAATGTGACTCATATACCTTGTATGCATATAAACAGAGATCATACAAAAAAATAAGTGAAATATTTGGTAGCGACAAAGCCTGCATCAAATAAACGGCATGGCTCGAATAGAGAGGATCCTATAGACAGGTTTGACTGTACCATCAATGAACGTCAATTTCTGGATGATTACTGTAGGATAAGGAAGCTTTCTCCCAACTTGGCATTCCTTGCGCTTCTCTGTCATTGTATCTATCCAATCAGGACAAGTTCTTCAATGAATTTAGCCAATCACGATCGATTCGTGTGTATCCCAACATTTTCCCAATTATTTTGGGAATTTACAGTCTTGCTAGAATAATGTCCAATACAAAAGTTTAGTGTAATTGTTGCATTACTCATATTTGACCGCAAATTCCCAATACAAATCATGATTGTATCGTTGGTGGCTGTGACTCGTCTGCTTTCTCTCCTCTCCCATTTAAAATGATGCAGCGGGCGCCGAGAGGGCTTGACATCCCGCAAGGGACAGCAGGGCAGGAGGCAGCGGCGATGAAGTGCTTCAGCGAATTCTTAGCTCTTGCTAACATGAATGAGGAGTCAATTGCTAGTATTGCGAAGTCGCTGTCTATTCCTGATGCTCTACCAAGTCAAAACTTTTACTCTTTGCTAACCGCCTTCTCCATTTTCTTGCAAACTAAGCCAAGTGCTCGAGGAGGCCGTCTTGCTAAGGCTACTGATGTGGGCTATATGTCCCAAGTTGTGAACCTACTCCGAGAGCGGTACCCTCTGTACTTGTCAGACAGCAAGCGAATTGCGAAAATACGCGACAAAATGGGTTCAACTATTGAGGAGCGAAATTTGCTAGCTGGCGTGCAGACTGGTGAAGCTCCAGGCTGCACGCTCAGCGACTTGCGTGTTCTGGTGCAGGAAACTGCGATTAAGGGGGTTAGCTCAGGTTATAAGAGTTTGCATGACGCTGCTGTACTAACGTTAATGCGGCACACGTTTGGTCGAGTGATCGATACCTTTTTGCTAGGAAGAGCCAGCTATCTATGGCGGCATCGGGGGAGCTCTTTCTGCATCTAGCTCGAATCAAGACTTCGGTGGTTCAAGGCATCTCAATTTACAAGGCCGCGACTTACTGGGAGCAGTGTATGCTGCACAACCTCGGAATGCTGTTCGTCAGAGCGTCGGAGCCTTCCAGCTATGTGTTCCCGCTAGTGCCGCACGCGGCGGCATCGGATTTGCCAGGGGAGAAGACCTACAGCCACGACGAAGCTATACTCTACTGGGAGAACCTTGAAGAGAAAGCTGAACCAAGGAACGAGCCACCAACAAAGCGCGTGAGAGGAAGGCCCAACGTGTCCAAGTATATTAACGACGTCATCACCATGGTCTGCGAGCGCCAAGCCCAGGCCTCTGCCCCGCTGCCCCCGACGCTCACCGCAGGGCTGAGCAGCCACTCCTTGCGCCGCGGCTCCGCAGCGTATGCAAACGCCTCACCGCAGCTTGCGATCCAGTGGATCTCGACCCGGGGAGCTTGGCTGCTGGACTCGCTCACGAAGGCGTTCGCGTACGTGGGTACCACGACACGCGAGGACCAGAGTGTCGGCAAAGTCCTCGCTGGATACCGAGACCCGCACCTGCCATGCGTCACGCCCACGATTGCCACCTTGAGCGAGCTTCTTCCTGCGCTCGAGTACGCCCAGCTGCTAACCCTGCGCGGCCAGCTCTTCAAGAACGTCAGGAGCTTCACGGACACCACGCTCAACGTTGATGCCTTAGTCCTGGATGCGGCGCTCGCGTCCCTGCTCATCCATCTTGACGACGTCGCGACGGCAGTCCAGCAGGAGCAGGCTGCCACAGGCTTCACATCGCATTACCTGTACCGCTTCCACGAAGCTCTGGACGTAACCAACGTAGCGCTGGGAGCTCGGCTGTCGCCAGACACGTGCATTGGTTGGGGTCGGCAGCTTCGCGCGGCTTGGCAAACGGAGAACTTCGGACAGCTGGGTGAACGCAGCAATGGAAACACGACCATACTAGCTGCAGCCGTCACCCAGACGCTATCGTCCATCACAGCAATGCAGCGCACACTTCAGAAGCTCGTCGCGGTCCACGAGAGCAAGTACACCAGCGCTGACGGCCCTGCTTCTTGTCGCTGTGCGCGCCAGACCCCGCAGGCGAGCACTGACACCGTCGTTGAAGCGCACTCTCTTGCTGGCTGCTTCTACAACTGGTACACACTGGAGCTGTGGCACACGGCAACCCAAAAGAAACAACAGTTTGTTCGCGCTGACCTCAAGGCAGGCGTCAACATCATGATCATAGCAGCAGGGCGAGAGGTAGACGTACCAACGGCGCCACTGGATCGGGACGGCGTCGCGTATCGGCTGTGGAAGCAGCGTGTCTGGACGCTAGCGGAAGACTTGGACAAGAAGGTCAACGCTGCGCTTGGGAGTATCGACGGTAAAGGCCGGTCCAAAACCGCGGGGTCGCTACGGAAGCGCTGGAGAAAGCTGCGCGTTGACCACCGCTCTGCGTACGACGCGCTCTGCTCAGCATTTATCACCCCCAAAGCGAACGGTGGCATCGTCGACCGCTGCACACCAGCTAGTCACCAATGGAAGCAAAAAATCTTGGAGTCGTAGGATCACGCAGCTTGTATTAACGGTTAATTCATTCCTATTCATACAACATGGATAATCGAATTCAAGGCCCGTCATCGCCATCCCACAACTTAAGCACAGCGCATGCATTCCCGTCAGTCCCGATACAAAGTCATACACAATAGAAAAACGATCACATACCGTCAGCGAGTGCGCACGACCTCGTGCTTGGCCGACAGCTATCAAAACCGGCAGCATAACACCCGCCCTGCCGGGTTTTGTAGCTGCTTTCGCGGGTCCTTGCGTGGGGCGCGCCTGGGGGCACTCGGGTCTGGGGTGGTCGGCGGGGGAGGCGTGCGGCATGCTCGGAGCGCGCTGTCGTGTTGGAGATGCGGGGCGGAAAGTGTGAAGGCGGAGAAGGCGTCGCAGCTAGCCAAAAATAAAACCTTAAGGTTTTTCTTGGCTTTGGAGCCGATAAACCAGTCCATACTTTGTTGAAGTCATTTGGAATCTCACTTATGATTGGCTCTCCTCATTGGGAGCGGCGTTTGGGACCTGGTCGATTAATGCACAGTGATGGCCAAAAATGTATTGCAGGTATTGACATTTACCAATACTTATTGCAATGTCATACTGCAAGCTTGCAAGCTATTGCAATACATATTGCAGAGCGCTGCGGAATTGCAATTCTTACTGCAGTCTTAAGCCAACCAAATAAACTCTTCAAACCCTAGTACTTTTCACTTAGAAGCAGGCAAAGAGGTCAATGTCAAGATAATAATGTTCTCAAAACCCAGTTCCGACGGCATATGTGCTATCGGCGACCTCTAGTAGTATGGTTTATAGTATTGCAGTAATTATTGCAAGAACGACCAGTATTGCAGTTATTATTGCTGGCTGCCTTGGTACTGCAATTCATGTTGCTACAGATCGCTTTACCTCCAATGCCTTCCCGTACATTTTTGGCCATCACTGTTACTGCATACTTAAGTATATTTCAGTTACAACTTCGTAGCTACTGCAGTACTACGATACATATAAAATAATACTTCGAAGTAGTAAAACATAATCGTTGGGTCCACCATATTCGAATCGTTGCCATCCTGGTCCCACGTCGTCCAAAAGCAGCAAATGCTGATATTGATCCTCGTCCAAATAGCGCCGAATTTGACGGAAGAACCCGCTGGGGTTGAAACCCTTGGGTGCCGTCACCGTTCTGCCCTCGAACTACCATCTTGGCGTTGTGCGATGCATGCACGAAGAAACATCTGAAGGCTTTCATTGCGAGTAGCACTAAGGGCCTCTTGGAGAGTCTCAATTGACCTCTCTCTGCGCTTCAAAAGGTGCCGCGTAACCTTATCACGGTTTGCGCGAGCGGCAGCGAGTACAGCGTCCTGCTCCGCGGATACGTCAATGGCTGGTTTGCCCTGCAAAAACTTCACAAGGCGCAAATCACCAGCGCAAGCAGCCCTCACAAACGCTCGAGTCACTTCTTGGGAGGAAATCTGGTTCTCCTGGAATAAAGCTCGAGCTGCGTGGAGATTTCGCTTATTAATTGCCTTCGCAAAAGCTGCGCAACGAACTTCAGGCGTCAATCTTGAGTCGGTGCCCAAAGTCTGCAATATTTCTGGGTGAAACTCCAGCGTTGCTTGTGCGACGACTTCATTGATGATGGAAACAGGAATGTCCGTCCGGTTGAGTAAGAGCTGAAGTTTCTTAGTTGTGCCGGTCATTGTCCCGGTTACTGTCGAGTAGCGTTCTTAAACATTGCGACTACAGACTCTGTAGGGATGTTTTCGCCGAAACTAAGAAACTTGATAATATCAGCGCCATTCGGTTTCCCAGATGCTACAGCTACTGAGGATTGTGACACGCGACGCTGGCCCCAAAGGGCCCAAAGGAACCTCAAGGTTGTGATGACATCCGACGCTGCAGCGTTTTCGAAAGCTGAGTCAAAAGCCTTAGGTGAAATCGGCCCACTGCCCAGCAAAAATGCAACGACCTCGGTTCGTCCATGACGGGCCGCCTCCACAAAGGTTACCTCCGGATTGGATCGTATACGGAACTGATCAGAGATTTGAACAGATCTCCGAAAAAGGTGTGCTGGGGGCTGCACCCCCAGACCCCCGCATAAAGAAAACTAACTCCGAGTGTGCGGCAACGGGTCCGTTCGCTGGAATGCTCGTCGCTGGGCCCGCCTCCGCAAATACCGCGCGGCCCTGCTTCGCGGGCGCCCCGCGCGGGTTTGCTGTGGCTACGCTCCTCGCAACCGCTCACTGCCGTGCCATGTTTTGCCCATACAAAAACCAAGATAAGACACCTGTTCCAATCTCTGATCAGGTCCGTATACGATCACAAATAAAATCTACCTCCGCAAAGGCATCATCCACCAGCGCAGGACCATTGTGCCCGCTGTTGTAAAGGTCCGTGACCACTTTCAAGTTGCCGTCAATAGCGAAATTACAAAACAAACTTTTCCCATCCAACTCCGGCGAGCTAGCATAAATCAACTGGGCGGTAGGATCTTGTCCTTCGGTAATGGCTAGCTCAAGTACCTTCTTATAATGCCACCAGTACCCCTCAGGCTCGAGAAAAAACTGCACGAGTTCCAAATGACCCCCTCTAATGGCGAGGTTCAGGGAGTCAGACGCTTCACACGCGTGCTCATAATCAACCTTACAAGCATACTCCGCCGCAAACTCCACGACCTAAAGATGTCCATGGGCAGATGCTTCTTCGGGAATTTCCCACGCCGCTTTATGTGATGGAGCGAGCTCGTCATCGCCACTGTCATAGTCGCTTTCCTCTTCACGCTCGTCTTCACGCTCGTCGTCCGCTTCAATTTCCAGCAACAGCAACTCCACCACAACCAGATGACCATTTGAACCAGCAGCAGAGGCAGCTTTTGTCAGGACCTGGCGACTTGCATAGTCCAGTTTCCCCGTCTGTGCGCTGATGATTTCAAGCATTAACACTCTCACCGCCTCGATGTAGCCATTTCTCGCCGCAGCGATCATGGCTGCGTCCCGAACCTTTACGCCATGCCCGTCCAGTAGGGAGCGTAGCCATTTTAAGTGACTGGTGTTTGCAGACTCCAGTATGGCTTCCTCTGGGCTCATTAAGAACACGTCGATGCTCTTGAGAACGTGAGGCAGCGACGCGATTTTGACAGGCGCTTGAGCTCCGGGTCGGAGCTCTCGACGCCTGGTTTGCCATATCGTGCACGTTTGGTCCCCTTCATCGGGTTGTCCGGAGGAAGCGCGCTTTAGCTTTCTTCTTTCGAATACCCGAAGAATTGATTTTCTTTGTGGATTCCGAATCAGCGGTATTTCGGACAATAAATATTTAGGTTTAGATATGAAAAATCATTTATTCGAATTTAAATAGAAATAATAGTTTTGCTTAAGTACGTTTATTAAGTACGACCTGCCACAAGGAAACCGTGACAAGCATTGATGTTGACACCCACTCGACACGACACACTTCCGCTTCACCGCAGCGGCGCTTTCCAGTGACGATGGGCGCGCTTCCAGATCTACACACCGACCTCCTCAACAGCGCTACGCCCCTTATCCTCGGCGCGACGCCGCATTCGACCAGGAAGAGCCGCAAACGAGGGACCTCGCCCAAGACGCCGGTGCCGCACCCGATGACGGTCGCCTAGGCAGGAGGCCAGGCCCAATCTGGGGGTACTTCAAAAGACTCGACGGCAACAAGTCGCACCCGCCCGCGGAGTGTCGCGGCTGCCACAAGCGCATCCCCACTGCCATGCCCAAGCGGAACCTGGTCCGGTGCCCGGCGATATCAGCAGAGGGCAAAAGCGTTATCCGGAGGGAGTACGGCGTCCCTGATCGCGAAGAAGCTGCCGTGACACCGCCACAATCAGCTCAACATAGCGCAGGGCCCATGTCTGGCGCACCGGTGTTGACTGCAGCTCGTGAGGTCCAGATGGCTACTTCCAGTCGCTTGACCCAAGAAGAGTTCGAGATGATGGTGGTGCGCGTGTGGTACAAGTGTGCCTTGCCTTGCGTGCTTGCCACGCTGTTCATCGTGTTGGCCCCTCTTTTGACGCTGCCGTCAACGGTTAAGCTCGCGAATGTGTTGATTCCCCTATGAGGATTCTCCTCCGGAAATCCGAGTGAAAGGAACTCAAGTTCTTTGTCAAGGCCCATCTGTCTGTACGATAGATTGGGATCGACCCAGGGGTTTTTACGCTTATGCTTTCCTCCTCCGCGCCACAGTAGTGAGCGTGTGTGAAATGAAATATATTACTTTGGAATCTGCATCCTACCGCTCAAGTGTCTTCCCAAGTGTCTTCTCGTCTTGCGTCGCGTTGGCCCCTCATTTGACGCTGCCGTCAACGCTCGCGAACGTGCTGATTCCCCGCGTCCAGGCGGAAGCTGGGAACTTTGAGTGAGAGGGAGATGGAGGTTCTACCACTTCTGGCACATTGTCTCTGGGATCTTGCACCAAGAACTCGGTACTAGTACTGGCAGGGCTCTATACTACTTTTTGTCTCATGGCATCATGGATTCTTCGAATTTCAGCTTCTGGAGCAACACTGATTCATGCTCTTTCGTAAGACGATACTTAGCCCCAGAATGCCTATCACATTTTCAGTTGCTGATGCTTCAGGTTCCGATCTCCTTAGTTCAGACTTGACGGCATCGTCATCGTCGACAGCATCCTCTTCATCATCTTCATCTTCTTCTTCTTCTGGAGGAACTGGTCTGGTCGCGGGTGTTGCCGGCGGTGTAGCAGCCATCTTGGTGGCGATCGTTGCAAGCGCTTTCTTCTTCTGGAAACGCAGTAAGCGCAATGGCAACTCCGGCATGCGACCACTGCGGGAGCCCTTGAACCACGCTGGGACCGGTGGCACTGCCGAGACGGATCCTTCATCGCTAGGCACGGGACTCTGGAATGACGACGCTATCATCGCAGCTCGTGTCCCCCGCGACAAAGTGAAGATTCCAGACCTGATTACCCGGGGCGGATGCGGGGACGTTTACCTGGGGACTTACAACAGCGGAGCAGTAGCCATCAAGATGCTGTTTCCCGATGCGAGAGGTAACCTCAAAAAGGTGAACTCATTTCTGGCCGAGGCGAAGCTCATGGCTGGCCTCTCGCACCCTCACATCGTTCAGTTCGTCGGCGTGTCGTGGGATTCGCTGAACGATCTCTGCGTGCTGACGGAGCTGATGAAGGGCGGCGACCTGAGGGCTTTGCTAAAACAATATGATGAGCGCGGCCATCCTCAGGGCTTCGACACCCTCAAGATCCGCATCGCGTACCACGTCGCCCAAGCTCTTATGTACCTTCACTCGCTGTCTCCGGCTGTGATTCACCGAGACTTGAAGTCGAAGAACGTGCTCCCGACGGAGGATCTAACGGCCAAACTGACCGACTTTGGGGTCTCGCGCGAGCGACAGGAGAACACGATGACGGCGGGCGTCGGTACTTTGCTGTGGATGGCACCTGAAGTCGTGATGGCCGAGCGCTACAGTGAGGTGGCGGATATTTTCTCGTTCGGCGTGATGTTGTCCGAGCTGGATTTGCAGACGCTGCCCTATTCTCACGCGAGGGTGGACACAATAACTGGGAAGAAGATGCCGGACGCCGTCATCTTACAGAAAGTTGCGTCGGGTGACGTGCACGTTGCGTTCTCATCCCGCTGCCTGTCATCGGTGGCTCAGCTTGCAAGAGAATGCGTCGCATTGGAGCCTTCCAATCGTCCGTCTGCGCCGATGGTTGTCTACCGCCTGCAGACGATTATGAAGGAATCGTTTCGAATGTAAGCTCGGCAATTGCCACCGGAGCAGTCTGCAGTGTTAATGTTGTCTACATTGTGGAGTGAGTTTGAAAAATACATGATATTCATTTTGGACTGGGATATGCTATTCTTCACACCTTTTTGAGTTGAGGTACCCACTTTTGGGCGTCTACATTACTTCTGAGTCGACCCCTCGAGGAATCCCCACCAGGATCAAACGTAGCGACGTGGATATGGAGCAGAACGAAGGCCAACAAGACCCGGAGAGCGACGTCGTGACTCCATTTGCCGAACTCAAGGAAGCGTATTTCCCCGCTGCCGTAGTCGCTCTTCCCCATATTACAAGGCTCATTGAGGTGTTTTCGATGGCACCCGCAGAGGCCCTAACGGAGGCAACCAAAGCGGGGCAAGTGGACTGGGTTCAAAACCTATTAGGTCGCTTCGGATTCGACATCTCGGAGGCCTTGGTGGAAGCTGCTAGCAAGGGTGATTCGGCCATTGCGGGGCTCCTGATGGATACCTTAGTCGGAGCTGAAGACGTGCAACAGGATGTTGTGTGGGCTATCGAGAGGTCGGGTGAGGCTGCAGCCCAGAACGGCCACCTACGAGCTGCCGAGCTCTTTTCCCACGAGATCCGGTACTACTGCCGGTCCCTCATGCCGACCCTAGATATGCTCAATGCGGCCGCGGCCTATGGACATCTTGACGTGGTCAAGTTCGTCATCGAGCAAGCAGAACAGGGTGGTTTTGTGGACGAGTACTGCCGGTTCCCTACGAGCGATACGCTCTCCCGCGCGATCACGGGAGGTCACCCTGATGTTGTCGAGTTCCTTTTGACTCATGAAAACCTCCGATGGAACCTGAAAGAAGCGTTTTTAGCCGCGATGAATCAGAGAGAGCACGCTGTTGCAGAGCGGATTTACACCATGTACCCTCAACAACACCCAGGGAAAGATTTGTTCATCGAGCTCGCACTTTATGGATGCAAGGAAGCCGCCGACTATTTGTACAGCAACGTCTGTCACAAGGATCCCAGTGCGGTCAACAAAGCTCTTGAAAGCGCGACAGCGGGAAATCAGACCTGCGTCGTCGAATTCTTGCTGGATATCATTGCATAACCTGATGTTTGCCTTCTTTTCGTAAGAGTGTCCTCATTAAAAACAAGCTGCTCTTGATGTTGCGGTATCGATTTCTAGTATAACTAAAGGCTTCTCTTTCGGTACTTTGATTGAAAGCAGTAATAATTGCGGGCGTCTCTATATTTTGGGATTGCTCCAATACATGTGAGAATTCATCTCGAAGTAGTTTGGATAAAGCGAAATTCAACCCACATGAAAATCGGAAACTATTCTCCGTATGTGTTGTTTAGCGACGTTCAGCAGCGGCTATCTTGCCAGTGGCTGATAAAGTCGTTGATCCCTGCAGTGAACTAAGTGTGAAAAAGTACCGATCCCTGCGCCAGAACGCAGACACTTTCGTGCAGTAGAAAAATGATAAAGCTGTTCAGTCTGGTACGAGTTGCTTCAGTGGCCGCTGTCGGAAATATTGTGACTTCGACCTTCATTCACATTTTTACCAATGTGAAGTGATTGATCGCGATCAAGTTGATGGAAACATATACTACGGCCTTATTTGTTCTCCTTAGGGCAGTCTTCAAATTACCCCGTGGAACCAAGACGGCAACTTAGATCGAAGTAATTCAAGATGGAGGCGCTGGACGGCTTGATCTTATCAAGATGTTATACACTTTGTCTGAGCTGGCCAAAGCGCGTACTAGCTGCCTTCCACGTCTGCTAGCAGCAGGGGCGGCATAAGGTCGTTTGGATATCTTGAAATTTGGTATCGAGAAGACTGCAGAGCACTTACTGTCTGCCTACGGCATACCACAGCCAGTATCAGACGACGCAAGCGTGCAATCGCGACTCATTCGAAGGTTCATGAGCCGTAATAACGATCTCCAGCGTTGGTTCCGCGAAGCATTTCACCAAGCGATGTACCATGGCCACCAACGCGTTTCCGACGTGATTTACACCTGTTTCCCGTACTCCAAAAGAGGGAAATTGTTCGAGTTTTTGGTGCGGATGGACAACGCGAGCGCAGTGGCATATTGCTTGTGCAACGACAACCGTAGGCGGCCCTTCACCAACACGCGGAAGTGTATCGACTCTGCGGTAATGCTTGGGGCTTTCAACATTGCTGTTCTGCATTCTCGGTGCAGCGTGTTGCCTTTACTGTTGAAATGGGAGCAGTTTTCGTCGGAGGTTTTGGCGTCGGCCTTTAGAAGCGCTATCTGGTTCAGATCGACGAATGCGGCGATTATTATTTACGAAACGGGGTGTATCTGTCCGTCGTTTCTCGAGTCTCTGTTCGAAAGTTCGTCATCGGCGGATGAAACGCTTTTGCTCAAGATGAAGCAATTTTCCGTTGATGTCTTGACGCGGGCTTTTGTAATCGCATCGAGGGCCTGTATCGGACAACGGAGCCAGGCGTATGGGAAGATCATCGAGCTTCTGTGCGAGGGGAAAGACATACCGATGGAAACGATCGAGAGGAATTTTGTGGCTGCAGTGAACTCTAACTGCGACCTTCTGCTGTATGCATTGCGGGGAAGCTGCATGACTTCATCCGAAACCATCTCAAGCGTTTTTGAAAGCGGTGAACGTGTTGTTCAAGTGTGGCTACATTTCTCCTTCTCTGGCTGCCGGGGAGTTAGTGAGCGCGATTCACAATGACAAGGTTCTCGTCGCAAAATACCTCTGGGGTCAGGCGTGCGTTCCCCGCGAAATCTACGCCGAAGAGTTCCTCGCTGCTGCCAAGATTGGCGATTTGAAGGTGGTGGAGTGGTTCTGTATCGGCCGAGCTTCTCGTGAGTCCATTACGACGGCTTTCCTGGCTGGGATGGACGCCGGCCATGTCGGCGTGGCGAGGTGTTTGTACGACAAACAACGCGCGTCTCCGGAAGTAATGGACGGTCTGGTGGAGCAAGCCCGCGCGTCGCAGAACTTGGAGGTCGTGTCTTTTTTGCTGGGAAATTTAGCTGAATCCCTGGTTTCACTTCGAATTGAAGTCTCCAGACAGGAAGATGGCAGCGGCACATGCACAATATTTTTCGGATAAATTAAACAAGCATCTAAGTTTGCAAATTGTCACTTTGAAGATCACATGCATGGGATCGTAATATATATATATTTACCAGAAATGCAAGTAATCGCGTGGTGTAGTTTTGAAAACCGTACGGACTTTGAGATATATCGTCCATAACATCTCACAGCAGTTCGTTTTTCAGTATATTCTTTGGTTGAGTCAAACCTGAAAGGTCTTAGACCGAGAGTGAGATTAGGTTTTGCAAAATATCGTCTCCCCAACAACTTTAAAGCCACGATGTAATAAAAATGCGCGTTGGAACTACTGAGAAAGACCTCAGATCAAGAAAAGTGAAGTACACAGAGGATGAAAATGTAAACGCAATCGTGATGAACCTCCCTGCCCAAGGTTCGGGTGAGTCAAGGCTCTTGCTGTGGCTCCAACTTTTCCTTGGCTTCGTCCAAAATCGATCCCAGCACTCGCAGCGAGTCGGTGCTTGAAGCCTTCCCCAGTCCCATCGATTCGCGTCCCGTCGAGTACATTCTAACGAGCGCACCAAATTCCAGCGGGGGGTCCTTGGTCGATGAGGCATTCAAGAATCGCTTCTCCAGCACATTTAAGACCTCGCAAGCTTGCTGTTTTCTGTTGATCGAGACGCAGAGCTGGGCCGTGCTCATCGCCATCCTCACAAAGTCACGCGTTGTCCCACAGAGATCTCGGACAGGAGAAAGAACTGGGTCCTTGATCGCTGCGTGGTCAACCTGGTGGAACTTCTGCATCATGTGAATCACTTGGGAGGCGTCTGAGGTGACAGTCTTCCTTAAGTCAAAACTTGTGTCTGCAATCCTGTTTGGGGCGGAAAGCTCGATGGTTATCTCCCACAACTCGTCGATCGCTGCACACGCATGCTTGACGTCGTCGGATTTGCAGGTTGCAGGAATGGTTGGGTCTCTCAAACGAGTGAACGTCTCTACCAGAGCTTCATCGACCACGCCGGTGTTTTCTTGTGGTTGCGTCGCAGCTCTCGTTAGAAACTTGAGTAAACATAGGCTTTCTTCTGCTGGAGGATCGGAGGTAGAGCCGCTAGGACTAGCAGGACTCGCTTTCCCACTCTTGCCTTTCTTCCCCTTTTTCTTCGACTTCTTTCTCGCTGGACTCGATTTGTTTTCAGGGCTACGTCCGCTCGAAGGACTGGGCTGCTGGTCACGCTGGAAATATAGGGAGGGTTGGATCTTGACGGCTTGGTTCTTCCTGTTTTTTTATTGCCACCCATGCGAATACCAGAAGGCTCCATGAATCTCGCCATGTTTACCTCTGCGGCAATCGATCGCGACCACTCTCGATCCGTGGTCATCTCCGAAACGTGCCGTCCTCTGACCTCTTTACGCGAGATGTCAGCTCCAACCGAACGCAGCTGGCGATACAGTGACCGATTCTCATGCTTCACTACAAGGTGCGCGATGGTTTCCTTTGTGTGGTATGTGGGCGTATTCAAGTCGATAAGGTTGTAGCCCTTCATCGCAGCACTGTGGACAGCCATCGTATTCGGAAGACAGCCTGGCGAAGAATGACGAATGCGAGGAGCGGCTGAGGGACGAGTGGGACGTTGAACCCCAGCGGACCCTGGAGACCACACGGTCGCCAGGATCTGCTGCACGTGTGCGGCGGGCATGGGACTCAGGACCTCGAGCGTCGAGCTCACTCTTGAAATAGACGGCGAGGGCGCAGAGGCCTCGGCGACAGACGCAGCTCGGGAGCAAGTTGCAGGACGAATGAACGGCTGCTTCGGTGGACGTGCTACTGGGCAACGTGGTGAGTGACGGACAGGAGAGCACTTGGCACTCCGAGTCTTCTGTGGACTGCGAAGTGAGGACGGGCACAGCGGTGGTGTACGTCCAAGTGGTTTAGAGGGCGACGAAGTTGTTCATTGCGTACGTGTCTAGGAAGTGCGTGTATTGTTAGTTAGTCAACAGCGCCGGCTGCTACGAGTTTGGCTTAGTTTAAATAAAATTGGTTGCGTTGCCAGTCGGGCACGCGCCGGAGGGGTATCGGAAGTTCCGGTACCGACGGCCTGACGGACTTTGGCTGAGATCAGCACTGTGACGACCAAACTCTCGCGTGCGGAGACAACCAGCACGTTGCACTTTCTTTCGAGCAACCGCATCAGGTCCGAGAAGACTTCCTCTCGGGTTTCACGCTGGGTCTTGATTTTGAACGACGCGGTACCAAACTGTTGGGAGACGAAGTCTGGATAAGAGGGAAACGTGAAATATCGGCGTTCGATCTCTGGAACTGGCACCGCAAATTTGGCGTGAATCAGCGCAGCAGCCTTCGTGGCCATTGTACGGACTTTTTCACCATTCAAAGTGGCTTCTGAGCGAGTAGAAATGGCAGCAGGCAGGATGTCCAAGTCAAGTGAGCCGTCCGGCTGTAAAGCGTCCAACAGAGGTAGCAGAGGAAACATCACTGCATTCTCCAGGGCATCAATCTTGCGTTCCTCAATATCGTCACTGCACTCAGGATTCCCAATGTAGTCACTGCAGGCATGCTGGATCAACAGCATGCCTGCAATGACTACATTGGGAATCCAACTCCGAGAAGACATCGGCAATATCATAAAGAAGCGCCATCATATCTCGAGATAGTACTCGGGTGCCAAACATCTCGGCCGAGCTAGTCTTCACAGCATTGCCCTTCATATCAGCCAGACTGGAACTTGTGAACTGGCAGCTGTCGTTTTCGCTAAGAAATCGGCAGATCTTGGATACATCGCGCACTCCAAACTCCTTCTGCTCTTTTGTCCAGTCCTGCCCAGGAGAAACAACACTCTTCCCTGAAGTAGCGCCATATCCTGAGTGGTGGATGTAATTGCAATCATACGCGCCGCGCACCACTGCAGCTCTCGACGGAGTGAAAACCCACGTCTCGTATATCTCCAAAACGTCTTCGATTAACGGAATAGGCTCGAGAAATTCTTGCCCCACGAGAGCGTTGTACAGATGTCCAAAGGCTCGAAAAATCGGTGCTCTGAGCAGACTTTGATGTCCTGCACGGAGATAGCCGAGCTGGAAGTCCAGCACTACGAAGCCCGCCGAGAACGGGTTAGTGCGCTTGACGAGGCGCGATCGATTTGGGAGCAGATCATCACGCGAAGAGTCTGGTTTAATGACATTTAGGACCGTGGGTCTGTCCACAAGTGTAGCCATCCGCTGCATCAACTCGTCTGCGTGGTTCATCGTGACACTAATGTTGCGCCCGAGCCCTCCGTCGCCTTGCAATGCAGCGACAGATTTGACCCAGCAAGTCCAAGCAAAAACGAGCGGGATGGTCACTTGGCGCGTCGCAAAGTAGTCGGTCATCAAGCACATGAACGCGCCCTCCAGTCTCGCCCTTTTGAAGCCCCCCCCCCCCCCGGTTATCTCCTTCTTCTCGCTGACCGTGTTGTACATCAATGCAAAGCTCTGCACCAAGAAGTCAATAATATCGGTAGTTGGGAGCACGTACTGCGGCGTGCGTTCTTCTCCATATCTTTCTCGCTCATTCGGTGGCAGTAGAAACCCCGCCCTGGTGCTTGACGGGAGAATTTTCGCAAACGACGTCAAAGCGGCCCAGATGATCTCGAAGTCCCGCACCAGCTCGAAGGGCGAGGACATATAAGTCCCATCCTTGTCGAATTTGGCCTTGATGCTACTGGCCGAGTTGGCCGCTAGACCGTAAATCGCAGGGGTGTGCTTCATAACTGCATCCAACAAGTTCTCCATCGTTCGAATCTCTGGACGGCGCTGTTGAAGCCGCGTCGTGAGGTCAGTGGCCGTGTCCATGGCCAGCTTGATCGCCACCGTCGCCTCGAGCATCCCACCGCCTTCACGGCAGTGTAGATCTCGTACACGCCCCTCACCAGCTCCTCCAGCTCCAAGACGAAGAAGACCACGTCCAGCGGCAAATCGTCGGCGAAGGCCTCCTCGCACAGCCGCGTTTTGGCGTGTTAACATCGAGAACAAAGTTCTCCTCACCACCTCTTCTTCATCATCATCTTCTCCCTCTTCTTGTCCCTCATCAGACTCCAGCGCCCCACTTTTCTCGTGTGGCACCTTTTCAAGCGTGCGGTGCCAGAGCTTTAGCAGCCGCGAGAGTCGAGTGCCAACGTCGCGATTTTCTATCGTTTGAAGCAGGAACTCGTCCGCCGAGCAGATTTTGAGGGCGCAGTTGCAAGCCGCCAGAGCCTTGGGCAGATCTTGACGCAGCTTGTCGCTGAGGCAGGACGGATCGTTGGCGATCTCTTGGACGACTCGACTCAGTGTATCCAACTGGACGGGTTGGGGGGTGGGGTGGCTGTGGCCATGGGCACGTATCAACCAGTCGAGAAAGAAGCTGGCGGCACGCTGGTAGCGGTCGTACTTGAAGATGGGGATCGAGGCCATCCGGGACCTGGCTGGAGTGCGCTTGGGTCGGCGAAATCAGGAATGAGGTTGAAGGGTGACATGGAAGATCGGCGATGCGACGATAATGTGTCATTAGTTACGAGTTATTACTTCAACGTAAACTCTTTAAACTATCTTAGTAGGTATTTGTGCGGGATTTCCCGTGGCTGCGCTCCGAAGCGATAGACCTACTCGCTTAATCAGTGGAGTACAGGTACACTTAAACTATATTCACGAAATCACCAGCGGTGATCCATGTAACTTCAATTTACTTTCACTTTTACGGTAATACTAGCACTCGTTACAATAAAAAATGAAGCGCTGCTCACAGCCTTACAACCAATAGCTACTCACTCCTCAGTCACCCATTTCATTGTCGAGATCAAGTGACCGCAGCCGCCAGACGCTCTCACTTCTTGAGGTCTTCCACTGAAAAGCTGCTCGCAAATCATCGTGCGGATGAAATTCTCGACTTCCTCGTTCCTTGCAGCACTGAGCGCCGCCTTCAAGTTGTCGATTGGCCAGTCTTCCTCTTTACTCTTAGTCAGAAGAGAGAGAACATCGAGCTTGCCTTGCTTACTTGCAGTCAGGAATGCCTGCAATTTGTACTCGCGAGGTACGTTGTCGGCCGATAAAAACTCGATAATGGTACTAGCCATCCTGCCATAGCCGTAGTTGTGAACATTCTCGAGCGCCGTTACCAGTACACTAGCAGCAATAGACTGCTGGCTGTACAGTTTCTTCACCATTTGCACTTGACAACGGCAAACTGCTGCGACAAAAGCTTCATGTACGGACTCCAGAAGAAGACGAGCATCAGTGCGCAACAGCTCCACCACATCGTCTAGACCCCATCCGGCCGCACTCACAAACGCGGTCCCGATAAGTTCAGGCGAGATACACTCCTGCGTGTACAGGAACTTCACGATGTTGGCTTGATCTGGACATGCGCAACGAGCAGCTCGCTTGAATGCCGTGCTGATCGAAGCAGTAGAGATATTCTCCCTCTCTTTCTCCATCAGCCGCCTCATCACCTCAACGTTGCGCGTACTTTGGAACCACTGGTTAAGCATCGGCACAGATGCTCGCTTGAAACTGTACAGACACAGAGCTGTGTTGGAGTTGGAAACCCTCATTGCGCCCTCAAAAGCCGTTTGGAAACTATCGGTCGAGACAATTCCCGTAGCATGCAGAAACCTTACGACGTCACGCTTATCTGCGTAGACGGCAGCTATGAAGGCGTCCCCCACGATTATTGGATCGTTTCGCCCGTTGTTGTAGAGGTACTCAACGCCACTCCGACGCCCTTGTCGGGCTAAATCCACGAGCAGCTTGCCGTTCGGGAACAGCGGATACACCTCGTAAATCTTTTGCGCTGTGTCGGCCTGGTTGTCTTGGACCGCCTCTTCAAAGGCATCCAGCAAGCTCCATTCAAAGTCATGTTGTTCCAGGAGAAAATCCACCACAGTTGCCTGCCTCGCGATGATGGCACGAGGTAGAGCCTGGCTCGCATAAATAGCCACGTAGCGCTTGATCTTCTCGTACCCGACCATAAACTTCACGACACCAAGTTGCCCATTCCCCGCCGCCTCCACGAAAATCTTTCCGATCTGTTCGGCTCTGCGACTAGTTGGATCGCGGTCTACAAGCCGCTGCAGTAGATACTCGACGATGTCCACGTATCCTTCCATGGTGGCAGCAATGGCCGCCTTCTTGACAGCTTTCCACGCGTCGTCCTTGAGTGGACACCCGCAATAATGCGCTTGGTAGAGCGCGTGCACAGCTTCCAGGTGACCGTTGGCAGCAGCTACACTCATGGCGTCGAGTGTAGCGCAGTTGCAGCGGCCCAACAGCTCCCACAGCCAGTCGACGTCTCCGATCCTAGCTGCCTCAACGACGGCATCTTTGGGCGACATGAGGAGCGTGTCAACTTGTTTGAGGACATGGGGCAGCGCCAGGATTCCGTCCGGGAAGCGCGCGTGCTTGAGGCGTCGGAACGGCTGCAGGCCCGTGTCGCATGGGAGCAGCCTCTTGGCGCGGAGGTAGTTGCCCTCTTGCTGGGGGCACACTCGCTTGGCGCTGGGGGAGGGGGACTGAGGGGCGCTCTGGTGAGTGCGTGACCTCGTGACGGCGACCATCGTCTTGTCCCGTATCTCCGTCACGTCAGAGCTCGAGCTTGAAGGTGTCTAGTTCACTTCGCGCGGTACAATTTCTAGGATGTTTGAAATGAAGAGTTGTGATTGGTTGACTGGGCTCCCGCGTGTTTTCAAATTGTCAACCAGTCAATTAATGTTGTGGGAAGGTCGTACGTGGTGTGGTACACATTAGTCATGGTCAAGCAAATGGCTATGGCGCCCCAAATGCTGATGTATGTAGAGAGTCCATAACGTTCAAGCGTGTCACGCAACCCCTTACCAACGAGGGGGCTGACCGGACACTCATCACAAGTGAGCGCAACTACAGTACCTGTATCTGTCAGGTTGCACATGCATATACACCATCACATCGACAAATTTGACTTCTTGCACGGAGCAAAGTTCGTTGATGTGATGGTATTCCATGTCGAGCCGGTTTTTCGGGTTCCCCCGTGCATCGAGACTAATAGGGCCGTGGACTCCAGTATTCATTTCCGATTCTACGGAGACCCTCCCAAGCCGCCAGGCGTGTTTTCTAGTACTGCTCCTTGCCATTTTCGCTAGTGCCCAAGTTGCCTGTGCTGGGACCGGTTCCGACCGCATGCTCACCACCGCTAGTGCACGTCGATACCTTAAAGGTGCGGATGCCGACACCGAAGAGAGGTTGAGAATCCTAGGGCTCAACAAACTGAAGTCGGTATTCAAGAAAACTCCGAATGCAATGAAGACCCTCGAAGCAACTCCAGCCCTGGTCAAGCCTCTTCAGGACCCGAAGTTCAGTAAAACATCGACCCTGCGGTGGTGACGAGTATAAATGCGCTGGCGGGTAACCCGAACGTCAAGACTGCGCTGTTGAAGAGTTCCAGCACCATCACTGAGGAGAACGTCATAAAGGCTGGAGTGCTCGTGGGAAAGACTGCCGGGAAGAAGTGGACCGAACAAGACCACTACACACTTCTGGTGAGCGGCACTGTGTGTTTGCTCGTTCTCCTACTGGATGCTCCTGTTATTTTGATGGGTACTGTCTTCAACAAGTCCGACTAGGTTTTTCAAACAAGTATGACATGTGCGAATATATCTGAAGAGGGCACAACGTTTCTCACTGCGAGTGTTACCTGCAATATTGTAGTAAACATTTATCGATGTCGCGTTTTGATGAAGCGGGGTAATATTTCTTTCGGTCATCTTGAAGAAATCCTAATGGAACCGAATCGTGTTCGGTATGTAGCTACTTAGCTTCATGCAATCGTCTCGTGTTGTTTGACGATTTGTATGAAAACATCGAAATCCAGGATACGTTGAAGATTGGTCTGGGTTCTGTTAGTGCATCGCATCCTTTCAGGCTCTAAAGTATTTGGACGAACAGATAAAAGGCGGTGAAGTTTATTTGTAGGAGTACTTACGCTTTTGGGGCCAAGACTAGGTTCCCAACAAAAAATAGTTACCGACAAGTTCTTGAAAGCTGCCAAGACATTTATGGAATATTTAAGATTCCATAAATATTGAAAATCTGCAAGCTGGTCGGGCATAGAAGTTTCCATAAGTGCTACACGATTCAAAGAAGCTTGTCCGACAGCTGTACCCGTGGCACCGGTCATCGGTATGCTTTTGAAGCGAGATTGACGATGCCACGGTAAATTAGTGGAAGGACGTATGCAATGGTGGCGAACTATGGTTATTGCAGCTTTTAGCTTTAATTTATTTGCTATTTGTACGTCACTTTTGCCTCTCAGCCCTCACGGATAGATATACTTATTCTGACCAGCATGTGGTCACCAGTACTTAGTAGAAAGCAAATTGAATTGTGTTGCGTTACCGTAGTTCTACAGTGCTGCTAAATGCTGCTTTCTTGCCTACGAGAATTCGTAGCGGTTAATTATTCCGGCTACTAACAGTTCCATTATTGTGTTAGCATGAGCTTTGTCGGCTTGGATATGCAAGCGACAGCGACGACGAGAGCCTGGGATCGTCCACGCAGCAGCGTCCACCAACGGGTCGCTTCCAAGATAGAAATGCCTTCATGCGGCTTTACTCGGTGGCAAAAAGGCATAGCAATCTATCCAACCTACGAATCGTAGGCTACGATAGGGCACTCCAGGAGTCAAGGCAGAGCTGTTGAAGAGCTCTAGTAAGATCCCTGAGGAAGCCGTTCAAAAGGCTGGAGCGCTTGTGGGGAAGACTGCTGGAAAGAAGTGGACCAAACGCGACCGCCACACGCTAATGGTGGGTGGTTGCCTGTTGCTGCTCTTCCTTCTAGGAAGCATCCCCATTATTTTTGTGGCCAAAACGTAGACTTTGCCACGCTGCTGACGCTGGATAAGTACTGAGCAAGGGATCACTCCCAGAACCTAAGAGGGCAAACTACCTAGGTAGGTTAAAGTACTCTTAGCTTGATCGTTTTTTGTTCATAACGTGGACAATGCAGCTGAAGAATTGATGATCGTATCCTTGTTCTTACTTGAACTGGAAGTGCACACACTCAGGATTGATCGCAATCTTCACACTTTGCTTGCTACGTTTCCGCAAAACGATACAGGCGACCGCAATGGTCACCACCGAAGACAATAATCGCAGCATTGCTCGCACGAAAAACCACGCGATAAACCTGTTTGTTAGCTTAACTTTCAAAAGACAAGGACTTGGAGTGTGCGGATGATGCTTGTCTACCGCATCAACACAACTTCAGTTTGAACGACAGGCACGTCGTACAGAACCCCGAAAATGCAAAGACAGACACGATTTTTTTTGCTGTTCGCACTGAACGCACACCAACGTCAAGCACTGGCACTAGTCGTCGGCACGTTTCGACGACAAGAGCGATTTGTTCTCCTCTCGCTCTACTTGAACATTTTCTTCATCTTCTTGCCCATCTTCTTGAAGCCTTTGCCCTTGAAGCCCTTGTACTTGTGGCCCTTGAACTTGTGGCCCTTGTGCTTGCCGTGCTTGTACTTGCCGTGCTTCATCTTGCCGCCGGCGATCACCACGCCAGGCTGCGCCACGTACGCGGGCTGCGCATACGCGTACCCAGGCTGCGGCGCGTGGGCGTGGTGGCCGTGAGCCGGGTAACCGGGCTGAGCAGGGTACCCATGTTGCTGCGGCGGGTATCCTTGCTGCGGGGGGTATCCTTGCTGGGGAGGGTACTGCTGGGGAGGGTACCCCTGCTGCGGAGGGTAGCCCTGCTGCGGGGGGTAGCCCTGCTGGGGAGGGTACCCCTGCTGCGGAGGGTAGCCCTGCTGCGGGGGGTATCCTTGCTGCGGGGGGTAGCCCTGCTGAGGAGGGTAGCCCGGCTGCTGCGGGTAACCGTGCGGGGGCTGCTGGCCGCCAGGATACATGTTGGTTGGATCTGGCTTGGGCTGGAGAGCTGGGGCGACTGAAGCGACCTGGGGGCGGCGAGATCTCGAGTGACGAAGAGCTGCTGACGTACCATCGAAAAGCGGGGAGAGAACTGGAAGTTGTACCTACCGGGAATACGGTGCTGTGATTGGCTGATGCCCCCACCGTACGTTTGTCGGCGCGGGATTGGACCAAAATCAGTGTTGGTTTTTACCAATCCAATGCCAAACAGTTTTCGTGTTGTCAGGGTTTCGGTACCTTACTGAACAGATATTTTTTTCGCTATTCACGTTACCGCACAACTGACGACTCCTACTCAGGCCATATTGTAGTGTGCGGTGTTCAACTCACGAAGCTCGACGGCATGGTTGGCAAAGGCTCAGAACTCGGTCAGTTTGGCCGTCAGATTCTCCGCCAAAAGCACGTTCTTACGTTCTTGGACTCCATGTCGCGGTGAATCACCACCGAAGACAGCAAGTGAAGGTTCATGGGTGCAAATATGCGGCGTGGTAGACGATGTGGAGTATGTTGCTATCGAGCCCGTAAGGATAGCCTTGCTCGTCGTGAGAGGTCAGCCGTGAATTTGATCTGTTCACTTTCAAGCTTCGTGGCTGTAGACCAACCTGCAAACTCCTCCGTATCCACCCCGAGACATGAGATCCTAGATCTCCACTTGGTCGCGGGGGTGGAAATGCTACAACTCTTTTCACTGCAGACTTCCTCTCTACTAGTTCCGGCCATCGTCATCTCGGGTGTAGTGAGTCTGTTGATGTAAGAAGAAGAAAAAAACTAAATTAATTTCAACGTTTGAGTTGAAGGCAAACTCGAAGAAGTCGTAAAAGTTAAAACGCTACCTCGATGCTTGTCGGGCAGCTTGAGGACAGTTCCACTTCATCCAGCACGGGCAGCTTGCACCTTCGTGCGCAAGAAGCCCTTCAAGGTGGGGTTGCTTGTCAGCTTCAAAGCCTCAGTCAACGTGCTGAGTGGCCAGTCACTGTCACCACCCATGAGTTGCACAGCGGCGTTGTGGTTGTTAAGAGCTGCACGAACAAACGATTCCTCCTTCACAGCCTGCGGGATACCTGCTTTTCTGAGCAGACACTTGAGGATCTTCGTCAGGCCGTTCTCCGCCGCGTTCTTGAACGCGTCGCTGATTGCACAGGGAGGAAAAATCTGTCGGTCGAAGCCAAATTCGAGAAACTCGATCATGTCGAATGAAGTGTACGAGAAAACTTCGCCAACGATCTCTGGTGGGACGCACTCCATACTGTATAGAAACCTTGCAACACTTTCACGCTCTTTCGTCGGCATGTTGATCCTGGATTCAAGACTGAAGGCGTTCTTGAACGCCATAATGATCGCCATCTCGGGCACATGCTCGTTCTCGAAGATGAACTCGGCAACCTCGTAGCTGCCCGCAGCTTGGAATGCCATTTCGATCCCCATTTGTGTAGGACGACGCATGTTGTATAGACTCATCGTCCCTTTGATCGATCCAGATCCTGCAACACTCAGGAACACCGCGTCAAAGCCTGCTGTCGACACACGGCCAGTTCTCAGCAAGTACTTGCAGACATCGTCATGCCGGCTCATAGCTGCGCTCATAAAGCCGCATTCAATCAAATCGGGCTCGTTATGCCCATGCGTTACCAAGTGTTCGACTGCTTTGAGGCGCCCCGCTCCAGCCAAGCGGGCCAGTAAGCTCTGTCCATCCTTGGTGTCTGAATAGTCTTTATAAATCTCATCAGCAACTGCATCCTGACCTCGGGCGATGACCTCCTCGAATACATCGCCGATGTCGAAAACATCGCCCATCTCGCAGCCAAGTAGGAACGTAATCACGTTGGCATGGCCACCGACGATTGCACTGTTCATGACCTCGCACGACTTGTGCTCAAACTCCTCCTCCTCAACGTATTCCGCGACAAATTTCACGATCCCTAAATGCCCCTTCACCGCGGCCTCATTGAAAACACTCCACGCCGCGTCGTCATCGATTTCCCCTTCGACTTGCAGCTCATGCAGCAGATACTCGACGACTGGGAGGTGGCCATTAGAGGCAGCGGGCAGTACCGCTTTCCGGAGGAGGCGGCACAGTTTCGGACTGGCTAAATCGCGCTCCGGCTCCTCGAGTTCCGTTCGCAGCAGCAGCCGGACCGTATTCAAGTCCCCAGTGATCGCTGCAAACATGAAGGCGTTTTTAATAACCCCTTTGAACTTCGTCTTCAGATCCGCCAGCCGTTGGGAGTCTCTCGATTGCAGGGCCTGGATCACGGCTTGCTCTGGGGTCAGCGCCTCGCTCTTGATGTGGGGGATTTGCGAGCGGAGGCTTGGATTTCGTTGGGAGTTGCGCTGGGATGCGTTGTCGCCTGCGCCGGTCGTACACAAGCGCTTGGCGGGAGGTGCTTGACTTGGACTGGCCATTTTGTGGAATGACCATCAGCTTGAAGGGTCGATCCTGGTAATGACGAATTACGGAGATATTGTTTTTATTGAGGTGCATGCGTGCGGGCACTAGCACTTGTTTCGCTTACTTCTCATGTCACTGTGGACTTATGTAGTCATAATGGAGTAATGCAGGTATTTTTCATGTGATGCTCTAAGATCCTGCGCTGCTTATATTATTATTTTTTGCTAACGGCGAAAATACTTAAGCAAACAACAGTCCGGAAACTCAATCGAAGGGTCGTTTTAGCATGGAGGGCTCGAGTGCGCCCAGCAAGAGGACGCGTGGAAGTTCTGCGTCACTACAAGAAAAACAAACCTAGCGCGAGTGGTCCGCTTCAGGGGAGATCAAGGAAAAATGCATCCACCCATTCTACAGATTCAAGAACGTTGAGTTCCCACCCGCTATTATAGCTCTGCGTTGTGTCCTTCAGAAGATCGATCTGTTCCTCATGACTCCAGACGAAGCTGCTTCGGAGGCTGCAGGGAGCGGAGACTTGGACTGGATGGAGGAGTTGCTGCTCCACTCCGACTATTTCCAAGATATCGACTCGATAGCTCAAGTTGCCGCTGCAAATGGCCATTTCGAAATGGTGGAGCTTTTGGCCTCCAACTTCTTCGACTATAGAGGCGAGATCGACATCGTTAATTTTTGACAGATTGCTGGAAATGGCACAAGTGGCCGCAAAGAACGCTCATATGAGTTCTTGATTCCCGAAGAAGTCGATCCTGAATTGCCCCGGTTGCGCCGAAAACTGAAGGTCGCTCTGTGTCAACTACTGGAAGAAGCTGCAGGAAATGGTCGCCTCGAAGTGGTGGAATTCATGGTGGAAAGAAACTTCGAGTGCCTGCAGTATCCGGAAAGTGAAGTAGACGCACGATATTGTGCGATTACGAGTGGTCACGGTCCTGTTGTTAACTTTTTGCTCCATCAGGACGAGTATGCGTGGGATATGGCGAAACCTTGTGAAGCAGCGATCGCTTTGGGGCAGAGTGAACTGGTGCAAAGAATTTACGACAAAGACCCCACGCATCTGTTTCGAGAGGTGGCACGAACGGGTAGTGCAGATACTGTAGAATACCTCTATAACGCAGGTTACAACGACGTCGCGTTGGTGACCGCTGCATTTGAGTCGGCAGTGTCGTGGGGGAAGGATCACACGGTTCGATTCTTGGCTACATCTCGTCGGATGTCTTTGATTTGGCCTTTCTGGAGGCCGCTAGTCACTTTGGCCACATTAAAGTGTTGGAAACCCTCGTCGATGCGAAGCGTGCATCGGCCTCGGTGATTAGTCAAGTTTTTCAAGGTGCAAGTTGTACAGCCATCGCGCTCAAAGTTTTATGCGAAAAGTGTGACGTCTCGGATGAATTGGTCGTGGCTGCGTTTCGTAACTCAGCATCCTCTGACAATACTGAGATCGTGATGATCTTCCATAAGCTCCGATGAATTTCCTCTGAAATGATTCATGAGGCTTTCGTGGCTCCAGTGGAGCACAGCCGTAAGGATCTTACCGAGTTTCTTCGAGGCGACACTCGCTTGACTTCCGACACACTAAATGGCGCGTTCACACAAGCGGCAGCCCAGGGTAAATGGAGGATACTTCCATCTATGTACAATGATGAGCGCGTATCTGCCAGTACGTTGCTCGTGGCATTCCAAAGTGCTCTACATGCGGAGTGTGTCCATGTTGCTGGAACAATTGCCAACGGAGTATCAACCCGGCCGGATGTACCACAAGATACTCGAGACGGCATGTTTGTCAGCGCTGCGACGCATGATCAGATTGAATTGCTGCAAATACTGACAAGGGGCGAATCAAAGGACTGGCCTCTGGACGTGTTGAAGAACGCTTTGGAGGTATCACACCAAAGAAGCGCATCATGGAACGGATTTGTAAGCAGCTTTTCAGTGGAAGACCCGAAGTGTTAAATGCGACTGACAGCTGCGGCCGCGACATTGATCAACTACAGTGGAAACCCCGTAATTAGCTGCATTGAGCCGGCGCGCGTGGCAAGTTGTATGCGGAGCTGTTGCATTTATAGAGCTATTTAGTTGCCGCTTGCTATCTGTTTAAAAATACGTTTTTTTTTATAATTCATCGATTGAAATTGCCTACCAGCCAGAGCGCACTGCAGTCAGTTATCGGTAATCATCGAACTATCTTCGACACTCAGTTATAGATTGTATTTTTTCTTGAGTTAAGATCTTTTCTAGAGCGCTCACGCTATTATGCCGACAGAGCCCAGATAGTCCTTTTCATCCAGTATTGGATTGCTCCACCACTCGAATAGTAAAGCTGAGACAAACAAATGTTGTTGACGAAAGTCAAACGAAAGTCAAGTGAACTCAACGTAGTGTTCAATTTTGAGACCATGTCTTTGCTGAGGTTTCTCCTACCACAAAAAGGTCGATTAGCTCAACATAAGCGTCTGCAGACTCACCTATCGGTAAATACGGCTGTTCCAGTAAAATGTTTAACCTACTCGGACTTGTTGAAGACCGTACCCATCAAAATGATAGGGTTTGCCACGAAAACGAAGAGCGCAAGCAAACCGAGGCATACCACCAGCGTCCCTTCGTCGGTCCACTTTCCAGCATCCTTTGCCACCAGCGCTCCCGCTTTTTTCACCGACTCTTCGGTAATCTTGCCAGAGCTCTTCACCAGCGCTGTCTCAAGGTTTGGGGAACTCTCAGCTTATTCAAGCTCTTCACCACAGCGGGATCGCTTGCCACAGTTTTGAGGGTTTTGCTAATGGTCGGGTCATTGATGGTCTTAGCGAGGCCTGGATCCTTCTGGAGCGCTTTGGCAACGTTTGGGGTTTTCCTGAATAGTGACTTCAGATTCAAGAGACCTGTAATACCCCACCGTTCTTCCGTGTCGGTGTCGGCACCTTTGAGATTGCGATGCGCGCTATCGTCGGCGATGAAGCGCTCGAAACCAGTCCCCTCGCAGGCAACTTGGGCAATGGCCAATACGGCTAGGAGCAGGAGCAGGAAATATGCCTGGCGCATTGTTGAGAGAAGCTTCGCAGGGGCTTGGGTGTGTAATGGTCGAATCGGAAATGAATACCTCGAACTTAGGACATCATGACTGCAATAACCTGCTAACCATCACATCAACAGACTGGTCCTTACGATAGAGGTAAATTTGTTGGTGTGATGCTATCTCTATCTGCATTATGTTACGTTTTAATTTATAACCGCAATACCGCAATGCCGCAAAGCCTGCTTCAATCACACCTGTTGAGCTTTGCGTCACGTCAGCTTGTATGTGCATGCAGTACCAAGCAGGCATGAAGGGAGCACTCGTTGATCCTGCACGGGTTGCTCCTTGTAGTGGTGCCTCGCACCTGGTGTATTGCAGAATGAGTTAGGTTGGATGATGCTAGGATGTCTGTGCTAGGCTAATATGCATCGGTAGTTTCGTGTTGTGTAGCTGGAGGGGTCGTTGTGGTCGTCGCAGGCCGTTATCGTCGCCACTGCACTCATCGCAGGTGGCGCCAGCTCTTGCGATCTCCAACAGCCCTCCTCGACCAAGATGATCCGAGTCTACAGCTTCTCGTTGTGCGGGTGGATAAGCTTGATCATGGCCAGGTTGGGCCCGTGTAGGGTTGCGCCGAGGGGCTTCGTGAAAATGTCGGCCTTCATCTCAGTCGTAGGGCAATAGGTCACGCTGACCTCCTTCTTGCGAATGGCGTCGCGTATGAAGTGAAATTTTATGTTGCTGTGCTTCATGCGTGCAGTCGTCACGTCGTTCTCCATGTTTTGATCGCGCTCTGGTTGTCGATGTACAATTCGATAGTATCATCTTTGCTGTGCAGCTCAAGTTCATTCAGGAGCTGTTTCACCCACAAGCAGTCCTGCACTGCCGTCGCCCCAGCGATGTACTCAGCCTCGGCTGTAGAGAGGGCGACCGTAGATTGTTTCTTGCTGTACCACGAAATGGGCATGGCGTTGATGGTGAGCAGTCCTCCTGAAGTCGACTTTGTGTCCTTGCCCCCGGCCCAATCTGCATCGCTGAAGATGGCTGCCTCAATAGTGTGTCGGGGTGTCTGCGGGCGGGAAAAGCGCAACCTCAGCTCGCGCGAGCCGCGCAAGTAGCGCAGGATACGTTTGACTGCAGTCCGATGAGTCGACGTAGGCGTTGAGACGAAACGCGCCAGGAAGTTCACAGGCATCGTGATGTCTGGTCGAGTGTAGTTGCTAATCCATAGTAGTGACCCAATGGTCTCCCGCATGATGCTAGTGTCGTAGAAGGGCTCGCTGTCCTCTCCGTTCAGATCCCGAGTTGACTCCATCGGCGTAGTCACGGGGCGGCTATTCTCCATGCCGCACTTCGCCAGCAAACCGTCAATATTGGCTGTCTGGTGGAGGTAGATGCCGCAGTCGCTCTGCTCAATGTTAATTCCCAAGCTCTTCTTGGCTGGACCCATGTCCTTGATCTGAAATTGGTCGGCGAGCTTCTGCATCGTCCAGTCGGAATCGCCCTCACGCTGGCTGACGACCACCACATCATCGACGTAGAGGCCCAGTACAGTTAGCTTACCTTCATGCCAACGAAAATACAAGCACGGGTCAAGCTGGCTCCTCCTGAAGCCAAATTCCAGTAAGTAGCGGTGTATAGTGTCGTTCCACAACTTGCCGCTCTGTTTAAGGCCGTAGAGACTCTTTCGCAGCAGTAGGCATTTGCCCTTGGGTAATTGGAGTCCGACAGCGGCGCGCATGTAGATGGGTCGATCGAGGTCTGCTCGCAGGTATGCGTTAGGAGCATCTCCTTGTCGAATGACGGCATGCCACTGAGATGCGAGGGCCACAATGAACCGCAGGCTCGCGATCTTGAGCACGGGCGCAAAGGTCTCTGCGAAGTCAATGTCAAACTTTTGAGTGAAGCCGCGCGCTACCAGCCGCGCTTTGAACAGTTCCAATTCGCCTTTGTTGTCAAACTTGAGCTTGAACACCCATTTTGCACTTATCAGATTTCCATCAGTAGGAATGTCCACAATTTCCCAGGTAGCGTTCTTCGATATTGGTCGAAGCTCTTCTTCGATTGCCTGCCAACACTCCTGCCAATACGGGCTGTTCATTGCCTCCTCCACGGTTACTGGCTCCTTGATCCCGTCACGCTCTAGTAGTACCGCAAAGGCAGTACCCTCCTTGAGTACGATAGTGAGCAGGACAGATGCCGGAGTGGCGAACTCTTCGAGAAAAGATTGGGGCAGCCGAAAGTCATCGCGTGGTAGTGCTCGTGTACCTCGATTCAGGCCAAAGATGCGCTGGATGGCACGCGACGTAAGTTGATGCTGCTCTGCAGGGCTACCAGCCCGTGCTTCCTCACCATTAGCGTCATGTGGGGTGTTGGTTTCGTGCTGTTGATCGCCAGCTTCCTCCTCCTCGCCGCTATTGTCTGCGTCGACAGCGTCCATGTATCGCCCCACGGCTCGCGAGTCCAGACGGTCAATGTTCCGGATGTGTGTTGTAGAAATAACACGTTTGGTTCGCGGGATGAGAACACGGTACACTTTCTTCTTGAAGTCGATGCCAATAACAACTCCTCTTTCAGCGCGCTTTTTCGCTGATCGCTTCGTTGCATGAGCGATCTGGCTCGTACACTTCGAGCCGAATTTGAGGATGTGCGAGACACTGGGTCGTTTTCCGGAGAGGGCCTCAATGGGAGACGCATGGTCGGCGTTCGCTCGAGTCGGCAGATAGTTGCGAATGTAGCTCGCATACAGAACAGCATCGCCCCAAAATCGCTGTGGCAATGCCGAGGCCCAGAGCATCGCTCGGGCGGAATCCATGACAGTCCGGTGAAAACGCTCTACTTTTCCGTTTGAGGATGACATGCCCGCCTCCGATTCTTGGTGGAGAATACCCCGGTTGCGGAGGAAGCGGCCGAGTCTGGTGCTGCCAAATTCACCACCACCGTCCGAGCGAATCATCTTCACCTTGGTGTCGTATTGTCGCTCAAACTCGCTAACAAAGTCCTTCCAATGCCCTTCCACGTCGCTCTTTTTGCGGAGCAAGTAGACGCGATTGTAGTTCGTAGCGTGGTCTACAATGGTCAAAATGTGTTTGTGACCGAGCCGATCCGGGGTCATGTCCGTCTTCAGGTCAACGCACAAGGTAGCGCCCGGTTCGTCCGTTGGGGCAGATGTAGAAGTATCCTGCTTGTTCTTCGCGTGTCGAGCTTGTTTCGCTTCAGCGCAGTTCATGCAGAAATCCACCTTCCGATTAGAGGCAACCATGCCTTCAACGAGGTTTTTGTCAATCATGCGTACCAGATCCTGGTAGTTCACGTGCCCCAGGCGTTCATGCCACTGCTGAAGCATAGAGGTCGTCATTGCTGCGAAGGAGGCCGCGCCTTGCTCGATTCCAACAGATCAAAGCCCAGTCGAGGCTGAATTACCCACTTCGGCAACAATCTTGCCCGTCTTGTTCGTAATTGTACACTGCTCCTCACCAAAGGTACAGGTGTAGCCTCGAGCGGTGAGTTGAGCCACTGAAATTAGGTTGCGGTCAATACCTTTTGCGAAGTACACGTTTTCTAGCAGGACAGTACGAGGCACTCCTTCTGCCATCGTCGTGATGACAGTCTTTCCCTTCTCAGTAGCGGCGACAAGATCTCCATTCGCCACTCGCACCGACAGGAATGCTGGATCTATCGCGAAAAGTTGGTCACGGTCGATGCAAAGGTGGTGAGTTGCTCCCGAATCCACTGTCCAAACATTTCCTCTCGTGGCAGAAGCGCCGCGCTCGGCATCGTCGGCAGCGACCCAGACATAGCCTTCATCATCAGAATCTCTGGATGTGTCGTCATCATCAGCAGCGGCTACGTTCGCACTTCCTCTGGTGGCTAGTTGTTTTGCCTGTTCCACGAGTGGACACGTGAAAATCTTGTGACCAGGCTTCCCGCACACATGGCAATGTATTGCACCACGATGACCAGCGGCGGTAAAGGCTTGGCCGTTATTTTGCTGCTGCGGACGTCGATCCGAGTTGTCGTTGTTGTTTCGCTGGTTACGCCAATGCTGATCATCATTGTGGATATTTCCCCCCCCCCTGAATTCGGGTTCCGGCGGTCAGCATGACGGTTTTTGCGTTCATCTCGCTTCGCACCACATCTGCGCCCGTCACCTTTCAGCTTGTATAGCAGTCGCTTCATGCGATCGGTTTCCGCAACGTAGTCGCTTGCGTCGTCGGGCACTGAAGACAACAGCGTGGGCGCTAACTCGGGGCATGCATTGTTTCCGAACACCTCCATGACCATCTTGGTCTGATCACCTTCCATGAGGCTCTCGATGAAGTTCAAGTATTCCAGGTAGTCATGCCACGTATCGCCACCACGCTTGTTACACTGCATCTTCGTGCTGAGTTCGAGTTGGCTTAGTTTACAGCCAAACTCTGCACGCATCGCGCGCTTCACATCTGAGTACGGCATGCTGTCACCATTATGACGGCGCTGCCACTCTGAGTTCTTCTCGTGATAGTACCTAGACGCTTTCCCCTCGAGGAAGTTGACAATCACCGATGCCTTGATGTCGTCCAGGTGGATCCGTTCACGAGCTCTTCCGTCCTTATTGCATGCTCGAACTCGTGGATGAAATTCTCGAAGCCAGCTCCTAACCCAGGGTAAACCTCGTTTCCCTTGAAGTTCGAGCAGCATACGTCCTTGATTTTAGGCTTCTTCGGTGATGGAGGTGCGGTTTCCATGCTAGTATCCGACATGGAGGGGGCACGGGGCGCTCGCGTCGCGAGCTGCTTCTTCAGTTCTGCCAGCTCGGACTGCAGTCGAAGGATGAGCTGGAGCTGGTCGTGCTGCTCCATTGTCTCTTGGTCCGAAGGGTCGAAGTGCAGGTCGTCTGGCAGTCCTAGGCGAGTATTCCTTCCGTCTTGGTGGTCTTCGTCAGCCTCGTTAGCACCTCGTGCCTCCGAGTATTCTTCAAGGGCTTCGTGGTCGCATCGCGAGTCTTCGAAGTCTTCACTGGTCGCGGTCGCTGCGGTAGGCGAGCCAGTTCGGCTCATAACCTGAAGGGAGCACTCGTTGATCCTGCACGGGTTGCTCCTTGTAGTGGTGCCTCGCATCTGGTGTATTGCAGAATGAGTTAGGTTGGATGATGCTAGGATGTCTGTGCTAGGCTAATATGCATCGGTAGTTTCGTGTTGTGTAGCTGGAGGGGTCGTTGTGGTCGTCGCAGGCTGTTATCGTCGCCACTGCACTCATCGCAGGTGGCGCCAGCTCTCGCATGACAGTACTAGGTACTTATAAAAATACTGAAGCTAAGCTTATTATATCAATCGAAAGAGATCAAGTGGGGTCTGCTCTAATGGCGGCAGCGAAGGGGAATCACGTGGAGATAATGGCGCTGCTCGGGACAAAGGTGGATTTGAGACGCCGCGATGGCTGCTCGGCGTTGCACTTGGCCGTGGCCAGTCAGCGCCCGAAAGCTGCAAAACTGCAGCTCGGCTTCGATGCGGACGCATCTTTCGCTAACAATGACGGAGTGATGCCCATGAAGTTAGCCGTTGAAAATGGCCTCTTTAATTAATCAGACTCTTGTTGAGGGTGGCGCCACAGTCGATACGAGCTGTGTCCCAGAACGGCGCCAACGTTCTCGCCATTGCAGCTCAAGCTAGTCAAGTTGAGGTACTGAAGTTGTTCCTAGAGTGCAGAGCCCAGTGAATTTAAAACAGTGGCGCGGATCGAACTCCGCTCATGTTCGCGGCGGCAACCGGTCGGGTTGGAGGCTCTGGAGCTTTTGCTGGAACATGGAGCTGAGTCCAACAAGACGGCAACACGGCTCTGACTATCGCCGCTGAATCGGGGCAGGTGGAAGCGGTTGGAACCTTACTAAGCCACAGCGCTCGGGGCAATACGAGCGAGTTCCCGGAGGTGGCGCCGTTAGCTGCAGCGGCGCAACATGGGCACGTGGAAGTGATTCAGGTGCTGCCCGGTACATCAAGCTGATGTGGACGTCCATGATAGGGGCTGTGTATAGAGCTGTGTACAGTGGGCAGCTGGAGGCAGCTCGCGCGTTGGTAGAGGCTAGTCTTGGCGCCAACGTGAACAAGCGGAACCAGAGCGGGTGGACGCCTCTCATGGCCGCAGCACATCGGAACTTTGCGCAGATTATGGAGCTTTTGCTGGAGAGGGGCGCCTCGCTCACGCTGAAGACGAAGGATGGGCGGACCGCTCTGCATATTGCAGCTCAGGAAGGCCACACAGAGGCGGTTGGTCTCCTGCGTCGGTCGAGTGGCGTTAGTGGGCACTGTTAATCGGTTGAAGCGGACACCGTTGATGCTGGCGGCGTAGGAAACTGTTCAGCTGCTGCTGGACAACGATGCGAGCCTGGACTATATGGACCAAAATCCACTGCAGGTCGCTCTCTCCAACAGCAAGATTGACGTCGCAACGTTGCTGGAGATAGACGTCGAATTCAGTATCACGTCAAGGGAAGAGTGAAGAGGCAGCGTGCAGCAAATGTAAGAGTCCGTGAAGGGTATCTCAGTTCGATGATAGGGATACCCTGGAGGTGCGCGTGGTATCTCACTACGTAGCGCCCATGGGTTGAAAATTATCAACCCATGATTCGATCGGTTCATGAGATTCTCTCACAATTTAATTTTGTGAGAGAATCCGGACGCAAGCAAACCTGATCGAAAGCTAGAAAATGAGTTGCGCTGCCGTTACCCGCAGAACTATCATTCTCGCCTCCCTTCCTGCCAGGATCACAAGTCTATCTCATGTCATGGACCGAGTCGAGGAACTGCTTTGGACGCCGATACCGAGCCAGCGTCGTGCCCAAACAGGTCCAGTCCAGAAGCTCCGAGCCTTGCGATATAGCCACATCCAAGCAAAATTGGTCCGTGATCTCGACAATGGGGTCACTTGAGTCTTACCGAAGCGCCGAAATCAACCAGCGAGGCACCACCTTCTTTACCACAATGCAGCATGATATTGGCGGGTTTCAAATCCGCAAAGCAATAGTTCTTGGAGTGAATATGGCCAAGTGCACTGACGCAGTCGCAAGCAATAGTGGTCAAGGCGCGAAGTCCAACCGGAGCATGTAGCGTGAGCAAGTCAGCAGCACTCCGAGCAAAGAAGGGCATCACAATAATGTGTCGCTGCTCGCCTTCAGAACTCTCAATGGAGAAGGACTTCACAAACTGGACGATATTCGCGTGTGTTTCCAGCGCGCGGTTGACGTCAACCTCTCTCTGAAACGCCTCGCTGTGCATCGCTCCATACACTTTCGCAGACCAGATCTGGCGTAGGCATAGTAAAAAGCAGACTTCCCTTGACCTTGGCGCAACTTGAGCGGGCCATTCAGCTCAAAACCTTCACGAATTACGATGACGTTCCGCGTCGCCGCCTTGATCGCTGATCGGGCGAATGCAATGAGCACAAGCGCTTCCCTACGGGTCAAGTAGGCCGCCCTAAGGGAATTATACATGCCAGTCTCCCTTTCGAGTAAGAACTTCACTTCCTCCGGGGTGAAACTTACTTGAAGCCGGGTCAAATTTTTGGAAACTTCCAGGTCACGAGAAGCTCGAGTTGACTCCGACACCGTCACTGGAGCCTCCACCAGCAGGTGAATTGGGCCCAGGCCAACAACTTTGTCTGCTTCACTCGCTTCGCCGAGTTGGCCACTTGCCAGCCCCACGCATCGTAAGTGCGCGTCCGTAGACGAGACGCGAGTATAGTCACTAGTGTCTCTCACTCCTCCCAGCGCTTCACGTTGTGTCAGCCATTTCTCCCCGTCCTCCTCCTTCTTTCTCTTCGCTAGGAAGAGTTGCAGGTCTTCGGCATCGCACGTGATCGTCACTGGTTTCTCTGTCTTGATCGCCTCCTTCAAGTCTTGAACCCTGTCCAGCTCGTCCACCTGCACCAAGAACGGGCTCCCAGTCTCTCCAACGACCGCACACCAGAGCTTCAACATCATTTCAATCTTACGGTATAATACTCGATAGAAGAAGGCTTTTCGTCTTCTTCGGCTTTTTTTTAAAAAAAAAGACGATCTGGACGTTTTCACCAAACACGACTACTTTCACTTGAAATATGTATGCGTCGCCGCTCTTAATACTGGCCCCTTGGCCGTTCTCGTAGAGTGCCTACCCCTTGATCTTCCTTCATTTAGCCCCTGTGACAATGTTTATTCTGTAGGATACAGAATACGGGGTTAGAGGGGTTAACCCCTTCGAAGTTCGAAAGAGAGGACAAGTTTGCTGGATATATATTATGTCCTGTGACAATGCTTATTCTGTAGGATACAGAATACGGGGTTAGAGGGGTTAAGCGGGAACGATACCCAAACCAAATGGCTACAGTCCCATTTCGGGCGATGCCAATGGCGTCCAAGCGTGTCCACGACTCCGTCGGTGGCACCGAAGCTCCTCCTCCGCGCTCCAAACGTGCACGCCCGTCTCCAGACCAGGAGGAGTGCAAGACCGATAGCCAGGAGCAACCGTCCGAGGTCGATGCGTCTTCCCCGCAGTTCCCGAGGCTGCAGCACGTGTCGTTCCCCGTAGCGATCGCGGCGCTTCCTCACGTGCTGCGGCTCATTGACACGATGGTGGTGGCCCCAGAGGAGGCTCTGGTTGAGGCGACGTCCACCCACCAAGTGGAGTGGGTGGAGCAATTGTTGCAGAGGTTCGACGACTGCTCCCTGGAGGGAGCCATGATCCAGGCAGCGACAAATGGCTACACGGATGTTATCGAGCTGCCACTGGAGCATATTGATGGGTACAATTCGGAAGACGACGAGGTGGAGTTCGATGACAATACGAAGGAGTTCGTGCGGAAGGCGGCCGAAGTCGCGGCCGAGCACGGCCACTGTGAGGCTGTGCAGGTGCTGATATCGCTCGTTATGGACTTTGATTGGAGCCGCTACTCGTCGGCCTTCTACCATACAGCTCGAGGTGTTCTGGACGCGGCGGCTGGACGTGGCCATCTTAATGTGGTAAGATTCATGGTGCAGCACGCCCATCAGTATCGCTACAACCAGCGCTTTTCCATTTGGGCTTCTGTCGACACGTTGGAGCATGCGCTTGCTGGTGGACACCTCGGTGTGGCAAATTTCCTCATCGACTACAGCGACATCTTTTGGAATCTCAAGCGAGCTTTCGTTGTTGCGATGGAAAGGGGACTCACGACGGTCGCGGACAGAATTGCTGGCGTCTTTCCAGCTTGATTTCACGGCGACAATCTGTTCTCGGAGCTGGCGGAATCTGGTGAGCTGGAGGCGGTGAACTTTCTCTACGACAATGGGTCCAACGACGCACGGTCGGTCGAGAAAGCTTTAGCCAGCGCAGCGAATGGCGGAAGTGCAGAAGTTGTGGAGTTCTTACTTGATACGGGTCTGGTCTCCTCGGATGCGTTCGATGAAGCCTTCAAGCGCGCGTGTTGCGGCTACAAGACCACCGACGTGGTCAAGTACCTATACAGCCTGAAGCGTACAACCCCACAAGGAATCAACCGAGCTTTTGGTACTGCGTACGATGTCGAGGTCCTAAAGTATCTCGACGAAAACGAGAATATCACGGATGAATCCATTACGGCTGCCTTTAAGAAATGGACAAACCGTGGTTTCGCTCGCAAATTCGACATTTTGAAGATCCTCGTCAGCAGGCCTTGTGTCCCCTCTGAGCTCATCGATAAGGCTCTCGTTGCGGCAGCAAAAGACGATAAAGCGGGAATCTTGGATCTGTTGCGTCGTGACTCGCGTGTGTCCGATAGAGCGATCGGAGAAGCGTTCGTGCAAGCGGTTTTATCAAACAAACCGAGTGTCCTGGAGTCGATGTATGAAGAGCAGTGCGTCCCTCCCGAGGCACTTCTTAAAGCGTTCGCGGAGGCTGCACACCGTAAACGGATCGGCATCGTGAAGGCGATCGTAAAGATGCTGTCCGTACAAAAGCGTGTGCCCCGAGAATTCAGGTGCAAAGCTCTGATCGCAGCCGCTCACCATGGCCACATGGAGATATTCAAGGTTGTTACTGAAGCCGAGGCAGAAGATTGGCCTCTAGAGGCATTGAAGGAAGCTATCGATGTCGCCGAAGGAAACCTGAAAATCGTCAACCTGCTTCGGAAGTTGGTATGTAATCAGGTGTTCAAGGAGGGGATCAGAGTTAGCCTGGGCTGTGATGCCTTTCGCACGAAGTGCTCAGATATTTCCAAGCCCCTAATCGTTTTTCAGCAACAATTCAACCATTATATTTACACATCCGTAGCGGTTTTAAAGCAGTATAACAGTACCAGCATGTCACTTCAGTGTGGCTCATTCTCCTCACTGAACTGGTTATAGTGCAAAGTCATTATGGCGCTAACTCTACTGTATTCAGCTCGATTGCTTCACTGGCGAAACTAGAATCGACAACTTCAGCGTGGCCATTTCTGGCAGCTGCCATCAACGCCGTCACCGCGACGTTTTCGTGGTATGAAGTATAGTTCGTACTCCAAACCAGAGCCCGGTCCACGCGAATAGACCCCCGTGTCGCTGCAAGTTCCGTTGGCACGGACACATCCGCGCAATGAGAGTTCTCCAAAAGGTTTTTAACGCCATGGTCATCTCTTTCGAGAGCCTCGACGAGGCCTTCAGGAAATTCTTGCACCAGTCTCCACATCTCCGTACCGCTGCCGCCTTAATGATTGCCTCCGTCGACACTTCCGAGCTCTACTCGAGACAAGAGCTTATCACACAATTGAATTGTGGGTATTACGCACTGGACAGGCGCGTTGGAAAACTCATTGCCAGCTGCCTCTTGGAACCGAGTCGAAGCCGCATTGAAGCAGCCATGGCACCATTGCTCAGCTCCGTGGTTCCCACGTCGTATCAGTACACTGAAGTTCCTATCCATAGTCAAGCATGTTCAGTACCGTCGCAGCCATTGGCCTATCGAGCGAAGCGCACGTCGATCAGGCGGTGGGCCAGCTGCCCGGGCTGCTCTGTGTCCTAAGTATCTACCGACCCGGTGTTGACGTCAGTAAATCCTCGTGTTGCCCCGCCAAGTCGTCGTGTTCTTGAGCGCATATTCTACTTCCGGAGCTGTCTCGGATGGGGCCGCAATCTTCCTGCTAATGGTTTCGATAGCATGCGCAACCACTCTAAGTGGCCAAGTGTCGAGAAAAAAATCGTCCCAGTTTTTTTTTATAAGTGAGTGCTTAAGTATCGATGCTATCAAACTCGCAAATTAGATATTCATCTGGCCGTCTTCTCCTCTCTCTCTCTCTCTCTCTCTCTCTCTCTCTCTCTATTTGATTAATCACTGCTGTTGTTGTTTGCAAGCAGGAAATCTAGGACTTCTGAGTGCTCCATCACGCGGGTATGCTCTAATAGGTCGCTTATTGCCCGTGGAGATGCGCGCTGCTTGTCGTACAAACACTTGGCTATACGTTCATGTCCTGCGCTCGCACCGGCGAGAAATGCTGTTGTGATGGCATCACGAGAAGCTCAACCGTGATTGCTAAACCACTCCACAACAGTTAAATCATCCATCCTAGCAGCATTAATGAATTCGCTGATGCAATTGCAATTATCACGGGAAATCCACGCTTGCCCCCCCAGGTAGTTGGCAACGCGAACGTTCTTCTGCCGAACTGCCGCCACTAGCATCTCGGCAGCCAGCCAAGAGGGAACGTGACCATTTTCCCACAAGAACTTTAAAACCTTCCGTTGGGTGTTGGTGCACGCACGTCTAAATACCGTCGCCTTCAACTCACCGGAAAAGTATCGGCTTCTGCACAATACCGCCATAACACCGATGCAGCTAGCAGTTCCCGCATCCACAAACACCCGATCGATCGAGCCTCTCGGTATTTCACAGCTGCCGCCAACGAGGAACTTGACAAACACAAGTTGCTCTGGACCTCCATATTCAATATAGAATCGCACCGCTCTCTCGAACACTTCCTTGAATCGCGACAGGTTTCCAAAAATCCGAGTTGCTACGTCGAAACACCTAGCGCGAACAACATTACGGAAAGCTGCTGCCACTGCCTCCGGTGCAATGTTCCCCCAATCCAGCAATACGGACGAAACACGACAGTGAGAGCGCTCCACAGAAATCCTTAGAGCATGAGCCATGACATCAGAGCGAATAAACGGCCGCTTGTTGTTTGCTGCACAAACCGATTGCATCGCGTCCGTATCGTCATTATTTATCAGGAGCTCAAGTAAGCTCTGACTTCCGAAAGGAGGGAACAATGCATAGATCGCTTCTGCAGTGTGGTGCTGGTCGTTATCCGATGCATTGATTAATGCCTGACGGTACCAGCGTTGGAGTTCTGGACAGCGCTCCATAATCACTCGAATTTTACTCAGCACGATCCTGGTTTCGTGTGCCAATGCTCCCGGTACGAAATACAAGCTCGAGTACCACTCGACTGTTTCCTCAGCGGCGAACTCCAGAATATCAACGCGCCTTTTTGCTGCGGCCGATGATAGGAGGTGTGGAAGGCATTTCTCCTCAACTCGATTCCACTGACACCAGCTGTATAGCTGTTTGGTAGTATCCAAATCGTCACTTTCTCCTACTGCTTCCAGTAGCCGTTGTTCAGGGATACAGGGTCCTATCAGTGCTTTTGTCTTTTCCCCTTCATGTGTAGCAACCGTCGCTAATTTCACAATATTGCAGTCGAAGTGTTTTACCAGCCTCTGAAGACGAAATGATTTTCCATTTCTTGCTGCTACCAACGCGACTTCATAGAGCTCCATCGCAAACGTGTCGAGCATCTCCACCACGTGTGACAACGCAACGATTCGCGACGGCAAGAATGCCTCGATGCTCTGCTTGCGTGTAAAGCTTGCTACGGTCTCCATGTCAAATTCTTTGACAAAGCTTGCACCACTGGACGCCATGGCCGACGTTCTTTGTTTCCCCCAATTCTGCGACTGAAGATTTAAGAATTTGGTCAGAACGAGGTCGAAACCTTTCTATCACATGAGATTCGAGATACTACGATCCGATAAACGTATCTCCATCATTCACAGAACTCATCCGAAGCTTTGCTGTTGGTAGGTATGACGTATCTTAACGATGAATCGACTGGTGATGAATGCCTCTACGCCGATCGCCGATACCGTCTCTTCATACACCTGTAAGCAAAGTCTGCAGGCATTCCTGCCTTCACGAGTTGCAGCATTGTCACATGTAGTGGAGAGAATTGGCTCCCTAGCCATGACCACTGCCGATCGGCTGGTAGAGGCAGCAAGACAAAGGAACTTGAAACTCCTTAAGGAGCTCGCGTGGGACCTCCGCTTCGACGTGTTAACTGTGGTTGCTGCTGCCACAAAGGAGACACCCAAGACGTTAGACGCGATAGGATCCTGTTTTCGAGACTGGACTTTCGTGGGTGCACTGCATAACGCAAAACAGCTCGACACGATCAAACTTCTTTACAGGTGGATAAAAGGAAGGGAGAAGATGAACGCCTTACCGTCGATGCTACAGATAGCTGCTACCCAAGGAAGTTTTGACATTTTGGAGTTTGCGTCCGAGCGTATCGTTGTCGAGTTTTTGGGTAAAGATCCCGACAAGTGGCTAACGCGCAGAGAACGACGGCGTAAGTTGAGCAAAATTGTGCGGGTCCTGCAGACATTCCAGTCGGTCCAGCGGTGGTTCCACCGAGCATTTTACAGCGCGTTTCGAAAGGGGCACAGAGATTTCGCAGACAGGATTTACGCCACTTATCCTAGTTATCCAGCTTGCATCAAGGATAAATTGTTCCAAACTGCCATGAGGGTTGGCTGGGTTGAAATTGTGAAATTCATCTTCTGCAAAGGACGCATTAACGCTGAAGCAAGTAATCGAGCTTTTAAAGGCCCAGCAGATTGTCGACGCTGTGATATTTTGGCGTTTCTCCTGGAGAATGCAGATATTTCAGTGGAGTCCGTAGAGGGGGCATTCACGAGAGCTATTCGTTCCAGATCGATCGACGTGGCCACTCTACTCCGCTCAACCAAGCGAGTCTTCCCAACGCTGCTAAACGAATTATTCGAGGATGCTGTATATCTGGATATCGTTCAGGTTTTATACGACGGGGAACTCATTTCGACCGACGTGATGGAGTCTACCTTTCAGAAAGTAGCGGGTGCCTGTATGGCAGACGCATGTGGAGATCGTGCTGAGGTGACCCAGTTCATCTCAGACAGCGGGCGGATTCCGCGGGAGACGGTCGAGAAGGCCTTTGTGAAGGCTGCCAATGCGAATAGTTCTATCCTTGTAGATGCGCTGTGCAGGAACCAAGTTATGCGTGGTGATGTTATTGCGATGGTGTTCAAGGATGCCTGCGCTAGCGGCAAATTGAAAATTGTGAAAGTGTTGTGCAAAAATGGTCGCATTTCCCCGGAGCTGGCCGCCAAGATGTTAGGGACAGCGATTCGACGTGGTCGTCTCAATATCGCGAACTTTCTTTGGGGGCAGGAGTGGATTCCTTACAAGTATTTCAGCCAAGTGTTCATCGATGCTGCCAAGACGGGTGACATACAAGTTGTGGATTGGTTTAGTAGCCACAACCGAGCTTCACGTGAGTCCATGGCGGTGGTATTTTAGACTGTGCAAGTTGGTGAAGCGTGTGTGTGTATACCCAGCTCTTGCGACCGCCAGTGCTACTTCATCTGGTTCTACCGCTTGTGTGTCGATCATCTCCACTACAATGCGACAACGCGAAAACTCGAGAAGCAAGGATTACTTCGAGCCATTGTCAGCGGGGACCGTCTCCAGTATACAGAGCAAGAAAGAGGAGGTCGAAAGCATTCAATCAGACAAGAATTTCTACAAAGAATGATGGTTTGGTTCTCAAACAAAATTGTGAAAGTGTTGTGCAAAAATGGTCGCATTTCCCCGGAGCTGGCCGCCAAGATGTTAGGGACAGCGATTCGACGTGGTCGTCTCAATATCGCGAACTTTCTTTGGGGGCAGGAGTGGATTCCTTACAAGTATTTCAGCCAAGTGTTCATCGATGCTGCCAAGACGGGTGACATACAAGTTGTGGATTGGTTTAGTAGCCACAACCGAGCTTCACGTGAGTCCATGGCGGTGGTATTTTAGACTGTGCAAGTTGGTGAAGCGTGTGTGTGTATACCCAGCTCTTGCGACCGCCAGTGCTACTTCATCTGGTTCTACCGCTTGTGTGTCGATCATCTCCACTACAATGCGACAACGCGAAAACTCGAGAAGCAAGGATTACTTCGAGCCATTGTCAGCGGGGACCGTCTCCAGTATACAGAGCAAGAAAGAGGAGGTCGAAAGCATTCAATCAGACAAGAATTTCTACAAAGAATGATGGTTTGGTTCTCAAACATGTTTTCGTTTAAAAACAAAAAAAAGTGCAAACCGAACGACGTTCAGATCTTTTTTTTAATAAGATGTGTCGTAGTCACTTAGTTGCTAACGACCGCTAATCTCACATCCTACCTACGCCCGTTTTCATCGCTGGCAGGTCTTTAGCGGACCAACCCGGAAGAGTTTTATCCGCAATTGTCTGCACAATCATCCAGCCATTGGCGTAAATTACGGTCAGCGTATCGTATCACTACCGTGTGGAAGTGATCACCCGTAGTTTCCGAAGAAAATATCACTTGCCTGCTGCGAGCGGTGTCCATAGCCAAGTTGCTAGCGTCCGCTGTCGTGTTAAATGCCCTGAGTTGATGTGCCCACTTGAGTACCTTACACTTGTCAGCCAGCACTCTGCATCGCATAAAGTTGACGCAAATGGTACGCAAATGACGTTCAGGTCTGCCAAGAATCTTCCCCAGCGCTCTGTCAACGCAATGTCAGCACGACCTGAACCGGTGCTATGTGCGATCCTGCTACGATGAATACTTCGAAAAGATCCTAGCTGCTCTAGCAAGGGGCCACGACATCATCACGGTTACTGGGTCTCCATACTCAATCTCCTAGTCAATGTTCGACGCACTATCGCTCTGCTTCATGCTGGATGCGCTCGACAAAAGCAGGAACCGGGACGTCAATGTTCTTCGCCTACTTTTGCTCTCGATACAGCGAAAGCATCGTCGCCGCTGCGTTCACAAACACGTCTGAGTTGCAGCGAGTAGCCGTGTTTGAGCAAGGCCGTATCACTAATACGATAAAACGGAACAGGTACGGATTCCTGGAAGACGTTCAAGCCCAAGCCATTGCCCGACGTGCGGATTACATCTATTCGTACGATGGATCGCCGAGTTTCGCTCCGACGGCCCCAGCACGGGTCGTCTGCTTTACTAGCCCGAGTGCAGACTGGTTTCGCCAGATGCTGGATGAAGAGACCGCGTTGACGCTGTACATGCCGCTGTGGGGCATGGAGGAGCTAGTGACAGCAGCCAATTGCCTTCAACTGGGCTTGCTGGGTCCTCCCGTGACTCGAGCCACAGTGGAAGAACGGCGCTACTTCTTTGGAGGTGTTGCTCGTGATTGCCTCCGTACAATCGAAGTGGAATTGCCAATGCTTCGCGTTCGTCGAGAGATTCACGGTGTAAACATTTTGGATCTGGGGCGACTGAGGAATGGAATATGGGCTCCGATGCATTATCGCATTTAGCACGTCCAGCCAGTACCTGGTAATGCATTTAAACGCACGGAGCGCAGTTTATCCTGATAGTCAAGGCAATCAGCTAGGACTCCAAAATTCGGAGTCCGAATCACAAAAAGGCTACGATGCAGCAATTCAAAATTCCTTACTAAAACATCGTAGTGTTTTACTTCTCTGCAATAGATGTTCGAACAACCACCGCTGCTCAATACGCTCGTACCTCCGCTTTGCGAAAACATTTATCTTTCTGCTGTACTTTTACTCGAGAAACAAATACTAAATCTAACGTAATGACACACTACAGTAGCTCGCTCGCCACTCCTCTACGCCGGTTCATTCCTGATTCCACCGACCCAAGCGCACAAGACGTCGGGATGCCCTCGATCCCCCTCTCCAAGTACGACCGCTACCAGCGCGCCGTCAGCTTCTTCCTGGACTGGCTCATTCGCGCCCATGGGCACGGCCACCCCAGCGCCGATCGCATCAACCTCGAGTTGCTGAACGTTACGGCCCAGGAGATCGCCACGGACCCGTCCTCGCTCAGCCAGAAGCTGCTGCAGGAGTTGCCCAAGGCGCTGTCGGCTTGCAAGTGCGCCCTGAAACTCGACTCACGCGCCAGTTCTCTGACAACCCGCACTCGATTTCCAGCGCTACTGAGCACCTGGCACCGTTCGCTGGAGAACAGCGTAAAATCGAGTAAATCGGCTGGAAAAGAGTATTCTGCTGGCGAGAAGGGCTTCGTTTTGGACGTTAAAACGCCAAAAAGCGTCAAAACGGCGCTGAAACGGGTATGCCAGGAGGCGTTTGAGGCCGATTTTGGGCTGGACGGGGTGTTGTATGTCTCGGAGCAGGAGGAGCTGGTCACCGGCGTGTACCAGATTTATGTCGGGGTCAAGGCGGAGATTTACTCCATGATCGAGGCCACCGTCGTGGCCAAGCTGGCGATGGACACAGCCAGCGACCTGACCACGCGGGACGCCCCGAGATTCGAGCCATGCAAGACTTGATTGAGGCGATCGGTGTCCACGCCCCCAGACTGTACGCGCAGACTGTCAAGAGTGTGGATGCCATCCAACAAACCTTCGACAGGGAGGGGACGTACACGTTCTCGCCGTTCGAGTTGATCCGGGACTTTGAGGTCATCTGGGCCACGCTGACGTGCTTTAGTACCGGTTTGCCGTCCAATATGCGGACGGGGTTTATCTTCACTCCGAGCGACAGAGAGCGATACGGAGAAGAGCGCACGCCCAGCTACGTGCTCCCGCACACTGACATGTCCAGGTTCGTGCTGGTGAACCTGTCGCTGCTGTACAACACCAACTGCGAGAAGAAGGAGGTCACGGGCTCTGGATACGACCGGTCGAGACTGGAGGGCGGGTTCATGGGCCTGATGAACGACTACTTCGCGTCGCACCAGGTGACGATTCCGCTGGTGTTTGCTTGGACTTGCTGGGTGAAGGAGGTGGCCGCGCTGCAAGGTGACGGAGGACTCTGTCGCAACATTAGCGTGACGCTGAAGCACGCGAGGGATCTGACGCAGCACATCCATTCGGTCGTGAGCAGACCCACGATCCTGGACGTCCGCCGCCCAGACCCTTCCAGCAGTGGGTCGCTACCGAACCTATCGTTCCTACTACAGCGCTCGAACCCGTTCAAGGCTGGGTTCATCGTGCTGGACATGCACCTCGCGTGTATCCGGGTCGGGCACGAGTGTCTGCCCAACGTACCCATTTTTCGGGCCTTTGGGCATCTGTACAATGCTCGTGTGGGTCAAGGGTTTCTCGAGCCCATTCCGTTCCTTGAAGACGTCTTGAAGCTGTACGAGAAGTTGATTTTCACGCCGTCGAGAGCTGCGGCAGTGCGTGGCGCGTACGACCGCAAGTATCTCTACGATTCAGGATATTTCTTCAGGTCGAGGAAGAATATGGTTTCTCCTGGGAACCAGTGGATTGACGAGGAGAAGCCGGGAGGACTGCGCGAGGTATCGAAGATTTGGCGATTTCTTAGCCAAAACGACAGCTCCGATTTCAGAAGCACGAGTCTGACGAAAATGCTGTACACTGCTGCGGAAACTTGCTCGTCCGAGTTGTATGAGACGCGAGTGCTTACTCGAGATGTGATGCCGATTCTGTACGATATTGCTGATGCCTTCTCAGAACTCTGTGACGAGTTGGGCCAGCAGCAGGTCTACAAGAAGTCCATGAATAATGGTGTCCATGGAGGTTCTGTCAAGGAACGCGCTATTGAGGCGCTGGAGAACGCACTCATGTATCCTCTGCTGCCGCTACTGGGTGCTTTACAGTCTGACGGGTCACTTGACTTTGGCGTCCTTCCTCCAGCAATTTCGTCGCAATCGGAGAGCTCTTTCAGTGCTGAGCAAGTCCATGACATGGCCAAGAAAGCTGCAGCAGTCATTAACGCCAAATTCGCCGTCCCGTCCTCTGAAGTTGAGCGCAGGTACTTTACGTTTCCATCGGAGCCGGACTTTGTTACGAAGGAGTACGGCACAGCATCGTTTAAAGCCAAGACGGAACGTGAAAATCGCGATCAAATATTCTCGGATCTGATGCGGCTGCTTGGAGATAGTAGGGGGCCTCTTTCCAAAGACAACCTCTCCTATTTGACAGAAGAAATCAAGAAAGATCCGCAGCTTCTGAGCTTGATGACACCGCGCACGAGGACAAACCGAGATGATCTGTGTACGTTGCTGCATCAAGCCGCAGCTGGACCCGCTCACGATGCCGTTCTGGTCGAGTGGATGATCAATCTTGGCGAACTTTTCAACCAGTCGACGACGCACTGTCGCAAGGAGCCGCTGAAAAAGGACTTAGCGTGCCCTCGGGAATGTCTTCCCAACGCTATGGCTGTGCACAGCGCCGCGATCCAGGGCTACGATGACACTATGATGATCCTTCTCGCGGTGGACAAACTCATTGATCTGGATACGCCCACATTCCACACGAAGGAAACGATCGCGCACCTAGCAGTAAAGCACGGGCACTGGGCATTGTATCACCAACTGTGTTTCGTCGGAGCTGACATCTCGCTGAAGGACGGTAGGGGAGGCACGTTTGGGAGTTGACCACGGACCGAGAATGGTCACGGGCGGTTGCGGCGGAAATGTGCGTGAGGAAACCACTTCGATTGAATGGTTCACGCGTGGAGGCGAGTTGGAAGACGAATCGGAAGGGCCGAGAAGGCAAGGCGGCAACATCCCTGTACTTCCAGCATGACAAGCAAACCAGTCTTGCGGACGGGGGCAGCCACGCGAGTGCATTGAAAAAGAAGTCGAAGAAAAACAGGAAGAAAGGCAAGAGTGGGAAAGCGAGTCCTACGAGTCCTGCTGGCTCTACCCCCGATCCTCCAGCAGAAGAAAATCCAAGCGTACTGAAGTTTCTGTCGGGAGCCGCGTCGTCTACACAAGGAAGCGGCGAAGCGGTCGAGGTATCTATTGGGAAGGCGTTTGCTCGTTTGCGAGACCCAACCATTGCTGCTACGGACAAGCATGCGGACGCCCAGTACGCCTGCAACGTGATCGATATGCTGTCGGAGATAACAGCCGAGCTTTCCGCCCCAAACATGGTTGCCGACACTAGTTCCAACTTGAGGAAGACCGTGGCTTCCACTGCCTCCGAAGTGATTCACATGATGCAGAAGTTCCACCAGGTTGACCACGCAGCGCTCAAGCATCCGGTCCTTGAGCCTATCCGAGAGCGCACTAGTATGACGCGTGAATTCACAAGAATGGTGATGAACACGGCCCAGCTCTGCGTCTCGATCGACAGGAAGCAGCAGGCTTGTGAGGTGCTGAATGTGCTGGAGAAACGCTTCTTGAAATCAGCTTCAGCGAAGGATCGTCCGATGGACATTGCCGAGCTAGTTCGAATGTACGTGGCGGGTCGTGAATCAATGGGCTTGGGTAAGACTGCAAGCGCAGATTCGCTGCGAATGCTGGAGTCATTTTTGAACGAAGGGAAACTCAAGTCGGAGCCGGAACAAGCGCCTTAAATGGCAGGCAAAAGCCTCCGGGTTGGCTGTGGCCGAATCTGAATCATCCGTATCACGAAACGGTAAAAAATCTTCAGCTTACCAAAATTTACGTTGCATACTTCGCGCAGCTCGACTCGAATTCGATTGAGAAAAATTGATTTACCAAAGGTGGATGAGATTTTTTTAAATCCAATGTTATCGCGCGAGTCTACTGGAACTTCCGTATTCATTTTATCTAGAAGTGAGCTGTCCTGCACCATCCAATGCTGTAGTTAGCTAGTTTTGACCTTCCGCGATACTAGCGAGAAGAATGCGATCGATAGTTTGCTGCCTGGAGGTAATTACGAACTACGGTCGCTCCTGCTGAGATTTCAAGGCGGGGACTACTTTTACGTGCGTGAGGGCTGCATGGAGTACTGTAAAATCAATGAAGCTGAGTTAGGTAATAACGGCGGGGGAGGGTTAAGAACTGATCTAGATTCATTGCAGGCATCGGTATCTCCACGTTCTACGCGTTATGCTTAGCAAAATCCCGACTAGATCCATATTGCGCAGTCGTTCTTCGACAAGCAGCTATAACTCTCCGTCCACACAAAGCCTTGCAATCGGTTCTGAAGCAGGAAGTCCAGAACCTTGAAGTGCTGTAATTTGCAGGCACGCTTCATCAGGTCGGTCATCACTTCTGGAGAAGCCCGCTGCTTGTCATACAAGCACTCTGTCACCCCAAGATGGCCTGCGTCCACCCTAGCTATAAAAGCCGTAGTTATCACATCACGAGAAGCGCGGCCGTGTCTACAGAACCACTCCACAACTTTTACCTCGCCCATTCTGGCAGAATCGATGAAGCGGTTGATGCAATTAACGCGGGAACACAGTAGTGTCTGCCTCCTTGGACAGCCAGCTCGGATGAAAAGCGCTCCACTGCTTTCTCGACGGCAAATTCCAACATTTCAACCCTCCCATTCGTTGCCGCACGCGATAGCAAATGCGGAACGAATCTAGTCGGTGTCTGCTTTCGTTCGGACCATGTGTAAAGAACCTTGGCAGCTTCGAGATCATCACTTTCTGCAACCGCGAGAAAAAGTCGCTGCTGGGAGATATAGGAACCGATCGTTCTTAACGTCTCAGCCTCTTCGTCTTTCGCGGCACCAGCCAGATTCAAGATATCGCACTGCATGTCCGAGATGAGTGCGCCAGCACGCTCCCAGTTCTTGCGCCTTGCCGCCTGCAAAGCTGCTTCGTCCAGCCTCATCGCAAATGCGTCGATCATGTCCACTACATGGGGCAGAGCAGCAACTCGAGACGGGAGGAACGCCTTGAGGCTTTGTTGGCGGGTAAGTGTCTCCATGAACGCCTGTAGCGCTGACAATTTCTTTTTCTAGACTACAAGATGGGGGGAGGGGTGAATGGTATTCATGCATTTCCATCCATCTATCCAACTGTTTCTGGTAATTTTCTGAATGCGAAAGTATTATCCGCGTAAATGGCGCGTTAATCCGCCAGTAGATTGTTGCAGTAAGCCTCGGCGAAGCTGTTGGCCTTGTTCGAGCAAAGCGACTGCAGGTTTTCGGAGCTCTTCATACGTGATGCCGCTGCATTCAGCGCCAAGATGGCCCCAGTAACTGTTGCCGCTTCATCATCCCCGCTGTCTGTCAGTCTGCGTGATGAAGTTTCAGGCAGGCCCCACAGCAGCTTCGCGTGAGCCGAGTACAGATCCAGCACCTGGGTAAGCAGCGTGATGCCCATGACGGACGTGTGGTCCATGTTGCTGAGCTGCGCCATGATATTCCACGTGCCGATTTGGGACGAGCCGCTGTACTTGAGCGTCTTGCCCGTCGAGTCGTAGGCCATGGAAATGGTGTTGACCAGTCCGTCGTTCGGCTGCCAGTCCGTGGAGAAGCCGTTGTTTGAGCCGTAGCGACTGCCCAAGAAGACTGAGAAGACGTCCAGCGGGAGGAACATGGTGAGGATATTGGGCAGCGAGATCTTCCTCAACAGCCAGTCAACCGTTGAGTGCGTGTCCATCGTGGCGTAGCTGAAGTAGTAGACGTCCTCCAGGGTGGTGACCCACGCGTTCTCCTCCGCTGCTCCACTAGTGGACACAAATGTCCTTCAAGTCCGAGTCGAAGATGTTGCTGGAGAGCACCCGCTTGAAGTACGCGGACAGGGTCTCGTCGTCTTGCTTGGGGGTGATCCCCCACTGGTCCATCTTGGCATCGTAGAACAGGGTAGAATCGTCCCCGGCGATCCCCACAGCGGTGAATAACCCCCCAGCAAGTCGATAGCAGTATCTCCGAACGTGGAGATGCCGTTAGCGAGTAGCGTTCCCTGGTTCGGAGTCGAGATGGTCGTGATGGAGTGCACCCAACTGCGTCCGCCTTCGAAGAGCGGGTGGGAGGACGGATCTTCCTCCACGGGGGTTCCAGCAGTGCCCTTCTCCAGCATTTGGGTGAGCATTCTACTGGTCTGCCCACCCATACTGTGTCCTATGAGGTGGACTTTATTGACAGACCCGTCCGAGTTGACCTCCCACCATTGAGGGTAGAGGCCCGTCAAGTTGCGACCGTATCGGAGGTGTCCGTGCTTGGCTGAGTGGTTCTCCCCGTAGTCGACTTGCCCCCCCCCCCTTGATCTGCGCGTAGAGCTCGCAGGCGCGGTCCCAGTTGCTGGAGAATGGGCCGACGACGGCCGTGTAGACGGTGAAGCCTTGAGCCTCGAGCTCCTCCTGGAAATCCCCTTGTAGTCCGCCCCAGTACTTAAAGCCGAGCAGCTCGTCGCGGCCCCAACCGGTGAAGCCATGAACCAGCACGATCGGGTACGTGTTAGCAGCGAGGACTTGAGCTGGAATGACGCTTGTTGCGAGCATCAGTAGGGAAGCGATCGGGAGCAGCCATCGCGACGGCATTGCGCTTGATGCGGCCACCGCGGAATGCAAAGTGAGGTCCGAGCAACTGCCATCTCCTCCATCTTCTCCGGGTTACTGGGCCACGAGGGCGCGTGAAGACGCCGACACTGCTCGACGCAGCAAGAGAGAGCAGATCGTCGCCACCAATGAACGCCGTGGAGACGGCAGTCCCTCAGGATGACGCGAGACGCAGCGACCAAGAGAGCGGTCTTCATCAGAGCTGGGAGGATGGCCTTGAATGGAGGTCGACGCAGATCTATGACATGGCACCAACCGCGAGCAAAAGCCGACTGAGCAGGCGAACGCGTTTGTCGGCATTTCTTCACGTTCGCAGCGGCACTCAACTCCACGTGAGGTGATTCATTGCCCTTGCCTTCAACTTGAAGCACCCACCCAAATGGAGAGCTCGTCGGAGTAGACGAGGGGGATCTGCACGTTGCACGCAGGTGACTGCCGAGTCCACAATCCGCTTCTCGGACGTCACGGCGCGATTCGGACGTGTCAGTTGATCTTCCTTCAGTCCTGTAGACTGCAGGTGACCGACCTCCCCCCTGTGTCACTGCAGACATCAACGCCCGTGCTACTCCCGCGACGAGAGTTGCACTCGTTCCCCTGGTTTTCCTGCGTGATTGGCATCAGATGGCTCCACATCCACTTCAACAAGGCGAACGCGCGGGGCATTGGTGGAGCGCAGCTGGGGGCTCCGGGTTGCCGCCGTGTCAGAGCAGTGGCAGCGCGTTGGATCGAAGTGCTCCATGCGCTCGAAGTGCAACCACCGAGCGACGACGCCCCTGTTCATGTGTGCTGCGGGCCTTCTCGCTGTCCGAGGCGGGCGCGCAGCGGAGACCCTTTTAATCACTAACTCACTCTCGAATTCGCCTCGGTGTCCACACCCAGTCAAGACTCGATCCACGCTCATGGCGGCGCTCGTCCGCCTCGCTCTGCTGCTGGCCTTGGTGCTCTCGTCCGCGCCGACGCTCGCAGCCAACTCGTACCCGATCATCCTGGTCAACGGCTTCTCGGGCTGGGGCCGCGACGAACTTCTCGGTTTCCGGTACTGGGGCGGCATCCAGGGCGACTTCCAGAACGAGCTCACGGCCCAGGGCTACACGGTCTACACGGCTGCGGTGGGGCCGTTCTCCAGCAACTGGGACCGCGCGTGCGAGCTCTACGCCATCATCAAGGGAGGGCAAGTGGACTACGGCCAGAAGCACTCGGCCACGCACAACCACCTGCGCTACGGCCGCAACTACACGGGCCTCTACCCCAAGTGGGGCACCGCCAACTCGGACGGCTCCATCAACAAAGTGCACCTCGTGGGCCACAGTATGGGCGGCCAGACCATCCGAATGCTGGCTCAGTTGCTGGAGCACGGTACTACGGGCGCCCCGATCGAGGAGGACCCGGCGTCCCACCCGCTCTTCAAGGGCGGCAAGAGCTGGGTGCACTCCATCACGACCATCTCGACCCCCAACCAGGGCACGACGCTGGGCGACGGCTTCTCCACCATCGGGGACTCGGTCAAGGACCTGCTGGCCGGCGTCTTGAGCGTCGTGGGCATCCTCGGGGACAGCGCCAAGATGGTGTACGACGCCAAGCTGGACCAGTGGGGGATCACCACCAAACAGTCCGGCGAGACCGTGCAGAAGTACATCGACCGCGTGTTCTCAAGCAGCATCTTCAAGCCTGGATTCAAGGACGTGTGTCTCTGGAGCTTGTCCACTGCGGGCGCCAAGGAGGAGGCCTCGTGGGTCAAGACGCTGAGCGACGTCTACTACTACAGCTACGCCACGATTGACACGTACGACACGAGGGACTTACTGCTGCGGAAGATCTCGCTGCCCAACCTGCTCACGATGCTGCTTCCTCTGGACCCCCTTGCCGTGTTTCTTGGAGGGAGGTACGCCCCAGACACGATGAAGCTGTCGACGGACTGGCAGCCCAATGACGGCGTTGTGAACACGGTCTCGATGGGCTCTGATGGAGTGGGGGCGGCTGTTACCTTCGCTGGTTCGTCGCAGATCGGCAAGTGGAACAAGATGCCGCAGCTCAACCGACTGGACCACCTCGCGGTGATTGGCATCACGCTGCACACGCAGGTGCTGGATCTGTACGAGGGCCACGCAGCGCTGTTGGCGGCGCTGCCGACGAGCTCGAGCTCCCGTCGACTGGCGGACTCGACCGCTGCCGTGGCGAAGCTGGATACGGCCATTGTGGAGCTGACGGCGGCCACGACGAGCGTGGAGACCAAGAGCGACCTGGAGTCGCTGTGCCAGAGCCCCAAGAACGCCTACGCCGAGAGCTACTGCTCTAAGATGCTCGAGTCCGCTTCGACGCGGCGTTTGAGGGGCTAGAGGAGATTGGGTGAATTGCTGTAAATGGACGTAAGAGTTGATGTTGTGAATCCTTGCGTTGAAGTTGTCGTGGACACAGTATGACACACTCGTGACAGCAGATTCGGCGCTCGAAGCGCACGTCGGACTTGCCAAGGAAGGAGGTCGAGAGTTGCTCTGCTTGGAAAGAAGAAGCGAGAAAGTCTGAGCCAAAACGATCCGTTCCTGACACGTGCGTGGCAAGTTGAAGTGGCAGTATCATAGTCAGACCAGATATCCGGCGCTGGTGTAGTACCGTATCATGACCTCCATCCTGTATCATGAGGTTATCTTGTCGGAAATCTCATCAAGAGGTGCTAACGAAACCAAGAAGTCGTGAGTACGCTGCGCGAACTTGGGTTTCCAAAGTGTCTTCATTCATTTCTTCCTGGATGCACTAACGGTGTTCGCGTTTGACAACGCAAAACCTGCTGACGACACGCCGAAGCCCCACCGACGTTGCTTCGGTCGACACGTTTCTCTTCCGCTTGCCAACAACCGTAGGATGGTGATCATCGTCCAAGCACTGGTTGCCATCCAACACCCAGAAAAGCACGGCAGACAACGCTCAATCGCCTGCAGAAGCCGACCGCAAGCCGTCATCGCTACGGCTAGGACCCCACTACTTCCCCCAACGTGGCCCTACCAATTGAAAGTTGGAGATGCCCCTGTGTGTTTTCACCGACGGTCATCAAGAGAAGGCCGACGCCATTGATATCCGAGTCAAAGGGCTTCCTGGATACTGTTTCCAGTCATGCACACCAAGATCCAAGATGCTGAGCGGGACGGCAGCCCGCTCGGCCGTGTTTTGTTCGTCCGCGCTTGCTGCAGGAACAGGTGCCTCGATTTGCTTGAAAATCATCGGTCACTTGCACTGTCACCTCAACCAAAAGCTCGAGTCTCGAGCTCCATGACTTCCCAACCTTTCCTTGCGGCCGAAGAAAAAAGCCACGCAGCCCCCTCTCTCCGTCATGGCCCCTTGAGCCGTGACGCCGCCCATCTCCGTCTGCAACTTGCAAGCAAAGCCCCACCGAGAGCCTTTGGCATCGGAATCCCCAACGTCCACAGCTGGGGGCTCGGCCAGGAAGCTCACACGCCATCGAGCCCATTCATTCCCAATTCCACCTCGGACTGCGCATTGCTCCATCCTCCTCCCAAGTCGATGCAGACGCTGTTCAGTGTCGCTCTACTACTGCTCAGTGCGGCGGTCGCCACGGCCACCAACACGTACCCGGTGGTGCTGGTGCACGGCTTTGCCGGTTGGGGCCGTGACGAGCTGCTCGGCTTCAAGTACTGGGGAGGCATCCAGGGCGACCTGCAGGCGGAGCTCGAGGCTCAGGGCTACACCGTCTACACGGCGTCCATCGGCCCGTTCTCCAGCAACTGGGACCGCGCCTGCGAGCTCTACGCGCAGATCAAAGGCGGGGTCACGGACTACGGCGCGGCCCACTCGGCCAACCACGACCACTCTCGCTACGGCAAGAACTACACGGGACTCTACCCGGAGTGGGGCGAGGAGAACGCCGATGGGTCCATCAAGAAGATCCACCTCGTGGGCCACAGTATGGGCGGCCAGACCATCCGCATGATGGCTCAGATGCTCGAGAAGGGCACGACGGGGCCCCCGTAGAGGAGACTACCTACAGCTCCCCACTGTTTGAGGGTAGGCACGAGTGGATCCACCATCTCGACCCCCAACCAGGGCACGACGCTGGCCGACGGATTCTCGGAGATTGGTGACACGATCAAGGACCTGTTAGTGTCGGTGATCAACGTGGTCGGGATCTTCGGCGACTCGGTCGACTTGATCTACGACGCGCAGCTGGACCAGTGGGGCATCACGGCCAAGCAGGACGACGAGACTCTGCAGGAATACCTCGACCGGGTCTTCTCCAGTAGCATCTTCGACTCCGGGTTCAAAGATGTATCCATCTGGAGTCTATCCGTGGCCGGTGCCAAGGAGGAGAGCACATGGGTCGAGACGCTGAGCGACATCTACTACTACAGCTACCAAGGACACGTACTCGACATACAACTTGAAGCTGCAGAAGATCTCGTACCCCAACATCCTCACGATGCTGCTGCCGCTCGACGTGCTGTCGATCTTCCTTGGCAGCCGCTACGCCCCGGACACGATGGGGCTGTCCACGGACTGGCAGCCCAACGACGGCGCGGTCAACACCATCTCCATGAGCCAGGACTACGTCGGCGACCTCGTCGAGTTCGACGGCTCGTCCGAGATCGGCAAGTGGAACGAGATGACGCAGCTCACGGGATTGGACCACGGGCGTCACGCTGCTCTACCAGGTCCTCGTCATCTACGAGGCCCACATGGAGCTGCTCTACAGTCTGCCGGTGGGCTCGGGCTCCTCTCGCCGCCTCGTAACGGGCAACTCGACGGTCACCGCCAAGCTGAACAGCGCCATCTCGACACTGAACACTGCGACGGCCAACATCCAGACCCAGGAGACCTCGAGGCGTTGTGCGAGAGCCCCATCAACACCTACGCCGAGAACTACTGCGCCACCATGCTCAACTCCACGCTGGTGAACGACACCATCGCCACTGCCAACGCCACCGTGGAGGCAGCCACAAACACATCGATCAACACGGATGTGAGCTCGACGCGTAGGCTGCGAGGGTAAACTATACTACAGTACAGAACGAAGTGCAAAAAATATCAGCAGATTGGTTGTCAAAAGCTGAAATCTTGAAAAAAAATTACTTTATATTCAGTCTTTTTGATGAGGGCCGAGTCGGCGCCTGATCCGAGCTGAGCACCCAGCCTTCAACCGCTTTGGGCCGCTCGGAGATTTATTCTCTATGACAGCCTCTTTGCTATTACGCGCTTGTTCGAGCAACTGAGTGCAATAGTTCTTCGCGTAGGAAGTTGACGATTCCTTGCGTAGTTTTTCCAGATCGGCCTCCGTCTGAATGCTCGATCGAGCCGAAACAAGTGACGAAATCGCGCCGTTGACGGACGTGTGGACCTCCTTGTTGAACGTGATACTGCGGGCCTCTGAATCCTCGGGTAGGCTGGCCACCAGTTTGGCGAGGGACGAGTAAATGTCTTTGACGCCTCTGAAGAGCGAAAACCCCGTGATGTCCATGTGATCGAGGCCGGTGAGCTCCTCCATTTGGACCCACTTGCCAATCTGAGAGGTGCCGCTGAATTTCACCAGCTCACCCACCCCATCGTGACTCATAGAGATCGTGTTGACAACGCCGTCATTTGGCTGCCAGTCGTTGGAAAGGTGTAGCGTGTCTGTTGCGTAGCGACCGCCCAAAAATATTGACAGCGCGTCGAACGCTGGGTTCATGCTCAGCGGATTTGGGAGCCGGATCTTCTTCAGCTTGAAATTCACGGCTGAGAACGTGTCGATAGTGGCGTAGCTGTAGTAGTACACGTCCTCCAGAGTCGACACCCAGCTGTTCTCCTCGAGAGCACCGGCGTGCGATAGACTCCACAGACACGTGTCTTTGAAGGACGCGTCGAAGAGTTTACTCAAGAACACGCGGTCGAAGTAGTCGCTGATACTTTCGCTGTCGACTCTGGTTGAAATGTTCCACTGGTCGAGCTGAGCATCAAATATCGCTTTGGAAGTGTCACCGCCGACGCCAGCCACGCTGAGGATGCCTACTAAAGCAGCCTTCATACCGTCACCGATCTCTGAAAACCCGTCGGCCAATGTAGTCCCTTGGTTGGGCGAGGCAATCGTTGTGATGGAGTGCACCCAGCTTTTCCCGCCTTCGAACAACGGGTGCGTTGTCGACTCTTCCTCCGTCGCCGAGCCGGTTGTGCCCTCCTCCAGCATTTGGGTCAGCATTCGAATCGTTTGGCCGCCCATACTGTGGCCCACGAGGTAGATCTTGTTGACTGTACCGTTCTCGTTGACTTCGCCCCATTCAGGGTAGAGTGCCGTGTAGTTCCTCCCAAACCGGTCGTGTCCGTGGGCAGCTGAGTGTTTTGCTCCATAGTCCACGACCCCACCCTTAATCGGCGCGAAGAGCTCGCAGGCTCGGTCCCAATTGCTCGAAAACGAACCGATGGATGCGGTGTACACGGAGTAGCAGTAAGCGAATGGGTGTTTAGCGGACGTCGGCAGACACCTCATCGGACAAGTGCTCAAGCACGAGGACTAACCCATGGTGGACGACGACTACCTGCTGACGAACGAAGCGTGCGTAGTGGTGGACGTCAAGTACTCGATGAAGGACAAGCGCTCAGTGGTCGACAAGAACCCGATGATGGACGAGCTCTCGCTGACGGACAACTTGCTGACGGACGAGCACTCGTTGGTGAACAACTACGCGCTGGTGAACAACTACGCGCTGGTGGGCAACTACCCGATGGTGGCCAACTACCCGCTGTCGGACAGCTACTCGCTAATGGACGAGTACTGACCGGTGGACAAGCACTCATCGGTGGACAAGGTGAACAAGTACTTGGTGGCGGCGGACCAGTACACGGTGACGGACTACGAGGACGGTAACGTCAACTACGCGTACATGACACGATGTGGGAAAGGATTTTTATCCGCACCCATGTCTGACCGCTGGGATGGGACGACCCTTCGCCTGACTGTGACCGGTCGCAGTGAACAGGAATACAGTGACGTGGAGTGTGACATGTGGATAGTGGATGCGCATGGTGAATTTGGCGGGACCCGGTGCTTGCAGTAAGCATGGGCTCACAGGATCGGAGATGTGCCCACCGGATGAGCGCTCATATTCGGTGTGGAGTAACACATCCTGTCCGTCCGCTGACTTCCCTGACCGCAGGATAAGCCTAAGGCGCGCAAGTGCAGCCAGTGAACGTATCCTGGCTGCTGCCTGCATTGGCTCCGTCAAGACATCGGACCAACCCCCACGTTCACCATGCCCACCATGCTCCCATGCGCCCAAGACCTCGCTGGACAAAGTACACTGTTTGCCGGACTGGATCGTGGTGCACCCGGTAGCGACGCACCGGAGGCCAAGGTGCCGTACCGAATGAGGCCGGACCGAATGATCAATTCGGCCTGACCCCTGGTGTCCATACTGGATCGTGACCGCACCAACAACAAGTCCAGTACTGCTGTGTGTGTAGCAGCAATCTAGGACCGGATCGACCAAGAACGTCAAGCGACACAGGATGGCTCACGTGATTAGACGCAGAGGTCCAGTGCGGATTTGATGAGACGCCGTACCCACGTACCTCTGTCGCCAGATGATGAGTGTTGCCGAAGGAACGTTGACGTCGACAAGGTGCCCGATAACCAAGCCAAGTCAAGCATACCCAAGCTCAGTGCAAGAAGATCGAAGTCCCGTGCACAAGGTCGAAGCATATCCAAGACAAGTCAAGTATAGTGAAACCTTTATTAGAAGTCAGTGAAGTGAAACAGATAGCTAGCCAAACGTAAGATCAAACAGAAACCAATTTGCCGAGAACACGCGGACGTCTTTCTTCGGGCTGGGAATTCCCCCTGACATTGACGTCTTCAAGAGCTTATACGTGGGATCCGCCTTCGTGCGATCTTAAAACGGAGGACGTTTCAAGGCCTCACTGGTGTTGCGAGCACTGGTGTAGTGGGGACTCAAAGGTACCAAGGCAAAGTCGGCAGGGACTGGGGTGTCGCGCCCTGGAGTGATCTGTGAGAGCTTTATTTCCAATTTGCGTGCTCTATCCGGGCATCCATTTCATGTTTCATCCTGTGTGTCTTAGGCGGTAGAGGTAGTCATCCCCGAGACTGAATTGATCGACAACTGTGTGATTGGATTGGCTTATATTTTGTATTGTTCCCTCACTCTGTGAGGGTGGTGCGCGTGAGTGAGTGTGCATCCATGGTTGACCAGTGCCTTGGGTGACGGCTCGTAAGTTGACTGGCGTATAGACCCCCCACCCAAGGGTCTTAAAGAATAAGTGGTGGCTGTATATTTTGTGACGTTTAGTTCGGCATTGTATTTATGTGTGTTGGTTATACTGAATTGTGGATCTGACTGTGGTCCCTTCGATTCGGTCTGACTTTCTGTTCATTCGGTGTAGTTTGTTTTAGGAACACACCCAGCAGACTCGATTCTGTATTTACAACAACTCACTCGGTGAAGTCCGGTCCGCCAAAGGTAAACGATACCTATAGGTGTTGACACAAGGACACACGCCAAGTCCAAGCGATCCTCCCGGCCCCCGGTTCATATCCTGTGCTCCGAGGACTATCGGATTGCAGCGGATATCTCTGGTACTCCGAACCGATTCGGTCCGGCATAGTGCGCTATACACCTGGACGGTCAAGGCGTTCACCCGCCTCGCCTCAGCTGGTGCGCGTGCCCGGATTTGGTTGCCTAGGATTTCACCGCGAGTTGTTTGTTTGTATATTGATTTGGTCTTAAGGGGTGTTTCTACTGACTGCCTGGACTAACAGTTTGGTTATGGCTGGAAGGAAGGAAGCACGTGAAGGTGGACGCGGAGGCGGACGCGGTGAGGCGTCGCGTCAGTCGCGTCGAGGACAAGGGCTGCCGCCGGAGGAGCACAAGGCTCTGGACGACGTTGTCCGGGAGGCTCGGAAGGCTGGCGCGGAGAAGCGCAAGGCGGTCCTGGAAGAGAAGAAGAAGGCGTCGGCGGCCGATCAAGATCAAGCGGCCCCGGAGTCCTCCGTTCTGGATGCGCACCAAGCCAAACAGGATGAGGCTCCGGAGGCGGACTTGACCGAGTCTGTGCCGGCCGGCACCGAATGTGTCCCAGACCCGGTGACGGGACTGGATCAGGGTGAGTCCGCACAGGATGATGAACCCGCCCAGGTGTCTGTGGGAGGCGCCGATGAGGTTGAGCCCTCGGCTGAGAATCGAGTTTTGGACTCTCCCCAGCCGGACGACGAAGTCGAGATTCTGGACGAAGCCCCGACGATCAAGCATGAAGGCCCGCTGTCGACTGTCCAAGAAGACGGCGTACTGAATGACGAAGCCGACACCCGGTCTGCGCCCGCGCAATCCAGTCCGGCCGCGACCGCCCAAGCTCCCGCGCTCAAGATGGAAGCCCAATCCAGTCTGGCGCCCTCGGATTCGCGAGGACCCGACGAGACCAAGGCTCAAGTGAGCGAGGCTCAGGCGAAGGCGTACGTGGCCGGACAAGTGCGTCGCTGGGAGCAGCATCGTGAACGCGCTGCCGTCCCGCTCAAGGTGGAGTACGCCTGGCCCGAGCCGGCACCCGACTTCACTGAATGGTGGACTGCCGCGCTAGCGACGTCGAAGTACCTGTCGGACCGGATGGCCATGGCGAGTCAAGACGCGGCGTGGATCGCGGAGCTTTGTCCGGTACGGCTGGAGCTGTGCCTGGCACAGGATGTCTCCGGCATCGTGATTCCGCCGAGCATCCTGTCGCCGCGCGAGTGCGTTGCGCTCATCCAGTCTCTTCGCTGCCGATTTCAGGTTTCACAACCTAATCCCGATGTGGTTCCAGTCGCAGTCGTCCAGAGTCGCACCGAGTCTGGTGCGCTCTGTGGTCGAGGACGTCCAGCACTTCATCGCGTTCGAGCTGATCGAGTGGCGCGAGTTGGCATCCGGTGTGCCCTTCAAGATCGTGCTGGATGCGTCAGACGCCCAAGACCAGACCGAGTCGAACGCTGGAAACACTGGATCGACACTGTCACAAGCTGTGCGAGCACCGATCCTGGACTACCATGCAGAAGACAACGACGGAGATCTATTGATGTCGGATTACGAAGCTGGACTATTGGGTCGCGAGTTCGTCCTGCGCCTACGAGTGGCCGGCCTCCGGAGGACACGAAGCCCGCAAGGGTCGTCCACCGGCGAACCGGATTCCAAGCGCCCGCAGCACGGACCGCCTCGCCCGCCGTCCACCCAGTCCGCGTCGTCGATCCCGTCCGCGCCGCCGCTGTCCACGCCGTCGCTGTCTTCGCTCCCGTCGTACCACGCGTCCAGCGAGTCTGAGCGCGCAGCCGGTACTGGAGTGTTGGCGCAACCGGGTCCGCCATCTCGTTCACCCTCGGATCTTGATTCGAGCCTGTTCGGGACGATGGCTGGATCCAACGAGTCGACGTTCAGTGCGGCGTCAGCAGCCCGATCGTCCAGAGGCAGCTCGTCTTCGTCGTCGCTGTGGTCCGGACACGATGCCGCGAGGCGCATGTCCGCGATTGGGTACGGACCCATGGTGATGACCGCGCAGGCAGGAGCGATCCAGTCTGGTGCAGGCACAGGAGTCGTCGAGATCACCCGGACAGCACTCCCTCGGTCATCGACGGCGGTGGATCAGGACGATGTCGTTATGTCGGAGTCCGATCGCACCACCGTCCGGAGTGACCGAAGGTCGAGAGCTTCATCCGGTAGGCAAACGACGCCCAGGCGCGAGAGGCGAAGCCCGTCACCAAGTGGGTCTGACTCCAGTGACGAGGACCGGATGCGCCGCCGAAGGTCTTCGAGATCGAAGCGCGCACCGAGTCGGTCGAGCAGGTCGACTCGATCCGGTCGATCAAGCCGCTCAGCGATGTCCGTGATGTCTGGGGCGTCCCAAGTTGCGCTCAACACGATGCGCCAGACGCAGGAAGCCCTGGCCAGGATGGAGCTGAACCAGGAGGCATCCGCTGCCAACGCGGCCCGACTGAATGAAGGTCTTCACAGCGCGTTCCAGGCGATCCAAGAGCTCGCCGGACGCACCGCTACCCCTCAAGGCAGTGTGCAGACCGGATCGAGGCCGGACGCCCCAGTCCCGGAGCCTCCCAGCGATCCCAGCACGTCTCCAATGTCGACGATGCAGGCGCATGAAGTGGCGGCTGCCATCGAGAGCGCCCGCGCCGAGGCAGCCGCCTGGAGCACGAGCGCGCAGCCGCCGAGTTCGCCGAACGCTGGAGACAACAGGAAGCGCAAGCCGAAGCCGAACGAACCCGATGGGTCGAAGATGTGCAACGGGGACTCAACGATCAACTGGATTTATTCCAAGAGAAGGTCCACCAGATTGAAACTGAGCGGGAGAGGGAGCGAGAATCTTCCCGGAACATTCAGCGGTTTCAGACCCACCAGTTACACAACCTTCGTGCAACACGCCAGGAAAATCCAGTGGCTCAAGCAACATCGGGATCTGATTCGGTGTCGCATGTGAAGACAGAGACCGGGCGTGAGACAT